GAGATAAGGCTGAAGTCGAACTTCACGATACCTAGGGGTTCGTCAGCCATTATACTAGGTCAAGATGAGGGTGTGAGCGGTTGGATCGTTAGAATGGACGGATCGGGACGAATCGAACACTCACGAGACGTTCGTCGCTCGACAGGACGAATGGTGGCTACTAGAGAGTCGCCAGATGTCATCCAAACCCCTCTTGACGCCATCGAAGTGGACCTAGACCCCGTCGTCAACGAAGAAATTTTCCCTGACGACCGCTCAGAAAGTGGCGAACAGGAAAATATCGATAATGAACAAGGAAATGATGTTGATAGAGACAACTCACCTAATACAGGCCCACAACCTACTGAAAGACGACGAGGACAGGGCATTTGGGGAGGAAATTGGATCTATGAGAACGATATCGTCGAAAATGAGAGAAATGATGAGGAAGGAAGAAATGATGGGGATGAGGGGATCCTGACGACACGTCACGGACGAATTATTCGACCCCCCCACCGTTTTGCAGGCCTAACAGACTCGTTCCTAGACTTTGGTCGTGAGCCTAATAAGTTAGTCTCACTCGCCTCTATCGCAGGTATCGAAAGTGATACTTCTCTCATTGATCCTATCTCTCCTGAAGAAGCAGTAAACGGCCCAGATGGTGAGAAGTGGCTGGAATCCATGGAGAAAGAGATATCTAACATCGAATCTAAAGAAACATGGGTGGAAACGGTGTTACCACCGGGCCGTAAAGCCATTGGATGTAAATGGGTATTCAAAGTGAAGACAGATTCAGAAGGAAACTTACTAAAGTATAAATCCAGACTAGTAGCTCAAGGATTCTCACAGGTACCAGGTGTCGACTACGAAGAGACATTCACACCTGTCGGTAGATCGGGGTCGTTACGAATACTCTTGACTATAGCGGCCACCGAAGATCTCGAAATTCGTCAGGCCGATGTCGAAGGGGCGTATTTAAACGGTAAACTCGATGTAGAAATTTACATGAAGTATCCCAAGGGGATAAAACCGAAGCCTGGATGTAATACCTTGAAGTTAGTTAAGTCTCTTTACGGTTTAAAGCAATCTGGCAGGACATGGTGGATAGAACTCGGTGAAGGATTATCTCACCTAGGTTTTTCAAGAATCGAATCAGATTGGGGTCTTTACTACAGACCAGAAGGGAAAATCGAAGGAAAGGGAGCAGCAATACTGCTAGCCTATGTCGATGATCTGGTATTAGCCACGAAGTCGAAGGAAGAAGCGAAGGAAATTTTCGATGGGCTAGGTAAAAGGTGGATAATAACCGACCTGGGGGAGATAAGTACTATCTTAGGTATGAAGGTAACAAGGAACAGAGAAGAAAAGACAATATGGTTAAACCAACCAGCATATATCGATAAGATAGTTCAGAAGTTTCCAGAAAACGACTTACATCGAGACCGAAAAACGCCATTACCCCTTACTGCGAAAAATCCATCGATGTCGGAGGCGGAGAGTGAAATTCGACCATTTCAAGAATTAATAGGATGTCTGCAGTGGTTAGCCACATGTACTCGACCTGACATATCATATGCCGCCTCATACCTTGCTAGGTACCTCACTAAACCGACGAAGAAAGTATGGGAAGAAGGGATAATGGTAATTACCTACCTTCGGTCCACTCGTTTACATGGTATTCGTCTCGGTGGCGAGGCTAGCGATCTAGCAGGATGGGTTGATGCCGATTGGGCAGGTTGTAAAGACACACGACGATCAACTACAGGTTGGATATTCATGATGAACAACTCACCGATAACCTGGAGTTCAAAAAGACAAGCTACAGTATCGTCGTCGACAGTCGAAGCAGAATACATCGCGATGGCTGAAGCAGCGAAGGAAGCTCAGTGGTTGAGAGGATTATTGAGGGAGATAGGCTACGATCAGCTAAATCCTACTACATTAAACTGCGATAACCAAGGATCGATATCACTAGCGAGGAAACCTGGTACTCACCAGAGGACAAAGCATATTGATATTCGACATCATGCTCTTCGAGATCTAGTCAGTAACAAGGTTATTGAACTAGAATACGTTAGCACTGTCTCTCAGAGGGCAGACGTACTCACGAAGGCTTTAGGTGGACCAGTACATTCGGTGAATATGTCAGCGATACGTGTAGAACCACCGAAGAAGAAAAACACTGGTTCAGTATACGTGACATTAGATGATGATGAAATCATCGATTACGATTATTCTGATTTCGAGGATCTAGGAGATCTGTCAGGTGGTACAGAGAACGAAGTGGTACCAGAGAGAGAAGTAGTACCAGAAGGAGAAGTGTGGGTGGAAGGAACTTCAGAGAAACCCACCGAAGGAAAAGTTCTCGTGAGCCAAAATGTAAAATTTTCAGGTGTACCTAAGAATGTGAGTAATTCGAAGATAGGTCAAAAACCACCGGTAGAACCTAGAGTCATTAGAGAGATGAAAGAGAAGAGTGAGAGAAGGGATAAGATGATACATAGTGGAGGTTCTACTCAACCTCCATCGTCAAATCCACAAATTTCGGGAACTTGGGCTGGTAACCAGCGACTTTATAACCACCGAGGACAGCCTCGATCTTTTCGTGGAGAGAGTCAACAGTATCAACGATCTCTTGTACCCTCGCATGGGTACCACCATCTTCCAATAGAGCGTTCCCTAGCAAAAGGAAATGTTTATCGAGGTTCGATTTCAAGATCCCCAGTTCAAATTGTACCTTCTGAGAGAGATCTCAAACTCAATAAAGTTCATGACATGACGAACAGTAATAAACTTACAGTCGGGAGGATTGCTGGGGAGCAACCTAAGGACAGGACGATCAGACGGTCCAGGAACCGAGGGAGTAGCGATAGTCGCGAGAACAGCAGGAGAAATTTGGGACATGATGATTTCGCTACTAATGATAGATATCGTCAGCCTGGTACTCGAAGCAATTTCATCGATTCTCGGGATCCTACTAGCAAACCTGAAGTTTTAAGAAGCAGAAAGGATAAAGGGAAGTTCAGAGAGTCACAAATGAGAGATAGAAGTGGAGAAAGACGAAAGATGGACATACCGATAATTGGAGATAAAAGTGATGAAGTAAAAGGAAAGATAGAGAAGAGTCAGTCGTCGGTACCGGTGAGTGGTAGCCACGTGTCAGAGCGGAGCCCCGCAGGGGGCCCCACAGAAATTCATTTCACGATTTCACCTACCACTACTACCACACACATAACACTCAATATTTCGTCATTACTACCTTCTACATCATCACAAACCCCGCCGTCGCCATCGATAAATCGTCCGGGACTACTGCAGAGTCGTGCATTGTCCCGTGGGGGAGTGTTAGCCGATAGAATCGGGCCAGGACGGCCGAACCGCCGTTAGAATTACCCCTTCCGTCGAATATTTCTCCGTTCAACTTATCCTCTGAACTTTATTCGATCGTCTCTGGTTTTATGCGTGTGAGTGGAATGTGATAAGTATAGAGACATGTAGAATTGATGCATGCTCTTTTTCCCCTCTGTATTATCATCTAATTATAAGCGTTAACACGTGAGACCTTTCCATTAGAATATCCAAGAGGTGAGCGCGATCCAAATACGTTCCGACCCAACGAGGGAGACGGATATTGGTGGGCATGTGAGGATAGTTTCTGAACGGATCAACATATCATAAGAGTTCGTGCGAGTGAATACAGTCAGGTATGTTCACACATTATGCATTTGATATGAATCACTTGAAAAGCAAAACTACTCAGCTATATATATTCCATTGGCATGGCAGATATACGAATCTCGCTCATCTCCCCATATGATGTGGGTTGCTAGTAGCATGTCTAGTTCTAAAATGTTACTCTTCTCATTGTTGTGCAGCTGATACATGTCCGATCATCAAACGTGATCTCTGAGGGGATCATAGATCATAAAGGTATTTATTCTTTGTAGGTCGGTCACACACCATTTCCCCAACATAGAGTATGACCCACCCCTTGCTCACCTCAAATTGGACGTGTTGCAAATTGGACGTGGAGGTCTGCGACAAACCTCATAGTCATGAGAATTTTTTCTTTCAATTACTCTTCATTTTGACTTCAATGTAGACCGTATCGTGACACTGATCTCATCATTGGAAGTCTCACTGAATCATACAAGTAGAGAGATGCTTACCCGTCTGTCACTCACGGTCACTTGAACCCATAAGAAGACAATCAAAAAAATGACCACGTCTGACTGTTCTCAATCATCCATATCGTTGTTACGGAGTAACAACGAATCGAGAGAACTCCATCGAGTTCGACGGATTAGGAAAGAGAACGGCGAGAGTTGGAGGCACTGCTGCAGTAGGTAGGGACGGGTTTTCCCTTTTCGAGATTTCCCCACTGGGTTTGCTCAAAAGCGGTTTTTCACCTGTCCGAGTATGTACATAGACGCTTGCAGTAGGACTGAGAGGAGGACACGGACACCTGTAGACAGTATATAGTACAATCAGCAAAGTACCAACTTTGCTGATTCTTCAATATCATTCTTTGGCTACATCGATTGCAGAGGAGACACAATCCATCACATAGCACCAGAGACACATAGACTTCTACGAGACCTCCATCGAGTTTGACCCAACCTGCGACCTAGTCATCGTGTTTCCAGTACCGTTACAATCGTCTAGAGAAATTTCCATCGTCGACGCTGATTAGACTTCTCAGAACGACTCGGCCAGATACTCGCAGACAGAGTATGGTGTATCACCTCATCATCTCCAGGATTCAACTCAAGGCTTGAAGTGATAACACACATCGTTGAGGTAATTTGTTGACATATCAAACCATCCTTTTTCCTTCCCCTCATGTCGTGATCTCGTCTCATCCAATTGCGTGCCCTCGGCCCACCTTTCATCCCTTCATATCGACCAACAGGTCAGATTTTCGCAATATAAAATCCCTCCTGACCTCTTCCATCTTCTCCTCTCATTCTCTTCACACTAACAATCTGACGATAACAAGTAACCCAATAAATCAATCAAACATGTCCAACCGTGAGGAAAATTTTGTTCTCAAAGAGCTCGAATATGCTCGAATACAATTGCAATCCGAAGGATCAAAGTATGTTTCTGAATCTTCAAATGATGACAAACATGATCAAACACAGATAGGCAAGGATGATGCTCAGGTGGAAGAAATACGTACTCACCTACACGACGAATTTTCTCGACTCAGCCAGATGGAGTCTGGTTATTTTGCCATCAATCTTCATGAGATAGGATTGATGTCTTCTCCTCATTTTATGAAGAACCATGAAGATCTCCTGAGATACTATAATAGTTGGACGTCACATCTCCAAAGGTCAGGTTCGTACCAAATGTGGACAGAGGCTTCCAGAGGTTTGAATATCACAATGCTTAAAGATCAGATAAGTACCTGCGCTATAGAGTCTTGTGAGGAAGTTGAAAGTGTGCTTCATGACTGTTATGGAGAATACAAAGACAAAGAGCAGGCGGAGGATGCTTGGTTGGATGGACGTGATTTCTTGGTGGATGATCCTCAGAATGGAGTTGAAGAAGATACATTCCACGAGGAGCAATTCGATAATGGGGTTGATGGACCGGTTGATTATGGCGAAGGATACCGGGACCGCGGTGACGAGTTTGACAATGACGATGAGAAGGTCCAGGATCCAGAGAGTAAGAGAGGGTATCAATATGCTGTCACTCAGACGGAAGAGGAAGAGTACTGGAGTATTGCCCGAGGGGAAGTATGACAACCCCATAGAGTAGACCAGCATCAGTACTTGAGATGAGATGGTTTGCAGTGAGAGGACAGATCCAGACTTATGAATGAGTATTTGTCAGTCATTAGCGATTACGCTGGATGAGTCAGTCGAAGAAGGTTTCACGTATGCACACAACCTCTCACCATCACAAACCGAGTAATTTGCCTAGACCAGATTTCCGATCTTCCTTCTTCCCCGCTTCATTCTTCTTCCCTTCGACCTTGTGATCCCGTGGTGGAACAGGTGACGGTTTGGTTTGTTTCCCACTATTCAACTTGCTCGCTTCTTTCTGAGGCAGTGGAGGGGATTTTGGTTTATCCGTCGTTCGATGACCAGGAATAAGGTCAGGAAGTTCAATGGTGGAAAGGTAGATGGCTATATTTTGTGGTGGTTTCCATTCTTTCCCTCCTGGGCTTTTAGAATCTTTTGGTTTACTAGGTTGTGGTGGTGGACTGTAATCTTAGATCTCATTCGCGACCTTTCCCACTTCCGTCGAAACGCTCCGACGAAGGAGAATTGACATGTGACAGCGCAGGGAAGCGCCAGTGGAAAGGAGATTGGTGAACAACTCACATATCATTCAAGTTGATCCGGGGAGGACTTTGTGGTCTCGCTGGAGGCTTAGGCATAGGTATCGGTTCTTCTTCTTTCACATATTGATGTAGCGCTTCAAGCCCTTCTCGATGTCTGAATCTGCACGTATCAGCGATATGTCTCGAAGAGAAGTGAGACTTACCTGGTCACTCCTAATGACACTTCGAGCGCTTTTTGCGCCGCTTCAGCCTTTCGAGTACGTAAAACGATAAAGAGCATGTTGGGGTCCTACATATTATGTGAGCTCGAACCTCCTGCACTCTCCGTCGCTCATTTCACGAAGCGCCTTCATGGCAAGGGGCGAATGAATCAGAGACACACCTGTAGAAGAGCTATAGCGTTTGCGACTTTCCCATTGACATCGCTATTCACTCCGATAATAATTTCATTCGGGTTATCCTTTCTATCAGCGAACGACCCAACGTAATTGGGGGCAAAATGGGACTGACAGGCTCGAAATCTTCCTCATCTATCACCTTCTTTGGGGGTAATGGGGGTGAAGCGACTTTTGGAGGAGAGGAAACGGTAGGAGGGGTTTTTATACGAGCTGGAGAAGCTCGGTCTTCGGCAGCATCGATCAAACAGAGAAGACTACGTGTGAGCTCTGCCTCAAGTCTTCCCCTGAATCAACCACGTTTCCCCGTTCACATCCAAACTGAATTTGGTCACTCATCGGAGATTCAAGCGTGGGAGATGAAATGGTAGCGGAAGATGGAACAAGGTTACCTCATCACTAGTAAAGTCTCAAGACCCCGAACGTCTTTGATTTCAGTGGGGAATCGTTCGATGTTGTAATGCAATATCTGTAGTCTTGCGGGTACTCCCTTGTCCGCTTCTCTAGCTCTGTCCATCAGCCTTGATCCCTTGTATCGTCTCACTTCTTCCGCCGCAAATGGAATGCGAAAGGGTAGAAGATAAGACATGTAAACAGGAGCGATGGAGAGGTGAGGGAGGATATGGAAAAGTGGTCACTTACAAACATATCTCCACCCTAGGATCAGGTTTACGGTCTAAAGAACAGACATAATCTTTACCCAATGACGCTCTGGTCCATCTGTATTTGTTCCTGAATATTAGCTTGCTGCGAAACATCAAAGAAAGATTGGTCGACATACCCTTCAAACTCAAACGACCATTCCTTCTTTCAGCTCAGTCATGTGATAAGATGACTTACAAAGGTCCTGTATGTCAGCTGAGTTCTTTTCAGATGTCCAGCTTGGACTACCTGTTTGTTGAGTAGATATACGATCATCTAGCACATCATGAGAGCGTATAGAGCCGCTGTAGAGTGGAAATGGTGACGGAGAGAAAAAGGGAGGGCGAGCATGCTCGAGGTGGGAGAAAGGTTGTGAGATCAGAGGTGAACGTGAATCTTTACTCACAATCGTCCAGTGAACTCAAAGGTGACATCCTCATCAGGTCCATGTAATTGTAAACGTCTCTTTTTATCCTTCTCCAGTTGATACCCGGCAGAGGCGAGCTTAGCACCGCTCAAAGCGTCTGATAAAATCAGTCCGAGAACTGACTTGCGGCAGTCTTGATCGATGAGTGAGGGCTGCACCTCTAGCTGCGCATACTCATCGACCTGACACTGACAAAGAAGCAGAGTGAAGGAGTGTATGAGCTTACCGTAGACGACAGAAGAGTACGCTTCCCCTTCCCTCTTCTCTCTCACTCTAGCATACCTCGCTTCTGATCTCGTGGACCCACTCGGACCTTCCTCGACAATCTCAGCGATGGAGGTATCTTTTGTAGGTTGGATGAGCAATGTGTAACATGCTGCGTCACGCAGAGCCATAATGTAAGTTACAGGAAACTCGAAACAAGCGACAGTCAACGTTGTAGTGAGTAGTAAAGGAGGAGAAAAGGAGGAAAGGAATGTAGGACCAAAGCACAGCTTGTGACATGATCCGACCGGTTACAAGTAAGCTAGAGTAACTTATCCTTAAGGTATCCTTCCTATCCGGACTACAAACTACAGTCATTAGGACACAAAACCACATTCATACCAAGCAATGCTCCATAGACTAGATGCTACAATGACCGCAAAGTCGACAGTCATGACGCTATCAGTTTGCAAGGCATCGGAAAAAGGTCGGGATTCCAGGATCATCATTCTTCACACGGTAGGATGTATTACCCACTTCACCAATCGACTTCATAAATTGTGAGATCAAGCTTCACGTGTTCTTAATTGGTCAACTCTTCCGTCTGAGACATTCCGTCCTCGGATATGGAAAGCTCACTTATCTCGTTCCTCATACCACGTCTTGAACCATCCTTGAGCCTCACGATAATTTATCTTGCACTGCTCGATGAGTCCTCCTATCCTAGTAAGAGCCGTTTCCTCGTTCAACTTCTCTCCCGCCTCCTCGTCCCACAAATTTCCATAATGTTGTATTTTCTCACAACAAGCTTGAACTTTGATGATTCCCAGAGCTGCCGACGAGCCTTTGAGGAAATGTCCCAATGACGAAAGCTTGCGCAAGTCTTTTTCGGCACTGTTTGATGTAAGCGATCCGCCACGAGGTTACCGCAAGTGAGAATTAGATTGCATCAAATGACGCAGGTGTGGAAGACACGGATGAGAACCAGACTCTTGGTCTAACTCACAGGGCGTCTTGCATATCCTGAAAAGCCTTTTCGGCCTGTACTGAGAAGTCCTGCACCATCATCCGGGAGAAAGGTTCCACTTCGGCGTCTCCTTCATCACCGTCGTCATCATCATCCATATCGAGAATTTGAGCGAAAACCTCCATGTCGATGACACCCTTTGTTGGATCCTATTTGGAGAATATCACGGTAGAGTATTGTTTTGTGGACATGCAGTATAGTGTCATGTTGTCGAGTGGGTGAAAAGGTTGTGATGAAGGTGAAACGGCGTTCCGGCATTATTTGAACCAGGGCGTGATGGTCAATGTGGGGGGTTAGGAGGCGAGCAAACCGGGGTAGGGAAGGAGGGTGTCGCCATGCGGGGTAAGAGTTGACGGATGACATTGGCGATGGTAGTGGATAAGTATGGGAGAGAAGATGGGAGAGAAAGTTGTCAGCGAAAATGACTCGTATATGGGTCGCACAGACACCTTTTCCCACCGAGTGATCGAGTGAGACATGAAGGGGGAGATAACAAGCATCACTCTCACCTCTACCTCATCTTTATCCGTAACCTTTACCTGCGTCGACATGATCTTTGCCACTATCGTGAGTGAGTGGCTGCTGATGAGTGAGAAGACGAGCTTTTGTATTGAGAGACAGCGAGAGGTAACGCGAGTTCGGCTCAAATCGGCAAGTTCGATCGTTTAGAGACAAGACGTAAGACCACCACCACTACTGTGTCGGTCGATAGAAATGAAAGAGGGAGTTTCAAAGGAGAGAAGGCGAGTCGACTGGGGGATGCGTCAAGCACGACTCGACGCCTTCTTTGAGGATGAGATGGTTTGTGTAGAGAATGGTCAGAGGATGGATAGTTGTTGTATGATGGTGCGAGGGGTGGCCTTTGAGCGAGTTCAAGAACCGAACTCGGGCGTGGCTTTTTACAGATGCTGACATCATATCATTCCGTGCCTACCGCGTGCCTACGTGTCTTTGGTTCCGCACGCCTATTCCTACCTCGTCATGGACTTTCCATGTTGTCCCACGTCTCACTGATCACTGAATTGTCCTCTCAGTCATGCCCACCCCCAGTCCCTCTCCTCTACCTTCCTCATCATCACCTCCACCACTTGTGAACCCTCGTGATATTACCTCTCCCGAACAAATCACCGCTCAGCTCGCTTTGGTCGCACGGAGAGAAGCTGACCTCTCCCTCGCACTCAACGCCCTCATCTCGGACCGTCAGCAAGTCGAGAGTGCTTTAGCTCACCTTCAAGAGCTCTCTCCAGAGATAGATAGATTGTGCTATCAAGTAGATGGGGTCAACAATCATGCGCCACCGTTCGGAGCCAACTCTCGGGGTCTCGGACTCCAAAATGGAGATGATACCTACTACGATGATGAGGATGTTGGCCTGGTCGAAAGGGTAAGAAGAGTATGGGAGACGAGTGAGAGAGTTGGAGGAAAGGTTAAAAGGCTTGATCAAGAAGTTGGAAGGGTGAAAGAAGCTACAGATATCGTCACTGAGGTTTTGGAACTCAAGGTAGGTCAACGACTGAATACACCCATCATGCGCAGTGCACTGACTTCTAGAATGCGTTGCAGACATTGTCAGCAGCCATTGATAAGGAAGACTGGGAGTCTGCTTCTCGTGCTTGCCGTCGAGCTATGTCCGTTAGGAAAGAAGTGATCGATAGTGGTTTTGCAGGGGGAGTCGTTGTATGTACATTCCATCATTTGAGGAGTCCCCTGACTTGGTAGCCCACCCCTCAAAACCCTCTACAACCTTCACAACAATTGGAAGAACTTCGTTCTACCCTTCTCCGAACATTCAGGGAACAATTCGATGCTGCTGCTGAACGTAGAGACCAACAAGCTGTCTCCAGATTCTTCCGTCTCTGGCCTGGCATAGGTGCGGAACAGGAGGGATTGAATGCTTATGGGGATTTTGTTGTTGGATTGGTGAAAGCTCGAAGCTCAAGTGCAGGAAAACGTAAGTCCAGGGTTTTTATACGGAGACTATCAGCTGATAAGATAGCTTCTTCACCACTATACTACTTGACAAATCTCACCTCCCTATTGGAAAGCATAGCCCATATCATCGACCAACACCAACCAGTTGTAGACAAATACTATGGTAAAGGTCGTATGCGAACAGTTGTGGGTCGTCTTGTAGGAGAATCAGACCGAGTGATACGGAATCTTGTGGAAGGATGGGAAGAAGAACGTCGTGTTGGTAGACTGGTGAGCTTCTCAAAGCTTTGATTGAGATTTTGAGCTCATCTCCAGATATCTGATACGAGACAATCACAATTCCAAATATTATCCAACCCAACCCTCTTACCACCTCTCTTCTCAACTTTATCAAATCCTTCAGCTCCACAACTTTCTTTAGCAGCATTAGCAACTTCCACCACTTCTCATCTCCCGAATCTTCAGTCGGCACAACATCTCCTCCAATCATATGCGCCTGGGGCAAAAAGACCTCAAGGTCAAAGCTCCACACCGGTTTCTCAGGCTCCAGTTGAAGAAGACCTCGGACCGGATCCTAAAGATGTTGATCGGATATTGGGCGAGCTGGTGGCTTTGGGTGGAAGATGGGCTATGTTCAAGCGTTTTGTGTGGGATAGAGTTGTGGTGAGTTTCATGCGGCATGTTTCTGCTCCTTTACTTCCATTTAGTCCTGATGTCTCATCTGCACTTTAAGCTGACATCTCAGGATCAAGATGATATTCTAGACAAGCAGGTGGAACACTCACCTGAACCCAGCGAGGAGGACAAGGAAGCGGACGAGAAGAAAATGGATGATATGGAAATTGTCGAACAATCAGGAAGTCAAAAAGCGATCGAGAATCTCTTAAAGGTGTATTATGAACCTTTGGAGATTTGGTTCCTCCGTACCTCCATTGAAAAGGTCTGTCAACCAACTGTAACATAACCTCATCCTCGTCGCATGTCCCATTAACCACAAGCAAGGTCAGTAGGAAGATAGATAGCTTATATCCAGGCCCATCGGCTGGAAACTCCTGACTTATCGACTCGCCCTCACCTCTCTTCTATCCTTGATGACACTTTTTATCTCCTCAAGTTAATCTTAAATCGGGTTCTGTCATGTGGTTCTTTGTCTTCACTTCGTGTGATGCGTCATAAAATAGGGGAGGTGATTGAGAAAGACTACATTGGTGTACTGAGGAGAAAGATGGATGGGGTATATGCTCTACCTCATGCGACGGGGGTGGAGAGGGAGAAGAGGGAGCGGGATCAGAAGATCGCTTTTATAGTGGGTAATTGTGACAACTCTACCTCGTTCTCTAGCTTCATCGCTCTGCTCAGCTTCTTCTCTCATTCTCGATCAGACGCCATCACCCATCTGTGTTTTTCCTCGCGCACAAGTGTCTCCACTGTCATTTTCTATGACATTGGGTACATGACCCGTAAAAGGCGTCACGGCGGGCAAGAAACTTCACTGACAATCAGATATGGCTCAACGACCTGGATACTTCCGCAGACTACGTCGAACGGCTGGTGGATGAATTGAGAAGATCTCTACCTCAAATATTCTTACCAGCTCAGGAAAAAGACGTTTTAGGTGAATTAGACGTAATTGCAGAACTTGCAGGACGTTTCAGAGCTTCTTGTCGGGTGAGTTTTAAAGTTATTTGTTTCCATTCACATGCCCATATACCCTGCAGTCGATCAAATTCACCTTGAGTGAACATTCACGATATTTTACTCTTCTCCTTCGAGTCGCATCGTACCTCCACTGCGATGTCTGAGGTTGTTGGTTTCTAAAGAGGTGGATAGTAGGTGGATAGTAGAGTTAACGTCAGTCCGGTCTCGAACAATTATTCAACCAACTCACTAGACCTAAACTTCGTAGTGTACTGGACGAATGTTATAAAGACGTTTCGTATCTTTTGGACGATGATGGATTTGCCGAAGCGGAAGAAATGGATTTGGTAAGGAAACGTTTTATACGTGTTTGGGAGGGTTTAGTAGATGGTTATCGGGTGAGTCATATTCACCATATATTCATCTTTCCTCATGGTCTCTCCTTTATTCTTTTCTCCCAGTCATTAATTTTTTTCCTTTTAGGCGAAAGGGGGAGTGATAAACTTGACCATTTGAATTTTTCACTGATCACCAGGAAACATTCACAGACCATAATTACCAAGCTTTCTTCAGTATGACCCTCGAAATCCTCGTACGTCCTTGGGAAAAGTTGATAATGAATATGAAATATACAGAAGTGAGAATCTTGTCATCCTCATCTTATTAATCTTCGCTGACGTATAGCTCGGCGCTATTCGATACGATAAAGATATCCGATCTGTTGTTAATTTCCTTTCTACTCAAACATCTTTCGGAGGAGTAAGAGAGAAATTTAATAGGTTACAACAGATCGGAACTGTTTTAAACATTGACGCCGAGGAAGATCCAGAGGAGTTTTATAGTAATTCAGGGATTAGCTGGAGGCTCAGTAAAGTTGAATATGATACTGTTTTAGGATTAAGACAATAGAAGTGAGTGATATTTGGTCAGGAAATCATATTTCATAGTCAAATTGAATATGTATTCGCATCATGCATGGATCTAACATTGGTCTGTAACTTCATCTATCATGTATCATGTATCTAGCAGCAATTCATATCCTCATTTCTCGTTCTCTTCATTGCTCTGATTTCTATGAAGGAAGACGAGACACCGAGTTTAGAGGAATCAACCTTTCAAGGAAGAAAGCAGAAAAGTGAAAGTATGTCTACTTAAAGATGGATATCTGAAAGACCTTGAAATAGTTAACAGCTACTTTGCAATCAAACGAGAGTGAATAGTTGGCATAATCATGAAGGTTGATCAAATCCCCAAGTAATTGATAAAGCCATCCACCAAGCTTTATCATCCGCTCTGGCCCATCTACCACTCAACGATTTAATTTCTTCTTCTCCTAATCCTCTACCTGGTGATCGAGAAGCTACAATCCTCAATTGTTCGTATAAATGATGAGTATTATGAAACAAAACTCTCAACATGTGTCTACCCACTTTGACCGATTCTTCTTCTTCCATCATTTCTTCCATTTCTTCCTCTCCATCTCCATCTCCAACTCCTTCCACTCCCTCATCTCCACCTACTTCATCAGAGTCTATATGGGTTGGATCATTTCTTAACAATGGAACATTTTCTCCTATTTCCTGAGCATCTTCTTCACCTTCATCAAGTCTGACAGGTCTGACGAGATTTAAAGCTAACGCGTAATCACATACACCTCTACAGACGGTCCAAAGACCAGAGACTACGTCGTAGAAAACTAACCACCATCTTCGTTTGTTCACACCCACGTCTAAGGCTGTTGTGAGGTTTTGGGAGAGACCAGGAGGGGATAAAAGGGATTTATAGAGTGGTACATCGGAGAAAGAGTAGGTGATCTCAGTTGGGATATTAGGAGAAGTGAGAGAGGAGAAAATACGTGGGTCGGAAAATGTTTCTTCGTCAGTAAGAAAAGGAGGAGAAAGGGAAGGGATCACGGGACGGAGATGTAGTGGGGAAAGATCGAGGAAGAGGTCGTAAGAATTGGGATGAGAACGATAGATTGCATCGGATGTTGCTATGTGTCAGTCTACCATCTAACGGGAAGGCATATACCGCGATGTCCCGATTTGAAGGTGAGGAGGAATATTTGTGAATTTGGGCGATTAAAAACTTAGGTTGAGGAATTAGATGGTTGCAAGGCACAGAGTACCGAAAGGGTTGGATTTAGGGTGGGAAGCTTACTAGCAATCCAGCCGTCTTTACGAGAAGTCACACTAGTGAGATCCATCAATCCTATATGACCTATCCAGGTGGAGCTTTTCACTTCTGCTTGTGGAGGTGGAAGGGACATGGCCCATATACACCACGCGAAAGCACTCAAGGGGAGTAAGGGTGGGGGTGAGTAGAGTAACTGCAATTAGTACCAACATCTTCTTGACACATCGAACAAACTCGTTACCGTCCCCGTACCAGCACATTTGCACTTTCTTTTGGAATTGTCAAAGTGGCAGCTCGGTCGTACTTTTACTTCCTCCCAGCAGTGGTGTATTACGGAGAGAAAGACACTCAAGAACGAAAAGAAGGAGAGGAGAGGAGAGGAGAGGAGAGGAGAGGAGAGGAGAGGAGAGGAGAGGAGAGGAGAGGAGAGGAGAGGAGAGGAGAGGAGAGGAGAGGAGAGGAGAGGAGAGGAGAGGAGAGGAGAGGAGAGGAGAGGAGAGGAGGGAGGAAACAACACCCACTATCCGTCTTCCAGCTAATGCCGCTTTATACACAGTTATCACGCTCGGTCCTAAAGAAGCTACCACAGCGCTCATATAAGCCACAGGATGTCTAGCCGAAGCTCCTTTCTACATCTCAGCTTTGACCATTATAATTTCTAAGAAAGCTCACATGTTGTTTACTGACTATCTGTCTGACCCTTTCCACAGCTTCGTTTCCCGCTATCTCCCACGAAGGGGATTGACCAAGGTCTGGAGTGGTAGATGAAGATGGTAGACTGTCCCAAATTTCATCCAATATCTTCGGAGCGTTTTGTAAGAAATCTTCAGACTCGAGATGATCATAGATTTTCTGGAGGGTTTCAGGAAGAGAGAAGGTATCTTCCGGAGTACTTGGTGGTGCTGTTGATCAGCAAGAAGCGAAGGATGTTCGTATAGAGGGTCAGAAGTCACCATGAGGGAAATCAGAAAGAAGAGAATGTGATTCAATGTCGAATATGATGTTCTTACAGGAGGAGATAACAGATTGAGAAGCTATATACGGGTACAAGGAAGATCTTCTCAAAAAATGATAACGGCCAGAAAAGAAAAAGCAAAAAGCAAAAAGCAAAAAGCAAAAAGCAAAAACCAGATGGAAAGCGCATTTGGGTATTTGGGTATTTGGGCATTTGGGATAAACTAAAGGTGGATATGGGTTTTTGTGGGAAGAGGAGGGGAGTTAAAACAACTGACAAAGAACAACACCTAAAGTAGCCATCCTCCTTCCTCTACCCACTTGACCAGAAACAGAAGAAGTATCTCTACTTCTGAACAAACCCACAGATGGTAAGTTATGATGAGAGAAAAAAACTACATCTTCTGAAGTTGTATGTAAACCGGATGGTAAAGAAGAATGTTCTATATTATCTGAAGATACTGAGAATCAGTATGATCAATGTCTAGTCCCAAACTGTGAAGCCCACTCCACTCTGAACATACAGAAAGGGTCCATGGGACATTGACAGACTGAGTTAGGTTGATTCCACCCCAGGATGAGAGAGAGGAGAGATACAGGGGAATGATTGATACGAGAAAGAATGGTGAGAGTAAGAGAGGAGATACAATTTGAATGATGAGGAAGAAAAGAGGAAAAGGAATGAGAGGAATGTTGGGTTTGAAGTTAGGAAGAAGACTCACGATTAGGAAATGAAGATTTGTAGTAAATCACACTTTGCCCTTTGATATCGTCAAAATGAGTCAAGAATAACGCTGATAATGGAGGTAAGTCATAGAGTTTCCCAACTTCCCTCTGACTCATGTTGTTCCTCTCCACACTTAGCTTATAGTAGAAGGAGAAAGGTTGAGTGAATGGTGTCTGCAAGAGAGCGATTGATTGTATGCAAGACCGGTTAGTGATTTTGTGCCAGATCGATGACGCGTGGCAAAGGTGGCGAAACAGGGCAATATCATTCATACCAAGGGAAGAATTCCCAAGATCGTACTGAAAAACGTCAAAACGTCCGGCGTGGAGTCACTACGGCATACATCAGGATAAGAGGATAAAAGGATGATCGAGACGTGATAGATGAGTGTGAGGTAGGGACATGGATGAGGGTGAGGGTGAGGGGGGGTGTATAAAGTGAGAGATGGTCGTGAGAGGTCGTCAAAACTACATAACGTGAAACTAAAAAGAGCGTGAGAGATCGTATGATCGTTGATTGTCATAAATATATAAAATCAGATGTAATATCTTCTTCTGGAAGAACGCATTCTCCATCCTCTGTCTTATCAGCGCTGTACTACGACAACTGACCAGCGCAACCGGGGGGGTCCTTGTCCCAAAAGGAGATGAGATTCAGAGCCGGTATGGACGAGTGATCGAGAAGGTACCACAAAATCTTTACGTTGAAGATAACGGTGACAGTCAAGGGGAAACAAAGGGACCAGGGTGTGGATTCAAGAACAAGTACGAGATGGTGAATGTATTATCAACTCACAACGTCGCTCGTTGTCCATATCGAATGTCCATAATTACCCTATAAACAGCCACAGCCAACATTTCAATCCAATCCAAAACCAAAAATAATAAACAGATAATATCATTAACGACTCTGCCCGGTATGGTATTTGGTTCTCTTTCATTTTCCAACTTTTCATATCTCTCTTGTATTTCTTTCTTCGAACTTGGACTGAAATGTAATTTAGCTTGAGAACGTGATATAGAAACTTGTAAAGCTTGAAGATTATGAATAGTATGAAGAGTTTGAATTGAACTACTTCTTCTATGTGCCAATGCTAAACTTGGACGAGTAGTTAATGTTGGTGTAGGTGTTGGAGATCTTGAACGTGAAGGTGAACGTGAAAGAGAAGGTTCGACAGAACTTAATGAAGTTGTTGATAAATCATCTGGATATTCGTTACCTTCCCAAGGATCCGAAGGAGTTTGCCAATTTTTAACTATTGATTTGAGATTCGTTAATCCTGCAGGTGTACTTTGACTAGTACGTATTGGAATATCTTGATCCGCCCATCTTATCTTTCGCATTCTGACAGCTTCACTCAATAAAGCGTACGCTCGATGATCTAAACCTGGTTCACGGAGAGATCCTTTAGGTAAGATAGGAACTGAAGAGTCTGTTTGACCAAACATTATACTTGGTGCTAATGCCAATGCCAAGCTTGATAATGCGGCAGAAACATTAGGAGGAAGAGGTTGTGGATCTTCAAAATCATCTTCTTCAGATCCTTGTTCAGTACGAGAACGTTCGTCGAAAGATCGTATTGCCCATTCATCCCCAAAGTCACTACCCAATTCTGATCCAAGAGTTCGAGAAGGTGCGCGATTGAGTGAAATATTCGACATGTAGGCTCTCATAGCCATGAGGGACGTCATGGGTGGTAAAGGATGAGGAGAGGGGGTGGGTGACATACCGAATAGACCTTGAGAAACAGTTGAAGTATCGGAATGTTGAGGAGAGGGATAAGGTGAAGGAGAACGTTTATGAGAATGATTGGAACTTGGTATGACTTGAGAAGCCGTCGATGAAGAGGAAAAAGATGATTGTGGTGAATTAGGAGCTTGAAGAGTTACTCGAGGTGCTAATGGTGATAAAGGTTCAACGATAGGAGTTTGAGTAGGTTGATCAGGATCCAAGAAATTAGATTTACTAACTCTCCTTCGAATTTTTCGATCGGTGAGAGGTAATTGAAGATGATGAGCTTCTTGACGTGAAACTGAACTTGCTCGATGGACAGTAGCAACATCTGCTGAACCGACACTTGACGTCTCTTCATCCAAACGTGTCCGAAGACTGACAGAAGGGGAAGCTTCTGATCTTCTGGGACTGAGGATAGATCCATTTGATCGGACACTCAGATGTTCCATGACTTCACGCAGTTCATCTTCTGTATCTCCCTGAGAAGATGGTCGAGACGGTCCAGCACTAGCCGGGAATTCAGGAAAGGCGGTGGTTCCCCAACCGAATCGGTCGATTTCATTTTCCACTTCATCTTCCTCGGTCGTCTTTGGCTGTGGAACTTTGGTTCTCGATCTGTCGTTGTGGGATACTGACCTACCCCAGGATTCTTGTGAAACCTCTGTTCTGGGTTTTGGACGATCGCGAGGAGTTCCGTACCCCATAACGTGGTCTTCACGAGACATGAGAGCTTCAGCCCTGTCGTATTCCCTTTGCAGCTTTTCGAAATCTTTCCTCAATCTTGCAGCGAGTTTTCGTTGAGCTTCTTCACTTTCCCTTGCTTCCGTAAGTGCGTGTTCCATAGCTGCCAAACGTTCCTCGTTCTCCTGCAGTTGTATAGCAGCAAAATCCACTCGATCGGGACTAGGACCGGGTGTATCGAACATCTTGGGTCGGTGACGTTGGTTATGAAACGGGAATGGCATGGAAGTATCGGAAGATCGAACTGTACGAAAGAACCGATTTTCAGGATTGGGAGTGGGAATGGGGACATCATAGGTAGGTCGGGATCGTGAAGAGCGTTGAGATTGAGTGGATGGTGGGAACTCTTGGTTTGAAGCGGAGGGTCGAATATGTGGGGGAGCAGGGGATCCTTGAAAACTATTAGATCTCGATAAACCTTCCCGACTCTTGCGAGCCGACATGAGTTCACCCAATCCGGGTAATGATGCACGGAGAGAGGGAGGTAAACCAGCGACCAGTTGTTCATGTCGACGTAAAACTTGATCCGCCACCCGAGCAGCCATCAGTAATTCTTTTGCAATCAGCTGTGATTGATCGACAGAAAAGATAAACCTACCATTATCTCTTCGCTTTAGAAGACGTTTGGCTTCACTCAACTTTGCCTTGATTTCATCCTCCGTCAAGCCGATCTCACTGGAAGGTGTTCCTGGTTCAGTGTCGAATCCAAACTCCATATCTAAACCTAACGCCTTTGCAGCGTCTGTAGCTCTTCTCATCCTGAGTCTTTCTTCCATGTTGTCCGCAGGTGTACCTTGTGCTCGTTCCCTTCCTTCTCTCTCTTCTCGTCTTGGTGTAGAATCGTGAGGAAGATCTTGACCATAAGGCGGCGGTGGAGAGGGTTGTGCGTCGCTACTGAGAGATGTTCTCAAAGAACTGGGAAGTCCCATACCCACTTGAGAAGGTCTCGAACGGACCGAATCGTTTCGCGTATCATGAAGTGGACTTGCATTCGGAAGATCAGGACTAGCGCTGACCCTCGCCAATTGAGATCGACTATGAGCGCTTCGAGCTCTTACATATGCCGCCAGAGGTGTTTCCGATGTTGAATTGACGGAAGATGTCGAAGGTAGGGTAGACATGTTGGTCGGAGGGTCGTATTGAGGACTATAAGTTGCGGGTTGCTTGTCTGGATTGTGGACGTGGGCAGTAGTTGGACGCCCAGAGTTTGAAAGGCGACGAGCACGAGAACCTGGAGGTCGAGGTCGACGAGTTGCGGGAGTGGGTGTAGCGTACATCATGAGCGATCTGATGATTGTTAGTCAAAATACACCCCCCGTGGGAGAAGAGGGTAATGTTGTGAATAATGATCGAGGGTCATATACTATCTCGAGAGAGGTTTATGATGTTCCGATTCCGGATGGAACAATTTGAAAGAACTCACCAATATCACCGGAAAGGGTTGCGAGGATACTTCAAGACGAATACGTCGAGTTTGTCCACTATGAAGTATACCTTGTTTCGTCTTGATAGGGATGAGATGTAGAGAGTAACATTGAGAAAGAGGATGGAAGCAGGAGGGTTGCGAGGTGTGTTGATTTGTTGTTGTTGTGGGGAGTTACTACCCTTCGGGTTCGACAAAGTGTCAGATGTCGGTATCGGGATGTATGTCGAATGCGGATCGAATTTCGTCCCTCTACCCTCGATTCGAAGATCTTGGTACCTAGTCTTGTTGACGATCGTTGTGCTATGTGCGGATACCCCCTTCTGTAAGATAGGTGAAGCGGAACGGGAAGATAATCGAATGTCAAATGTCGAAATCACACCCTCGGTATGTGCTATATTGCTATGTTGCTCGTGAATAGTAACGTGCGTGAGTGAAGATGAAGATGGAATCGTTCTTCACCGCGGGTGGAAAGAGTAATGTTGCCGTTTACCGTATGATGTGTGTTCTAAACCAAGGAACAAACATCCTTATCCGCGCTTCTGTCCCTTGTGTATCGGTGCTTGTGAATGGGTGATGACAACGTGAGGCCGAGGGCGACGGAAGACTTCGGGCTCCAACTTTGAATCCGAGGTTTGGACCATGTCGAAGGTCCATCCGATGGTCAAACATGTGTTCACGGGATTAGAAGAAATGCTCCTTTACTCCTTCCCTTGCCGCGGGGGTTGCGGGGAGGGGGAAAGTCACCGTGAGATGAGATGAGTGACGGGAAGGTGGGAGCATGGGCGGTGGACATTTGAGACACATTCTCTATCCATAGTAAGTAGTGAGACAGCACCCGCGGACGGGAGAAGGGAGGAGGAAGACTAATCGAGTCTCATGACACTGTATGAACTTGTTCAGCGCGTAGTGGGATCCGAGACAAACATCTCACCGCTTTTTTCTTCTTCTGACTGACTTGTTGATGGTGCGTGCTGACCATGCCCTTGTGAGGCCTCAGATAACTAAGCAAGTAAGGTAATTCGATATACATATCGAAAAAAACTCTGTACCTAACTTACACTAGGGGGTCGACCCGTGATTCGGCGGTGACATGTGGCAGTGTGGCGGTAACATCGTCCACGTGTTGCCATGTTGTTTCTGGGTCCGATTTGTATCATGTAGGCTATGCATGTCCTGTGTCAAATAATAAATCCGTTGTCGAAGTAGGTGTCACCTTTATCTCGCTAAATCTCACTCAGCTGATCACGCGATGTTCTTACGTGTCACATGAGTCAATTCATATCCCCTCCTTTCTTCCATCCCCCTTCCTCTCAACTTTACACGTATGAGAAGATTCCCGTCGTTAATGGAAGTTGACTTTGAATTATTGCCCATATTGGCCTTCAAGTTATTGTTATATCTCACTCAAACAGCTCACTTCATATTTTGCCCAACTGATATTACCTCTCATCCAGTAACATGACATCCACCAATGAAACTTCTGCACCCATCCTCCAAGCGGCATCGACGGTCCAAATAGACGAAGGTCAAAAGACAGCAACTTTCATGGTCACTCTTGAAGTATTGAATCCCACCAATGCTCTTCATGACTATGTGGAAGAAATCAGGGCGGATCTTGATGCCTCAATCCATGTGTTTGAAACTTCGCTTCCTTATTTCAAGACGGGCAATAAGCTTACCTTTGCCGGTCTCACCAAGACGCGTCAAGATTGGAACGACATTGTCGAAGTCGATGCACGTATGACTGCAAATAATTGGACGCAGAAGATAGAGTATGTCACTTGCGCTTCGTACAGAGACGAAGAAGCTGTCGACCTGCTATCCGAAGCTATTCATGTCGAAGATCCCGCAAACTTCAGCCGATCCTTTTCCAAAACGTACATGATCGAGAAGTTCCCTTTTGCTGAGAATGTCGATCCGTCCCAAGCGGAAACTGCTCGACTTCGGTTGGCATACCTTCAGACGAGAAGTGTTTCTGCCAGAGAACTCGACTTTGACTTAAGGAGTGGTTACACCCTGCGAGGTGAGTACGAGAATGGTGTGCTGACCAACGTCAAAAAAATCTCGATCGACTAGAGTCAAGATTGATCAGATTCTTTGGAAAGATCGTAGGGGCTGTGACACGAGATTATTTGGGTGATCACGATGTGGGAAAGATACGGGGATCTTAGGGTCGGAAAGACATACACGATGCATGATCATGAATAACCTATCATGGGAAAGTAGGCATGCGGATCATGAGGTATCTCCCCACCGGCCTTCGGTATCCATTTTCCTGCTGTGTTCGGAGGAGGGACTGGAGGAAGTCCTTCTCCAGCACCCGTCTGTAACCCGGCTCCCACGTAAGCTTTCGGCAATTTGGTCAACACCTCGGACAGAGAAGGTACGGGAGTTGCAGCGACGGCTGTGGTGGGTTGTTCGGAGGAAGGTGCAATGGCAGATGCGTTCTCAGGAGTGGTTTCGACTTTGGTTTGGGGTGAAGGTAAGGCTTGTAAGCTTTCTGATGAAATTAAAAGAGTGGCTATGTGATTTTGGGTGATGACGGATGTTTGAGGATATGCTCGGCGTGACTACGAAATCAGCGCTATTTTCAATAAGCGAAAAAAGACCACTCACATCACGCTTGTAATACTGCATCTTGTCAGCTGCTTTGGAAGAAAAGAGGTATGGGAACACGCACGGGGTTGAAGGCAGGATCAGAGGCTTTAGTAGCTGGAGTTGCATATCGTTCCGGTCTAGATCCAGGTTGAGGGTATCGGTTAAGTTCAGGAATAGGTAGTCCGGAAGATATCTCGGGGTTGACTAAACGTTAGCTGATGAAAGACAGCAGCCCCGGAAGCTTACCAACTACGGCGTCTCTAAACTTCTTCCAAAAGCCCTGCCGCTCAGCTTGAGTAATCATACAACGAACTCTCTGGGACCACTCACGGTAGGCTGAACATGATACAAAGTATGGTCTGCACTCATGGGCTTGTTAGCAGCTTTGGCGGCATTCCTCAATATTGACGTCCCTCTCATGGTGGTGGAGGTGTGTACATAGGTGTTCTGTTCTCTGGGTGCGAGTAGGAGGGAGGGCGGGGAGAGAAGGTCGGAAATTCGCGGGATTATGGTGATGTGGCATGAGGAAAGTCCGTAACGGGGGGCCCCGATGCTCCGCTGGGCTGGTCGGAGCTTGATGCAGTCCTGCCTGTCGTCTCACACTACTTACCTCTCTGTCTCTCTCTCTCCATTCACCTCTCTCTTCTCTTCTCCGCCCTGGGTCACACCGCGTTATCAACGAGACTATCGGTAGAGCAAATACAGCCACTCAACAGCCAGAGCGACCTCAACCGTCCACCAGCTATCGTCAGCCGGTGTCATCCAAACGGCCATCCAACACTCTCGATTGATCCTCGCGGATAGCGGAATGTTCTCTTTCCACAACTCAGTCCGATATGCATTGATCTAACCGTCCTTCAACTTCCTCCCAACTATCCGTACTCCCCGATGCCTCCGACCCCCTCCCCGTCTCCCTCTAGAGTCCAATCAGTAACCAAGCATGTCCCATCCCCTTCCGCACAGCCCCCAAGGAGCTCCTCCCCACCCTTGCCACCCCGCAAGAATGCCCACGGACTCCCACCCCTCTATCTCACTCATCTCCGAGCTTTGCTTCATCAGTGGTTGTCGCAGCAAGAGGTCCCCCATGAAGGTCTTCCCGGACCAAAGGACCCCCAGCCACGTCTCTTATGGGAAGGTGCAAAACTAGTCGCTATTGAGAAAATCATTTGGGAGAGCATCATATTACCTCAACATGAGGATTCTTCCAGTCATAGAGGCTTGCTCGAATGTGACTGGGTGACATGGGCTGAAGGGGCTACAAAAAGATTGTCAAAATGGAAGGAGGAGCAAGATCGGAATCCGGTTCATCAAGTGAAGCAAGTCAAGGTGACGGGTGAGAGGAATGTCAAAGGGAAGTTATCCAGACGGAATACGGCTGAAGGTGATATGTCAGTAATGAGGGGTAGGAAACCGGCAACCGTCACGAATGCTCCTGGTTCCCCTAGCAGACCATCTACACGAGCTCCGTCTGTTGCTTCTGTCACTCCTGGAAGACGCAAGGCTGAAGACCTTCCTCCACCACCACCTCCTCCCCCACCGACTTCCATTCCTCTTCATAATAAACCCGAAGACGAGACGGATGAAGACGAGAGACAGCTACAGTGGAACACAGTGATGTCAGGACTGAAAGGCTTTCAGAAACTCGTACTGCCAAAGAAAGATGAGTGGGAGGTCGTCAATGGTGAGTTCTGTCAGACTCTGGTTATTCTCATATGCTAAACCATGAAGAAGAGTTCGAAGGTGTCACCGACGAACGAAGCTTGCCTGGAGGTTTCCCTCAAGGAGGTCACTACGATCCAAGAATGTCATTCAGTCGAGCGACAGCATCTCGTCGTCGGCTAAAGCGTCCTCCACCTCTCCCTTCATCCTCAACAGAGTCTCTTCCGCCTGTCCTGAAACCAGTTTTCTGTCTCCACTTTCCGGCACCTTCCATTCCCACATCCGAGCCCAGTCACAGGAATGTCAGTTCAAGCACGATCCGAATACGACGAGAGTCTTCTGTTGGCGCGGAATCTCGAGGTAGCGTCAATTCTATAAATGCTAAAGGTTGGTTTGGTAGCAGCTCCTTGTTAAGAAGGAGCGACATGACCGTGGGACCATCATTCGTCCCAGACGACGTAGACATGGAGTTAGTCGAGGGGCAGTTCATTCTTCCTCAGGTCGATCAAGTCACGGGCGTAGAGGTGAGAAGACGACCATCTACATCATCGCGTCGTCCGAAGAGAAGGAAAGACAGAGATAGCAGCTATGATAGTTCAGATGAACAGGGACAGGATGACGTGGAATTTGTTGACGATGCTTTGGACGATACCTCGTCTATCTGGTCCGGGACGCAGAGAGCCGATTCAAGATTCCATCAAGACGGTTCGTACACTGCTGTCATTGCTGGAGCACCGCTGGACGTCCCTGTGACGGAAGTCGAAAAGGGCGAGGTCGGCATTGTGGGCGGGACGATTGTGATACGAGGGATCACAAGGGAGGACGAAAGAGAAGCTCTACAGAATATTCTCTCTCTTCTTGTGAGTCGGTCGGCTCTTCATTGATCCCGCTGATTCCTTGACAGATATATACCATCCAAACAGTGCTGCTCGAACTCGAGCTGCTTGATGCGTTCCGCGTAGAGCGTCAACACGATGCAGCACCCATACCTCCAGCTCCACCTCCCAAAACGGATAATCATCAAAACGATGAATACGAGGTCCGACGATCCAATTCTGGGAAAGAACGCAAAGATGGTGCTCGGGCTTTCTTCCGTCGATTGGGAAAGGGAGAAATGTTCGGACATCTCCTCGGTCGACGACGTGGCTCGTCATCTGGAGATCAGCCCGGAAGTCCTCTCGTTGGTACCTTCCCTACTGCCTCACGCTCTGTCAGCGAATCTTTGCCTGTCGGTCTCAGAAACCTACCATTGACACCTTCCTCGGCCACCTCATCGCCTCTCCTTCATACTGCAAGCACGCGTCATATGCAGAATGCAACAGACCGATTTCTTCTGATATTGGAAAAGCTCGAAGCGATTCTACCGTCCACGACGCCTGGTCTGAGAGTTCCCATGCCTCCTCTACTACTGAGGATGAAAGAAGAACATCAAGTACGTGTGGATAAGGCCAAACAAGAGATACAGGACGAATGTCCCCCTTCTGATGGGTTACCTGCCGGACTGGGGTTGACACCGTTGGGAAAGCCCACTAAAGATATAGTCCGCGGACGAGCACTTGGGTATAGACTCGGTGGGGATGTTCGAGCGGGTCTTCAAGCTCTTACTCCTCGTCTGGAAACGTTTGATGGATGGGCAAGGTTACAAAGATTGGAGGTGATCTCATGCGTGGGTGTAGAGGAGCCAGCACCTACATCGACCACCTATATCACATGCCATAGACCGAAGCTCCTATCAATCCCCTTCTTCGATCAGGAGAAGGATCAAACGCTTGTGGAATTTGTAAAGAGCGTGGAGGGGACTGACGACGAGATGCTCGGTTGTTCGAGGGCGGGCTGCGAAGTGTTGGCGCGAGATCATCTAAGATGGTGGATTCATGCGGAGAAAAAGGTGATCATGCGGACCGAGCGATCTGCTATCGAGGGAGAGGATATCGTGGACGCTTGGGTTGAATGTCGGAAATGCGGAAAGGGGAGTCTGCCAAGAAATTTGGGCAAGCTTGCGTTGTGAGTAATTCATTTGTTTGCAGGATATCGCTTACTCCCAGATCCTTTTCATGGGCAAAATTTCTAGAACTGTAAGTTGCGATTCATGGTGACTCTCGGCTGATATGTAGGGTGATATATACGGACATCCTCATCCCAACCAATCTCTGCGCACATAAAAACAGTGGCGATCTCGTGCGGTGTATCAGATCTTCGGCCGTCACGCTTCGCTTTTCGGTGGAGAATATCTCGATACTAGATACTCGACTTCCGAAATTACAAGTTGGTCCTAATGTGGCCAAACGGAAAGCGGGCAAGGAGGCTGTCGATGCTGCGGTGGACGGTCTGATGCGGCAGGAGACAAGGGAGGAGCAGATTGATGGTATACGCAACGATGTGGACAAATCTTTTCGTGGTTTCGAGCAGAGAGTAGACCAATTGGTGGGTATATGCCAAGCCGAGCAGCTAGCCTTCAGCTGATGAGAGTAGAGAAAGATTGCGTCCCCAGAAGACAACATCTCTGAGAAAGAGCAGACCGATCTGACTAAATCTGAGCTGCAAAAGATTGACGAGGCCGTCAAAATACGCCGAGCTGCGGTGATTGAGCTTGATATATTGAGGGAAGAGGCCATTCGAGTCGAGAAGGGTCTGAAGGATACAATCTCCTCGAGTCAGGCATTACGCCTCAATGACATTCGCCGTCAATTTTCGTCACAAATGAATGTCTTGAGTGCAAAACTTGACACGTGGCGAAAGAAGAACAAGATTGATAGCCCTCCTGGTACACCTCTTTGGCGCCCGGAATATGCTGCTGAGAAAGTACATGCTCTACCCGGGAGCTCCATCCTTATCCGAGAAGACGAACCTAGCTCAGTCATCGCCTACACTCTCTCGTAAGTAACCCATTTGTAAAGTTGTTTAACGACTCATTGGCAGTTCCGTTCATTACTTTAACGAACTCGCAGCAAGTGGTAAAGCTGTCTCTGACGATGTTCCCAACACTTCAAGCAAAGTCACCGACATTGGCATCACCGCCGATCCACCTGGTGAAAGTTGGGTCATCGAAGTCAAACGTCGTGATAGTCCTCGAGACTTGTTGAGTCTCCGTGCCATATCCAAGAAGAAATCCGAAATTTCCGTCGTCAGCGCCGCAGGAAGATTACCCATGACACTCAGTCCCAGTGCTCCCGCAGTGGCATTATCACATGAACAAGGTAAAGGTGAACATAAACAAGGTGAAAATTTGACGGATTTCGTTAAAAGTATCAGTAAAGCCACGGCCCAAGATCCAATCTTGACTATGAAAGCTAGATCACCTTCCATGTCAGAATCAGACAAACCTCCAATCGTCGTTCCTATTTCAGTATCTCCTTCTACCGAAATTGTCTCAACACCGACATCTACAATCACTTCGAATCGAGCATCTCCTCGTTCTCCTTCTCACCTTTCACGTCGAACTCTTGAATCAGGATCCAATGCACCTCCTTCTGCTTTTCGACCAACTCGTGTAGTCTCCCCCTCTCTAACTACTCCTATCACACCAAACACACCTTCATCCTCTAAAGACGGTTGGTCATCAGTCACATCTTCGTTTTCCAACTCTTTCAATCAATTACTCAAATTAGGTACTGGTGCGGCGGAATCAATAGGATCTCTCAAAGTTCCAATGAGAGGTGCAGATCGATCTCTTTCGTCTTTGATAGGACCATTAAGTATGATGAGTAATATGGATAATTCGTTGAATCATTTTGATGATAGACCTCATATTCAATTCACTTACACTTTGGGGGATAAATTGAAATTGGGATGTACGGTGTATTACGCTACTGCGTTCGATTCTTTAAGAAGGAGATGTGCCATTGATAAAAGTATCATTATGAGTTTAGCTAGGAGTGAAACTTGGCAAGCTGAAGGAGGGAAGAGTAAAGCTTGTTTTTTCAAGACTAAAGATGGGAGGTATATAGTGAAGGAATTGGTCAGTAAATGGAATGTGAGCGATACGTGAGTTATTGTCTTGGTTTATCACTCCATTGATTAATTACCCCTTCACCAAAAAGTGCTCGACCACCTTCTTGGATGATCATGGTCCCCCATCACGTTGTTGTATTATAAACACCTGCTTTATGCTGACTTCAAAGACAAGCCCTATTAGAGATCGGCCCGGCGTATTTTGAACATCTTGCTTCGACTCATAACAAAGCAACTTCCCTCGCTAAGATCGTTGGGTTTTATACCGGTGCGTTCCCCTCTCCATCCGCTGAGAATTTGTTGACCGGGTAGTTCGTATACATGATCTGCAAAACTCCACAAAACGATCACTAGATCTTCTGGTAATGGAAAACCTATTTTACAAACAGACGGTGGAAAGGACGTATGATTTAAAAGGTATTGGTACGTATCTCATCACTGGCTGTGTGAGGTTGGAATGGCACGAAATTATATGAGGGTAATAGTCAGGATGTACACGAGGAGATTTGGCACGCAGAATAAGGATATCGAGCTGATATGAAAGAAGGACGTAAAATCCCAAAAACCGCTCAAGGAGGAGGGACGTTATTCGACGGGGAATGGTTGGAAGCACAACAACGAAATCCAATTTTGGTTTATCCTCGTGAGTTTCGGTTTACCTCTTTCACTTGTGAATTCTCACTTTCCAAATCATCCCCGTCCATCATGTGACAACTCACCATACAATCCTACCTTATGTGCCTCCTCAATATCTCGCAATAATCCATTTCGTGTGATCCTCAAAGACCTCCCTTTACATACTTACTCTCGTTCCTTGCAAACATGGAAAGTAGATACTGATACATAGATTCAAAACGCGCTTTACTCGAGGCGATCTCAACAGACACACGATTTCTTTCAAGTCAAAGTATCATGGATTATTCTCTTCTATTAGGATTAGACAAAAAGAAATCAGAATTAGTGGTGGGGTTGGTAGATGCCATCGGGTCATATAGTCTTTTCAAAACTATTGAAAGTCGGAGTAAACAAGCTTTGAATAGAGGTGGTGAAGTGACGATTGTGAGTTTATTCGATAATTTTCTTCCCATACTTTCTCCATTTTTATAGCATTTTACAGATAGCCATTTTTGCCTTGATCACACCAATCTCGTTCTCATTTCGATCATAATTATCAACTTGGTAATTATACCTCATCTCAACCGATATTTGGTCATCACCAGAACACGATATAGCGGACATATCAAGGTATCATAGGGACGACGCAGTTTGATGATGAAATTGATGATAGATTCCCCCTGATCAATATCGCGAAAGGTTCGAAACTGCACTTCGAGGATACTTCTTGGTGAGTACTTCTTACCTCCTCTTGTCCTCCTAGATTCAGTTGCAAATAACTCGGAAAGTCCGACCACTAGGTCATGGCTTAAGACGAGGTAATAACATGAAGGGAGAGAAAGATTGGAATGCTTACAATAGGCATGTCCGGATAAATGGAGTCGATCACGTTTTCCGGCTCCTTCTACACTTCCTTCTATTCTTTAAACGTGGAAAACTCAAGTGCTTGTTCCACCCTGCATTTCTACTCTCAGGTCCTTCTTCCCTTTTCCCTCCTTTGCCTGAGATATGCGACGAGTAAGAGTGCTGTATGACATCACGATCACATGAGAAAAAATATGAATACGTTGCATAATGTTTCAAGAGTGACATGAATACAATTTCTCATTTCTCTGCTTCTCCCACATGTCCTTTACTCCCCCACCTCAACACAATCAACTTCTGATTCAACACCCCTCTCGACCTCCCAATTCATCTTCAGTAACACTTATGAATTCACATATGACCCGTCATTTATACATCCGACCGGTTTTCCAAGCTGATCACCCCTCCGCAACCTCTCTAATGAACTTCTCCCATCTATTGATAATCTCAACCACAGTCTCATAAGCTTCTCTACCTCCACCAGGTTTAATCCCTTCTAGAGGAACATCGATCTCTAAAGGAAGTGGGAAAACCTCTCGATGTAATTTCCCACAATCATTACATTTCTCACGTACCATTTCGAATTCTTTAGGACGAGAAACAAAACTTAATTCTGAAAGTTCTAAATGAACTAATTTTTCCCATCTTTTCATAGCTGGACAACGTGGACGAGAATCAATTGTGGAACCTGATGAAATTGCACCGGGGAGGTATGAACTATCTCTACGAGAAAGTTGAGAGTCGTCTATTTGTGTTCGAGGAGGTCGACGTGGGAAGATTTCTCTAAGTGTCGGTTTATGGGATTGACATTCTGATAAGATCAATCTTGATTTTCTTAATGTATATGTCCTTTTGACTTGAAACGTTGATTAGAACTCTTTTTTTCCGGGATTGGGGGGTTTGAGAGAGGTTGGGATATGGATATGAAAAAAGATGAATGGATCATTTATGGAGAAGAAGGAAGACTGACGATTTGTCCATTCTCCAATCCTACGAGGAACGTTATCCGTACGACCTACTTTGAAAAAACAAGTATTGGGTGATTGAAGATCTTCCTGTGAGTCAATGTATCCATATGAAATTGGGTGGGACATACCACGTAATTCGTATACATATAGAAAACCTGGTGTTTCCTTTTAGGAATTCAGTCGTCGAGTTTTTTTATTTGAATGTGGTGAAAAACTCACTTTCTCCGTCAATCGACTTTCCATAGTTGTTCGGAGCAACGTTTGAGTTTGCTGCCCTAGTTCTTTAGGTACGTAATCTGACATCATTAGCTTTGTACCCGGATTGGCAAGCTATCATATTGTTACAAGATGAGATGTTGTCAATTTCAGCGAAGTGAATGGGAAAGTTGGGCGCACGGGGAAGATTCGAAGGAGGATCACATTTCTACGAGATGAGATGTTGTCATATGTAGTGAAGTGAGAAGGAGATGTTGAAGAGAATGGAAAAATCCAATACCACGAACCATCAAATTTGACCCAAGTACCTTTACCCTTGATGTAAAACCCTTCTACCTGACATATCATCCCCGCATGATCCTTACAATACCTGACCTCACCTTCTGTATCTTCCCCAGGACTAGACCCACTTGTATCTTTCATAGACAAGTAAGGCGCTTGAACTTTGACTAATCTCTTACATGGATGACCTGCACGTGTGTAGCCAGCACATTTGATTGCCCCTCCAGCCGGTGAGGGAGAGGCCCTGGCAGAACTTGGAGCTGGGGATCTGGCTGGTGTGTCGGGAATGGAACCAATCTGATCTGTCCCCCTTCGTCGACGTGGAGCAGAACGAGGAGTGACCGATTTGATCTTTCCTGACGAAGTAGATGAGATGGATGATGGCGATGAAGGAGAACCAGGGGGAGAGTAGGTTAGATCTATGATTGATTCTGAAGGTGATTTGGGTTTTCTGGTCCTAGGGGTAGATTTGACCCCTTTGCGAGGAGGAGGGGACTTTGATACACCTGGGGAGGCGGAATGTCTGTTTGAGACTGCCTTGGCATGTGATTGAGTCTTGTCCAGAGAATTTGCAGGCGATTGAATTCTAGGTGTTGAAGGATCAGATACAGAAACTCTGTTCTCGACTTGAGCAAGTGGTCGTGAGGAGGCAGAGACGGTTTGTTGTGAGGGTCGACGAGGGACAGTAGGTGGTTCTGACAACACAGACAGAATGGCCGGTCGGAGTGCAGGAGCAGTACCTCTGATAGGCATTGCTGATGAATGAAGGTCAGGAGCGGAAGTGGAGGCAGGTGGAAGTTCAATCCTTGGAGGTTGAGGTAGAGGAGGAAGTGTCTTGTCAGGTTCGGTAGGTACCAAAGGGCTAGACTTGCGATGTTTCCCACTTAAATCAAGAGAAGTTCTGAAAGAGTTCAAAAGATCCCATCCTCTTGTCTTTCTCGTAGGGCTTGGAGGTCTTTCAGGAGCATTGAAGGACTCGTCTGTTGTCTGAGCAGGGGTCGAGTGGTGGAAGGTAGGGAATATGGAGGGCGGCATGGCGGGTTTGTGACCTGGATACGAGTTGTATGTTCTTGCTGGTGGATGAACTGGACGAGGTGGTGGCGGCGGCGGAGGAAGAAGAGGAGGAGTGTAGTATACTGTTTGAGGGTAGAAATAGTTTGTTGAGGGTGGATAAGGGTAGGCAGGAGGGGAGGCATATTGACCGTAACCTTGCACAGGGGGTTGGGAGTAGGTGTGGTAACCTTGAAAGGGAACATGATTCATCGTTCCGAGGTGAGTAGTACGTTGATTATGTTGTGGTTGTCTCTCGAGGTGTGTGAGTGAAATGTATGTACCTACTGTACAAGTATGATGAGGCTGTGTGCTCGTCGTCGTTGACACGAGGCTGGTCGTCGTCATCCTACAAGGTTATTTTCTGTGGAAAATCAGTCGCGTTCAGTTGAGTTGTTTTTTGAATGATCCCCCCATTTTACAAAGTCAACCAAAGTCACTCTAACTCAACCCCGTTCCAAGCTCGCCACCATATACATTCCATCTCTTAATCTTACCTACAAAAGGGTATCACCACAAGTCAAGTCGGGTAACATCTCAGCTGTTGTACCTCCCATTGACGAGAGCCCACGACATAATGTCCGCGGATCTCTCTCTTCTTTCTAATACCCTCGCTTCCACAGTCTCCCCTTCCGCCCCTATACGTCGTGCAGCAGAAGAGCAGCTCCGACAAGCAGAAGCGCAACCCGGATTCCTGCTTCTTGTTCTGGAACTGGTAAAGAGCGATGGGGTAGATATGACTATTCGTCAAGCTGGTGGTGTTTTGTTTAAAAATGTCGTCAAGAGGCTTTGGGGAGGTGAAGAGGTGAGTCGGACTATATACGATTTGTAGGTTTGGGCTGACGAAGGTCCAGGATACTACCATTAGTACGGAGGACAAAGCAGCTATCAAAACACAACTTGTACCTATCATGATATCTCTCGGTACTCCTGCAACAGCCAGACTACAGAGTCAAATAGGGGAAGGATTATCTACTATAGCAACTCTTGACTTTCCAGAACAGTGGCAGGGTCTCGTCGATGTGGGCCTGATTACTCTTCTCAACGATCAGTGCTGATTGGTTTCCAGGAGCTTGTGGGAAGTCTGTCCCCGGACAATTTCGTCATCAATAATGGTGTCTTAGCCACTGCGCACTCCATCTTCAGAAGGTCAGCCGCGAACCTCTTTTGTTGGCGGCTAAGTTGACACTCAGATGGAGATCTCAATTTCGCACAGACAGACTCTACTCTGAAATCAACCTGGTCCTCAGTAAATTCTGTCAGCCATACTACGAACTGTTCAAACATGTCGACAGTCTGCTTTCCCAGCCTTCCACTTCACTTCCTGCCAACTCCTCTCTCCCTCTCCTGGCTCAATCACTGCTTCTTCTGGTTCAACTCTTTCACGATTTGTCAAGTCAAGATCTCCCTCCATTTTTCGAAGATCATCTAGGAGAGTTTATGGGCGATGAAGCACATGAGGGCTGGCTGCTGAAATACCTGTCTTGGGAACGACCGGAATTGAAGGGAGATGTGAGTAAGCTTTACTCTTGGTGATGCTAGCTAATCACGCAGGACGAGGATGAGGCTCCTGGTCCTTTACAAAAGATCCGGGCTGCCACTTGTGAGATAGCGGAGCTATTCGCCCAAAAATATCTGGAGGTGTTTCCCCAACTCGGCAGTTTTGTCAGTGCAGTGTGGAACATGTTAACCACTATTGGTCCTGGGACCCGAGAGGATGTGGTGAGTACCAAAATATTTGGATATGTTTGGTAAGATTGACCCGCAGTTGGTCTCAAGAGCTTTACGATTTCTCTCTGTCGTCGTACGATTGGGTAGTCACCGTGATATGTTTGCCAGCCCTGAGACTCTCCGCGCTTTCTGCGAGAAGATCATATTGCCCAATATGAGCATACGTCGTAAGTGCCCATGTGCCAATCAAATTATCGGCTGAGCTGACTTTTGAGAACATGAGGAAGAAATGTTTGAAGATGATCCTGTTGAGTATATCCGTAGGGACTTGGAACCTTCGACGGGTGAGTTGCTTGACTGGTAATTCCCCAACTGACACAGTAGAAAGCGATACGCGGCGACAAGCTGCCACTGACTTCACCCGTGCACTCATGGACAATTTCGAGAGGGAAGTGACGGATATCATCAAGCAATATATTGCTTCATTCCTACAGGTGAGTCAAATTGACCAGATTTGGGTGTAGTCGATTGACAGTTCAGGACTACGCCTCCAATCCCACCGAGAAGTGGAAGAGCAAAGACACTGCCATCTACTTGCTCACTTCCATCGCCTCGCGAGGGTCCACTCAACAGGTCAGTTCTGCTTCTTCTCGGCCTGACACAGCTCTGATAATGCCCAGCTCGGTGTCACGTCCGTCAACGTTCTTGTGGACGTCGTCGAATTCTTCGGTCAGAACGTCTTCGCCGATCTGCAAGCTGCTCCAAGCACTCAACATCCTATCCTCACCGTTGACGCCATCAAATTCCTTTACACTTTTCGCAACCAAGTAAGTCATCTAAGTTCAGCATCATGCGCAGAACTGACCTCCAAGCTCACCAAAGACCAACTTCTCTCTGTCATACCTCTCCTTATCCACCAACTGAATTCCGACAACTATGTCATCTTTTCCTACGCCGCCATCACCATCGAAAGAATCCTTTTCATTAAACAAGCCAGACAGACATTGTAGGTCATACAACGATCAGCCACACACAGCTTACCTGTCCAGATTTACACAGGCAGACATTCGGCCGTTTGCCGATAGCATACTCACAGCATTATTCACCAATATAGAGAGAGGAGGTACACCAGAAAAGATTGCAGAAAATGACTATCTCATGAAGTGTAAGATCCGGTCGTGAATGATGTCTCCGAACTGATTTTAGGCGTCATGCGCGTCATCATCACTGCTCGTCAGAGCCTCACGCCACATTACGAAATTATCCTCACACGCCTGGTCAACATCCTCGGTGAGATTAGCAAAAATCCCAGCAACCCCAACTTCAATCAGTACTGTTTCGAGAGTGTTTCTGCTCTGATACGGTAAGTCAAATGTCTTCTAGACGTGCTGGGCTGAGCTGACCATGCAGGTTCGTATGTGAAGGCACCCCTACTGCTCTCCCCACTTTTGAGAAAGCCCTCTTTGGTCCTGCCCAAATCATATTGACTCAGGATGTGGCAGGTGAGCTCTGCGTTCACGTGTGATCACACTGACGCCAGTAGAATTTATCCCTTATATTTTCCAGATACTCGCCCAACTCCTCGAGCTTCATCCACCTACAACATTACCGGATGAATACCAAGCACTTCTCACTCCTCTCCTCTCCGCCCAATTGTGGGAACAAAGGGGAAACATTCCTGCTCTGGTCCGACTTTGGAAAGCCCTCTTGATGCGAGGTGGTCCCGTCATCGTTGCTCAAGGACATGTTCAAGCATTGCTAGGCGTCTTCCAGAGACTTGTGGGCTCGAAATTCTATGATGTCTTCGCGTTCGAGCTTGTCGAAGCGCTCTACGAGTTTCTTCCCTTGTAAGTCCATTGGTCGGGTGATACATATCGGATTAACGTCGTAGCGATGTCATGAAAGCTCCTTCTCATACCATCTTCTTGCTCCTTCTACAACGGCTGCAAACAAAGCCTTCGACACAATTCAGCTACTCCTTCGTTACCTATGTATCATTGCTCTGGGTCCTCGATTCTGTCGGACCAGACTTCACAATCCAACTACTGGACAGCATTCAACCCGGGTGAGTTCCTTTGCATTGCAAGTCCCTATAGTCAGGCTGACCAGAACAGACTCTTCGGTAATCTAATCACCGGCGTCATCCTCTCAAACACTCAAAAATTGCCGATCAAGTCCCGCAAACTGGTCGAAACTGGTCTTACAAAACTCCTCACAAAGAGCGATGCTATTCTTACGCCTCCCAGTCAGCAATACTGGTCAGTAGATTCCATCTGATTGACGTTGAAAGGTCTGACTCTCTAGGTCCGCTATCTTGCTTGCTCTACTAGATCTCTTCACGTTACCTCAAGATATCACCTACAACGGTGTCTCTGAAGATCTCGACGGCTTGGATCCAGAGACAGCGGGATTCCAATCTTCTTTCTCCAAGCTTGGTGCTTCAGAGAGACAGACGCACGATCCTGTTGGTCATATCGTCGATACGAAAGCTTTTGCCAGTAAAGAACTGAGCCGGAGGAGTAAAGAGGTGCCAGGTGTGGTGAGTCTCATTTGGAAGGTCATGAGTCAAAACTGAGAGATAGTTGGGACCACTGATACAACAAGCGCAACAGGCAGAACCGCAGACGGTTCATGACTTTTTACAGTTTATGGCGGCTAACGGGTGAGTGATGCATGCTTGGCAGTGGACCAGGCTAACAAAGTTCAGTGATGTCGTGATTTGAATGTGTGAATGTATTGAGTTGACATTGACTTTCGGAATCCAGGATTTTGAGTCTCATAACCAATCTCACCTTCAAATGTCTTCACTCTCGATCTACGTGAATAGTAGCCACTGACTCTTTTCCCGATCAACGAGTCTCACACTCGGTCTCGCTCGACGGGAACATCATGATCAATCGGGCCCTTCTCTGACCCCCGGAGTAGATCACACAAGACCGTTGTTGGTATTCTCCTCTTGACTAAGACTGCTTTGACAAGCTTTCCATTCACCCTCCTTGATCCCAAAGTAGAAGGTCATTTCTCACTTGTATCATGTCAGTTTGAGTATCATAACACGCAGTCCTGATACGTTCACTCATTCATGATACACGTGTGTGATGGTGCCCCAAATCTCCGACTTGTCGTCTGAAAAGGAATCACTCACTCCTTTATCTACTATCTCACATCTGACGGTCAAGCCATTCATGTGGACCACGCCTTCGAATAACAACCCGTGTTTTGTCATATCACCTGACCGTTCTAGATCTGCTCGGAAAGTGCTTATATACTTGACTCGGCATTTCAATCTTATTCAACAACTCACTTGCTCAAGGAATCCCAATCACAAAGAACATCATGTCTGAATCCATTGATACCTTCGACTTTACCGAGATATATGAAGCTCGCGGACTCACTTCTTCCAACGCGAAGTCCCGCCTCACCACACAATTCCCCGAGACTTCCTCTTACTCTCCTTCACATTTGAACAACGAAGCTGACAGTGAAAGCGAAAATGACATCAAGGATATGAAACAGGACGACAATGTCAGCGACAACGCTCTCTACAACAACGACAAGAACATCGACGACGACGATGACGACACATCAGCTGGCTCTGGCTCATATATGAATCAATCTGATCAAGACAATGAACCTGAAGTTGGACATGAAGAAATGGAAGACTTTGAAGATCCGGAGGAATTAGAAAGGGCACTAGACACACCATCATCCTTCATCTCGGAAACTTCCTTTGAGAGGGAGGATGACAGCAGTCATGAATCTGCTGTTACAGGTGTCTACCGACGATCCGACTATGATAGCTACAAGTACAATAGCAATGATTTCAACAGTAGCAGCAGACCCCCGCCCCTTGATAACCTAATCCATCACCATCTTGATTCTCTTCGGGAAAAATTTGGCAATTACTTCGAATACACCAAACTAGCACCGGACCGAGACTATAGAGAAAGTCGCCAAGCATATCTCATAACATGTCGACGGAGTGGGGACAGTGTCATCACTAACAAGTCTGCAGAGGTTGTCTACCTCTCCTCGGAGGAAAAAGATAGTGAGGGGGAAGAGGAGAACAGGAGGTGGTATGAATCTTCCTGAAAGGAAATCTTACAAGTTTCATCATTAGTCATAGATGACACATGAAGTAGATGAGTGAAACGGTGATGATGAAACTGGGAGATAAGACACTTACACCTCGGTCGTGTCAAAACACTCCGATGAGCATTTTCTTTGTCATCGGCAGGTTACTCTATCTTTCATCCGAGGAGGTCGAGACTTATTCACTCATTGATCCTTTGAACGACCTGACACGACTGATTCTTCTGAGTTTTACTCATTCGATTGCATGTTATCAAAATCATGTCATCCTTTATCATTTTGAGTGTTGCGTGTAACATGTCTTATGATGCCTTCATTAGTATGCACAGCAATGGCGTGATTGAGAAAGGAAATGAGTCCGCTTAAAAACCTCTCTGATTGGCCTTCTGTGTGTCAGCATGTCGCCTGAACAGGCTATAAATATCAGATAGACAACTTCCCTCTTGTCTCTTTCAATTCACTCACACATTCAACCTTACAGATTCACATCAACCCCAACTAGTTTTGATATTCATCTAGAGAACTAGTTTTGATATTCATCTAGAGATACACATCATGGCGGACAACAATGACTTCCCTCCCTCTTCCCAGATGAATGAGACCAAGGACGATTATCCTCCTTCCTCTCATTCTCGTGACACAGCTGAAAGCTCTCAAGACATTCCCACAGGAATCAATGAAATCCATCCCACTGAAGGTGCCAACCCAGAGCATACTACAGGGAGTCATAACACCGATCACTCTGACACAAATGGCTTGCATTACTGTGGTGGTCTGTATTGTGCAGGACACAATGAAGAAGAATGGACGGAGATCCAACATCCATCACAAGCTTTCCCTGGCACTTCTGGTGGTTTTGACCCAACTTCAAGACCTGATTACGTACCAGGAGAAACTTCATCCGCTCAAAATCAGTCTCCGTATGCCACATCTGGTAGGGTGTGGATAAATCCTGCAATGGCGGCTAATCCTCAGTTGACTTCCATGTTGATGACTGCTGTCAGTCAAATCATGATGACAGGTGAGGTTTCCACTAGTTCTCCTTTCTATGTGGTAAGCGTTCCTAAAGACGGGAGGTCTCGCACTCATTTTGGCGCTGAGCAAACTGGAGAAGACACCAATGATGAGACTGAAAAAAGTGAAGAGGATGATAAAGCGGATGATGAGGATGCCAAGGTGTAACACTGGTATGGAGTGCTGGACGGATCATTCTGTCACCGCGTGGAGAGAAGTATGATTGAGTTGAAGTATGATAGGTGGCATTTATTAGTCAATGATTAATCTCTGAGATGTGAGATAATCTGCATGAGACTCACACGGAATCAGCATCTAACCTGCCTGAGATCTGAGTGACCGGTCATTGTACTGGAAGTTGAATGTCATCAGTCTTCAATGAACCAGGGATTAACCCTTTCTGCAGAAGACAGGACATCATGGGCCGTTGGATTCTTTGATTCCATCTATGTTGCCCCCAACATCCCGTTTTTGCCACGCTTATGATCAAGCAGGACTGACTGAATGTGGCGATGTGGCACTGTTAGGGTCCCAGCCGGCATTTCCCTCGTCATCGGCGGGTTGCTCTTTATTGTTCCGAGGAGGTTGATACACGTTTGCTCATTGATCCTTTGAAGAACATGACACATCAGATCCTTCTGACTTCTGCCGCACTTGATAACATACTGCTACTATCATGTCATCCTTTATTGTCCTGAGTATTCCCTGTATTACGTCTTATCACACCTTCATTAGTATGCACAGCAATGGTGCAATTGAGAAAGGAAATGAGTCTCCTTGAGCATTTCCCTTGTCAGCCTTTTGCGTGTTACCACATAATCAGTTGCCTGAACAGGCTATAAATACTAGATAGACAACTTCCCTCTTGTCTTTCATTCATTCACACATCCGACCTCACAGATTTACATCAACCCCAGCCAATATATATCTTCATCTAAAGCTACACATCATGGCGGACAACAACGACTTCCCTCCCTCTTCCCAAATGGATGAGACCAAGGACAATTATCCTCCTTTCTCTCGTTCTCGTGATACAGCTGCAACCTCTCAAGACGTTCCCACAGGGATCAATGAAACCAATCCCACTGAAGGTGCCCAGCCAGAGCATACTACAGAGAGTCATAACGCCGATCACTCTGACACAAATGGCTTGCGTTCCTGCGGTGGTCTGTTCTGTCAAGGACACAGTGAAGAAGAATTGAGGAACTGGGATAGCCTATATGGAGGTGGACCGCAAGCTTACGCTGACGCCTATCGTCGAGGTGCCTCCACTTCTAGACCCGATTCGGGTTCAGGAGAAAGGTCAGAGACTCGAAATCCAAATCCGTATGCCCCAGCTGGTACATTTTCCAGAGGTCCCTCATTCCTCACACCTCAGCTGTTTGGGCTGTTGATGACCCTTTCCAACCAAATGCAAACAGCCGGTGGGTCCCAGAATGATCAACCTTTCTACTTGGTACGCATTGGGGACACAAGGTCTCGCAGTCAATTTGACGCAGAGCAAACTGGAGAAAACACCAATGAAGAGACTGAGAGAGAGGAACAGGATGATCAAGCAGATGATGATGACACCAAAGTGTAACACTGGGATGGAGTGCTGACTGAATCATATTCAGTTACCACTTGGAGAGAAAGATAATCTAGTTGAAGTATGATAGGTGTCATTTATCAGTTAGTGATTAATCTCTGAGATGTGAGATAATCTGCATGAGACTCGCACGGAATCAGCATCTGACCTATTGACTCTCTATGAGGTCCGGGCTGAGCTCCGAGTGACAAGTGATTGTACTGTAGAGTACTGCAAGTCAACTTACATCAGTGTCAAATGAACCAGGAGATGCCTCTCTCTCTGGAAGACAGGTTCTCATAGGTCCATTGGATCATATGTTTTCCATCTGCGTGGCACCCAACTTCTCAGTTATGCTACACTTACAGTATGACCCACCCATCCGAGCAGAACTGAATGTGGTGACGTGGACAATGTGGCACTCCCCTGTATGTAAACGCCAATTGGCACTTGCCATCCTTATCAGCCGACTTCCTCTCTGGATACATGGGTGAGAGAGCTCCTTAACGTGAAACACGACCATGACAATGGGAATGATGTATGGTATTGCTTCCGGATGACGAGTTGATCAAACAACTGAGGTCATTAGGTGTGAGGTCAAGCATGGTGTACTCTGCTTTCATCCAGGATGAACGTTTCAATCTCTTGTGATGTTTCAGCATCACGTCCCAATTCGCTTACGCCCATCATCATAGTGATGATATCTCTCTTTTCAGATGTCTGAAAGATGTCTCATCTACGATCGATCCTCGCTTATCTCTGCTATTCGATCCCCGCTTCGACAACGGAGCAACCCGCTCCCTTTCTGTAGCCTCGCTTGTCGGCATCTGTCTGTCCACGCTGATTGAGTAGATATACCGTGCTCATATCTTTCACTCCCTCAACAACAATCATCTACAACCAACAAGCTATCATATAGACCATAATACACCCGCTCTCCCCACACACAAACAACAGCTAAACATAACACATCATGTCAGACAACAACAACACCTTCCGTTCCTCCCAAGCAGAAGAAAGCTATAAAAGCTCTCAACCATCATCTCCAGCAGATCAGCCGGGGTCCCAGTCGTACGGGTTCTCCTACTCCCCACGATCCGCTAACGACCACCCAGCTGGTGGTGCCCCGGACAATGATACTACACATCAGTCTAGAACAGAGGGAAGCCGTCTGACTTTCTGCGGACCAGGCTGTCCAGGACATGATGAGGAAGAGTACAACTCCCTCAGATCTTTTGCTCTTGAACTGAGATCATCACTGGGACCCGCAGGTTCTATGTTGATGCTTGCCGCCCTCAGTGCACTCAGCAACGGGGTCATACCATCTCAATACTTGGCCCCGGAAGCGAACTTGGAGAGAGATGCAGAGAGTGAATCCAATGACTACAAGGATCAGGAGGAGGAAGACAAGGAGGAGGAGGATCACGAGACGGTTGAGGAACAGACAGAGACCAAGTTCACCCTCAACACAACTCACGGGACGCAGGAGCACAAGGATGAGGGTGACAATGATGATCAAACCCGCTGAGCGCTTGTAGCTCTTACATGTTAACAGCTATGCAAAAGTGGGAATCCCCCGATTGCATCCGTGCTGGTTGTACTATTTCCAACACTCCCCCTCAAGCAGTACGGATGCTAAGTACCACAGGGTGGACTCGAACCCTGGACTTTTTTGTCACGAACTACGTCGTGACACCTCGATTACTCCACCAACAATGACCCTCCTTTGGCCATCAAAACCCCATCACGCCTTAACCTCTTTACTCTACACGTAACTCAGGACTTCTGAGACCAAGTACGGCGAAGTTAGACGGGGTTAGGCTAAGTAGGGACAATGGGAGCAGAAGTACGGCGATGTTAGGCGGGGTTGGGCTAAGTAGGGACAATGGGAGCAGAAGTGCGGCGATGTTAGGCGGAGTTAGGCTAAGTAGGGACAATGGGAGCAGAAGTGCGGCGATGTTAGGCGGAGTTAGTCGAAGGAGGAAGAGGATGGCCGAGGGCTCGGGGAAGTTGGACGAAGTGCGTTGAAGTACGTCAAAGCGCGAGAGGGTTGGATGAACGTCTAGGAGGAGTAGATAATATTAGCTGAGAAGATCGCTGAAGTTCTTCAGCGATCCTTGATTGTTGTCAGTAGTAAAAGACAGATAGAGATAGCTATAAATCAAGATACATCGCCATCAGTAGATCAAAACCCTAGTTAGAGTAACTACGCCGAAGTACGCCGTAGTTACACCCCTTTCGACGTCTGCGCCCTCCTGGTTGGGTGAGACATCGACTCAGAGAGTGAAGTTAGCCGAGGTTCGTCGACCGTCGGTCTATTAAGAAGTAGTTGTTCGACGGCCGTGACATTTTTCCTGCATCACTCCCCCTGCTTGGCTGTCCCTTCCTCGTACACAGAGGTAGGCTCCGACTGTTAATCTGTTAACAGCTATGCAAAAGTGGGAATCCCCCGATTGCATCCGTGCTGGTTGTACTATTTCCAACATTACATACTTTCCGAAGTGATTTGCTTTGTCATAATGATGAGTGATGTGATGATTGTGTCGAGATTGTGCTTGAAGTTGCAGCAAACTCTCCTGTGATCTATCATGGATGACCTGATGTACTGTAGGGCGGGAGACGAATGACATGACAATCTCAAGTGGTGTGTTCTAGTGATAACATCCTGATAAGTTCAGTTTGCAGATACTCGGACACGATCCACACATCGTGTCACGAGCCGTCGTAACATGAAGGTTGAGCTAAGCAAGAGAAGCAAAGTCTAAGAAAGATGACAGGTTATTTCAACCAGTAATTGGTGATTGTAGACATGACCGGTTGATACAGCTTCTTGTTCAGTGGGAACATGGCGTACTACTATACAACCGGATGCTGGTATGTCACGGTTTGTGACACACTGTAGGAAGGTATTGTTCTTCCAAGCCGAGATCAGTTGACATGATTTCTTGCCAGAGAACATCATAGCGACACGGTACATTCACAGTGTATGCAATGCTCTCTAGTGTGAGGTATGGGTGAAGCACTGGTTTTGAAAGCCTCATAAAGGCCTTCAGGAGGTTTGAGATCACCCCAGAAATTCTCTTCCAAGAACCTCTCATTTGGGAGGAGTGGCTGCTGTAGTTACTACCTTCCCGCCTTCTGATATCATCTCCTTTCAAACCGCTTGTGTATCATTTCCTTTCATATGCCAAAACGTGTCACGACTCGCATCACATCAATAGTGCCCATGATCAATGGATCTCCCATGTATCATCATCTGAGAGATGAATTTCATATCAGATACTGTAGAGAAAGATCTTGACCTATCTTTATCTCTGACTCTGCTATCAATTTTGTTTTCCTCACTCCTCATTGCCAAGTTTTGATTAATCACACACATCTTCACCTTCTTGCTATCATGTCATATAATAACTCCTCTACATCCACCTCACAAAGACCATCTGATTGGCCTCTAACCCAAGAAGCCACAGAAGCTCTGAAGAAAGCAAACTCCCTTACCTTGGGTCTTACACTGCCTCCTGACACTCAAGATCCTGAGTATCCTGTCAATCAAATTTCCGAGCAGACCATCCTCTCTCATTCCGATTTTCCCGGCTGGTTGACGGTTTCTGCATCGCACGGATCCATGAATGGTCTTGGCGCGGGTGAAGATTACTCATTCAACGTGCCAAAGGGCTACCGACCCGTGACCTCTGTACAGAGATACCAGAATTGGAATGGTGAACATGTTCTCCCTTGTCACCTTGACTCCTTCAACGAGAAAGAGACAGGTTATCTGGAAGCATTTGTCCACACCATGGGATTGGTCCCTATTGGTGGTCCCGTGCAGTCGTCGGACTCTGGGAGAGGGGAGCACAATACTAATCTCCCATTTGGGGAAGAGACAGATGAAGATACAGAGGATGGTGAGGAAGATCAGGAGATCATGTCTATTGGGAGCAATGTGGAAATGGATGAGGAAGAGAAAGAAGTCGGAGAGAATAATGGAGAGGATGACAATGTGCTGGCGTGGGGTAATGTGCGTGGGGAAGAAGTGGGTAGGGCTGTCAATTACTTCCACAAGATTTGAGTGATTCCCCTGCGTCAAAGTTGTTATTGGGAGGGTTTTTGTATTAGCATTCTCTGTTTGTAGGTCTCATGGATGGTATTTGTGACTGATGTGGTCGTAGCGACCCACCTTGATATCACATGTCCGTGACCCTCGGGGCAACGTCTCAACACGCATCGCTGATTGCGAATACATCTTGATTTCCTTTCATCACGTAAGCTTGGCTGCTCATTAGGCAAGAAGTCGTCTTATAGATGAAACGTTATGAAACGATGACAGATCGCACATGTCGTTCACTCCATTCTTGACATCGCTACCTCTCCTTTGAGTCCACTGATGAAGCGTGTACCACGTCGTCTCCGACTCCGCATGTAATAAGAAGCCTTGTCTTGATCGGAGTCTGTCGTATCTATTTGGCCGCAGTATAAGTAATCACGTTTGGCGCCCATCTCTTCATCGACAAATTCACCTTAATCCCCTCCAACACTATACAGTACATCACTTCCACAATGTCAGAAGATCAACAAACATACCAAGGCCAGCCAAAACCAAACACCTCTGACGCCACATTCAGTAAAGCTGATTCCAAATACGTCGATCCCGCAGCCACGGCTCAGACACATGTCAGTGTTAGGGTTGATACTACGGAGACCTTGACTCAAGAAGAAGAGATAGACTCGGATGGAGAGAAGTCAGGCAAAGGGTGGTACTCGGACTCGGATGAGGATCCATACACAGATGCTGTTGGGAGACAGGGAACATTTGCAAAGGGACAGTTCACCAAGTTGAAAGCACAAGACATGAACTGGTCATCAGACGAAGAAGCAGAAGGCAGTGGAGAGGAAGATGTTGAGGATGATGATGACGATGATCGCTTTTACGATGCGAATGAGCAACAGGAAGATGAGGACACTATCGATAAGGATACTCTCAACGTTGTCGCCCAGACGGAGACCACGAAGACGACAGAAACGGTGTCTTTCAGGAGACAGTGAGTGTAAGCTTGTTGTTCATGGTCGGCCAACGTAGTCTCAGGCTTGGCTCTTCAGCTTGTGAGTAATGAGATCATGGATGTGCTTTGTGTTACATGCATTCATTGAGCTGCGGATATTTCTGTGAATCAGCGATGACCTGAAGGTACATACAAGACCGATGCTCAGAGACGCCCACGAGCGTATGATGTGGTGCGCCCAAGTCAATCCCCATGAAACGGTAAGACTGGTGCCAACATTTCTCTCATCATTCAATCGGTTGGAAGAAAGTTCAGAGGACTAAGAAAACTCACCAATCATGAGTCGACGTCCATACCTTCCTCGCCACCGGGTCCGGCACCGACCGGTACAGGATGAGGCTCTATACCTGGCTGTTCTTTCCCGGCGCCTGACGTGATCTTCACATCCTCTTTCACAATGAGGGATCTGATGTTCTCCTTAACCCATGCTGTGGTGCCTCTGCGGAACTTGTAGTTTCTTGATTTCACGCCTCGCTCGTTCTTCTCATCAGCATACTTTCGAGCACGGGATCTATATTCTTCACTCACCGGCATCTCATAGTTCCGTAAAGTCTCACATCCGGCCTTTGTAATGATAGATACATCGACGTTCGATCCGGATCCGAGATCGTTAAATATACCGGCGCGGATGGCACGTGCCACCAAGGCGACAGCCTCTTCCCTCTGAAAGCGTCAGATAAGTCTCAGGAACGGTCGGAACTCACCTTGAGATACGGCTTGTAGGCGCTCTCAAACACCGCCATGGCAGCCAAGGATCCAGAACCCATGGTGACGTACGGAAGTTTATCCGTAGACCCGTGAGCGTGGATGGTGAAAAGGTGAGAACCGGTAGAGTCAACACCTCCTAGAACGAGATGAGCACCGACATGACCCTGATATCTATCTCGTCAGAGGCCGAACGTCTCAGAGGGAGGATAAGTTACCGGAAGAGATATTGCTTCAACATTGTCATGGCGGTGACCACTCGAACTGGTCTGCCCTGAGAAAGGGCGTGGAGCTGGACGTGAGCTCAGCAATCGGGAGCAAGCGTTACTTACCTCAAGATTGGATGAGATGAGATTGGTGACGAATCTCCTGATCAGCAGGGGAGAGCAGCTAAGTCAACTGAGAGCTCACTCGGTATCGGCTGCAGTACCAGCACCACAGCATCGTATCATAGGAGTTAGGTAGTGAATCTGGTTCGTCAGCGACCTCCTCATCGCACAAGAAACATTATAGACAAAAGGGCAGTCACGAAGACGAATCAGGTTAGGGACGAGATATGACTGACCTTTTCACAGTTCTTGTCCGCCACGATATCACCAGCTGTAGCTCTTGTGTCTGCACCTAAGCAGACACCTTCCTCTTCCTCAGAGTCTCCTCCACCGAATTTCAGACCGACGATGGTGGTACCAGTAGAAGTAGCTGCTTATCAGCAGCTGTCATCTCCCTTGAAGAACGAACTGATCGAACCATGTCAAAGACAAGGATGAAAGTCAACGCACCCTTTGGAAGTCCATTCATATGTTGTCCAAGGAACTGATTACGGGCATAGTTGGAGAAATCAAAGCCAATAGCTTCCTCTTGAGGTTGTATCTGGACGGTCATGTTGAGATATCAGACTCTCCCAAAGTGAGTGACAGTGTTGAGAAGGAAATAGTGAGAGGAATGTGGTTGAGAGAAAGCTCAGCGTCAGACGCGCGGCCCATTGAAAGTAGCATGACGTGGCTACTCCCACGTGGTCGCGGAATCAATGATATCGGGACTCTGGTCAGTGACGGCATCGGTCGCGCGCAACCTGCCCTGTTCACACAGATACAGTAGGAGTCTCATAAGGACCATCATCTCATTGCTCCTCTTGTCTTTTTGCTACACCTAGACCCATACGGCAGACACAGAAATGCAATCGTGGAAAAACTTTCAAGCTAGTCTCCCAGCTGTGGACGTTTCGGCAGTCTCTAAGAATCTGAGGACTACCGTCCAAGCTACTCGGTACGTCATCGCATTAGCCGCCTTATCCTTGGTCCCTGTTACATTTTCTATTTGCATAGCTGTGGAACAGGACTGATCGTCAGTGAGAGACTGGGGAATGTAGGACCTGATGGTATCACCGAGTGAGTCTTGTGTTCATATCAGATGAAGCATGGTTGACGAGGAAGATTGCCAGCGGAATACAAGCAACTTGAATCTCGCGTTGATGCTTTGCGAGATGTGCATACCAAGTTTTTGAAAGTTACTAAAGTGTACGAAACCGAATCTGTGAGTTTTGCATTATTGCTGCGCCTGGATGTTTATCATGGGTTGTGATGTGAGGGCGTAGCTGAGAAGACAGTACGACTATCCTTCTGATATCACCGAGAGTGTACAGGATATGGGTAGTCAAGCCGCTTCTGTCTGGGCTACGTTCGCCAGCAAGAACCTCAAGGTGGGTTCAAATTCTCATACTTTGTCTCATCTACCATTCTTCACACTCGCATACCTCTCAGAGACTTGATACGATTCTATGACCGCACCGGTAGTCTGATAATGCGATCCTCCACCATGATTTCGTCTACTGTCGCATTCACGAGACACGTCATACGCTAAAACGTGGTGGTAGCTTACACGATGCAGAATTCCAATCTACCCATCCCAGGAACTCACGTAGCACCCAAAGGTCCTCAACCTCCCAAGACCCTTGCCCATGCTCAATCTCGCGCTGCCAAAGCCGGTGCTGCGGAACTAGGTGCCGACGACAGGCTGGGCGTAGCTCTCGGCGTCTATGGGGTAGCCATGGAGAAAGTTGGTGATGCTCGTTTGGCACAAGACAACCTTATCGCCGATCGATTTATCACCCCTTGGCAGGCGACTTTGTCGACGTCGATTGGATTAGCTATGAAAGCCCGAGCGAATGTCAAAGCTGCTAGACTTGAGTTGGACAGTGCTAGGTCTGCGTGAGTGCCTCCCTTCCTTTCCCCGACATAGCATATCCTCGTTGCCTTTCCGAACCGCTAACCGCTGCCTGCTGTTCGGAATAAGAAAGAGCCTTGCTAAACAATCAGTCTAAAGACTGCTGCCCCGGCCAAACAAGAACAAGCCAGGTTGGTTCATTTCTATCATCCTCTGGATATTGGCTGACCGATAGACTTCACGTTGAAGAGGCAGAAGACAAGTTGGTGCAAAGCACGGAGACTGCTATCGGACTCATGAAGGCTGTTCTTGAGAATGTCAGTCAACTCAAGTCCCAAATCGCTTCAAGTAGCTGATTGCACAGCCCGAGCCAATCCAGAATCTCTCATCTCTCGTGAAGGCGCAACTGATCTATTTCTCCACTGCCGCAGAAACTTTGTCTGTGAGTTTCTCAGTCAATGAGGGATACATGAGAGCATCACGGACGTGATACTGATGGACAGGGTATCCAAGGGGAGATCGAAGAGGCCGCCACCGCTGCCGAGGGGGAGTACAGGACTGTCCGGGGTGCTTGAGTCGAGGCAGTGTAGCGGTCTGACTGGAGCTAGTCCGTTGTATGCAGACCCTGCTGGATCTTCGTCGGGATGAGAGAATCATGATACTTCTATTTGCGATGAATGGTAATGACTGGTTTCAACATGATTTTTTGATGATCGTCCAAAGGAGGAAGCTTGGAAACGTATAAAGCATATGCTATGTAATGCATGAGCCGAGTATGCACAGGTAGGGTAAAGCAGGAGAAAGAACTACACTGCAACTGGGGTAAAAGCATGAGTATGGTTTATGAATTGATGTCCCAGGCATATGAACATGTGTGAAGCTGTGTGGTAAAGTGTCGTAAACGATGTGAGTTTCTCCAAGATGTCGGTTTCTACATCCACCATGCCTGTCTATCAGCTGTGGGCGACCTTCGTTCATGAGCTTACACTATCTTCAATGTCGGGGTTCTTCCGCAGAAGGGTCTGCACCTTGAGAATGTCGAGATCCGATCCACCACCTCGCCCGCGCATCGTTCCTGTTGTGCTCGGTGGTGCAGGGTAAGCTTTACCCCTGTCACCATCCCCAGATGACTCGGACGGAGCTGTCGTCGAACCGCCGCGTTCATGCACTATAATCCTAGCCTTCTGACATACAAGGTCTGGCAGTCAATTCTCATAGCGACTTGTTGGTACTCAGAAGCCCAACTCACCGGCGATGTAGCAAACGGGTACGAGTGACACGCTCTTGGTGCATCGACTGAATGAATGACAGAGATTGTATACGAGTTGTTGCAATTCATCGGGGGTCATGCCGAGTTCGTCCAAGAGACAGACGTAGTGGGTGGGTCGAGCCGTACCAGCTCGTGACGAATGAGCTTGGAGGAAAAAGTCGAAGACAAATGGATGTGTTACCGAACGGTCCACCACCAGTCCACTCGGAAGGTTGCCGGTCTTGTCGATATCCAGCTCGCTGCCAAAGAATCGGGTATTATGACGCTTCGCACAGATGCAGACCAAAATACGAGCGCGATACCCACGTTGAAGACGCTCGCATGCTTGATGTACGGCGTGATGTTCGTACTGGAGAGTCGCCGCATACTGCCCTTCAGAGACCCCATCGCGGAAGATCAGAATACGTTCAGGATATTCTCCGTTTCTGTCCTTGAAGATGCGCAGGTGGTTCACTACCATATCGGCGAGATCACAAATGATCTCGCCGCGTCCTCGTTGAAGACGAATTTGGGGCGTGAACGCATCGCAATCCGGATTTGTGGTCGCGATCGAGCAGGCAACGGAAGGAGCGTTGTCTAAGCCGGGTTTGATTGGTGGCTGCGTGTCAATAGAGATTTGCAGTCTCGATAAGCTCACTCACATGACCAACATCAGCACCAAGTAACATCGTTCTACCATGCACCATGCCGGGAAGTTGATTGAAAGGAATACGGTGAGTGATCCCACCCAGCTTGCTCTGAGAGTCAGTCGAGGTTCAAAGATGAGAGGATTACTCACTTGAATCTTCATCACCAAATTTTCAGTGTACGCTTCGATACCACGATGAGTACGGATCTTCGCAGCTTGCATGCACTGAGTTGGCACTGGAGCTGGCTTTTAGACAGGATGCCGCCGATCTGAGTAAAGGAACAACATACCTTTCAGATCCACAAATGAGCTCTTTTTGATGGCTTCATACAGCCATGCATCCCTGGAATGAGCTGGGCTAATCAAGATATGAGACCCACTTACTTGCCCGGAAGTATAACGCAGATCAGTTGTGGATTGCGTTTTCCAGCTCTGTAAGCATCCCTTGCCGCTTCTTGTAGAGCTTCTAGTCGGCGAGCTTCGTTAAATGGATTGATGGGGCCTATGCAAGGAGGATGTCGATTTTCGACCTCCACGCCATGGGCCTCGAGGACGTCGATCAGATACTGAATATAGCGACGCATCGGGTCCTCGTCCAGAAATTTATCGAACGAGATGAAGGCCCATGCTTTCAGGGGCTCTCTTCCATTTAGCACAAACTACGTACGTCAGCGATAGACGGACGATGAAGCAGCAACTCGCCTTTTTGGCACGGAGACTCCATTCTCCACCTTCGGGGCGCACGTCCACATTGGCATACTTCACTGAAGGTGCAGCCAGAACTCGCGCTTTGAGCTCTACCATCTGTTTGTTTACCTGGTGTACATCAACCAGAGCTCAGGTAGACTACGCAAGGACGACTAACTTGCAAGCCCCAGGCCGAAATCTTCTCTTGTTTCTCATAGGCAAGGTCAACTCGCCATTGTTGTATCTTCGCCGCTCTTTCTCGAGGCTTCACCGCACTGATGCGTATCATTCTGTTAATCAGATCCGGACAACACTTGCCAAGGGATAGCTGACTCTGCCGTTTGATCAGGAGTGAGCTTCATCGCCGCCACGGAGTTCCACTCAGCCAGCTCGACGAATTCGAAGGGAATGAAAGATTTCTTCCCATACTACTCGGTAAGCCGACATCTCCTTAGGCTCTGTTTGCTCACCTGTATGCAAGGTAGCCTGGGCCTGGTGATTGTAGCCTGATAGTAGTCTCTGAAATACTGCGGAAGGGAAAGTACTTGATCTTGACCCCGCCCGTCTTTGCTCTGCATGGAGAAGGTGATACGCTCGGCGCTTTGCAATGTGACAGACATGACGGTGTGGAGACGGCTACTGTGTCGATGTGTTACTCGAAACTAGGTATCAGCCTGCAGCATGCGCACGTAAGCCAAACAATCACCTTGGCACCTCGGAGTGTGTCCTTAAGCCTCTTGATCTCCATCTCGTTGAGTTCGGTGATCTCAGGAGTGCTCTGTACGCCACCGTAGTATCCTCCAGGCGGTGGGTTGCGCCCCCTCTCTCCACCCATACCGCGACCAATGAGTTTGGGGAGCAGCTGCAGGAGTGGACCAGAGTCCAGAAAGGCGGAGAAGCCAATGTCCAGATTTAACAGAGGGCGCCCTGAGCTTGAATAACAGAATGATCTGAAGTCATGATTTGCTCTCTGACTGTGATGATAGTGGACTTACTGCATGAAGCCACGGGCGACGATGGCCCCGTGAGAGATGGCCACAGCTTGCTCGATGGTGAAGAATCGATTGCCAGAGGCACCACACTGGGCGTAGGTGCGACTGGGATGATCCCTCATCAGGACGTTCACAGCCATGACACCTGATTTCGTGAGCTGAGTCTTTCACGCAGGAGAAAGCTTCACCTGTCAGTACTTGTTCTTCATTGCTTGGCGCTCCTTCATCCGCCCTACAGTACTTCATCACTAATTCGAGATCGATGATCGCGACGTGGCGGACCTTGACCTTCCACCTTTTCATCTCTTCATCGGAAGACGAGTCATTTCGACTACGCTGAACGACAGCATCATGGGTAATGGCAGTAGTAAAAGTGTGGGTCACATCTAATCCGTCAGCGTTCAAGACTTTTGTGATTTTTCACTCACCTCGCGGGATCGGGAACTCGATCGGAGTAAACGCATTCTTACGTCCATCAAACGCACATGTCTTGAATCCGGGGGTCCAATCCGAATTCGCGCAAACTTGCTCGACCACCAGCTGCTCCCAAACGGTCCTCATGAGACTTTTGGGCTTCTTTTGATTCGTTACTGGGACCGCGGGATCGATTTCGATGTCATAGTGACTGTTGTCAAACGAGGATCGCCAAAGCGTAAAACCTAACTCACTGAATGACACGACCTTTACCTCCCAATGCCCTGACTTGATAGAAATTTGCCAGTATAGATAGCTGCCGGCCGTTGGTGCCATAACCTGGCCTAACGACAAAGCTGGTGAGCCGGAGTTTGGATAAGATTTCGGTCGTGACTGACAGTCGCTGGGTCATTTGGCTTGAAACACTGGGTGAAGCATCCACCCGGCTGACGAGGTCTCTCTGTCCTGACACAGGCACGCGAGTCGGGATGATACCTCTCTGTTCACTCGGAATTTCGTAGAAGGGGACGGGATGACTGGGTGTACGTGTAGAGGTGTACGACCCTTGTAGTCGGTCGATCAGCGGGGAGCCGTAGCCGGCGGGTTGACCTTCATCAGGCATGTTCGCCGTGTCAGTGAGGTTCATTTGATCGACCTCAGAGGTACGAGGGAGGGGCAGATCTTGAGTGGGGTGACGGACGGAGGTTTGTGGTCTGGGTATACGCAAATTGCTATCACGGAAACGTGAAGAAGCATCCTGTGCAAGCGAACCATCAACCGTCTCCTCGGAACCAGTGTGTGAGACGCGGCGGGTGTACTGGGTTGGAGCAAACGGAGTTGTAGCTGACAAATGACGAGAGTGCCGGTTGAAAGAGGAAGTGACTGATACAGGTGTATCATCGTCGATCAGCTCAATGCTAGCTGTTCGGATGTGGGAAGGGGTGTCGATGAGGGTCTGATTGACTTTGGGAGGTATCCTTGGGCGTGGTGATCGGGACCTCATGGGCGGATCCGACGTAGTGGTAGTCAAAAGGCGACCTGGCTCGACATCGACGTTCACCTGATCAAACTCAGCGCAATGCAAGACGGCTTACATCTAACTCACCTCTGAGTGATGTCGACGCTGGTACCGTTCTTCGCCGCCTCTGTTCACTTGTGAGCGACGAGGTTGAGAAGAGTCATATTCTTGTTGAAGATAGGACGTCTCTTGATCGAGGTCTGTGAAATCGCTTTGGGCATATTCACGTGGATAAGGCATGTCGAAGGCGGTGTAGATCTGGCGTGTGAGTGGTTCAGTGGTGAGAAAATGGGGACTTGTGATTGGACGATGAAAACAGCTAGCACGGGTGTCACGGGAAATCGCAATGGGAGCGTTTCTCAGCAGGAAAGAGTCGGAGGGTAAGGAGATACCACCGGGCAGACGATGGATCAGAAGTAAGAATGAGATTTGTCACATAGAAAATGCTCTGGCAAAGCGGATCATGACGGACAAGTCAGATGAGCGGAGAAGAGAGACGAGTGCGAGAAGACAGCAAGACGGATGGATCACCCATAACAGATCAGTAGTTAGCATCGGGAGGCCAGATATGTGTGAGAAGGGGTGCAAGCACGATTAGGAATATTGTCTCACGACCAGAGGAGAGGCATTCTTCATCCAATCAGTATAGCGGAAATTAGTCCAGATTGAGTGACAAGCGCCCATTGAGAAGGATGGACGGCACTCACCTGGAATACCACTTGGTAGTGTTTACTGTGACAAATGGTATGTTCAGGATATATGGCAATGCCGACAAGGTTGCTGGCAGAAAAGAGACGATTGAGAGATGGAGGAGAACGGAAAGAGAAAGAGGAAGAGAAGGAAAGAAAGAAAGTTACGAGGGTGAGAGAATGGAGACAGGGCCCGAGCGCGAGGGTGAGAAGAGGTCTGAGCGTGCAGGTCGCCATCGACGCTAGCGGCTAGCAATATGGCAACAAGGACACGCGTAGGTGGGCTTCATGGCTTCAAGGATTCCTGGACGGACTGACAGGGGTAAATGGAACATGGAATACTCACGCATGTCAGTCGAGGCCGTAGGTCAAGCTGTATGGTAAATGACTAGAACCGTGAAATGAGAAAAGAACACCAATGTTTTGATAGACTTCTGTCCGTGGTTTCCAGTGTTTGCTGGGAGCCTGTGCTGATCGTGAGCGGAGTTCGCGGACTATCTCCGTCCCGCCCTTTACCCCCTTACTCTTGGCCAGGTGCGTTTCAGTCAACATTCCATTGGCCAACATCGAATAAGCATCTCTTCTTTTCTTCCCAGTGCTCCTCTTCGACGTATCTCTGAGCTGTTCAATCACATACTTGGGTATACCATATCGATTCCACCTCTGAAGACGTCTCGAGCACCATCTCATCATGTCTGCCCAAGGATGGGAAGTCCGACATTCCAACTCGCGTAAGCTACCTTATTTCTACAACTCTCAAACGGGAGTTAGCATGTGGGAAGCTCCTCCCGGTCTTACTCAAGATCAAATCTATGCTATGCCAGGGGCGAAAGAAAATCTTCCTCCTAGAACAGCTCCTGGAGCCCCACAAGGTGCTCCACCTGCAAAAGATGGTGGCAAACCAGGAGAAATGAAGGCGAGTCATATACTTGCCAAACATGCGGGCAGTAGGAGACCGAGCAGTTGGCGTCAGGTGAGTATCATTCAGTATGCCACTCTTTCATCGATATACATTATCTTAACGGTGTTAAAGCCTGTTTCAGGACCTTTGAGCTGTTTCAGGGATTGCCAGACCGTTGCAATCCTTGCTCGTCAAGCCAGAATGATCATGTGAGAAGGGGTAATGTCGAGGGGCTTCAGAATCAGAATGAAGAAATTTTAAGAAATGGACTTACTGACATGTAAGGAAAAAATCACACGATCCCTTCCCCAAGCTCGACAAGAAATCGCCAACTACATCATCCACCTTAAATCCCTTCCTCCTGATCAACTTCCACAGGCATTTGCAGAGATTGCCAGTACACAAAGCGATTGTTCGTCAGCGAGGACTGGGGGAAATCTGGGATGGTTTGGGAGAGGTCAAATGCAAAAGTCGTTCGAGGTGAGTTTGCGAAATCTTATGGTAAAATTTATTCCTTCCCATTTAGCATATTGCAATAACTACTGGCCTTCCACCCCTTTCATTCATCCGTTCACTATGAACCGATGCTCATTCAAGTCGACCCATGTCTATCTATTCCTTGTCTGCCAATTGGGTTCTCTGTTACTCGTTCACTACTAATCTTTCCTGTCCCCTTGATCTACCAACTGGCGGGTCTAACCACCCAACTCCCTCTAAAAACGGACCAGTCTGCGAACTGGGAAAGATAACTTGGTGATGGTATCATTCCCCTCATGGCGGTGAATACGTAGGAGATGTATGACTTATCATCAGGACGCCACTTACGCTCTTCAAATCGGTCAGCTGAGCGACATCATCGAATCTGACTCTGGAGTGCATGTCATTCTCCGCACGGGGTGAGGGATGGAATTGTAATATATTGTTCACTGAGTCTGCGAGTCGCGCTTGACTGATTGATGTGGATGACGAAGAATAGACAAAAAAAGAAGGATAGTAGAACAACATGCATGTGTGTATAATACGTTTCACTGTGGTATACTTCGTCAACGTCTTCATGATCATATTGTGTTGAGTGACTAAGTGTATCGAGTACGAGTACATGGGTATAAGGGAAGGGTGACGGCTGTCTGTGAATCAGTGAAAGTCTGGTATCAATATTTAGCTCACTCGAGGATGACAAATCACATCTTAGCTTTATCTTGTCCTGGTCCTCCCCCAATAGAAGCAGGATGAATCTTACTAACATCCACCACCACCTCCTTCTCCTTTAGATCCTTCGTGCTGAGACCTTGATCAACGGATGTGACATGTTCTCTTCGTTGTTCTGACGGAAGTGACCATATAGCCGCAGGATGAATTTGAGAGATTGGGAACGTCTTCTTCGTTCCGATGATATCATTCCCTATGATGGTAGGACGTTTGTCTTGAGGAATCATCATCAATTATCATATGAAAGTGTTGGTACATATGTCCATCTTTGAAGATCGAAGACCAGATTGCAATTGACAGAGGGTTTTCCCACGGTAGTATTGGATCCTCCAAGTTACGTAAACAATCGTAGGAGGCGACTGCTTTCTCAATCAGCCAAACACACAACCTTCCAATCCTTGCACAACTTAGCATAATTTGAGCACTGAAGGTCAACAAACTTGACATTCCATCATGTCACAATTCACCACCGTGCAAACTTCACCTCATAAGCCTTCTGTGGGCTCTGCAGATTTTGGTGGATTGGCAGTGAACAAAAGATTAAGAAAAGAATTGATGACTTTGATGGTACGTTCTTCCCTTCTCTTCACCTTCATCGTACATATAGATGTCACTGTCGTACTCTATATTCAAAGAAGGATTTCTAGACCTTGATAGAGGATAGCTTGAGATTGCGAGGGTGGTGAGCTAGAGCTGATGAATAGACAAGTCCGACTTCCGGGATCGTATGTCTCCTTACTGTCCCTCGTACCAAAGTCACTCTGTCAGATATTTGACGTCTACCGCAAACGTCAATCACGGGTCAGCCGAGACGTATTTGGTCCTATTCCAAGATCTCACTCATGAACGATAGACGTTCTTCAGCTCAAGTGGATAGCTTACGGAACAGTCTGCTTTTCCCGAAAGCGAGAATAATCTCTTTAAATGGCTTGGAACTTTGACAGGACCAGAAGGGACAGTAAGTTTCACCGCTGTATACTCTGTCCCACCTAACTTCGCTGAACCCTTTCCCCATCTTCTTTGTCTTTGACTACATGTGACTAGAGGAGAATGAAAGATATGGCCATTCTATAGTAAAGTCGTCGCAAAAGTGGTTTCATGATAATGCCACTTGACAAGATAATGGCGATGCGGAATGTAGGATAGAGCCTTCAGGGTGACAGCTGAATCATAGGTGTACGCCGGACTGACTTTCCGATTATCTCTATCGTTCCCTTCGGAGTATCCTTACAAGCCTCCAGTAATACGCTTCGAGACGCCATGTTATCATCCCAGTAAGTATCATGTTCATTCTTCTCCTCCGTTTCATGTGACATCAACAATTCTTATCAATCGCCATGCCGAAGGCCTGCTTCGCGACCTCTGAGCTGGCCGCGGCTGGGAACTCTTCCTGCCACCATGCCCCAACTCCGTAGCAATTTGGAAAACGGCGCCTGTATCACCACAGCAAATTCCACAAGTTACCAGCCAGCAACGCAGATAGCAAGCTGATCTCAGACGTGGCGCTGAAAACCGGTGACATTTGTCTCGACAGTCAGTTATTCTTCCTTGGATCTCCCATCGCTGACATTCCAGTCTTACAGGACAAATGGTCTGCTGTTTATTCCGTTCATACCATCCTCGTCTCTCTCCAAAGTCTCCTAGGAGACCCAAACAACTCTAGTCCTCTCAATGTCGAAGCCAGTCAATCTTGGGCTGACCAAACGGGTGAGTTCGTGCCAGGTCTGACAACTTCGCTGAATCACTGGTGACTGACCGACAGCGTTCAAAGAACGGGTCTTGACCAACTATCGACCTCTATGATATCTCATCTTGAATGTATATTTGTACTCGTAGTATCTCATTTCGGATGCATCCTGTTTGAGTGTATATTTTGATGACCGAAACCGAATATTCCAATACTTGACTCGCTACATAAAAGTCTAGGGCCTTCTAGGTGCAGGACCGGCAGCAGCCCCTGCGCCTGCGGCAGGTCCAGGTTGAGGACCTTGACCCACTGCCATCCCTCCCCAACTGGACAAAAGACGTTTGACTGTGGCCCACGCGTTTTCGACGGCCTGACCTTTCCCAGCGACGAAGCCATCAACTCGAGTGGAAACAGCAGTGACGGCTTCTCGGGTGAAGGGAGAGGCGTGATATCGGAAACGGATGAAGTGCGCTACAAAGATTGGTGCGATGAGAGATGTGCGGAATCTATCGAGGTCAGCGCTGTGGCGTGCTTCACGTATACACCTTCGTAACACGCGCGACTCATGGGACTTTTGCTGATTCAGTTCATTTCCGAATGATGGATAATGTACCGTGGGTAGTCTATGAAAGTGAAAAAAGAAAGAAACACCCACGTCAAAGCACCAACGATGACACGAGCTAAAATGGCCAATTCAGCATACGCGACAAATCGCATAGCTCGGTCGTAGTTCGACTTGACCCAGATCTGAATTTTTCTGCCCGTTGCTTCCAGTAACGCAGGAGGCGGACGAGGTTGCCCAGCTTGCGCGGGTGGAGGAGCCCTGACATGAGCATAGCCTCAGATCCTAGTTGACATCACTACGCGAGAGTGTACAGTTCTGGAATGTGGGGGAATCAGAGACTAGGCCAGAGCGCCAATACTCACGGTACGAATTTTGGGATGATATTAGTCCGTAGGAAAGTAAGACAATGAAATGTAGAAAAGGTCGCAAATGGTAAAACCGAGACTGGAATTTGATCAGCGAAGAGTTCAATAGGTGCGATACAAAGACATACTGTTGATAGGTTTTGAGATCCACCTATCTCGTCAGCGTTCGACTTCATCAACACGAGACCACTTCATCCGTGAAGCTCAAGCTTGTTGACCGCCCAGTACATGCTATCATCATTCTAATGCCGTCTAGAGAGCTGGCGGAACCTGAAGAACCAGAAATGAGATAGACAAGACGGGGTTGAGGACGTCTAGAGGGATGAAGGAGTGAACTGAACCCTCACCAATAAAGTGCCAAAACGGCATATTGCACATTCTCATCGACAAACGCTCTTCGTATCCAAGGTTGTGTCAATTGAGGTTTCCCCAGAGTCTTCAAGACCACAATAGCGTAAGACATGAGTGCACCGGAATAACCGATTTTGTAGATTGTGGTAGGTGTGGGACGGAAGAATAATGTTTGCAGCAGTATGTATACTGTCGAGTTAATCATCATCCTCCCTTTCTTCATGAATCATTTTACTGCAGTATATTGCCACCCAAAAGCGAAAGATTGTCCTCGTGGGTAGAGTAACGAAGGAGCGAAATAGATGTCAACTCACACGAACAACTCAACATCAACCCGTGACCTAAAGCCCAGAGATAATGGGGATCTACAGCAGGCATAGTGGCTATCTCTCTGTTTGGGATTCACTCGCTATAAGAGTACGTTATTTAGAAGTGTCTGATGAGGGAAAGTAGGATGAGCAAAGAGAAAGAATTATACAGCGACAGATGGAAAGTAAGTATGCAATTGGGTGAGGGAGGGAGGACGACGATGACGCAACTAAGCCGCGTGGGTGAAAATCGCCGGTGGCAACTCGTGGCGTGTGGCACTTCTCCTGCTTCCCTTCTGGACAATCTTGTACAAAAAAAGGTAAGTAGATGACGACTGGCTGCATGACCGGCGAGCACAGTGTCAAAAGACGTAGGAGGGTAAAAAGACATGGCGGGGGAACTCCTAAAACCAGGAGTCATTGTCAAGACTCCAATGAAAAGTTCCTTTCCGAGTCGACTCCTACCTCTCTCTCAAACCACATCCTTTCATTTTTTGAAACGCTTTCGAACGCTTGCAAAATGACGCAGTACAAGCTACCTCTACCTTACGATTGTAGTACAGTTCAGTTGAGTCTTTCTCCATCAGGAGAGTTGGAGTCATGTCGAAAATCAATAACCTTCCGTCACAGGTGGACATCCTCCGATCTAACAAAGCGGCGAAGAAAGGCCCTGGAGCAAGTGGGATCAATGATACCATAACGGTATGGCCCAAACCTGAATTTGTGAGTTATTCATTCTCTTTCACCTCCCAGCTATCGTCCCCTGGGTGATCTAGGAGCAGTTCAAGCTGATGCTTAGGGCCCCGGAACGACGATAGATAACATTACAAAAGAAGGAAAGACAGCGGACGAATTTATCCTGCCGGCAGGATCCATGTTCCCTCTTGGTTGTGCTATACCCGCCCATACCGTTCTACGCTATGGAATGTACTTTCCTCCAGGTACAATGGTCAGTACCTGTTCTTTCCTTCTTTCCCTCCTAGTCTTACATATCCTTCAGTTACGGATCTCTGTGTCTGCTGGAAATCAAGGAGCTTAGAGCGACTACAGCATTAATCAAGGGAGTCAACTCGCTGATGAGATAGTTTCCTGATGGTGTTCTCGTTCCCATTCATGCCCGATTCGTATCCGTACAACCTATCGAAACGGACAAAGAGGGAGCTCCTACCATTGAACCTCAATGCGTAATCCAATAAACCTTTCTTCGATATCTTGACTCCTTTCTCGATCCACCGAACAGTCCAAGCAAAACAAGAATTCTTCCAAACCAATACATTGCATGTTCAGCCAAGATCCCAAATTCTCTTCTTCATTGAATCAACACTTGCCTTACGCCGCTTCTTTGGTCATACGGATTGGTATGGCCCCTTCACATTCCCAATCCACACCATAAATCTCTCCAGTCATTGCGCAGACGAAATACAATCGATTGCGATCTTCAGGGGTGCTACCGAAAATACAGTTCGTTACGGTTGCCGGTCCGGGTCCAACGGTGGGCATAACAATACGAGCTTTGGGTAGACCATGGGGATCTACAACAAATATACAGGCGAGGGAAGGATGACAGATGAAAAGATTTCCTTTCACGTCGACTGTCATTCCATCGGGTCCGGCAGTGCCGAATGATGAGACTAAAGTTAGCGTTGCGTAAATTGTGAACAGCGACTATACTACGTTTCATTACCCCTTTAGAACAGTTTCTTGCTCGCGTCCAAAAGTCTCTTATCTCTGTACGGAGCAATGTAAGACGCAATTTTTCCAACAACAACCTGGAAGAGTCACAGTGACTTACACGACGATTGTTGAGAAAGAGAGATGTTGAAGGACAATGTTGAGGGGAGGTGATAAACTTTACGGCTCACAAAATTTGTTCACTTTTGTTGTTGTTCCATCAGGATGTAATGGACAACGCCAGACCGAGTTCTCTCTAGTCATAGCGACATACAAAGCACGTTCGTCCGGAGTGAGAACAAGACCATTCGGACTGGGTCCATTACTGAGCAGAGTGTCGAGTCTACCTTCAGGTGAAAGACGGTAGACACTTCCTGTGGGGTCTGACATGCCTGTTTGACCTTGATCTGTGAAGTCTGATCATCAGTACGAGCTAGCAGGGAGATGAGTTGAACCTGTAGAGAACACGAGCAGAGATCTTCATAGATTTCACCTGTCACTCATGATCCACCGGTTTATCATTGCTTCCAAAGTCATCACAGGGCAGTAGACGGAGGAAGAGCGAGAGAAGTGGAGAGGAAAATGAAAGACGGAACCCACATAGATCTCCGGTAGAGGAGAAAATGAGGTCGTTGACACCTTTCCAGCCTTCCATGTTCCGTCGGGTTATTAATTTCGAGATTTTTCCATTTGAGGGGTCTAATAGTAACTGGAAAGTAAGCAACCGGAGATCAGATATAGCTCTACTCCGAGGCCGCCATCAGAAGGTGTGCCTTTGTAGACCTCAAGAAAAGGAGGCGTAGTCCTGGGGTCTGACTCGAATCGGTACGTACAACGGGGAAATGAGGAAAAACGTCGGGGGAGTGGATGCATGAACTGCATGCGGAGCTGGAGACTAAGGAGAGAAAACGATACGAGTACATGAAGTTCTGTTTAAAGATAAAAAGATAACAAAAGTAGTCGGTAAAGATCCAACCAACTCACCACACCCTCCTTATAATCCGCAACAGCCAGCATGCCATCTTCCCTCACTGCCAAACCATTAGGTTCACCTTCCCATTGACTAATTTTCGTCCATTTTTTAGATTTGAGTTGGTATTTCAACACTTGACCATAAGGTACGTCGACCACGAATATATTACCTTGAGGGTCTGTTGTTATTCCTTCAAGGAAGATAGATGGCGATCTGCCTGTACTCGCTGGATTGTCAGCTGATTCAATCAATTCGCTTGATCCCGTTCCACTTCCATCTTCCTGAGTGATCTATATTCCAAAGTGTACCTCCATCTTGATGTCGTGCTCTCAATATGATGGTCTTGTATTTGTGCAGTACTCGTACTCCCCAATGTCATTGTTCGGACTTGTAGCTCGGCTGTCTGTAGGTATTCACCTCAACTTCCTACAACCGGCCTAGCTGCCAGGACGCAGGACGCAGCAAATCATCTCATTTCTGAGTTTTCGGTGAGAGATATATATAGACCCGACGATTACGGAGAGAGAGAAAGACGTATTTCTCATGAAACTCTTACCAACTTTTGATGGTTTGGAAAAGAAGGGAGGCGGAAACTCACGATGCAACCATTCTGTTTCTGTCGTGGCATATAATTCTTGTGGTACAGTAGCTACAAGTTCTGCTGTGAGAGTAGGAGGAGGAGCAAAGAAGTTCATCTTGCGACTTGAGATATGATGCTCTTGTCTTCAATGATTATCCGTCCGTTGGCCTGTTGTCCTACAACACGTTGCGGAGGCCCGTTCAATCTCCAGAATCTTCGCGTCTCGATCGGTTCACTTAGCCCTTGGCGGATGTGAACGAAATTCGGACCAAGACCGTGAAAGTAAGATTATAACGGACTCACTCCGTATCTCGACGACTTGAGTCTCAGGGAAAATGGGCTTGCGTTATCCCCCTCCCCCAACAGGTACAGAGAGTTGGCTTTGTGGCACATGACCACAAGACATACTTGAGTGGGAGTTAGTGATGAATGCGCACGCGTGCATATTCCATTTTGACACCTGTTAGTTACATAATTTTTCATTCAAATCCCCAGACACCCGGAAATGAGATAGTCACTACTGTCCCCAAAGATGACCTCTGTCCTACAATTATAATGTAAGGCTGATTTTACTACTACGTCTACAAGTTGACCTCTGAACCCGTAGACGAAATCATGACACGGATCAAGAATCAAGGTGAATACCTAAATCTCGGATTACGTTTATCCGTCTCATCCGCCAAACCAGAAAGGATAATCTCTTTATCTTCATCAGCCCCTATTACCCTACCCTCATCCAATTTCTCCCGACGTTTGTTCTCCGCCGTAGCGAGAATCCAGAAGACGATAGCAAGAGTGATGAACATGGCTTGAGAGGCGATCACAAAGATGATACCGTCTTGATATCTAGGTGATTGTTTAGCAAGGAAAGATTGAGGGATACAGATATTGGCGACGCAGTAAAGGACGAAGGTGATGGCTATGACAGTTTGTTTTTTGGTGGTTCCGGAGATGTTCTGACCGATGAGGGAGAGGATAAGGGGGTCTGTCAGAGGTCAGCACTGCTCGATGAGTAGAGAAAGGTCTTGAAAAGGGCAAAGGACATACGTGAGGTGAGATGGTAGTAGAAGACGAAGAGAGGCACGACTCACAAGCTGACTGATCGATGGAGAGTAATGACATGAAAGCGAGTGGAACAGCTTTGTTGGCACCGGGAACAGGAGGCTTTTTGTACAACACGATCTCACTGATGAGACTGACAATGCCGAGCCAGACCATGACGAACTACAGGATCAGCCGCCCGCTCTGTGGTGCACGCCGTGGGTTGATGGACATGATGTTCTGATTTGGATGACGGAAGAGACCGGTGAGAGTCGTAGACTTACACATTTCCTCGTTTTGAACCAATTGACATGAGTTGTCAAGTACCCGCACATAGGAGTGAACACACTTGGCACAGCCCATGAAGGGATTTGCAACAACAAGGCCTTCAATCCGGTGTATCCGTATCCTTTGATGATGACACCCGAAAAGTTCGACGCGATACCGGGGGCAGGTTGCTGGAAGACGAATAAGAACGCGAACAACCAAGTCTTGACATCGGTAAACGCTTCGACGATCTGATATTTTCTGTACAGGTGGGATTTGATACCCGTTTGCGACCGAGCGATCCGAGCGACCGCGACCGCCCGTTGTCGTTCAGTGTACCACCAGCAAGTCGAAGGTTTGTCAGGGAAAACGAACATCATGACTGATCCAAGGGCGATGGTGAACAATCCAAGTAGACAGAAGATCCAACGCCAGGCTGCGAGGGGATGTGAGGGAGCATGACCAATGGCGAAGTATAGAAGAAGGAAGGGGATCGGCATGAGGGTGTTACCGAGGGACCACATTGCGTATCGTATAGGTTGTTCAGATTGAGTGTAGAAACGAGCCGTCGTCGCTGTGAAGGCAGGCGCAGCGGTACTTTCGAAGATCCCCAACATGAAACGAATGGCAAGAAGACCGTGATAATTTTTGACGGCCTAGATGTCAGCGAGACGTCCATTACCACGTGTAAATACGAGAGGGTATTGAATGGCGGGTTGAGGATGAGCGAGAGAGAGACCACTGACCATGGTGCAAAGCATAAGACCACCCCAGATGATATACGCAGTAGCAAGTACCCGACCGACGTGATAACGTTGAAGCAGAAGAGTAGCGGGGTAAGTAGCTCCTAGTAAACCGAAATCTGCAGAGTTCTGTCAGTGGGACGGCCGGATGTATGAATGGTAACCACTCACAGTAGATAGACACTGCCCAACTGTATTGTGAACCGTGCAAGCCCAAATCAGTTTGAAATCCGAGAGTAGAGGCGGCATTGAGTGCGGTTTTATCGACGAGGAGACAACCAATACCCAAGTCTATCCGTCAATCCCGGTGTACCCTTTGAGTCGTGTTCACTGAGAAACTCACGCATGAGGGGAACGATGATGAAATCTGTTTTAAACTTGACTCTCTTAACTTCTTCATCGGTATAGTCAAGATCTTGTCTGAACAATCAGCTGACAGATCTCACATGTCTTAAAAAGGACGAAACTCACCCCTCTAACGCCTTGGCAGCATCATCCTTCTCCTGCGCCAGCTCATCAGCTTCAATGACATGTGGCAGACGCCCTCCTCTTTCGATCTGGTGGGCGGCAGGTTTATCGTCATAAGCCGTGGTGGTATTGGTGGTATTTGATACTTCTCGTTCCATGGCGGGGGTTGACATGATGGCCCACAGTTGCCCGTAGTGAACGACTGAGGAAGGAAAGAAAAACAGGAATGCTTTGTTTTCTCGTCTTCTTATCCTTCTTAGTCGGTCTGGGTACTCTTTGGTCAAAGGGTCAGACGCGGGGCGCGCGGGGCAAGGGTTTGCGGGATTTGGCCCCGTGGGGGTGGTAATTTTCGGTCGAACGCCGCGTCGAGTAAAGTCCCAGGGAATGGTATTGGTACGCCGTCGAATGCGAGACCAATGGTTCTGGTGGGATCAGCTACACATGGTCAGCTGATTGATGGAGTCACCATCAGTTCATGGTGATGACTACCGAATCAGCACGCTAGAGGTTTAACACTTTGAAGATACCAAAATGGAGGAAGACGCTCGTGCAAGAACAGAGTTGAGTCTAGGTATGTTTACGTAATAGACCCCCCCACGCCATTGGCGGTACAATGCCGTAGATCCGTAGATCCGAATGACTGGGGACAGCGCCGAGACTTTGGCTTGGCCCGTGCATGGTCCAGACTTGTGGCCAGTGCGGCTACTTCAACTTGCCGGATTCCGGACCGACGTGTCCGGTCGAAGTCGTACTTGTACATGTCAAGCCAATTCTTGTCCAGTAGTTTCAACAGAAGGAGAAAGCTCTGGTCAGACTGGTCAACGTTCGAGCAATATAAACCAAACCCAGCAGGCAAGAATCCAGACCAGAAGATTGCACTGATGGATCACGTTTATGAGTTGAAGTCGGAGGAGGCTTTCAACGTCGGCGCGATCATACGTTGCGACATTGCCACTGGTGCTAAGCCTGGTCGGTAGCTTGCTCATGCTGTCTGTCCTCCCAAATTCCAAGTACCCCATCTTCCATTAGCTGACATCCCCTTAATGAAACCCGACATCTACTCATGTCAATTGCTCACCTTCTAGTCTGCTCCACGGTGAGTCAGACTTTGCCATTTTCTCAAACCTGGGCCGTGGGGCATCTTCCACCCTATGACCCTACATACCTGACAAGAGACCGTTTCTCCATCATCGACTCCCCCGACTCTGACGCGATACCGTAGGAAAACTCTTTCGAGTGGCGTGGGTGGGGTACATGACGATGACGAAGGGGTCCAACAAGGGGTAGAAGAAGGAACCAATGACGCATCGGACAGAATTCCCAAGTCATCACGCACGTCCCCCCTGGTTCTTTCTCTGCTTTGGGCCATCATCAATCACTTCCGCGCTTCCCTTCTTTGCGTCTCTCACTATTAACTGATCAGACTGACGTCATCGCCATCTCATTTCATCTCCTTTCTCTTTAACTCTTTCTGACGTCTGACCCTCCAGCTGTCCATATTTCAGCAGAACAATGACCGAATACTCTCCGAAAGAGGGTCATGGGATACTGCTCAATCCTCGAGGCCACACTCTCTCAATCCACCTCACGCCCTGACACTACTCGTGTTTCCCACGCCTCACAAAAACTGCACCCTCCTTTTCTCCCCTATCGTCCATCCTGATGGGTCTTTCAATCACGTCCGTTGCCGCTGAGGTTATGACGCAACTTTTTGACGAGGCCTCGAGGGTATCTCCTTTGACAAGCGTGTTCACCCCGACATGTTATAACAAGTCTAGTAATTTGGCCTTCTCCTCATCTTTCTCTATTTGCCACTCACTCACCAATCCTCATAGACACAACCTTCAGATACAGGGGAGTTCTGGATTATGCCTCGTCAGACTTATGCTACCGGTCGGGCTGCACCGGCTTCCCTCTCGGCGGCGGCGTTTTTGATGTTTGTGAGTTCTTCCCCATCTCCAGACACTTGGTCATTGCTCCTCTTCCAAGAAGAACATCAAGACGCCAATGGAATCAGAGATCAGAGAGAGAGTCAGAGAAAGAGAGAGACTGACGTGTAGGTGGCCACATTGTTTTATTGGCTGGTAGCGTTCTCAGTTCCATTCATCAAACACATTCATTTCGTCCACACCAGGGAAAACGACGTCAAGGTGAGCTTCAGCATCCTTGGAAATACCCCAGGGCGCTGACGAGTAGTACGGGACATTCGGATGGTGTGCACTGGCCAATCGAGTGTGTTATCGTCACGTTGGGTAGGCGTTTCCCGTGTTGCGCCTTGTAGCTGGCTTACAAGTAGATACGCATGGCATCCCGAGATCATCGACAATACACATCTGACCGGATCGCTTATCCTCATTGCTCTTACCGCGGCGTTTGGAACATTTGCGTTCTTCTCGTTGCTTCACAGTCTTACCGATCTTAGGAGTGGAGTGTGCAGTTTTTTCCTCACTGTGAGTCCATCCATACTCTTGGTCTCTTCTCTTCTCTTTTCCCTTCCGCTTCCCCTTACCATCTCGCCCTTTCCATTAACTTAGTCAAATTTCCCGAAATCTCTACCCTATCTCCATTCATCATCATCATGGATGGACCGCCCATCATTCGACATCCATTGAAGTCAGATAGTCGAACAAGAACGATCGCTGACATTTAGCTTTTCACATCATTCCTCGCATTCCTGTCCTTCCTACTCGCTCTCATCTGCTTCGGCGTCGCTCATCACCGATTCAACCGAGCTTCTCTCGATGCCCACTACGGAGCTGCTCTGCCTCTCCTGATTCTGGGCTGGCTCATGTACATGGCTTGTATCCCGTTGGTCTTCATCGGTTGGCTCCGTGAACATCACTACCGCCGTCGAAACCTCGAGGCTTCGACTGTCCCTGCGACCCCTACGACTCGAAGGCGTTGGTTCTGAGCTATGGGAACCGACTGTGGGATCTATAATATTTTGGAACGTGTTTCCTTTAAATGAAGGTGTCGAGGAGTGATCTATACTTCCCTTGCGGATTCGACGACTGTACGACTCGTATGACCTTTCCCGACCTGTACGACTCTCATGAAATCACGAATTCACACATTTCCCATTAGCTTGATTCGGACTTATAATAGTGTAATGCCAAATACGATGCCAAATACGATGCAACCTCCTAATTCTGTAACCAGCAGTTTGACATTCTTTGCATATCCTGCACATCATTTGGAACAGATAGAAAGCGAAACGAGATCTCAGATAATTCATCGATGTCAAATTCTACCTAGTCTTCATCTTCATCTTCAGAATTAGGTTTGGTCTCTTGTCGCTTGCTCCAGTCAAGCCAGCTCCCGACGTAATTTCGAACGTTGTGATATCCCAGATTCTCCGCTAGTTCGGAAGCGGTAGCTGATCGTTTGCCCGAACGACAGTAAAAGATTATGTTCTGCGAAAGGGCTGGTTTAGGGAAAGCGAATTTCTGAGGGTCAGCCAGTGATTCTGAGTTTGAGTACCATGGACTGAACAAAACTGGTCCATTCGATGAACGAAAGATAAGGTTCCCTGAAAACGCATGTGCTAATCGTCGTTTTTCAAGTCGACGTCCAGGTCGACATGGGTGATATACAAGTTCCAAAACTTGTACTGGGTAGTGGACAATGGAGTGGATAGGAGGTGCAACGCAGAAAGGGAGTAGAAATAGAGAAGATCTTAAAAATGAAGACTTACCCGTTGGAAATCCCCAGGGTTCATCTTGACATCTAAAGCTTTTTGTATTTCCGACATTGGCAAGTTTACGGCGGAAGGTATCATCCCTAAAGCCGCTTCATCGGGTTCACGAACGTCAATGATGATGATTTCCTAATTCGTTTAGCTACGTCATTTTCACTTTTGTTCGTTCCGACTTTACATTCTCCCACACTTTGTCTCTTGTCATATCCCACTGTACCGCTCTTACTCATTTGTGACCATATGGTCAGATCTTCTCCAATTGGCCCTACACGGAATTTGACATGAAGAGATCTTGATGATACATGGTGAAGTATAAGTTTATTCTGCCAGGAAGATCGCACTGCTATGTGATGGACAGTGCAGCAGAGCGTGGGAGGGGGGTTCGGGGAGTCAATGAGAAGAAAGAGATAAGATGACTCACATCGGTAGGTTGTTGAGTCAAAGGTTTCAACTCTTTATAACTGATAATAGGATCTTTACTCGCCCAAGCACTACGGGTGATTAATGTACGGACAACCATCTGTCTCTGAGTCAAAACCATCGGTCTCACAGGAAGTATGTGGATATGACGAGGCTGAAGTCGAGGGAGGATGGTTCGTCGAGGGAGACGAGTAAGAGTCAGACGAAACATGTTTGGTTTTATATAAGACAGTCGTAGAAGAGTGGGGTTCTGGGTGTCGGGGGTTCGTATTGTGGGATTATACGATGATTTGGATTTATACGATGATGGAGTCGAATGTCTTGATCTATACGATGATGAAAGAGTCGAGCGTGTTGATTAATACGATAATCAAGGAGTCGAAGACACCCTTATGAGATGATAGAGTTGAGTTTTGTCAATACTTTGTATTTGTATATCTGTACGATGTACAATGTGTATGGGGTCGAATGACGAAGTCTCTTGCAAAACCGGCCAATTCGGAAAGTTGCACTTTTGGCTGGGACATGACGTGGCTTTACCTCTCTTTGGGCTTATCACCGTTCAAAAGTCAGGTTTCTACAAAGACAAAGTTTCTGTATATTGGTGGTGGTAGAAACACACATCTACTCCTCATGCAGTCTTACCTCCCTATCACCCTCTTCAGACGATGTCTCCGAGCCCCTCATCGTAGAAACCCAAGATTCTTCTCTTCTTCTTCATCCATCTACGCTCCAAAATCAAGACATTCCTTACTCCCCCATTCCTCCCCATCAGCACTTTCCGCCCTCCTCTCTCGACTTTCATTACCCCCTTCTACATCCCTCCATCCAACATTACAAGCATGTCTGACACATCCTTCCTTTGTAACTTCTTCAACCGATGCTTCAGGATCGACTGCCGAATCTGAAGAAATACAGACCAACGAGGTTTTATCAAGTTTAGGGAATTCTTTACTAGGTTTATTCGCATCTGAGAAATTGGCAGTACAATATCCTCTTTTACCCACTGAAGCTCTGAAGTTAGCCGTCACAGCATTCGTCGGACCTCATGCTTGTTTCTCCGTCGCAAGAGAACTAGGGTTGGGTGTGAATGGAGAAGGACATCCTACGGGTGGTGTGACCGTCAGATGGGTAAGACCGCAAGAAGAAATAGGGGAGATGGAAAGGAAAGATGTCGTTCCTCTGGCTTCGAGATTCAAGAGGTTTGTGGGTAATCAAGAGGGAGAGGGGAGAGTAGGGGCAAAGAAGAAGAGGGAAAGTTTTGAGGATGTGGTGGCTGATACAGTGAGGGCGTTTGTGGGGTTGATATATCAAGAGAAGGTGAGTCGCCGCATCAGTCACTCGACTCCACAGCTGCGAAAGAGACTGGTGTGTCTCCAAGGCTGGTTTTGTAATGAGAGCCGTGGAGGAAAGTAGGGGAGAGGCGGAATAAAGGGGTAACTCAGAACGAGGGTAAGAAAGAATACTGACTCTGTAGGGTATACACTCCGCAAGAGAATTCGTACATGCTCATTTCCTCTCTCGTCATCTAGATATGACCACCGTATTCACTTTCAAACATCCTAAACATATGCTCGCGAGTGTCGTGGCGAAACAATTTGCCGATGCTGGTATACCCCTAAAAGGCGGAATGGCGAAGATTGAGTCTAGGTGAGTCCCACGTCTGATCGCCCACTTTTCTTCACCATTATATATTGCACACTAAATTCTCCCACCTGGTTCACCTAAAATTCCTGATTCTGACTGAGCGTTTCTATTTAGTGTAGGAACACAAATAGGCAGGAGGAAACCCACTGACATCCAGAATACTTGCATCAACAGGTATCAACTCCCAAGCTCCTCTATTCAATATAGGTCTCTTTCTTCCCTCTGGTCTCAAACTCTCTGAAGGACATGGCTCTTCCCTCCGTATGGCTGAACATCGCGCTGCCGTCAACGCTCTTTTATCGTTCTTCCTCCTCCGAGGTGACGTCGGTCATCGTTTTTCGGGAATAATGGAGGGTGTGAGACAAACGCAAATAGGTGAGATGGGGGAAGGACTTCCTAGCGGGGCTTTGGCTCAGTGGCCTGTCAAAGATGGAGAGTTAGTGGGTGATGAGAGGGAGTCAGAATATAGAGGTGTTTCATGGGGTGGAGGAGAAGGTGTGGTAGACACTGGTAAGAAGGGTATGAGGAGATGACAGTTGCATGCACAAACTCATTTACCACTTGCACGTTGGCCTATCTCCCTTTTCCAACCTTTGTACCCCCCTGTGAGGTTGGAAATCCTTACATTTCATCTGGACAAGAGGTGAACTACAAGAGAGTCATCCGGTCAGTTGGAAAGTACGGAAACAACTTCCTTCCCCCCCCCCCCACTTTCCCCCACTTTTCTTTCCCAGATAGAGTACTTCAGACACTCCTTGCCAAAAGTCGATTTTGAACAATACTCATAGACTTTAGATTCGGCTCATGTCCCTCCTTGCCCCTCTCCTTCTTTCCTTACTCCCCTCTCAGCTCACTCATCTCCTCCTTCCTCGTCTGACCGCTTCTTTTCCAGCACTATTCCCCCCGTCTCCGAGGGGTTCACTGATATATGCGAGGAATTACAAATTAGTATTCACCCTACTTGTGGGGTCATACGTCGTTTGGACCTTCTTCGTTGATGGAAATGTAGAGGAAGGGGAAGAATGGTATTCCTTATTGGAAGTAAAAAGAGATGTAGATGATGAAGCTTTGAGAAAGGCGTTTAGAAGATTGTAAGTAAGCCTTTCAATTCTCACTTTCTTTTGTCCGTCCACTCTCCTCCCTCCTCCCTCTTTCAATGTTGTAGACACATCTCCATCAACATGAGCCTTCTCAGAGATCCCATGCTCTCTCTTTGCTTCTGAAAACGTCTACACAACTCCATGGTCCTCAAATGTTAAGGGTGTTTTATATGGTTCACAGCTCTGTGGATCTGTGTCCGCTACTAACCTGTACGTTGTCGTTGACATGACAGATCCCGTACCCACCATCCAGATCGTGCTGGAATATCACATTCAAATAAATTCATAATCCTTCGACAAGCATACGAGACACTTTCTGATCCTCTGACTCGATATGCCTACGATCGATTCGGACCTCAGGTGATAAGTTGGAAAGGGAAGACGGTGGGAGATTATCTGAAAAGAGGGTTGGCTAATGCTTCTGGGTTTTATTTGGTTTCAAGTGGTGTTATGGTGTTACTATCAAGTAAGTGGGTGTCTACTTCGTCATTGACGGCTGACGTTTTAGTTCTGGGTAGAGCGAAAGGAGGAGCTTTTGTATGTTATCTTCTTTCCTCACTTCGTTTTCTTCATCCTCATCAACAAAGAAAAAGACTATTTTCAACCTGTCTCCGGTCTCTCAAAATCCGACCAGTCTCATAAGTTCAGTGAAGGACCACCAGACCAAGATAGAATCATGAAAATTCGGAATAAGGTGATGAACGATGCTGATGATATAGTGGCGTATAACATTCTTCTTCATTCTTCTACTATCCGAACTCACACTCATTCTCTCTCCAACCCCATCTCTCCACTCCTCCCCACTATTCAACCTTCTTCCTCCTCCCTTCTCCACCATCCTCAGGTTTCTCATTCCACGCTCAGCACTCGAAGCGCCACAATGGGTTCAAATCAGTTGGTTGCATAGGGGTTTCGCAAGTGTCAGTATAGCCTTTTCTCAGCTGGCAGACGTATGGGGATCTAGGAGGGGGGAAGAATGGGAAAGAGTCGTTACTCTGGCTAGGGGCGTTGAGGCGGAGGGTACGTCTTCAGGTTCTATCCCTCTAACCTCCTCATTCGATGTTCCAAACTGTGCCCATGAAGCAGGTAATCAACTGTCACATTCCACAATATCGTGATGAACTTGGCTGTGTCGGTCAATCCAATCAAAGGAGACATGCGGGAATTATACGTCTCTACCTCAGCATGGAGAAATGGAAGGATGGAGGAGCGCCAAGGAGGAGATACAGTACAAGTAACTGATCTATAGCCGTGGCTACTTTCCAAGATACCGTCGTACCAGTCTTAGCGCAATCCTCGAATCCGATGGAGACAGAAATCGTCATCCAAAGGTCCATGCAACAAAGTCAGTCCAATCTTGACCTCATCAGCAACTCTGACCTTGAATGCCGATCCGCTAAGATGAAGGTGACACATGCTGACTAGTAGTACTAGTGGACAGGGCTTTATCCTCCCATCCGTCAATCCGAGGACCCTGGGCCAAAGCCGTGCTCCGTCTACGTAACCTTCACTCCAGTAAAAGAAAGAGAGAAGCGGAAAGACTGTTGATGGTCGCTACCACTATCCCACTCCCTTTGTCCCCTCCATCATCTCCTCGACTTGGACCGTATCGATGATGAATGCATGACATTGACGATGATGACAACTAATCGAATATGATGTGGTTACAATGCAATACTTACTGTATAATGAGGTGCTCTACCTAGGAAAAGAGATCTCATCAATGAGAAGAGCAGGTCGTAAAAGGGATCGATACTTCGTACTCTAGAGAATGAGAAATGTGGAAAAACAGAAGATCAGACATGCTACTCCTGTATCGTGTACGTCGATTCTTTCTCTTTGGCCCGTTGAGCAGGACAATCACACCATTCGTCTAACCATTTCTCATCCTCTTTTATCCGATCTAAAAACTTCTCACATGCTCTTCTATCGGCCATCTCTCTGGTACTGCCTTGACCTTGAACCAACTCTCGATCATGACAAATGACTGGAAGTGAGCTGGACTCGTACACAGAAGTGGAGGATACAGGGCAGATGGACATGTTCATGTGAATATAACAAAAGACTATTTACTCACTGGCAGAAGTATACTCTCCATCTTGTACCCCACGAGCTTCAATTTGACATTTGGTACAAGGCCGATGTTGAAGATAAAAGCTCCAAGCGGCTTTCGCATGTGTACTATGCTGTGTCGGTCCCACACAATATTCATCTTGTAATGGTCGGACGTATGTTTCGTAGATTTTCTTGACAGCTTCAAACGAATAGGCCGAGTCTTCCCAGATAGCACCGAATACTGCGTCCAGATGATCGGACAAGGTCTGTACTCAGCTTCCTCGATTGGAATTCAACAGAAAATGAAGTACGGATATGATGCATTTCAAATGACGAGAAGGGTATCAGTGACATGATTGAAGGTCAGCAAAGACGTCACTCACAGGATACGCAGGTACATTATACCAATATTCTTTGGTCGAACTATTCGTCTCCAAAAGACCAAGGTCTACCTTTCGTTGTGCCGCCTTCATCTTGCGTCTGAAATCTTTGATACGTTCTTTGGTCGTTACGTCGGCATCTCGGATCAGGTCAGCGAGACCGCAATCGATCACGATCGCTCCTAAAGCTCTCTGAGACTCAATGAGTATGTATCCCAAGACGATGGGGAGGAAAGACTAACATCATTCAATCTCGAGTGCTGAAGATAGTCAGCCGGGGAAGATACAGTATAAGCAGAAACTGTCTCACGTGCATATATGTCAATTGTCCGGGCAATGAGGTGGAATAACGATGCCAAATGTCATCCATCACCACTGAGATTCAGCAAAATACGCCATCTCAGATGAGAAATGCTCACAAAAGTCTAAAATTCCATCACCTAGAGATCGATACCGCCAAAAACGAGCTCTCACCTCGCGGTCGGCTGACATGCTCTGTTCATCAACTGCAGTCATACATCGTCTGGTCCAGCTCGACTCGAGTCAAGACATGCCAGCGAGGTATCAAGGACGGAAATCGAACCCACAAACACCGGATCGGCCCGACTACTATCTTTGAAATCATATCCCAACACCGACATCTTAGGTTGGAATGCGGCCATGAAGCCCTCCGCCTGTCGACTAGATTTTGACACCTTCACCGAGTCGATGACGGTCTGCCAAGAATCGATAACAACCGGAAGAGTGAGATGATGTAGCATTTTGACTGCGGCAGGCATCGATTTATCGTGAGAAAGGTAAGCCGCTCCGATCAAGGCCTCCAAAACGTCTGCCGGTCTCTAGTCATCAGCTAAGCCATCCAACTATGTCTCAGCTCACTTTGTCTCCCAGCATGACGGTATCGGCCTCTTTTCGTTTTGACGAACAGGATTGAGAACCCGAAGGATCTGCTTTCCAGTTGATTGGCATCCAATCTTTCACATTGGGTTTCTTGGACCGGATGTAAGGAACGATACCACATCGACCAGCTGCGACACGAAGGGAACTGTTGGCCAGCATGATACTGCGCTCCTTTTGTCGTTCACTCTCCGAAGTGTCCTTCATGTGCACGTCGACAGTGAGGATGAGCCGCAGAAGAGCATCGCCTAACATCTCTAATCGCTCGTATGATTGGAGAGGATCGGATATGATACCCGGGGAAGATAGAGCTTCGAGAGCTAGGTCGGGTTGTAGAAGGGATCCAAATAGAGTGGTATTCATTTCTCTTGCTAAAAGCTGATTGTCGAGCAAGGGCATAAGTCGTGGGATCATGGTCGCTGCTCGGTAGATATCAGGGGGTATGCAATATCGTTTCATGGTCTCTGGAATTACAAGCGACGTCACAGGAGAGTAGATGTCGGAGAAGAATCCGCCGTGACGAGCGGAATGGAGTGCCTCGGCTTCCAGTATTGGTTGAAGAGGTTCAGTGATCAACGGTCGATGTTTGTTCTTTCGGTCTGTGTAGAGTGCGTCGTAGATCGTCTTGTCAGGTAGCTTCGTGTCTGGAGAAGAAGGCATAAGGTCCGTTCGTACACCAGTAATTAGATAACGTTTGTCGAACTCTGCGCCTTGACAGACGATGGACCCTACTAGCTGGTCAAGCTTTGACGCATCACTCAAGTCAATCGGGGAGTAGAGCTCTCCATTGATGGTACTGATGTCTTCCCAGGCGATATCGTCACATGTGACCTTCTCTTTCTCACCCGCTTCTCCTTCCCCGGTAGTAATCTTGGAGGTCGGTTGGAGAGGTGCAAGTAGCCATTTGGATTGCTTCAGCTTGCCAGCGATATTTTGATTAAGCACGGATCGTAATACTCGTTGAGTAAAGCCGAACACAGCATTGAGATCCTCCTGTTTCACGATAATCTTGCCGCTCCTGGCCAACCGTATCTTCGCCGGTTGAGTCCCTTGAGATGAATTCTGTTCTCTTTCTATTTCGATCTCGAATTCGTGACATCTTTCGAACAGCGGAAGCGGTCGTGTGGTGAGCAGACAGAGTGGCCGACAAAAAATATCCTTCTCGGGGTCACCCACGGTCCGAGGGTGGATGATGGTGACGTGTAGATTGTCAGGAGTGAAAGGTGGATTGTCTTCCCAAAACTTGGCGAAGGAGTGATAGGGATATTGTGCCATGCCGAGGACACCAAATGCTGACATTCCAGATTTGGGAGGGATTGCGTCCCCTAAGCTCGCTTTCATGGCTTTCCACCTTTCGTTGCATGTTACACCTCGGTGTTTGTTCGTTCCCCCATTCTCGTCATCCACCGAGTTCGATTCCTTATTTCCCGGAATAGCTTCCTGGGGTTCTTCGGAGAGACCTGGATTTATGTTTGATTCCGAGACCACAAGTTTCCGAGATATCGTTTCTAAATCAATCTTTCCTTCATCGATGAGCTGTTGGACAAGTTCAAGGACAGCTGCCCGCTTGGCAGGCTTTGGACCAGGGTGAGGTTTACTAGTCATTTTCATTGATCCCCCACACGCTTCGGGTAATTCGACAGTACAATGAAGCCAGCTTTCAGTCCTGACAGGTGGTGAGGGATCTTCGTCATCTTGACCCTCTGCGACTTTCTTGATTGGAGGGGGTGGAAAGTGGACTTCGATCTTGGAAAAAGTGTAAGTAGGTCTTATGGCTTGTGGGGGAAGACGGAAAGATTGTAGATATCGAGCGAAGATGGAGCCAGCGTTGGTCATTGTCAGAATATCAGAGTGGGGAGTAGATGAACGAACTGGACGAGATGAAGTTTTGGTAGAAACGGTAGGGGTGGAATGGGATGCAGAAGTATGTCGAGAGGAAGAGGAAGGAGAGTCAAGTAGAGAGACTTTACGTTTGGTACCACGGGAAGAAGAGCTCGAAGAGGATACTTTCAGGTCTGACATGGTTCCTCGTTAAGAATATGTAGCTTCTGATGAGGCTTAACAGCGCTCAGGACTCACCAAAAAGTAGTAACTTAAATAAGAATAGAAGACGACCATCAAAGAGATCTTCTCGAACTTTGCGCGTAGGGATAATCCCGACGTGGCGCGAATTAATCCGGTTGAAATTTTACCACTTTGTCCCAAAACCCGTCACTCAACCCGAGGATCTTGTCACTGCCAACGCGAATCCCGTTGGTATACCGAAATTCCACCCATTCACTGAATACTTACTCAAGCATGTCCTGTCACATATCAAAACGTTGCCAGCAGGCCTCTGAACTCATTCATGTAGGTATCGATCCGAAAATCCTAATGGTTTATACGAGAGAGCGTTTTGATCACCGAATTCGGACAGCGCCCCGAAAGGATATCTTGATCAACCCCAGGCACTACTGGGCGTTGTTGAGGCATCATTTCTTCCACTCTCTCACTTCATCAATATGTCAACACTGTCTGTCCACTCTTCCGAACTCCTGCCTTTACTTCATGTCCAGGAATAATCAAGCTGATCAACTCATTGTCAACGCCCTTAAGAGGAAATCCGCTACTCCAGGTCGACCCCCCAAAGTATACTCTCCTCGGTCTCAGTCACCTTTAAATCGTGGGTCTCTCCTCTTGAAATTGCTTCAGGTTGCTCACATCCTAGCTCCTCCTCCATCTTTCGGTATTGGTACTTCGTCCAGCAGTCAGACTGAGCCAAGTCATAATAAACAATCTCGCTCTTTAACTACTCCCCAGGGTCAGCTCAGTACACACAGAGATCTCACCGTTGTCCGCCCTGACATCATGTCCTTACCTAACTCTCAGTCCCGTGGGTTCTTTTGATTATGTTCCTTGTGTGAACTGACAGTAGTTAACTCCGGAATCCCTCCTGTGTCTGCCATTGCTGTTACTTCACCAGAGTCTGGGTCCTGGACTGAACTTGTGATGGGAACCCCCTCATCTTCCTTATCATCAGGACATGTTTCGGCGCCTGATGCTTCTCCAGCTGTTCCAAAATGGTCGCCCTCTCATCCCGGAGCAGCCATGTCAATCGATGATCAGATTATGACAGCGAGACAAGAGGCTGCTGGGCGACTCCGAATTGTCAACATCTCCTCCGAATCGTACTCAGTGCCACTTCCTTCCCCTCGAGTCTTAGAAGTAGAGGCACCTCGCCTCGACGCCAGTCTTGGACACAGCATACGCCGTCTTGAAGGTTTCTGCCGTGTACCGAACCCCGATCTGCTGAATGACGATCGCTATGAACAGTTTGAGGTTGCATTCCATCATATTCCGAAGGCGTTCGACTCATTGGTCAGCATTTTTGTTACGATTGTTACCTGTGCTCATGCCTCAGCGCCAGGACTACCTCATCGAGGCCCAGTATATCTCAAAATGTGTGGAGGTTGAATGGTTGGATCCCCCAGGCTTATTGCCCGCCGATATTCGGGGTAGACACGGCCTCTTTTTTGTCGACGAAAGGGCATTGGCTACGTTTCCAGATCGGATGGTTTGGCGTTCCGTCTTTCGGTGCAGCGGCAACTGCAACCAGATTCAACCGGAGTCAGAGGCGAGGGAACAACATGCCGGGTACGAAATCGTGGGTCAAACAGCAGAAGATGCTCCTCACGCTTCTTCACTTCCGAACAGGAGGCTTTTCGGGAAATCACGCCCGAAGTGTGATCTTTTTGTTGAGGTAAGGTTTTCCCACATTATCCAATAACACATGCTGATTTCAGATACGAATGACACCCAGAAGTATCCAAAGAGGTGTATGTACCCTCATCCGCCCCAAAGCTGTCTATCACGGTCAGCCAAACCCCCTGGCATTGCTTCGAATTTCTCCACATCTCCGAAACTTGCTCCATGACGCTGCAACACTAGTGGGAACCACCGAATCCCGCCTCCGAATTCGGTGGTATACTTCGTTCTGCAAAATACACCCCTATGTTTTGTGGGTGAAAGCAAATTACCCCGAGCGTCTGCCTACTGCCAACGACTTCCAGACAGCGATCAGAACAGCGCTCCGACAAGAAAGGTTAGATAGACTGCCACTTGCAGCAATTAGTATCCTCCATTCTACCAATCCGGAATCTTTTCTTCAGTGTGTTACCTCTTTTCCGAAACAATCATTAGCTAATCGACAGCTGTGAATATCCCAGGGGGCTTGTTCTTGGTGGGGCCCAACCCTTTCCCGAAGACAGCAATTTTGTGGCAATTGTCAGTCCGAAGCACGCTTTGCAATCAGCCATTCGCCATGCCTCAGACCGGGGTCTCTTCCTTGATTCATCGTGGCGAAATAAGAATGCTATACGTTGTCCTGTGACCTTTTTAGCAACGGTCAATGAGTATGGTCATATGGTCCCTGGTGAGCATTCCGAAAGCTGACTATTTCGGAGCTGATATTGGGACAGTCGCTGTCATGGTCTCCAATCACGCCAACACTGATACATACATTGAGTTTTTGACCGTCGTCCGAAAGGCAATCAAGAAGGAAGCAAAAGCATTGGTAAAGGGCAAATCCTCCGTGGTATCCGAATACGAGGATGCAGAAACAATCCTTCTTAATGCCGAAGACATCACCGAAGACGGCTTTCTTCCTCTCCATTTCATGATCGATTGCGATGACGCTGAACGAAATGCCATTGAGCATGTATTCCCCGGTGCTCCGATTCGGTTGTGCCAGTTCCATTTCATGCATTCCGCCCGATCTCGAGCCCTTCGTTTATTTGGCAGCGACCTACAAGGGACCGAAAAGGCTTTTGCCTTCCTGGTCGCACTTCGGAGATGTCAACGGTGTAGTGAAGAAGAGTCTTGGCCAGAGGCTTTTGCGCAGCTCGAAGCGGAGGTTGTCTCAATCAGCAATAACAACCGCGAAAACTGGGACAAGATCCGAACTTGGCTCCTGTCTGAGTGGTTCAGTGACAGATGGAGGAACTACCTTCTTGATTATGGTCTGCCAGCTCATCACACCCGGGATGGTACCTTGTCAACGAATAATTTTGTCGAAGCGGCTTTTCGGACGTTCGACAGAGTATTCCTTGAATCTCGTGCAAACAAACGTACCGACAAACTCCTCGCCATCATCATTGACGTCTACTTCCCCATGTATCTCCATTCACCACCCACTTCTGGCCGCTGTGATCCTACTGTTCTTGGACACATACTTCGGGGCCTTGAACTGTGGGAGCAAGGAGCGGTACATGAATGTTTCGGAGACGAGATTCCAATCTCGATAAGGGGTCAGTTCGACCACACGTTTTGTGTGACAGCAGCCACTTCGGGCCAGCCTTCTGCCAACAAACATTACTGTGGTGTGAAGGACGAAACTCGTGAGCGATGCTCCTGCAAGTATTTTGCCGAAACGGGGAAGAGGTGCTCTGGTCTGTGGGCACTCTACTGCTTTCGGAACTGCGGTACCTCCGAAGATTATACAAGAGGCGTCACATCAAATGAAATACGTATGCAGAGCCGAGCTGCGCAGGTCTCACGACGATTAGCCGACTTATCATATTCAGCGGATCAAGAGGACCTGGTGGCGTACTGGGGACATGACCCCTCAGAGCCTGTGTGGCATGATTGGTCCTCTGAACAACCTCCGAAACATGGCAAGCTCATCAACATCGACAGTAGCAGCCTTGATTTTGTGGAGCCTGACTCTCCAATAGGCCGCCGAAACCGATTCCAAACCGCAAACACTGAGCCCCTTTCAAATACTGCTTCGGTGATCCAACCGAAACCGGAGGCTGATAAGGGAGGGCGACCCGCGGCTCACCGTGCGTTACATCCTTATCGTCAGAAGACTGCCCCATCAAAAGCTGGTATTCGTCGGGAAGCCCTCCCTTCGCGAGAACGCCCGGTTGGGGCCAAGAATTATCTCCAATCTTGTTTTGCCCTGTCCTTGTTTCATGTGATTCTCCGAATCCCAGCCTTTGTGACGGCTTTCAATGAAATCAAAGACGCTCTTCGGCCTCATGCTCCTTCGTTAATTGTCCTTCTCGAAGACTTCTACAAGGCAATTTCGGTGTCAAAGCGTGTAGTCGATCTTAAAGAAATTGTCCCCCTTCTCCGAAGTATGTTGCTTTCATTCAGCCCGTCTACTATTCCGGATCTTCATTTGCTGATCTTCAGGTGAAAGTTTGATAGACCAAGAGGCTCAACATGATCCCTGCGAACTGTTTCTCAACCTGAGTGGCCGAATCAATCAGATAATCGAACAGAATCCGATTCGGAAAACCTTTGAATTCGGGGTAACCTGGGATTACGTCTTTCAGCCCTGTGCTCACTTTGCCCCGGTCGCGGTAGAGCTACCCACCCTGGAGAAACAAATGTCTGTCCTGCAGATCTATCCACGTGGATCGTCACTCAATTTCGTTCAGCTCATCAATCTATCGTTGTGGCGTTCATGCAGTCCCCAACACTGCTTTTCCTCGCCTTGTGATGGTAGAGTAGCAGCCACTCGAGCTCGAGCCAAAATGACACTTCACAAGGAAAACCTACCGCCCATGTTGCTCTTCAACATTGTTTGGGACCTCCGAAGTTCTTCTCTGCATCAAGTAATTCAATCATTTGATATTCCAAACATGATCAACCCGGCTCAGATTTCGGCTGTCCCTCCTACCATACTCCCCACCAATCTGCCAATGTACAGACTCAAGGGAATGCTCTGCCGAAAGGGAGATACGGTCCAGGTGACCAGTGGCCACTATGTGGCTCTGATCAAGGATGACGTAGCATTGTGGGAGATTGATGATGAGACCACTTCTCGCATGTTTCTCAACAGGGACGCATTTACTGGGACACGATTCCCAGTCTTACTGTTCTATGCTCTTGAAGATGGCGTCAACCAGGGGGCAAGTCAACCCCTTGCCAAGAAGAGAAAACTGAATAAGTCGAGTTCCAAGGTGAACGAGGCAGCAAACGGTGCTGGTGTTGGTTCAACACCTTCCGAAGTGCTGAAAGCTCAAAATCAGGAATCAAAGGGGCAAGGTAGTCAGGCTCCGAATTCGGAACTACTTGAAGCTCGTCCTCCGAAACCCAACACTCCAAATGAGGGCCTTCCGATTTTGACCGAAAACCAAGCTCTCCCAGCCACAGTTGTCCTCTCCACGACCTCGACCACCATCAGTGCCCCTACAGACTCCAACGCAGGACAGCCCGACGTTGTCCCTCACGAGACCAACCCCACCATGTCCACAGTTCCCCAAGATATTGAGCCACCTGCCAACAAACCTCCCGAAACCATGCCATCTTTATCAGATGACGTCCTACAGAAGGGTGGATCCCAGGTTGTGTCCGAAAGCCACCCAGAAGCTGTCAAGGTCAGTCAAGAGGATCCAAAGCCCTCAGCCTCTTCGTCATCATCCATGGACATCGACCCACCAAGTGCCTTCCCGATTGAAGTTCGAGACCCCTCTCCCGAACCTCTGGTCCCTAAGTACTGTCAACTTGAGAAGTCTCAGTCAGTAATTGCTGAAAGGCTGGCACATGTTCAGTGGCGTTCAGGCGACACCCATCATCCTCTCATTTCTGTCAACACTTATGAAGATGTTGATAGCCTTTCGGATGAACTCGTCGAGGACCTATCCCGCCAGATTGAAGCTGGCTTGAGGGATTCACCCCAAGAGGAGACCCGAAAGGGGTTGAGACTACAGGGTCTAGTGTCTACATTTGATGCAGAGACTTTGGCCAAGTTTCATGGACGGATGAAGTGGTACACAAACTTCGGGATCGATGATATTCTGCTGTCAGTGTCAGCATTCATTCGGAGCTGTGTCAACCTTGGGATTGGAAAGTCTGATTCCATACCAAGCTCATTTGTTTACCGAACACTAGCGGCTGGGGACAACTGGAATCCATACACACCTGGTGGTACTCCTTGGCTCTCACTTGGCAAGGATGGGCAATGGAGAAGGGAAATCACCGTTGGAATTTTGATGGGTAAATCACATTTCGGAACATTGGTTATCTTCGGGCCTCAAAAGCTGGTATTAATGTATGATGGTGCTGGTGGAATCTATGACTCACCAGAGCAGAAGAAGGTGTGTTATTCATAGATCCTACTTTGAGGTATGACATGACTGATCAATAGCAATGGTCTCATCTGCTAGAGCGACGGCTGGATTGGGAAGTGAAGAAAGGAATAGCGACCGAAGCCGAGGCAATGGGCTGGTTGGTTGCTGTGAACTCTCAGGTGAGTAATTGCAGGTTTCGGGGCTCATGGCTGACACAGAAGGCTACTAGGGACAGTCTTGAATGGGCTACTCAAGTCGACTCTCATAGCTGTGGACCTCTCTCATGTGCAGCTGCATGTCTTCTTCTCCAGGGAATCAAACCTACCGCTTCCGCTCTTGGTCTGAAATCATCCAATCTAGCTAGGGGCGAGAGCAGGAAGCTCCGAACTAGCGTGCTTCAATTGGTGTTGGCAATGGCTGCAAGGGATCCAGCAAATGAGATTTTCTTCACTCCGAAAGTGAAGAAACAGCTGGAGAAGTGTGTGCCTCCCATGACTTATTACATAGATCGTCTGTAGAGATGTCAAACAATCGCCTCTGTCACTCATCTTTGATATGCAACTTCATTCCGAAACGAATAACACTTGCATCAGAAAGGTGGTTGCACCGCGTGCAAAGCGGTCCGAAAAGTCTCTCACTTTGGATTAGTACTTGCCTTCCTGCAAATATCGATTGATAGCACGGTTCAGCCTCCCGAACTCTGCTCATTTACATGCATATGAATATGATTTGGATGTTACACAGGATGAAAAATCTGCAGGATTGTTCAATGTGCGTGCAAAGACACCGGCAGTTCATAAGATTGAAGAAGGGACCCCCGAAAGATGCCCATTTCGGTTGGTTGACTCATATGAGCCCTGGAACCAACATAGTCCTAGCAGTCAAGTCTTGAAAGATGGGCCAAGGCAAGCAGGCAGAGACATGAAATGCATGATATGTACTAGTTCACACATAATTGAAACATCTTGACATCCAAACATGGAAGGGAAAAACAGAAACAGTTGACCATAACCCGAAATGAAGTCCCGAAACGTAGACCGAAAGCCGAAATCTGTAAGAATACATACAAAAGAGAGGTGACATTGGGTTTACAGCCCCAATTGTTGAGAACGGTGGAGCTCCTCATATGAAGGAATGGCGGCAATACTAACACGGATGGTCGAAGGTGTAGTCTCGGAGGTTGGAGCGGTGGGAAGGACATTTAAGGCAGGTGGGGAAGGATCGTGACTAAGGGCTCTCCGTCTGTTAGAGTACTGACTTGATTGGGATTGTTGGCTTTCATTTTGGAGCCTCATTCGTAGCCGAGAATTTTGCTCTTTGACTTCTTCAAGCTCTGATTCAAGATCGTTGATATTAAAGTTGGCCCTCTCCAACTCATATTCATCCCTTTCGGCGTTGCCCTCCAGTTGACTAACCTGTTCCTGCAAGTCTTTCACTTGCGATTCCAAGCCCACCTGAACGTCCACACAGTCCGCGACGAAGTTTGTGGCCTGGGCCAACTCCTTCTGAACAGCATCGTTTGCCGTCTCGAGCTCCGAAATGCGAGCTTTGAGAGCCTGCACTTCGGCAGTTGCCTTCTCCTCCACCTGCCTCATATTGGCCTCCAGCTCTGTGCTCCGTTTCTCCGCCGCTTTGTAAGCCTGAGCTTGCTTCTCTGTCTCCCCCAAAGCACTAGCAAACCTCTGGTTCATGATCTTCAGCCCTTCTTGTGTCTCCAGAAGTTGACTTCGGATCACCGCAATTTCGGCATTCTTTTCGGCAGTTACTCGAGCGACGGCCACATCCCGTTCCTCATTCTTATCAATCTGTTGTTTATACAATCGATCCAGTGTTTTCACCTCACCCTGTGCAGTATCCCTCTCCGAAACAACAGAATCAAATTGAGCCTTATACTGACTCCACGTCTGATCGACACTCTTGACACCCGAAATGGTGTTTTGTAGACTTTCGGAGTAGGCTTCGGAACGTCCGCGATTGATATCCTTATAATAAACCATCATGTCCGAAACATAAGATACCATCCGGGAAGCGAACGTTTTTTCAAACTCAGCCTGGGTGACCTGAAATTGGTTCATGAGTTTGAGGCATTGTTCTACTTCAGGCAACGTAGTCGGTGGCCCAGGAACGTAAGGAGCAACCATCACAGGAGCAGGCTCATCAAGGGACGGAACAGAAGGCGTATTGGTGAGAAATTGACGCTGACCTTGAAGATTTGGTGGAACTTGTGATTCGGTTTGTTGGGTGTGACTGATAGCACTACCCGAAGGAGCGTTGTAAGAGGGGAGAGGACCCAATTGGGAGAGAAGGCCAGGAACACCGAGTTCGGACTGGGCACGGACAACGGCAGTTGCAGGAGGAGTATGAGGCGGAACCGACTGGGAAGCGAAAGGCGGGGGAGCCGCCTGCCTGGGAGACAATGTCGATGTTGCATTGCCGGTTGAGATGTTGGGAGCAGCACGATTCGGGAGTCCCGACGGCTTTCGGCCCTTCTGAGCTAACCACTGCTGCATTGCTGCTATGCCACCTAGCGAGGGAGGATTGGGACGGATTTCACGATGCACTGGGATGAGGAGCGAGGACGGTCCGGCTTCGGCATTTGGCAGTTGAGAAGATTTCGGCGCCGGGGAGGGGCTTGGTAGCAGATTCGGAGTGAGGCTTTTGTCTGTTCGGCGGGGTGGAGGGCCTACTGGAGATGAATGGAATTGAGCTCCAACTGTTGCAGCTAATTGCGGAGTGAATGGAGCTGGTGAAGAGACGATACCCTCGTCAGTAGCAGGGAAAGGTACATGATGGACCGCGGGGGGGAGTGTGGGGTCCGTTTCGGGTGGGTTAGGACTCTTTTCGGACGGCAACTGCCGACTGCGTTTCGGTTCGAGCTGAGAGTCTTCAGCCTCTTCCAATGGACGCTTTGTAGGACGAGGCACAGGACTACTTGCAACAATAATGGGCAGGCCAGAAGTTCCAGGATGTGAAGGAGGAGGAGCAGTTTCGGAGTGACCAGCTTCGGAGGGGGGATTTTCGGGAATATTGCTCAGTGTTTTGGGAGGTCGAGGAGGGAACTTTGGTCTTTCCTGTCGCGCATTGAGGGGTTGCTTAGGAGATGTTGGAGCGCCATCCTGGCCTAAGCCATCTTCAGGTTGCTCCAGAGATGTTGGAGCGCTATCCTGGCCTAAGCTATCTTGAGGTTGCTCGAGCAACGGAGAAGGAAAGGCGGATGTTGAGAGTTCGGTTTCGCCCTGAGAGTCAGCAGTTATTCCGTGCATTCAGGTGAAAAGGCAAAAGACTCACTTCGGACTGGGGCGGCACTGAGACAGGAGTGGGAGCTGGACTGACGGTCCGATTCGGAGGTCTAACTGTCCATTTCGGAGCTCTCTTTGGGGGCTTCACAACACGTTGAGGATCGCTTGGCCCCACCTCTTTCCCCTTGCCCTTCGGCGTGATAGGCGCCTGCACTGGAACATCTGTTAACCCTCGTGCTTTTGACGTGGCCCCCCCTTTGCTCTTGTTGGTAGGAAGGGGAGGAGAAGGAGATTTCGTTTTCGTGACCCCTTTCGCAGAGCGAGTCCTGATGGTGCGGGTTTTGGACGGGCCAGCGGGGGAAGGAGAACGTGATTGGAGGTCGGAAGAAGATTCCGATTCGGCACTTGACGTATCAGAGTTATCCTCTTTGACTTGAGAGACCTTCTTCGGTCGCTTTCGGGTTTCGGACGGAACGCCGAACAACTCTTCAACCGGTCTCTTCTTGAATGAGCACGGCACTTGAGTCTTTGTGTTGATGTAACAATTATTACAGACACGAAATTCGGTTGTCCACCTATTGAGGAAGACAAGATTGCCTTCGGGAACATTCACACATTTGAGATCTTTATGTCTGACATTAGCTCCAGAGTTCTGAATTATCCCGAATTCGGAGACCACGAAGACTGATGAAGAACTCACGTATATGTAAAAGCGGGAATAATAAAGGCAGTATGACAAGTGTGGACCTTCTTTGGTTCAGCTGCCGAATAGCATGTCGATCCTCTACTAATGGCCCGAAGGCCATTGTCCTTCATCTCCTTGGGAGTGGCTTCCCGAAGTCCAAGCTTCCCTGCGTTTTGTGGGAGATGCCTGGGGTGGGAGTGCCACCAGGGCTGAAGATAGAATCCAAGCTGAGCCTGGAATGCTTGCAGCGACTTGTCATTCTTCCATATCGGGTGCTGTGGCTGAAGAAATTTCTGAAAATGAAGTTGATCCGGGTGCAGTTTCTCACCCTTCGGGGGAGTAACGGTCGATTTATCGGACTTGGGGTTGTATTCGTTGCCCATCTTGTCAGGGGATTTTGAGACCGAGGGGAAAAGAGGGAAAGGAAAGATTCGAATGGTGAGGAAGAGATTGTGAGAGAGAATTGGTGTTAGATAGCAGGAGCAGTAAAGAGGGAAATGATAGCAATGAGCTCAACTGATGTGTAAAGTGAACTTTGGAGGTGTAAAGACGTAAAGAGTCGTAAAGATGAAAAGAGATGTAAAGATGAAAAGAGATGGACAGAGAAGAGAAGGAGACGAAGCACAAAATATCGTCAGCCAGTGGAAAAGTAGATTTTTGATCAACCCTTCATCATCACCATCAGACGCGTAAACAACATCACATAGCGTGAAATTCAGCAGTGAGTGTACCTCCAAAGCATAGATGAACATGCATGGATGGCAGAGTACATGTGCAGTGAGAGGTTTGTAGTGAGTACATATAGAATACAAAGTACAAACAATGTAGAATATAGCATGTACAAGTACCCGAAAACCTCCGAATTCGTCCGAAAGGGGGGTCCGGCCGAAAGTGGCGATTTCGGACAGAGCACTGCGACCTTGATTCTTGGAAAAACGTTCCGAAAGTAGCATGAATGGATTCAGAAGGTCCCAGGCATTCTGCTGATACCAAGAAACCCGAGAAAAGGGGAGTTTTATATACTGCATAGATTTGGGTTGGCAGTGACAAGATCCTCGGGTTGAGTGACGGGTTTTGGGAGAAAGTGGCAAAATTTCAACGGGATTAATTAAAGGTGGGCCGGGATTATCCAGTTCGGCTCGAACTTTGCTCACCTGGGGAGCCTCGCAGAACATAGGCATGCTAAAGGAATAGGCACGCGGCACCATCGCAACCCCTGATGTACGACTAAGTTAGCCTACTGTCGACGGTGCTGTCAAGGTTTTCAGGATATCGAACCAGATCAATACAAAAAGACAGGTACCGAATGCATCTCAAGCTTCCAACATTTCAGATCTCACCACGCAAATTGTTCTTCGAAATACTCCATCCTCGACCCAGACACTTTACCCCTTTTCGTACCATAAGCATGCGCGACAATCTTCCTCATGTCATCCATCATTTGATTTGGGCCACATGCCATTACTGCCACTCTCCCATGAGATTTCATCAATCCTTCGTCCAGTATCTCTTTAAGAAGCGGTCGTCCATACTTTATTGTCGATCTCCGGGTACCTTTTCCTTCTCCGACTTTCTCGGCATTTTCTCCCATTGAAGATCTCACAATTTCATCTGACGACGAGGAGCTGTCTGATTCAGGCAATGCTTGAATCGCTGATTCATCCTTACTAGTGGTGTAAATGTTCACTTCCGTCATCGAAGATACTTCGCTCAATTCGTGTTTCAAGACATTCGATGCGTATTCCATATCCTTCACCGCCCAGATCAAGATGATACGTCGAACATGTGAAGTGGATGAACAGTCGGCAAGATGAAGGTCATGGAGATAAGGTAGAACGGCGGTTATACCACTTCCACCTGCGATCAAGAGGACGGTGTCGAATCCTCTAAGATTGTGTGTGCTTCCATATGGACCTTCGATCAAAACCCGAAGCATCACACTCCCATTTTCCGTTCGACGCAATTTACGCTGTAATTGTCGAGTCGCACCTCGTTGAGGAGCCACCATAAAATGTAGATGTGTATGTCCATCGATTTGGTTCCAAGAGGCAAGGGTGAATGGATGGTTTTCCCAGAAATTGAACAAACGAGGCGTGTAAAGGAAGTAATGTTGACCTGGTCGAGGCGTGAGGTTTATGGAGGTTGTCACGTCTAATCTAATAAGTCCGTGTTGTTGACTACCCGTCATGGTGCCCATCGTGTTGAACCCTCCAGCTTTGAACGTTTTGAAAGATAGGACAAAGACTCGAACTAGACGAACAGCCCTGTCGAAACACTGAGGTCAGAACGATTTTCAAGTAGAAATCCAACGTAATGCTCACCCATACTGCCACACAGGCCCAAATAAAGCCATTATACGCGCCATCGTAGACTTGGACATGGTACCAGAGCAAAACTAGCGTAGCTAGGGCCAAAGCGATGTGAATGAGGAGGAAGAATTCATACATTTTGTGACGAAGGGGAAGGATGGAGAGAGGAAGGATGAGGGCCATGGTAACCATGGCCACTACCCCCGCGGTCCACCAGAGATCTTTATACTGGGCGGCGTAGTTACCGTAGAAGCTGACGTATAGCCAGGTCCATGCGCTTACAGTCAGGTTTACCCCGTTTCGGAAGATTGACCGGGATACTCACGCTGAATGAACAAGGGCTTGAACGGTAGCCATCCGCGCCACCCAACGATGGAAGAGGTTCATCGTGGCTTCTTCGTCAGCTCACATGGACACATAGGTGAGAGCGCACCATAAGACCATCCCGTTAGCCAAAGAAAAACATCATTCCTACCCGCTAGACACCAAAGCAGCGGGAGATTGTAAAAACAGATAATGGCCGTTCTATCGGATACGTATCGCCAGCGCTGGACTGCGATCTGATGTGGCCAGCTGACTGATCAGTAACATCCAAGAGACTACCTATTAGAAATCGACGACTTACTAAAGATTTTCCTCAAACAGATTATAATCGACCGTACAAAATACGATATTGATGATGACGTAGGCAAACACCTAATCATTACAACTCGATACTACTGACCAACACGCCGTTCTTTTACTCACCCAGAATCCTTGCAATCGTGTAGGAATGGAAAACCAGCCCCAAGGTTGAGCACGACGATATCCGAACAAAGCAGGAACTCCGAAATACTTTCGATAGTATGTATACATTTTCCCCGCCCATCCTTGCTTCGATTCGATTTCATCTTCGTGTAGAGGGTATTTGTTGACGAACCAAGCGTAAACACGATTAATCATTCCGACTACGATTGCACTTCCAAATAGCAGGTACATGGTCCAACCGAACGCTTGATGCTGTGTCTCGTCAGTATGCCTCTTTTCATACCCTCTCCGAATAAAGACAATGAAACTCACAAAAATTGACTCTTTCCCCCACACATTTTCGGTCTTATATCCGGCCGCGAATGCTTCCTGGGAAGGTACGATAGTCCCATTGTACATCTGCCCCGTCATAGACAGAGTGTCCACCGTCTCCACATTTCCTGGAACTTTTGCTCTTGCTTCCTCAATGGATGGTAAAGATACGAACCCATAATTCACACAATAGCCATTCTCCACTTTCCATCCCGCATCAATTTGTTCGGGAGTACAATAGGTATCGGCACATGAGATGAGCGAAGTAACGAATATGGTCGAATTGCAGTACCCCGTATAGTAGGATGCTCCAACGGGTATGTCGGAATATTGGACCAAGGTGAGAGCATCTAGACATGCGTAGACGCAGTTTCCGGGATCGAGTTTGAGGGAGATACCATCAGGTTTAGCTGCCAAAACGCTTGTGATACACAATAAAGCTGTCACGAGCATCGACATCGTCTTTATTTTATTGATCACTGTTCACAGATAACGCTTCAAGTGTGATGTGAAGTGGAATGAGACAAAGAGTAAATCAATGGGAGAAAGAAATTTGATTAACAGTTGATATGAAAGAGAAAATGTCATCAGAAAGTGGGATCGTCGTTCCATGTCTTATTCTTTTTCAAATGTGTCGATCCCTCCAATCAATTTCCCTTCGGTTAAGAGCTCCTCTCGTTAGCCCGGGTCATATTTCCCTCCAGTCGTCCAAGATACAAAAGCACGCAACATATAGAGCACGACACTCGGTGATTCGCTGATCTTGTTAGCTTGTTTAATTGACTCGTGGGAACGGGAAGGATCGACAGTTGTCGGATTAGTCGGCGCTCTCTCTTTTTGGTGCTGATACTATCTCTCATGATCTTGGCAGGGGTTTAAAAGCAACCATTGTGTGTACCCTCACGAAACAGTCCATATACGGCCGAAAAAGCGCATAGCAGGTAGTATTCAGTGGAAAAGAAGGGTTAAAAGGGAAAAGAACACGGAAGTATTCAGGGTTCTCCTAATCAGATAAAAACCTGCGATGGTGCCTGAGATTCGTTCGGATTCGTATTCCTTGGTTCCCATTGCTTTCCTCATATGTCGCAAGACGGGCGAAGAGGAAGCGTGAGATCCAGGAGAAGGGTAGAGAAAACTAATCTGCGTCAGCACTGTGTTACGAATGTAGGTATGTACTCCAGGTAGGCGTACGTTTGGCCAGACCTCAACTATGTCAGAAAGTTGGAATGAGACTGCGGCGATCCCTGCCACTGGTTCCGGCCGAAAATTGGATTCCCCCTTGTTCCTCTCCACCTGCACTACGAGTAGTGGCGTTTTCCCGCTAGTGCTCCCCCTCCCGATTCATTTTACTCACCTTACGAGAGTCAATGGTCAGGTAAGGTAATCGGACCTCGGTATCGATGACCCCACGTTGGGAAGAATTGGCAAATCGAGCAAAGTCACCCGAATGTCGGACATACTCGACGGCCAGACAAGATCGGCCCCCACTTTGTCATATCGCTGTATTATAAGCGCTTCTCCAATCTCCGATCTCCTCGGGGTGGTAGAAATGCTCAGATGATGCTCACTGTCCTCTTGATTCCACCGGACCCAAGATCAAGCAAACTCTGATGAAATGCATAGTCAAGATGAAAGCTGAATATTATCATGATGGTGTACCCTCTGACGTAGCCGCTCTAGCGACGGTAGATCATTCTCGGAGCCATTTGGTCCCTCCTTGACCGTCATGCGCCCATTTCATCTTTCCCCCATTATCACCATTCTTGAACCTCTCAATGTACTCCTCCATGCTCTCGGCCGGAATATCGTCCAAGAGTTTGATCACCCTACATGGATTTCCCACGGCTACGCACCTGATCATCAGCATCAAAATGCAAACGGATCGTCGGGAAAAGTGGAGCGCGAGGAGCCGAAAATAGCGGCTAGTGGAGACACGCTCACCGATCTGGAATGTCCTTGACGACCACGCTTCCCGCACCGATCGTACATCCATCGCCGATCCTCACCCCTTGCAGAACGGTCACATTGGCCCCTAGCCAGCAATCTGAACCGATGTAGATAGGGGCACCGTCGGCGGTGGGATCGAGGAGATTGCCGCTTTCTGGCCACCGGTTAGAGGGTAAGATTGTGTGTCCCCCAGAAATTATGGTGGCCTACAAATCGCTGTCAGCGATAGAGATCTCGTAGGTTGAGGATCAACATACGTTCGCCCCGATCATAGTTCGAGTACCTATGGTGACTAAGGATCAGAGATGATCTCTGAGCTGGAGGAAAACTCACTCGGGCAACAATCGAGAATATGAGACCCTGGGGAGATGAGTACTTTGCGCCGAATCTCACATGTCCCTGTGGCATATGTAAGCGACAACTCAGTTCTGAAACAGTATAACCGGACATACGAATTGAACGAAGAAGGGGCATTGCCATAAAAGTATTGTGTCGTCAGGAGCACCACAAATCTCTTTCTGGATTTTGGCTGCTGATTCCCAATCTTCGCATTTGTTTGCTTTCTTCACTAATCTCATTATCTGTCTTCAGTCAGCACTTCATTCAATCCTGATATAATGAGGTACTGACCTTTAATCGCTGACTATGTATGTAGGGATCTCCAGGTCGATATACTCTGCCAGCCACCATATTCCTCCATTCTTTCAATTCCACGTCGGTCCCATCTACCTCGGTTCTGATAGTCGTGTCTTTCCACGGCCAGGGAGTCTGAGTGCGCCCGTTCTTGCCATTCGTTACCTTGGACGAGGGGTGTGGTAGGGATGCTGGCTGTTCATAGGTAAGGGGGGGACCTTCCTCACCACCTGGAGGTTGTATCTGAGGGCCGTCGTCAAGGTCTGTCGTCTTCCTTTGAGAGAGGGATAGAGATATGTCTGTCATTCTCATACGTTTGGAAGCAGGAGGAGAGGAAGATCGAAGTGTCATTCTCGCTACCAGGGGCGTTTATATAGGGTGACATGAGGCGAGTGGGGTGATAAAGAAGATCATTGTGAGTTCCAGACATTTTGCATGCCAACGATGAGGAAGAGATCGCGACGGAAAGGAAGGGAAAGCACAGACCACCAATGTGGCACCCTAGGGAATGTGGCATATCTTGGTGATTGGAGGGTTCTCGTCACTGCCACTAGCCACTGGACCGTGCGGGACCCCACTGCTCCATGTGAGGCCTAGCCCACAACACGCATGAAGAAAGGAGAGTAAACTACCCTATGTGTTGAAACTTGAGCAACAAAACGTATCAGTTAACTGCACCTTTCCAATGTGTCAGATGAGACTAGTGACCTACAATGTCCATTGTGCATACTGTATGGCGTGCTCCAGGCAACTTATCGGTTGCCGTAAACACGAATGGCCGTCTCATCACATAAAACCCCAGCGTAGATCTCTCCTCCCAACTCTTCACGTATACGTAGATTCTGATATATTGACCAATACAAGAACATAACAAACCTCAAGAAACATCAACAAAACATCATGCCTAACACCAGAGGATCATATACCCGCCGAGAGATATTAGCACTGCCCGTTGGAACAGTCGTCTCAGTGGAGATGATGTGGTATGATCGACAAGCCACTACAGTTGTCACTACTCAGAATCAAAACACAGGTGACTTTCAATCTAATGTTGAGACCAACCTACAGAGTGGCCAACTAATTGATTGTGGTGAACTTACTTGTACGGACTGTGCCACGATCTTTGAATCTATTGGTACGGCGATTGGTGGGTACACTGACAGACAATCAGCTGAGGGTATGACCCAGATAAAGGAAGGATTCACATATGAAGGTTGGGGATGGGCTTGGACTGAGTTGAATGATCAGGGTGAAAAAAAGTTGAAAATGACCTTTAAGCCCAATACAATACCATCTCAGTACCAAGCCATCACTCAGAATACTGTGTACCCTCAAGATCCAGGGTCTGGTTATTGGGTCAGTGATAGTCATTGTCCTCTGACGGGATTTGAGACTGACACACAGGATGGTCAAGAAGAACAGGCTAATCAGTCCAAGAGGTAAGGTCTTGGTTCGGGTTTCTAGACGAGGATAACAGAGAGTTGGTGGTTTCGGTAGCTGGTAGCTCGATGCATGACACGGATGGTAGAAACATTGCAACAGTGTGGCTGCAAGCACATCCCTGAAAATGATGAGATGCGCTCTCAAAGTTCAATCAGCAGATGCCACACGACGTCTATCCAAGCAATTTATATCCGCTTAGACAAGATAATGGAGAGATGGACACGAGTATAGGTGAAGAGGGATGGACTAGAGGGATGGACTAGAGGGATGGACTAGAGGGATGGTGACATCAGACATTGCCAAGCGCCAGACGATTGTACCTGCTGACGTGACGGTAGATTTGATCCCTCCCTTGTTGTTCTTGCGTGCTCGTAACAATTGACGGATGTTAGTGATGGACTTCAGTTCCAAATATATACCTGTTCATGGGATGTTTCCCCTCCCCCTCTTGCACTTCATCACCACCCACAGTCCCACTAACATACTTATCACATCTGAGTGAACTACCAAGCACACCTGCAATTCAACTATCTACAGTATATCATGCCAAACTCCCAAGGCTCTTGCACCATAGAAGAACTACTGCAATCTGAGCCAGGTACAGTCTACGAGGTAGAGATTATACGACAAGAGGAACGGACATTCCCTTTCAATAGAACTGAAGGAACTTACAAATCGACCAATCTCATTGAATGCGGCAAGCCAGGATGCACCAGGTGCTCCAATGACATCTTTGGGGATACTCCAACGGTAGGGACTGTCACGGCGGTGATCAAACGGGCAGAGACTGGCCTTGAATCTGTCAGGTATACTTATATGGGATGGGGAAAAGGTTGGTCGGAATTAGACAGTGAGGGGAGGAAGGTATGGCATACAAGTCTCGATCCTAATGAGGGTCCGCCATTCACTAGTGAGACCCGACACGTCGAGACTCCTGGAGCGACCAGTGGACCTTCCCAGATCCCCACCAATGACGCCACCGTCCATCCTTCCTCCTGAGTGAATAGAGCTCAAGGAGAATCTGGCAAAAAGATTAGATCGTGAGGGGACGGGTTGACGGAGTGACTACTTCTTGTCTGGTATAGTATTAGTAGATGATGGTGCACGTACTGGATGAACGCGATGACATGATGGCATATGTGACGGTCATGATGTGCAATTTTACTTCCAGTCACGGGGGTAATGGCTAACAATTGTGACAACTGCTGCGATAATTCATTTAGCGGATCTGGGGTAGTGGTAGTAGAAGTGAGATCATGTGAAATGGTACTTCAATCACACCAGTCTACCGGGGGTGGTGGAGGTGGTGAGGAGGTACTAGAACAATTCTGCTGTCAGATTTTACCATGTGTGGTGTGAGAAATCTGCCTATTGATTCTTCCCAAGACATCCAATAAATGGAGGAATACTGTAACGGTACTGGAAACACGACGACTAGGTCGCAGGTTGGGTCGAACTCGATGGAGGTCTCGTGGAAGTCTAGGGGCTCTGGTGCTAATGGATCGTGTCTCCTCTGCAATCGATGTAGCCAAAGAATGATATTGAAGAATCAGCAAAGTTGGTACTTTGCTGATTGTACTATATACTGTCTACGGATATCCTCGCCCTTTGTCCTCTTCCTGCTGCAAGCGTCTACGTACGTACATACTCGGACAGGTGAAAAACCGCTTTGAGCAAACCCAGTGGGGAAATCTCGAAAGGGGAAAACCCGTCCCTACCTACTGCAGCACTGCCTCCAACTCCCGCTTTCCTCTGTCCTAATCCGTCGAACTCGATAGAGTCCTCTCGATTCGTTGTTACCCCGTAACAAATACGCATCCCTGGACTGTCTATTTTGAGTGGATGTTGTATAGTAAGGTTTCAAATAGTTAGTCATGCATGAGAACGGGGATTGGGAGAGCCCTGACATCATACCCACGCTAGTGTGACGGTTGCCATGAAAACGCGTCACCCGCACGGACCTCCAATGTGATCGAGAAATTACCGTGTGTCATCTAACAAGGTGCTGTGTGTCATCACAGCCACCCCAAATGTGAAATATCATATTCCTCTTCAACCGGGTGATGCTCCCATCAAAGCAACGATGGCGCCATTCATGATGATGGCGTTCTTTCTCACCACATGATTGGAAGATCCTTATTATTCATCTTACATGTCTCCTTCTATCCCTTCATTATGGTGTGCTAACATCCAATGTCATCACACTACAGCCCTCTTCCAAGTGTATATATATTCCCCCACAAGCCTTACTTCTTGATACACCTCATCATCTTCTTCAACCAGTAAATACTACATATTACTTACCTTCAATTGACAGTCATCAACCATGCCAAACGCAAGAGGGTCCTACACTATATCAGAGATAAGGTCCTTACAGCCTGGAACAGAAGTAGACATAGAACTCATGTGTTGTGAAGAGACCACTTACACAGCTAGTTTTATCATAGACACTGTGTCCCGCCGCTTCAGTTGCATGTACCTCCCAACCACTGTCATCACCTACACAGGGGACTGTGGTAAGCAAGGGTGCACCAGGTGCGCTGAGATCTTTGCAGACCTCACCGCTAGCCCAGGTAGGATACTGCTCATCACTGACCGGAGTGGAAGGGGACCAGAATGCCAGGTTCGCTATGCTGGTTGGGGAAGGGGTAGGCTTGATGTAATTGATGGAGAGGAAACAGTGATATTGACACCTGACCCCTCTTTTGAGCCACCTGTTCACAACACAACCCAGACAAGTCAAAATCAGGGGGACCAAACATCAGTGAGTTGTCCATGGTTGTCTTTGTGTATTTTACCTGACCTGTAGACTAGTCAAGGGGCAGCAGGAGGTCAGGTCTAGGGATGGGGATACTTGGGTGTGTGATAGGGGTGGGGCCTCCCCTACCTGAACTCGCCTTCCTGCTTCCCAGCCCTTTCTACCTCGATCAGAGTGAAAGTATTATGAGCAGTGATGACATGGAATGCATATGACTGTACTTGTACTCTATAGTGAGGTCACATGTGAGGGCCGGAAAAGAAAATGACTCATTCTTAGGACTTTTGGCTTGTACGTGACGGACGGAATTCGCCACGGCTTCGCTTGGTCACCTGACATACATTCAAGGCTGGCATGTTTGCTGATAATTAGATGATAATACAGAGGGGAAAAAGAGCATGCATCAATTCTACATGTCTCTATACTTATCACATTCCACTCACACGCAGTAAACCAGAGACGATCGAATAGAGTTCGAGGATAAGTTGAACGGAGAAATATTCCATGGAAGGGGTAATAATCTAACGGCGGTTCGGCCGTCCTGGCCCGATTCTATCAGCTAACATGGCACAGTACCATAGATTAGTGACAGTGCTACTTGGTGATGGTGATGGTGACAGATAGTCAAAGGGGAACTGTGAGACAAGTTTGCTTGACGGGATGAGGAAGAGAGCAAGAAAAAGATGTTAATCGTGATTGGAAGACATGATATCGTGTCCAGACGTCTGTTTCTTTTTCATTTCTAGAACGGCCAGTATGTGGAACAAAGAGGGTCAGAGACAGAGATCTCAGAAAATATGAAACATCTCTCCTGAATGGAGAAGATTTTATAAGACCACATTCACTTCTTGATACGAGACGGATCATTTTACACGTTTTTCAGGGAGGTGATCTCGGAGGAGATGGGTCACATGTTCAGCTGGTCACACTGACCCTCGTGACTCTGCGAAGCGTCAGGGCTTCCGTCCGTCACCTGACAAACGTGAAGATACGGAATGGCAGTCAATAGCTTGTCACCGAGCTCACTATACCTTAATTGACCTTGATTCTTTCATTGGTCACTGGAGGCAAAAGCTTCAGGGAATACAGAATTGGGATAGACTAACAGACTACGAGGTAGTCGAGTCACGTACGGAGCTGTGATCTTGCAAGCTGTGAACATGTGAATGGTGCATAGTACTTACAATGGTAACAATCTGAAACTACTCAGTGATGTCATACATACTTGCCTAAGGATGTTTTAAAGGCTTCTGACAGAATAAGCAGCCATTATATACAGTACCACTCATGCGGCCCGTCTGTTGCGTGAGAAATGACGCTCCAATTTGAGGTGCTGAACGAGTCAACGTGAAACCGAATGTGATGATATCATGTATTGTCGAGCTGCGATGAAGGGAACATCGTTAAGCGAGTTGGTCAAGTAAACCCCTTTCTGACACCGGTCGGAAACGCACAAAGCAGCCAGAGGTCAACCTTTGTGTGAACGTCATCATATCTGCTCATAAACCTCCTGCATATGTCAGCTCATCAAGAAGAGGGAAGAGCTCCCTTGATAATCTGAGTCCTTCACTGTCATTTGTAGCTCCACTCTCTTTCTTCCAGAGTACATAAACCACCCTCCCTGATTATTTATTACTCCATCAACATCATCCTGAAATATCCCATCACATAACTCTCCAAATCAATTAGATTATATTACTCAACAGCCAAGATAAAACAGTCATGTCAAACGAGGTAGGATCATACACTGAAGCTGAGATCATGTCTCTACATCTGGAAAGGGAAGTAGAAGTAGAGTCCCTGCACTGTGAGACCTCTTTCTACTACAGTGCAACTGACACACTTCCTGCTCAAATAGTGACTTGCACTGCATATTTCACTTCCTGCGGCTTAGAAGGGTGCACAAGATGTACGGACTTCTTTCGATGTTGGCAGGTGGTCCCGAACGCCCGGCGTGTTCAACAAGGGTATACCAGCACTGGTGTTCCCTTTCAGCGAACCATAACATATGCTGGTCGGGGCAAGGTGACGACTGAAGTCATAAACGGAGAAAGGGTCAACAAGTTTACTCTGGAAGGGAATAGTGTTGAGGAAGATGCACTTGCTAGTGCCCTTGAAGGGTTGGATATCCATGATTCTATCAGGACTGTGAGTGACAATCCCACACTTTCTTCAGACATTGACGTCCAGCTGGAGGAAGGTCAAGACTCTCAAATGCCTTAGAGACTTGTATGTTCAGTTCAAAGAAAGCCGTAGATAGGATGTGATAGTATCAGCCGGCTCTCTTCATTGAAAGCAGCTTTGACCTGTTGTTCATCATCTTCACACAGCTTTTAGGAGGAACTATGCATAAGATGAGGTCTTGAACGATTGACTCTCCCCGGACAATGGGATGTGTTAAGTTTGGCAAGCAACTGGGTTAGACAACTACTATACATCCAATCATATAAATGTCTGATTGAACGTCATGACACACGTTTGATCCGCGGGTCAGAGAAGGCGCCCATGGCCATGCAGTTACAAGCTTGGAACGATGGACGGGTGTTTTGCGTCCTCAAATTCGCTAGCCTCCTGCTTTCTGTCTCTGAGGTATCCTATAAGGTGGGACGGACTTTCATCAAACTTAGCTGAAACTCGTAAGTCACCCTGCTGGCATGTTGCGCACGGTCTGACACGCATGATTCAATTATGGACCATTCATCATACACTTTGAATTTTACTCCTCTCTCTGCAGTCTTACCATCAAAAATCACTATCCCCCAATGTGGTCCACGTGAAGACTATGAAAAGCGAATCTACCGCCGCACGAATCAGATCATCTTCAATCTTATACAGTCACAATCTTCTACACTAGTCAAATACTGTCATGACCGGGTAGCGAGCCCGCGATCATAAACCGTCCTAAAAGGCTCAATATCAACTCTGCTAGTGAGAGTTGATCTCGCTATAAGTACTGGTCATGACACATTCCCCTCCTTCAGGGAAGCTGGCGTCTCGACAGCAGTACTTCTGAACCCCAAACCCCGGCAGGCCCCCCCAAGCCTGTGGGTTTGCAAGTCAGGTACCCTCGGCAGGTATCCACGCTCTCGGAACTCGAACTAGGAACTAGGAACGTCGAATCCTCCGATTCGACCATGGGATGGTTGGCGACCCCAGACCAACCTCTCAGGATGAAACCTGAGCTCAGGGTGAAACCTGAGAAGGGGTGCTGACACCTGCAGCCAGCACACCCCACACATAAGGTGAGAGCCGTGAATCGAACGTCTGACCCGTTAGAGTTGATATTCTGTCATGACCGGGTAGCGAGCCCGCGATCATAAACCGTCCTAAAAGGCTCAATATCAACTCTGCTAGTGAGAGTTGATCTCGCTATAAGTACTGGTCATGACAAATACACTTCATCAATGTGCCTCACTCAAATGGTCCACATACCCCTCGAGGGATCATGCAAGCTTCAGATCGCTCTACTCGTTTCCATGTAGAGGTGTTCGGAAAGATCGTGGAGCCCAATCCAGATGTAGATAATTTGATAGAAATCGCAGATATTCTGCGATGTGGTAGGCCTGACTGCTTGGAGTGCTTATTTTACTTGTCAGGTATTACAGGTGAGGTGGGCAGCTCCGTCACTTATGATAGGCCTACTCAGTATGGGAGTGAGAGGATTACCTATTTCAATTGTGGTCCGAGTAAGGCTTGGTATGACGGAAGTGCTTTTCACATAGAAGTGGAAGAGGAGATGAACGGAGGTGATACCACCTTGAATGTCATGTTGAGAAGAATAGTCAGATCTTACACTTCTCACACTACTGAGTTTTTTCAGACTTCACGGAGTCGCAGAAGTATACAAATGAATCTTGTGACATTGTTGGCAGAGGGATATACTGATGTGTAGGTAGAGGAAGAACAGGAGACAGATCCCAAAGAGGTAGATGAAGGTATGAGTTTGATCACCGGGAACATGCCACTCCATAAGGAAAACTCGTGTGGTCGAATGGTGTGGAATACGCCGTGCAGGGAATGAATGAGGAGCTCACAGAGAAAGTTGATACCATTGCATGCGATTATGTACTGAGTAGTCAGCATCATGTCATCCGCTTTACTACTAACCCCTACATATTTTCCATCGTTACGGCAAAGAGGATCTCGGCGGACTGTGTCATAGTTGAAGAAATCCTTCCCTTCTTCCCCTACCAGATATTTAAACCCCTCCATGGATGATCTTTCTCAGGACCAAGACTCTTCCATCCTCTTTCATTTTGCCACTTGTTGAGTGTGTGCATTCACTTCAGCTCTTCAATCGTCCAGTCCCTATCCTGTCAGGTGATCCTAATCTGTCTTTCTTGACAAGTATACCAAGGTAGCAATACTTACAATGCTCAACCCTGATGGCTCTTGGACTCTGCGTGAAGTCAAAATTAGAGACGGGGATAGATCACCAGTACCAGCACAAGTTCTCATGATAACCGTTGTTCGTTCCACATGTTTCCATGAATCAGGAAGTGGGACGGTGAGTGATAGTCACGAGGGCTCACGAGTTTGTACACGGATCAAAAGTAGACTGACTATTCCATGCAGTGTTGAAGATTGCGCAGAGTGCGATTATATATTCTCACGAGCGATGAAAGAGATGTATGAGGAAAAAGTACAGTTGGACTGTACTGGTGTGACCTTGACATTAAGATATGAGTACTTGGGGTGGTGGTGGGTGAAGGCCAAGAATGATGAGGGCAAGCAAAGTCTCCTTCTATCGAGTGAAATGAGCCCACCACTTTATATTGGGACAGGTGGAAGCAAGCCATCAAAAAACAATGATTTCTTAGCAATACCCTCACTTCCATGTGGCAGTAGTCCCCTCAGCTCACCATGGGTAAAGGTCTCTTGGTTGCCAGACAGCCAATGTGACGGTGCTGATGGTGAACACAGTCAATCTTGATGGGAGTAGTGAGCCTCTCAGAGTTAGATGACAGAGAGTATCTGATCAGCTTGGATTGTCTATGGTGAATCCACTACCACTGGACATGACACACCATATGATCCTATGTCGACAACAGGGGCATGAATTGGTACTTGGGCAATGAGGGTTAAAGTTGAAGACGTGTTTTGAGAGGGATCAACCGGGTGGACCACTGACCTGACATCTTTCTCGAACCTCCTTAGTATCAATGCGGGAGTGATCAACGATAAGTAGCCATGCATCATCTCCAACAGTATCGGTTACACGCGCAGGATCCATTTGTAAGTAGGATGAATAACTGTAATGACATGTTTTGAAATATATACATACTGTACGTACCGGTACAACTCCTTTGAGATGTACCATTTGTTGCCATTGCCTCAGATGGTGACCACACCCATGACTAATCCCACTGCTGTAAGAAGCGCAGGGATATTGAACCCCAAAGTCACAGCACCTCCCGTCGCTCCGGCTGATGACGATGGAGCAAGAGAAGTCGACGAGGTGCTGGTACTCGAAGTTGTAGAAGACGAGCGGATCTGACCGGACGGGATCGTGAGACCAGCGTTGGACTGGTATCAGCTCCGTCTGAGTCCTGGAAACAAGGTGATGAGTGTGATGACTTACCAGGGGGGACTTGGAGTTGGTACTACTTGTAGATGTGACGACCACGTTTGTGGAGGACGGGTTTCTGGGACGTCAGCTCTTCCGGGCGAAATTTAACGACGCGCCGTAAACGGGTGATGATTGGTTCATTCACGAAAGCGGACGTCGCGACCCCGCTCGTGCGTTCCGTCTGAACGATGAAGGTGAGCTGACCGGATATGTATACCAAAGAAGCAAATGTAAGGGAAGAATCCAGAGAAGAAATAGACAACTCACGTAGTTGACGGAGTGGCAGTGATACTCCCACTGACAGTCGACCCCAAAGCCGAGCAAAGCTGTTCAGCTTCATTCACCAAAGCCTGTGCTTGACTAGTCTGTAGTTCACCCCTGCTTCCTACCAGGCAGTTCACGCAAGTGTTGAAGGAATCAAAATTCTGGGTGTCGCATAGGGCGGTTTCACAATCGACCAAACTCGAATCTCTCCCTGAAATTGGTAGATCGTTCGAAGAGAAAGAGCCGTCGATTAATGCCATGCACGATCTGCGGATCAGCATCTACTCTTCACTCTTATCATCATTGAGGATGAGACTTATCAGAATAGACATGATCACTTTTAGGGTAGGTTGGTATTGGATAAGCTAGGCCAGGCCCGGCAGGGTGACTCACGAAAGGGAGGTTTGGAGGGGATTGCATTCGGCGTTACAAGCCGCGGGGATCTGTCCATCTCGTTTGAATTCCTTGTTCTGTCCTACTACTCCTGTCAGAAGGAAGAGACCACCGACGACCCACGCTCGCATATTGAACGAGTGTTACCTGTCAAAACAATCAGGTATCGAGAAGCCATCTTTGTCTCTGCGAGAACAAAGGGGAACATCGGGGGTATCCTTTGTGAGTGGACAAGGGGTTCATTCCTGGTGAGAAACTTCCATGGCGTATACGTGAGAGAATACTCCGCGCTCTTGGAACCGGCAAGATGAGATGGGCAAGGACCCTCGTGGCAATGCAGAGAGCCAAAATCGAAAAGAAATGGCCAAGTTAAGTTGATACGGAAGCCAGAGTGGCCCAGTCTGACCTACAACTTTCCCACGGTGTCCTCACCATCCAACGACGTCTAACAACCCCCGACGCGAAGACTTCTTGACGGAAACACATCATGTCCCGTAGGTCCACCCTTCCTGCCACTCATATAACTTTACTGAATGGTAGATAAGAGAATAGGCGGAAGGTTCACAGCGGCTAGTGCGACCGAGGCTTACACTAGGCAATTGACCGCTCCGTGAGTTGCGTCTTTGTCTCTCCCCTCCCGCCAATGACCTCCCACTGATGGCCCTCTGTCAAGCCTCTCCATGTCACCGAAGCTTACTACTAAGAGAGATGCACTGAATCCATTTAGAGGGTGAAATAGACTGGGACGGAATACTAATGCATAGGGTGAAGAAATGGAGAAAAGCTTGGGTACCTCCTACGGGTCTCGGACCGGAGAGTTCGTTTAAGATCTACCGATGGGTGAGAGTTGACAAGGTGAGTTGAGATTGATCAACAGACTTATTCCCTGTTCATCGTTGGCCAGAACTCACAAGGCCTCCTCAGACTATGAGTCACGCTCTGCGTTTGGATTCATTACTTGAATGTGAAACTTGCTCCAGACTGCGTTTACTCTCCTACCCAATCATGAACTCACTGACCCTCCCCAAACACCGTCTCTCACATCAATGCATGACGTCGGCAGATGAGTTGAAAGCATTGAAAAAGCTGACCTGAAGCTTCCTGGTGCCGATCTCGAAGCGGAGGCTGAGGAGAATGAAGATAACGAGGAAGATCTCGAAGACAATGTAGACGAAGCTGAAGATGCGGAAGGAGACGAAGGAGAAGCGGACCTTCCTCCACCTCCCGAGACAGGTTTGAAACCTCCCCCCATAAATGATGCGCTAGCCGAAACCAATCTCACCGCCCCTTCTGCCTCTCCAGCTCCTGACAACATCAACGTCGCTGAAGAAATCACACCCGCTCAAGACGATGTCATTGCAGCGACACAGGAGACCATGTTGGAAGAGCCGGCCGTAAACACGGCGCTTCCTGAGGATCCACCATTACAACAAGAGACATTCATCCCGCCCCCATCGGATATTGGTATCCCTCCCAATGCCATAGAGATCACCAACGTAGCTCCTGGTTCGGCCGAGTTGGGTAATGGTGATTTAGGAGCTGGAGGAGTAGAGATTACTCTTCCTGAAACGACGACTACTTTGATTGAAGAAGCCGCTGCCGAAGCTGTCCATGATGCCCCCCTAATGTCGATGACAGGGGAGGTATACGCAGAAGCGGAAGAGTTGGACGAAGGGAGGGACGTGAAAGAGCCGGAGGAGATGGAAATGGACCAAGACATTCCAACTGGAAAGGACCGAGGAAGGGCTGGTCATGGGAGAGATGCACCCACCGGTGGAGGAAGTGGCTATGGAGGTTGAAGGGGCTGATCAACCTCCGAAAGAAGTGGAGTAAATCTGTGGCTTTCATACGATTTCATCTAACGATTGGCCTCCTTCCCTTCCTTCTTTATTATCATCATCCGACCGACATGCAATGCGAAATTTGTAATAGATGCTGACTTGGACTGACGTGCTCGCCCCCTTTCACCAAATCATCAGATCGGAGAAGACGTGAACATCCCTGACGTCGAAGTATTGGAGGCGAAGAGACAGATAGTGATGAATCACGTCAATCAATCGTTTCATCGGAGATGGATGATCAACGACTCAGAACTCGCCCTTCCTTCGTACATGTCAAACCCTTGTCGACGTCCTTTGATTGTCTCATGTGTCATCTCTCGATCGATCCCGCCCTTCAACTCCGGCACGCACTCCTCCCCAGATAGATAGTACAAAATGGTCTATCCCTCGAGTGCTGTTCATCCGTAAGAACCCTGACAATATCCACGTAAGAGCAATTCAACCAGCTTACGACCGCTGATCCTTATACATCATGGACACTACAACAAGGTCGAGTCTATCCACGAGGAACGGTCGAACAAGTCACCAAGGTGGACCTACAAATCCCGCTTTCAAAAGAGCCGCCAATGCGTTCTCCCTGACTCTCGCGGCTCTTGGACCTGATCCATGGGGAACCACACAGAAGAAGTCGACAGTTCGTTCTTCCGATCAGTCTGGAGTCAACCATGAGGAAGAAGCTCGTGATTATGATAATTCCACAACGCTGAGAAGGAGAAGTGGGGAGTATCAAGATGTTTCCAACTACAAAGTCAAGACGGATGTAGAGGACCAACCACGGACTGCTAAAGATTGGTCGAGTGTTCAAGGAGATACTCATGATGATCCATATGAACACCACCACCCTGTCAGACCCCCAAGTCTGGACAACACTCATTACAACGGGGATGGTCAAGGTAGTGTTTACTTCGAAGGAGACCAGAGTACATACTTTGATTACGGCGGAGAGGATTTCGAGGCAGTCGAGGAGGAAGAGCAAGCCGAGGAGTTTGAGGATATAATTCCTGAACCTGAAGAGGATTTTGAAGAGGTAGACTTCATGGCGAACTCTTCGATCCCTAAATCTCAGGCTGCTATAGGAGGGAAACAGACCAGAGATGAAGATTGGGAATTATGGGATACTTATACCGTCAAGGGAGAGCCAAGATACAATGTGCGTAGCGGTTGAACCTATGCTTCTACTCATAATAAAGATCTAGTTGTTAGGTGCTAGCAAGCAGATGATGCACGGCTCTACTTTTTGCCACATGATCAGTTAGTCAAACGCCACTAGCCACTTTTGCACATTGTACTTTTTGCGATCGCCACAATTCATGTCTTTGAGAAGAGTACTTTGCGCACAATACGTTTTCACTTCCTGCACAATACTGCCACAAAATCACGTGATTTTCATGCTTATCAGTAAGAAAAAAATACCACGTGTACCAAAGCAAGGCCCTTCCACCTCTCTGGACACATGTCAAAGTGATGATCTTTGCTATAATTTGTTTTCTTCGGGTATGTATAATGCATTTCTTCAACAAACATAGCGAGACTATAGAAATGACCTGTCTTTATCAGCACAAAAAGAGTTTACATCAAACAGATGGAAACTCACCAAGATACATGAAGTTCTCTTCCACCCCTCTGTCCACTGGTGAAATCCTGCTCTCCTGGACTTACTAAAATCGTAAAAGATGTCTCCTAACATGTTTTCTAATTTGAATTTGGGTGCTGATTCAGATTCTGCAGTCGGTTTGGCTTTATGTGATGTATTGTGAGCTGTAGGTGAAGCTGATTGAGAAATTCTACATTGAAGTTGAATGAAAAGATGTTAGATTGTGGTAATGTCATCACACGTGGTATTCTTTTCCTCCTGATAAGCCCAAAAGTCACGTGGTTTTGTGGCAGTATTGTGCAGGAAGTGAAAACGTATTGTGCGCAAAGTACTCTTCGTCTTTGACGCGTTTCAGAATAGGCGCGAGATGGGGACACGGACCTCTCTGTGCTCGTCTTTATACACTATTACTCCGTCTTGTCCGCCGTCGTCCCTCCCCTTCCCTCCCCTCTGCCCTCACCCATCAGCTGCAGCCGACTAGATATACGGGTGCTTGGCTACCAACACTCGTATCATCATCATCAACATCTCTCTCTCTCTCTCTGTCTTCCTACTCTTCCACGTTGACCACTATCACCTCATACGACTCATCAATAACCTAAAGGGGTATCGAAGAAATACCTTACTCGTACTTACCACCGTCCTCTCGGCATTCATTTATCTTGTGTTGTCTGTGATCTCTCAAGGTGAGCTCTACCTCTTCTTGATTATTATCTTCTTCTTCTTCATCTTTTTCTTCAGACTTATAGACATTCTTCCACCCTCGTCTTCTCTTTACCCTGATATATCAAATCCCTTTCGGTCTCCTTCCATCATATCCCTACCGACAGACATCAACTCTCTCCACAGTTACTCCCCTGTGTATCAGTACTCATCCCAGTTGATCAACAATCATCCTCGGATATATAGTGAAGAATGGCAACCACTCGTAATATCAAATGTATGTGATCCCTTTCTTTCATATGGACCAAAAGCTGATTCATGTCTTCTTGCTGTCTCCCATCAAACAACGTTTGCTATCCATTATCAATCTATCTTCAACAATGAAAACATGATCAACTCTCCTTTCGACCAATCTCTCAATGCTCGAACTAATTTTTTTTTTGGGTTCACGTCTTTCATCCCGACACTCACATTGTTACCCTTTCATCATCTTACCGACGGACAATGATGACAACCTTTACCAGGCGTCGTGGTGGGTGATGGTGCTGTTGGAAAGGTATGTCAATCTTTTCATACACTAGAACCATACTGATGAATGTCAGACATGTCTCCTTATCTCATACACCACCAACGCCTTTCCAGGGGAATACGTCCCTACCGTTTTTGATAATTACTCCAGTCAAGTGATGGTGGATGGTATGACCGTTTCATTGGGTTTATGGGATACTGCCGGTCAAGAGGATTATGAGTGAGCAGCATTTTCGGTGTACTTCATCCCATTGAACAAGTTTTCATCTCGACAACTCGCTTTATCGCTTGTCATTATTTGCAAGACACCCAGGTGGGATACGAGACGGAGAAGGAGCAGGAGAAGGAGACGACGAGGGCCTTTCGATACCTCAGGATGTGAAGAGATAACGTACTGATAAATAGTCGACTGCGACCTTTGTCATACCCCCAGACCGACGTTTTCTTGCTATGCTTCTCCCTAGTTTCCCCTCCATCCTTTGAGAACATCCGGACCAAGGTCAGTTGAGCGTTTCTGTATGTCCGAGTGTAGCTGATCTCTTAGTGGTGGCCAGAGATACAACATCACTGTGAGTAGTTGCAGACTGCTGCACTTGTTCTACAATTTGATCAGTTACGCATATTCATTCAGTTCCTCTTCCCCCTTGCCTGTCTGCATTGAGATACTTTACACGTGGACTCTGAACCCACGCTGATGACAGCCCCCGGAACTCCCATCATTCTCGTCGGAACCAAGCTCGATCTCAGAGACGACCCTATGACCATCGACAAACTACGTGAACGTAGACAAGCACCCATCGGATTTTCACAAGGGTCAGCAATGGCCAATGACATTAAAGCTGCCAAGGTGAGACAAAGTCAAGTTGTGTATACCAATTCCACCTTCTGGAAGTCGAATATCAACTCATGATCCGAGGGTTCGAAGCAAGTCGACATGAGAACAAAGGAAAAGAATCGCTGATAATCAGTACCTCGAATGTTCCGCTCTTACTCAAAAAGGTCTGAAAACTGTATTCGACGAAGCTATCCGGACTGTCCGTGAGTCAACGCGTTCACTGTAAACAAGAATCAAGTGGAGCTGATCTTCAAAGTAAACCCCAATCGCCGAGCTGGTAAAGCCAAGAAATCGGGTGGTTGTATTTTGATGTAATCCTTCAATCCTTATCCCTTATTTCCTTAGTTTTTCCCGACCTTGGTCTCAACCGGTCTTTCCGTTGTGCATTGTTCATGTTTAAATGATTTGCTATGTGTATGAACTGACGATGTGATGCACGATATTTCTTAGAGCGTACATTATTTCATCTGCATCATAGGCCTGGAGTGACTGTGTCTCGTATAAATCGGTGGATAATCTGACATGACTGTGCTTGCCTTGCCACAAAGTTCAGTGGATTATTTGAAGACTGAACATGTTCCACCCAAAGTGAATAACATGGCGCGTCGTGATACATTACCACCTGAAACTATAAGGTGAATATGATCATTCGTCTCCCTCAGCCTCATCCCGCCTCGGCTCAAGAGCCTGCATCATACCCATCGCTTTTACCAAGAACGGTTTCAATTCCGTCAATTCGATAGGAGTCAAATTTGTGACCTGGATATTAACGTATGTTCTAGTCTTCTTGATATCCTCCCGCACGATCAGATCAAGGATTGGATGCTTGAGATCGGGAGTGTATCGAATCAAGAAGGATAAATGTACTCACTTGGAGATAAGATCCCTGCATTACACCTTCTGATTGAAGACCTAATCGGATTTTAGCTTGACGGACTTCTCTCAAATCTTTCAACAAAGATCTGAGTAATGCAGGTTGAGCAAGATCATCCGGTGCTCTGTTCATCAATCGTTATCCCCTCAATACAAGTATTCATCACCCCCAACAATCGGATTTTTTCGTCCCTCAGAATTCACACGATACTCAGAGAAGTCAATTACGCCCAAGGAGATCAAGTATGGGGATGTTCATTCTGCGGATCTTCTAAAATGACACGAAGGGGATAAAAAGAAATGACACGAAGGGGATAAGAAAAGACGAACGAAGATCTTTCCGATTTATTGTAAAAGAGCAAGGGACAGAAGATACTCGGAAATAGAAAAACTCACACATCTAAAAGAACCTTTGAAACTTCAACAAATCTTCTACCTGGTAATCTCCCAAACTCTTCCCCTTTCTCCTTTTCGTTCTTCAACAAAGTCTGTAGCGTTTCTTCCTGATCAGATCCCTTATTTTGTTCGAGGGGTGATTATACTGACCTACGTTTAACCAGATAGGAGGAACTATCCGACATTTTCTTTTCCTTTTCAAAGATATAGCGAGCCAGAGAGGTACTTTTGATGATGAAGGTGGTTGGAACGAACCGTATATGCCCTGGAAGTGTTAGTTGATAACGATCGTTCTTACTTCAAACTTGAGATGGAATGAAGTATCAATCACCCCCTTTTCCATGAGATTATGAATTTGTGTTGAATCTTAACAATCTCCAGTTATTTGGATCTCCCTCGTGAGAGTATCAAGTGTGGACGTTGATGGAGAGATAGAAGTTTGTGTCAGAAGAATAGGAAAGGTGGGGTAGAGCACGAAGTTCGATATTGAGACAAGGCAAGACAAGGGATTGATGATAATTTCGTCATGAGGGAATAGTCGAGGAAGTGTTAAGTTGAGACGGGGAGATAGACCCACGGATAAAAGTCGGATACGGGTCATTGAGAATAATGGAACGATAGATATCTCTTCTTCCTCTGCTAAGAATGTGAGTTCATCAGGTGTGAGACTCGGTTGAAGTGTTTTAGGTAAAGCCATGATTTCGACCGTAACATTTGATCGGCCAAGAGGATTTCGTTGGTTTTTCTATTCTTGTTCCCTTTATCTTCTATGGTTCATTATATGAAGACCTCTGCTTCAGACTACTTCACGTCTCAAGACCATCGTACAGTTGAAAATCATGAAAAAGTCTTGCTGTAAATCTGTACTGACTGGAATGGACGCGTGCGTTATCAGTAGTAAATCACGAGTGATGTTCAAATGCCACGTGTTCCGGATCACCTTCGGCTCTTTCACCCACCTGTCCAGTCCTGTCCTGTCCTTCCTTCACACTTAGGGCGTATAGGCTTCTTTACAACACTTCCTCACTTAATATATCATACCCTCATTTAAACTTTGAACAATCTCAAGCATCGGAACCGATTACTTTCCTGAAGGAGACAGAGAATACAACCTTCGATAGAAATACCTGTGTACTCCACGCCTATCTTCTACGATACACGATTCCCTCTGCTCTCTACAGTAAAAGCTCCTGGACACCCGGGATAGTAACGACGCCCTTCCTCTCATATTCGTGAGACTGTACAGGAGGAAGAGTCAAAACAGATACTGTATTTTCATACATTCGCGGAATGCTACGTGAGGTTAAATTAAAAGAAGAAGATTCAAAAGTGAAACCTGGTTCATACTACGGTTTGTCAATTTCTCACTTTTCTTTGTATTTACTGATGTTTAGGTATCCCACAAAGAGTATGGGGCATCGTAGGGATATGCGTTTGTATCTTTACTCTATCACGTTTTCTCTTTCGTACGTTTCTGTCTCTTTTCACCTCTTTCGTCCACTTTTCGAACTTTTGAGATTTCCCGCCCGCACACTTCGAAATTGATCTCCTCTCTTGGCCCCCCAGGCATCTTCTTGTCTCTGTATCTAGTGTCACGTATATTCGAAGAGCTAACCACCAGCCACAACCCCTCTATCCCCTTACTCCTCAGCTCACCTTCTCACACCACATGATTATCTCAACGCATCAGCATCAGACCCCGCCCCATTCGATTTTTGTCCCGCTTTCGGTCCTGGGGATCCTGTCGCCGAAAGAAGAGGTCAATGGGGATTGTTGAAGAGTCGATTACATATGGGTTCAGGGGCTAGGATTCAAAGAGTGGTGCAAAAAGCCATGGCTGGATTACCTGTGACTATATCCGTTTTGGGAAGTTCAGGTGAGTTGTCGTTTTAAAAATATAAACAGACGTAGTTGGAAGACATGACGATGGGTAAGATGAGAGGAGTGCTGACTACTAGTATCCGCATGTCATGGGGCCGGAGACGATCTGGTAGCACCTAATTGCTATCCTGCCAAATTCTTCGAATGGTGGAATTCGGTCTTCCCTCACCCTGCTAGCGAATTGACAAATGGGGCAGAACGAAAGACTGATTCCGCTTATTTCGCCTATTGTTCAATGCACCATCTTCCAGATCAAACCGATTTGGTCATTCTTGAGTTTGATGCTTCTGATCCAAAGTGAGTGATCGTTTCTCACCTCTCCGGCATCCCGTTGAACTGGAATCCAAAATTCTCATTCCACCTTATACACACATTCCTGTGAAAAAGTTGTTGACGACTAGCGACCCCCAGTGGTTACAACATTTCGAACTGCTAGTTCGTTCCATTCTCGTGCGACCGGACCAACCGGCCGTCATCATTCTAGGTCATTTTGCCCCTCAAGTTCAAGCTCAAAATGGATTTGCCGGTCCAGAACTGCTTCACACTGTCGTCGCTCAGTTCTACGATGTCCCTCACATCTCCGCAAAAGGTTTACTATACCACGACTACCTCGCCAATCCTCAAGAAGTCCGACCTCTGTTCTACCACGATCCCATTCTGGCCAATACAGCAGGTCATGAACTTATCGCCGATCTGCTCATTTCATACATGGAATCGCAAATTTGTCAAGGATGGGCGGCCACCATGGGTCACGCATTTGATGTTCCGTACATGGGGTCAACGGCTGAAGATGGACTTTTAGGAGGGGAAGGTCTTAAAGATGGGACTTCGATATCGGACGAGGAAAATGCAGCGGAAGGAGGAGGTTTGGCAGCTAAGATGAGAGCTATCAAAGTTCCTCAAGCCATGTTATCAGATCGACCTTCGGACATATTGAGGTTCAGAGAAGTTGAACCTTTTTGCGTATCGGCAAACGATCTCATAAACCCTTTGCCACCTTCACATTTCTTCGGAAGCGGTTGGAACGCTTATCATCCTCAGAAAGGAGGAGCGGAATCGAAACATTATTGGTATGCTGAGTTAGGAGGTAGTAGGATGCGTGTACCCGTTCATCTTTCCGCTGGTGATGTGGCGGTTTATTATCTCCAGTGGGTATATTTTCCCCACACCACCTCTTTTCCACTCAACTCTCAATTGGTCCGCAGTTCATCGTCCACTCCGTCGTCATCAACCAACCTCCAATCGTCGGCCGTCGATTGTATCTTCCTTACTCTCTCTCTCTACCCTGTCTCATCCTCCGGCGGTCCTCTCATCTCGGACGTGAAGCGTGGTACATGGAGTGGCATCTATTTCGTCGATGTGCATAGACCGGCAGCTGATGTAATCCAGAGAACCGGAAGACCGTCCGCTTGGAAGAGCGGCATGTTGGGTAGATGACAATATAGCTGGAGCTGTAGAATTAACAGGGACGGCCGACGTACATGACACCACACCCACATTGACTCTGATCGACCAACGTGTGGCTCCAGGTCCACACTACGTGAGTTTGTCTCTTCGTCTCGTTCAACGCCTTTACCTTTTCACTTCACTATGCGTCAGGTTCACAGTCACACTGTCACCCAATGACTTGTTCACACGCGCCTTATGTGTTCTTTTCGTTTGCCGTTTAACTTCGACAGATGCTGATTCCCAGGTCGAATGTAATCTCCTCGGTCCAGAAGGACAAACAACACCTCCATTCAAGATGCTCGGCATGTGAGTGTCGACTTTGTTTCATTATCAGAGTCACACAGCTAATCATTGTAGCTTTGCGACATAAACATACATTATCATGACTTCCTCAGGGCATATCTAGATTCATTAGGGACCTCATGGTTTATAGCTATGCATGGTGGACTATTTCTGCTACTTGTATTACATCTTTAGTTGTTCGCCTGCCCAGTAGCATTCGACTGCGAAGTGTACACAGCTCATCACGCGCCGAAAGCACAGCATATGACTCGATGCTCTTACCCCCAGTGACGACTTCTGCTTCCCTTGTCCACGTGAGGTATATACAAAATGCATGCGACGTTATACAATTATCTTATGCGGCGGCAATGGCAGGAGCGTCAGAGGACGGTATGATAGGTTCAGGGTCTGAGGGTTTCATAGCTGCCACTTTTGCTTCTAACTCTGCGATGGGATCTTGAGATTTTAGGTCGAGAGAGTGAACACCATCTTTGTCAATGAGGACGCAGTTGAAATCAAATTTGATGGTTACACCTGAATCATGAGCTTTGTGACCTCGGTATGGCATCCGCTCTCAATCCTGAAAACGACGGCGACATGCGGTTGTGTTCTCAAGAAAGGCACGCAAGATACAGGGAGTCGAGATTGGAAGAAAGCCATCAACCAACTCCAAGTTCGAAAAAACGTAAGACCATATCTTTCAGATATAGAGACTGCCACGCACAATCTAATAAAATGACTGTTTACGAAACCCGAGAGGATATGGAAGACTGAGATAGCATGGATCAAAGGAAAAACGCTTCGCGTTGACTTACGTTTCTTAACCTCATCCACACACTTGTTTAAAACATCCAAAGCTTCACGTCTCTCAATATTCTCATACCACCATTTATCCATCGTACTCAATGTCACATACATTCCTACACCTTGAGCTGCATAAGGTATGTCGGCTTTAGTACCGAGGTAATCGAGCCAATAAAGATGAGGTTTGGAAGTGGTTGTGTCGAACCCTCCGAGGAGGACGTTTACAGCGTAAGGGGAACGGGAACGTATAGATTCTGCTAAGATTCTACGGACCCATGATGCGGCGGAGGGAGGTGGGAGAGGAAAATTGTTCCTTTATTAATCAGCATCGATTCCATGAGACGTCCATATGGTCCCTATGACACCATGATCGAGTTCGCTGCCTTTAATTCCATGAGAGGTCCATATGGTTCGTATGTTACCATCATGGAATATACTTCCTTCATATTCTCAAGAAGACACAGAGAGGAAATGTAGCTCACCTGATATGATACAATCGTAAATTCCGATCCACATAATCGGCGAATCGACTAGTATCTCCAGGCTCTCCACCACAGGCCATGGCAAGATTAGGACCGACGGGTGTGATCTTATTCTCATTCGACTTCATCTGGATAATTGATCGTCCAGCCGACATGTCCGAGGCGATGAGGACAAAGTCTTTCCCTGAACATGAGCCATCGTCCTACGATGACAGAGAACAACCTATAACGTCTCACAACTACATGAATCGATTCGAACCGAAGAGAGAGTGCAGGGAGAACTCGATATGAGTAAAGAGTTTGTGAGAGGAAAGGCGGGAGAGTAGACATACCTGTGATTGCAAAAGCGCACTCCATCCTGAAGAAGAGTTAAGGGTGAGGTGGATAGAAGTAAAGGGAGAGCTGTAGCTGATAGAGATGGCAGAGGTAGAGAGAGTACGAGATTGAGGTGGAATGCGAGCAGCAGCCGCGCGTTCAACACTTTAGTCGGGGGGATCAAATAGATAGAAGTCTGCCACGTGGGACGTCTCGGATACCTCAAACTGAAGTGTCTCTGACATCTCTGAAGACTCATACAGGTGGAGAGGTTACAACTCATTCCTCCCATACACCCATCATGTCGTCCACCGATCTCCCACCCATCACTCTCCTACTACAGGAGATTCAAGCTGTCACGTCTGCTATGAGGCGTAATCAACGTTGGGCTTCCGCCACATCCCTTTCCACACCTTCATCTCAACCCCTGCCCCCCTACCTTCAAGCCTCTCGACTCGCTCGTCGGTCCCGTGCTTCTTCTCAGAGTAACTTCAACAAGAAGCGTGGCTCCTCAGAGGGTGTGGAGGAAGGTGATCTCATGGATGGTTTTGTAGAACTTCGTAGACTGCTCACTGGCACCAATGGTGAGTGTCCTGATATGCGCCCATTTCTCAGGAAAAACTCACTGACACTGTTCAGATGTGACCACTTTAGATCCTCTGTCATTGGTTCAACCTTTCTTGGCATTGATACGATCTTCTCTCACATCTGGAGTTATCACCTCATTATCCCTTCTATCCCTTCATTCGATTATTCTCAATATCTTACCAGCATTCCTCACACCTTTACCCACTTCTATCGCACCTTCCACGCCTCTTCAAATAGCTCTCGCTCATACAACTGCCACTCTCTCTCAATGTCGCTTCCCCTCCTCTTCTCCACAGCAAGATGAGCTGGTGCTACTGCGTCTTTTGAGGGTGATAGAGAGTCTTTCTCTGCATTTCCCCCTTCCAAACAGTAGTGGGACGTCAAGTATGCTGGATCAAATGGGAGATGAGAGCGTGTGCGAGCTGCTCGAAGTGGGTCTTGGGATGTTAGCACGTGCGAGGCTGGGAGAGGGGTTGAGGAACACTGCCCAAAGCTGCGTACAAACATTAGTAAAAGGATGCTTCACTAGACTGAGAAGGATGTCACCTGAAGATATGCAAAGGCTTATGCAGGCTGGTACAGTGGTGACGGTGGAAACGAAGATCGGGCCAAAGGTCAAGGAGCAGTCACCTGTAGTTGATGCGAGTGAAGGGTCGGGGTTGGATGAGAAGACTATTGAGGGAGATCTGAAGTCATCGAAACCAATAGGTATGCACAATGGCATCACTTAGGAAACTGAACAGCTGATTTCAACAGAACCTTCAAGGCCACCGTTTTCACCCCATGGTTTACCCACTATTCTGGAGCTTCTTCGCGTCCTCATTGCCCTTCTCAACCCTTCTGACCAAGCCCACACGGACTCAATGCGCCTCTCAGCCCTCGCCATTCTCAACACGGCACTCGAAGTTGGCGGCACCTCTCTTGGCCGTTGGCCAGAATTACGTGAAGGTGTCCGAGATGAAGGTTGTCGATATCTCTTTCAACTCACTCGTTCCGACTCACCAGCTTTGCTCACGCAATCCCTTCGCACCACTTCCACTCTATTCTCCACCATGCTCCCTCATCTAAAACTTCAACTCGAGCTTTTTCTCTCGTACCTCATCGACCGTCTCACTCCACCTACTCCACCGCCTTTCCCTCAGATCATGACACAGTCTCACAGCAGACCTGTGTCGCCTGTATCTGGGGCCGTCGATGGTACGCCAGATCCTCAACGATCGAAACAAGCTGGAACTCCAAGCATCGACATGCACACTCCCGGTCATTCCACCCCCAAACCCATAAGCTTGCTGCCTCCTGTTCCAGGTGAGACGAAAGAGCTCATGCTCGAAACGCTATCCCAGATCGCTCTTCGGCCAAGCTTCATGGTTGACTGTTGGACAAACTTTGACTGTTCCACTGAAAGCGAAAATATCTTCGAACGACTGATAAGCTTCTTGACCCGAGTAAGTGTTCTTTGCATCCTATCATATGGTTTTGCTTACACACACAGGGTGTTTACCCCTCGGGGCCGCCAAAGGCTGACGGTTCCACTCATATCTTCGAAGGTCTGGAAAACACACAGCTACTTTCTCTCGAGATCCTCCTCACATATGTCGCTTCCATGGCTTCTCGCTTAGAGCACGGAGGAGAATCTTGGCCATCCCAAGCTCCGCCGGCCCAACTCCTTGACGAGCGCAAGTCACGCAAAGGCGTCCTTCTCACAGGTGCGGCCATGTTCAACGCCAAGCCAAAAAATGGTCTCGCGTATTTGGAGAAAAACGGGATTATAGTCCCCGAACCTGGCGAAGGGAACGTAGAAGAACGTCGACTTCGAGCGATCGCCCAATTTCTACGTCACTCTACCAGACTCGACAAGAAACTATTGGGAGAGTACATTTCACGGCCGGATCAATTGGACCTGCTCAAGGCTTTCATCGGATTATTTGACTTCAAGGGTAAATCTATCGCTGATGCCATGAGAGAGTTATTGGAAACTTTTCGTTTGCCTGGAGAGTCACAGCCCATCTCTCGGATCACTGAAACGTTTGCAGAGCATTTCATCTCTTTCAACCCTCGTGAGTAACAAACAGCTTGAGATCTCTAGTAAGCTAACATCTCAGCCGAGATCGCCAGTCAAGATGCCGTATATGTTCTGGCGTACTCGGTCATCATGCTCAATACCGATCTCCATAATCCTCAGAACAGGGTTCGTTATCTGATCTCTCATATAAGATTGAAACTGATGAGATAGAAACGTATGACAATAGACGATTACAAGCGCAACTTACGAGGTGTCAATGATGGCAAAGACTTTGATCCCGAATACCTTGCCGCAATCCACGAATCCATCAAGAAGCGCGAGATCATCCTCCCTGAAGAACACGTCGGTCAGCCTGGTTTTGACTATGCCTGGAAAGGTCTTATGCAGCGTTCCCGGACTGCTGGTGTGTTGCTCGTTGAAGGATGGCTGAACATGCTGATATCAGGCCCCATGATCGTCTGCAACACATCCGTATTCGACGAAGCAATGTTCAGAGCTTCATGGCGACCTTTGATTTCTGCCATTGCCTACGCCTTCACATTGTCGGCTCAGGATGAACACGTCATACAACGCGCCATCACAGGATTCCGTCAGTGTGCCTCTCTAGCTGGACACTTCCACCTTCCCGAGGTTTTCGACACGATCGTCCAGTCTCTCGCACCCGCCACAGGACTGCTTGAGGACTCGAACGATGATTACCAGATGACCAATTATCCTGTCGTCGATAAAGACAACACGTCGCTCACCGTTTCACCTCTTTCCGTCCGCTTCGGTCAATCATATCGATCACAACTCACTACCGTGGTACTGTTCACAATCGCCAATGGAAACGGTAACGCCATACGACAGGGTTGGGGTCAAATCTTCGAGATGTTCCAAACACTTTTCATTCACTCACTGCTCCCTCCTCCGATGCTTCAGATGGAAGACTTTCTCGCTGGAACAAGTATGATTCCCATGAAGACAGCAGCGCCTGCACCAGTGCCTGAGCGGAGACCGGAAGGCGGATTGCTTTCGACTCTGTCATCCTATCTCCTCAGTCCGTATGGTGCGAGTGAGGATAGATTGGTGGTGGAGACTAGTGATGAAGATGTGGAGAACACGTTGGTTGCGGTCGATTGTTTATCATCTTGCAAGCTTGAAGAGTTATACGCGGAAATTTTGTGAGTCAACCGAGTCTTTCCACTAAATTCCTGGGTACGATACTGATTACAGACACCTCGAAGTGGAGGCTCTCATTCCTGCACTCAAAGCTCTTCGGTCTCTGGCGGAAGCTCGTACCACAGGCAGATTAGCCGCGAGAAACGAACTCCGTGCGGAAAATTCCCCAGGTTTACGACACGAAGGACAACTCCCATACGACCCCACCTGTGTCTTCCACTTGGAGATGATGGTCAGTCTGGCAAGTCGTGGCAAACCTCATATCGCCGAAACTTGGCCTATCACATTCGAATACATTTCATCCCTCCTGTCTTCCGCTCAATCTTACAGTGTTTTACTCATCGAACGAGCCGTCGTCGGCCTACTGCGACTATGTCTCGTCGTATCTGAGACTGCAGACTTGCGGGATCAACTCTACATTGCTCTCGACGTTTTACGTTCGTTGCCGTCCACGGTGCTCAACGCGGTCTCGGAACAACTCATGGCTGGTATAGCGAAGATTCTCGAGAAAGATTCATCCGTCGTCAAATCTCACACGGAATGGGGTTTGATCATTGCTTTATTCAGAGCTACTGTTGCTCATCCCGAAGCTTCCAAAGTTACATTGGCTATCGTACAGAAAATGGCTGCTGGAGGAGATAGTTATCCTGGTTTGAGTGAAGATAATTATGCTGGGGTCGTGGCGTTGTTGGATGAATTTGCCACTGCTGCTGGGGCTGCTGGTGTGGGGAGGGGAAGAAGAGCTAGTCAAAGTGCGACGTTGGGACCTACAGTGGAGAGGGGATTATCAGCTCTGGATTCGTTGTATGGGTTGAGGAATGTGATTCCGGATTTGATGGAGAGTAGTGGGTTATCAGGACAAGATGGTGAGTTGGTCCAAATCAACCGATACACAACTTTCAACCTGATGTGGTTTGTCCCACGCGTCATCTTGACATTCCTCAAGCCCATTCAGAGTAGATTTGTGTGAGGTATGGACAGAAAATGCAGAGTAAAACTCACTTCTTAGGTTGGAATACGTTCTGGCTTCCTCCCTTACTAGCAATTTCCAAACAATGTGTAAATATCCATCATTCCATACGACAACGTGCTATTGCGCATTTACAACGTCTACTCACTTCTCCTCAATTATTATCTACCGAACAAGCCCTAGCGACCATCTTCGATCGTGTCTTGTTTCCTATCATGGACGAACTTCTCAAACCGCAAGTCTACGAACGAGATCCATCAGGGATGGGAGAGACAAGATTACGAGCTGCAACATTGTTATGTAAAGTTTTCTTACAATACGTTGTGAGATTGGCAGAAGGGAATTTGATAAGTGGTATGTTTGTTAGAGTTTTAGATAGGTTAGAGAGGTTTATGAAGGGTGAAAAGGAAATGCTTGTGAGTTTTTTTATTCATATTTTACTTGAGTGAAATTGAAAGGATATATTGGTTAATGAATCAGAATGAAGCTACTGAATCTTTGAAAAACGTTATACTCGTCATGTATTCTTCAGACCTTCTTTTACCTCCTCCTTCCTCATCCGACATTGCCGATACACGCACAAAGGAACAAAGAGAGATATGGACCAGTGGAGCAGAGAGGATAGAAAGGGTTTTACCTGGTTTCTTGGCGGAAGCTATGAAACCTACGGAGCCTCAGAGGAGTTCACCGGTGAAGAGTGGGACTACTGTTGCGTGATAGAAGGGATGCATCTGGGTATTTTTGTCTTGCTCGCACTGGGTGACATGCCAATTGATTCCTACTGTATCGTATCGTATCGTATCGTATCGGTCGGTCAACTTTGAAGGCTTGTCCACAGAACGGAAAGTGTGAATATGAGTAATTGATCTCAACTCCGGTACAGCTTGTGTAAGAAGTGGTGGGACTAGGGCAGTACGACTCGACAACCAATGCAAAGTCTGTTTCAGATAGATGAAGCCCAGCAACCCAAGTCACATAGCTTCACGGGGTCTTTTGTCAGTGAAGTTATATACAGTGTGTATGACGACCGAGGTCACTTAGTACAACTTCACTCAAACAATGCATGTTTTGAACCTTGCCCCTAAAGAGCTGTACAACGGAAATCCCTTTAGGATCTGTTTGACCGCTTGAAGGGATAAAAATGTCAACACACAGGGAGAAATGGGATGAGTTCGATATGTCAACAGTGTGAGCAGAACTATGGCAGATGCTTGAAAGAGGTTTGTACAGTTGTTGATGATAGTGAGATTTACAGGACTAATTGGAGTGCTCCCTGGAATTGAAACCTCCGTCCATGACCACGGGTCATTCGTGTGAGAGAAGAGTCACGTATATGGAATTGTGATGGTTTCACATGAGTGGGAAAACGGCACGGAGGTTCAGATGGGCAGAAGATAGCGCTGGATGGGATTGGGAGATAATTGTGAGAAGAGGCGTTCAGGACAGAACGATTTATTTGACTCAGGAAAAGCGAATGGCTTGGAGATAGAAATCAACGACTCACATGATAAGCCATATCCAAAGCTTTCCTCGCCATGCTCACTTTCTGACCATTCACCGGATGCCCCTCTGCCTTACCTACCCTCTCCATCTCTGTGACTTCGCGCCATCGATCTCTCATTTGATACGGCAAAGGTCGATCACGGGGTATTTGGACATACCATCTAGGTTCTTGTTCCTTTTTCTCCTTGGTCACTTCTTTCTTCTCCGCGTAACCGACCGACTTCTTTCCATTTCCTTCATTCTTCTTGAAACACTGTTCCGATCTCTTCTCTCTTTCCCCCTCTACTTTCTTCACATGATCACCATTCTCGAACAACTGGGTCGTCCCTCGCCGCCATCTCTTCCCTAATAACACGTCTAGACCCCTTCTGGCCTTGTGCAAAGTCTCAGTCGAGCTGGTTTGAAGCACCGAAGCTTTCTCATCTATGACAGTTCGAACAGATTCCAAGCCCTGTTTCGCATTATGTACGACTTCTGCCGGTGGTGATGGCGACGTGAAAGTGGCAAACCAGTCGGAAATATAGGGAGAGAGGGAAGAACGGACTTGTTGGGCCTTTGAGAGTGCAAGACGTTCTTCGTTTCTCAAATATTTCCATGACGCCATAACGTGTGGATGCAGTCGTTCTACCCCAGCTTGTGTGATGGTGTATGCAACTGAAGTGATGGTGTTCACTCTATCCCGCAGATACTCCGCAATGTGTTGGATGTTTTCCAAATCAGAACGAATGGCTGTCAGGGCGGATGCGTAGATCCAATGTACCGCGTCATTGGTGAGGAATGATGAGAGGGCATGTTGTAAGCCAGCTGCATTCAGGATATTTGAAAAGAAATCTTCCCATACGGCTGGGGGACAGTGACATTCCATCGAAGAAGTGGAGTTGATCACATCTTGATCGTGTGCATTGACATACGTCGCTTTCTTGTGACGCCGTGGACGAGAGATCGGCTGCTCGTTGGTAGTTGTAAGAGCAACTTCGGAATCACGGACGGCTACTGCCATGGAGCAACAGGACGAGGTGGAGCCTTGCGATTGTGACTGAGCACGATGTTTTGGCATTTGATCAGAGCTCGTGAGGGATACTGTACCGGGATGAGCTTGTGCAGGCTGGTACGAAAAAGTGGACAAGGCATATCTGAGAGGTCGCATATCGGGAAAGTACTGGGCAGGAGGTGCCGGTTTGGCAGTAGGATCCAGCGATGTGATTGAAGATGTAGTAGTGGGAGGGGGAGAGGTATGTAGATGTTCCCACACGTGCGAGGATTGGGGAAATGTGGACGATGATAGAGAGTTCCAAATCTGTTCAGAGAAGAGAGAGGGGAGACCGGGACCAAAAGAGCGCAATAATGCAAGGGAAGCAGCAGCGAATGCCATGACTGAGATCCTTTAGATCAGCCAAAACGACTTCTCTGGAAGATTCAATAGTAAGTTACTGACCATCGTTTGTTTGCTCCTCGCAAGAGCAGCAGTCTGAATTTAGACCTTCGCTCCTTGGCAGAACCAGTTATGATGACTTCTCCTTTCTTCTCTTCAATTCTTCTGACCTCTAGTACATCTTTCATTGTTTGAACTTTCGATTCGTTCATGTTCTCTGCCAGTCCACGCAGATAGATGTCTTCCACAGGTCCAAACTCCCATTTGTCATCATGTGGATAATCTTCATTGACCAATGCACCAGGTGTGACAGTACCACTTGCCACAAAGCTAGCTTCAGGAGTTGGATAGATCAATTGAACATTGGTAGTTTGACTTGAAAACATAGATTCCGTAGTTTCAGCATCGACATAACTCCCATCAGCCAGATTTCCTCCGTATTCGACCGGGGTCAAACTCCTGTCGACCTCGGAATCCGTAGCTGCCACCGAACGAGCGTCGGAGTCACGATCTGACATGTAATCGAGTAGGGATGAATCTACATCCGACATGTATTCTTCCATATCTGAGATGGAACCCGTGTCTGTGGAGACAGATACGTCTACCCAAGACGAACGAAGAGGGTCATTCTCCGAAGAATGGTCTGTAGTAGTGGGAGATGAAGGAGCAGGAGGAATTGAGTTGGGTTGAGATGAAGCTGGTGAGTTAGGGAGTGCGGGTGGACGACGACGACGAGACATGATGTTTCTGTATAGGTCAATACAAATTCCGATGATGAGGTGTTGAAGGATGAAAAAAGAAGAATGGAATGAAAGATGAGGAACTGATTCTGAAGGGTGACTGAAAATCAAATGGATGAGATACTACTGACGATACAGTCACGAACAAGAGTAATCGACACTGACGAGAAAGATGACGTTATATATAAATGTTTGTATATAGATGTCACGAAGATGGAAGAGAATGGAAGAGGAGTTTGAATACTCTACGGAAACGTTCCCTTCTAAGGTGGGTGGCAAAGGTTGTCCTACTCCTTTGTATGAGTTATGTGTTGATCGGGCTATTGTGAGGACGAATTGACAGAAAGAGGTAACACCAAAGTAGTAGAATGAGGAAATAGGAAAGAGAAGAGAAAACGGGAGAAGGATACAAGTTAGAAGAAGAGTTAGATCCGTGGCTCACCTTTCCCAGGTTGTACTTGGCTACCGGGCCGGCTAACCTTACCTCCACTCCACCTTGATAAGTATGACTCAAAGTGGATTCGATGTGGATTGAAGATCAAGTAGGCGACTGAGTGAGATAGATAGAGAGTCAACACTACAGGATGAGGTATAGAAGAGGAATGGCTGACGGGAGAAAGATGAAACGTAACTTAGAGGAGGAAGGGAGGGTAGGTATGACAGGAGTAAGCTTAAGGTTATCGGCATTCAGCCCAAGTGGCATTCATCTCTAACCTCCGAGCGGACACTGTACTACATTCTTCGTCTACATGCATACTGTACAACCCTCAATGTAATCTATATGTAGCCGATGCTTATACTTTACTATGCTACAGTTCATTGTGTCCCTTTCTTGAATGTCCAGTGTCCATATCATCAGATGCGCCGGATGAGCAACCACCTTGACACCTTATCTCATCCTTTTATCGGAACGCCAATCTCCGCGGAGCCCCGCATGCTGAGGAGAAAGGTCTCAGGGTTTGAGGTCAAGGTATCAAAGTCTCCCTCAGGGGACCATGAACCGGTCTTTGGGGTACTGTGCCTCTTGACATTCGTTCGGATCTCTCGTCCACCAGAGGAGGAGGTACGACGTCAAACAGTTGGATCCCGTCCTGCGTATCAGTATCCATGACCCGTCAGGATGATGACCTACCGTTTCGAATACAGACCATCGCCCACCGGCCTGGCATCAGCTCCAATTTCACACCACATATCCTTCTCTCAATCCAATCCATTAACAGTCCGTCTACACCTGAGAGGGAGAGATGAAACTTAGCAGAGAGAGATTATACACGATAAAACACGTTCACTTACAGATACCCTACTCTTCAAAACCTCCACTACACCCCTTAACCCAGGCTTTCTTCTCACCCTATCTCTCTCTTCCTCATCGACCAAACCGAAGACTTTGCCTGTTTCCTGTATCAACAACGTCACATCCGCACAGTATCCAAATGCGATGCCTAAAGCGGGTTTGATGGTTGTGGGTGAGAAATTCGATAGGGGGTTGATGGGTGAACTTGAGACTGTCGTGTTGATCACCTGTTTCTCAGCTACTTCTCCTCTTCTTGCTGTTCGAGAAATGACTGACGATACTTGTGAGACCGTATGTTTGAGTCATTTCAGCGAGTTGTTCCATGACGGCAATCATCTCTGCGTGTCCTGCCCATTAGCAAACACTAACCCTCCTTCCCTCCACGCTGTCATTCATCTTGATTTTTCATGATACTATTGGTGATACTAAGGGAAAGAGAAGAGAAAACAAGATAGCAAAAGATTGACATACCCTGAGCTGTTGTACTCATCAAAGTATCTTTGAACAATACCGAGATAAAGTCAATCACCACGATCTTCAACCTGTTCTTCTCTTCCTTCCTCTCCTGATCCTTCAATCAGTCTCTTCTCCATGTCCAGAGGAGAAAGAACTCACCATCAATTCGATTTGAAGAGAAGAGATGATATCGTATAAATCAGGTTCAACCTTGAAACAAGGTCTAATTTCCAATCTATTCAAAACTTCTGTCGTCTGATGCATTAGCTTTGTCTCTCATAGATAAGGATCATATGACTCACATCCACGTCCCACGATTCAAGTATGATTTTAGCTCGGATAGGAGAAAAACTACCATCCGTATCTATCCAAACTGCCTTTCCACCATCTTTTAAAGTCCTCAGAACAGCATGTAAAGCCAACAACTCAAAACATCAGCTCTGAATCACCAATTTTCGCGGGATGAAACTCACCGATTTCCCAACTTTTTTAGGTCCTGCTATTTCCAGTATACCAACCCCATCCCATGCATCTAATAATTGATCGAGGTTATAAACACCAAAACCTGTCCATGTGATTTCCTCCTTGGGTAGTAAAGTATCAGCAGTGACAGAGATAAGAGCTGTGCGTCGTAAAGCAAAAGCTATGAGCGCGTCGAGGTCATCTTTGCGTATGGAAGGGATAGAAGAGAGGAGAATTTGATGAGGGGTGAAAAGTAAGTTTTCGGTTGTTTTGATTCCCGCTTGGTCTAATATGAGTCAGGTGTCTGAAAGTATGTTTTATAACTCACCCAAAACGGGTAGTAGATTGATCAGATCCGAAGGGAGAGAATTGATTATACGCTTAAGCAACATGTGACAGAGAACTTACGAGTGATTAAAGTACATATACTAAAGAGGAAAAGACCAATCAGTCAAGTGGAGGCGTGGGTGGATGGCCAAAGTAAAGGGACGTTGAAATTATTATTGTGGACTGTGGCGGCCACGGAATCTTCAAAGCCACGTGGTCCGACTGCCGGACCCGGTTATCGGCCGTGTGCGCGGAAAAGAAAAAGACTCCGTTCAGGCCATGAAAGATAAACAGCAGCTAGCAGCGCAGTTTTCAAGTTGCCAACTACATAGCAGTTTCTATCAGTTTGCAGAACCCAACAGGGTAAGTAGACTGGTCGACTCGAAATTGAGTTCCTCCAGCGTTGGCTATTCAGAACTCCTTGACTGCGGTCTCCGTAGTCTTTGATCTTTCTCTGTCACCATGTCACAGATGAAGAATGCAGTGTGAGTGACATGTCCGACGATTTCCATAGCCTACTGCTATATAACCATCTACGAGAATCGATAATGAATCTTGAGAAAAAATTGCATCCTACATTGTGAGTTTTGACTTTTATCGTTGATGCAAATGGCTTACTTAGGGTATGTCATGCATCTGGCTGCACTCTCATCAGGTGCCATGGCACTGAAATCGAATAACTCCCACCTCGCGTCCAACGTCGGTAAGTGTAGTCAGCTGACTATAGCTCACGATTCGGGAGGCACTGTGTCATGACCGGGTAGCGAGCCCGCGATCATAAACCGTCCTAAAAGGCTCAATATCAACTCTGCTAGTGAGAGTTGATCTCGCTATAAGTACTGGTCGTGACACACTGATATTGGGACTCACGAGGGTGATAAATCGAGCTGATCTTGAACCGCCACATGCTGGTACCTAATAGTCATCTATTGGTCCGACTCCTCCGGGAGACTCGTCAACCTGGTTAGTAAGAAAATCATCTTGACGTGTCTCAACCCGTTTCAGTTATAAATTGCATCCTGCAAGGGCAAACTCCTAGGTCGCCTTCCTCGAGCACTTGTCATGCAATGTGGTCCATAATCCCGAGCGAGCCTTCATTCCTCCTCTTCCTCCTCTTCCTCCTCTTCCTCCTCTTCCTCTTCTTCCTCTTCTTCCTCTTCTTCCTCTTCTTCCTCTTCTTCCTCTTCTTCCTCTTCTTCCTCTTCTTCCTCTTCTTCCTCTTCTTCCTCTTCTTCCTCTTCTTCCTCTTCTTCCTCCTCTTCGTCTCGCTGTCATGTCACTGATCTCACTTTGTCATTACTAACTGCTTAGAGGTGTCAATCGTCCCTCATGAGTCGTCCTCGCTGATTTGATCCGTCACTCCGAAGTATCACATATCATCCCACTCAGCGGAAGGGGGGAGGATCGCGTTGTGATCTGAGGGTTGGCGATCAGTTGGAAATGACCTCCATAAAGTGACATCCGACCCGGCTTGCAAAGGTTCCGCCGATGGACCTGCCGAATTGAAATCGAAAGTCTGCTGAGGTACTTGCTCCTCAAGGGTATGATTCGAAGTTTCCACACACACCGAAGTGTTTGTCGTTTCAGAAACCCATCCAGCAGAAACGTTGGATTTTATCGCTGCTAAAATCTCCCCTACGTCCAAGTCGTCACACCTGGTGACTTCTGATGAGGTACCCGAGCTAACGGAAGTGACGACCGTACCATCGGGGGAAGTGTCAATCTCATTATTCTGACATGTCAGCGATTTATCCCCATGCTCCGTGAATGGGAAAAGAATGATTGAGAGATAGTTGCGAATGGAACGACATACCTCGTTGGCATTTTTCTTTCCCTTCCTGCACCTTTCCTGCCTCCTGTTAGCCATAAATTTGGTCCACCATTTATTCTCTTCCTTCTGGGCCCTCATCACGAAATCCTCCGTCGATTCGCCGGGCAGCTGAACGGCCTGGGGTATAGTTACACCAAATAACGCGGCGTATTCCGCCCTCGACTGGCCCTTCTTACGATAGGGCACCTCGATCAATGATCTTTGACGGGGGGACTTCTGAGGACGACGGACGCTCGAGGGAGCCCGATCCTTTTTTGCCCCGCCGCCGCCTTTCTTTGGGGAGGCACTAGTGTTCTTCCCAGCTCTTCCTCTCGGGGCTGTACTAGGTGTCTCCTCCTGACGAGCAGGTATAAGACCTTCTTGACCAGAGTTGATACCCTGTTGACCTTGCGCCGACGTTGCGAACGTTTGTGGCAAAAGTTGAGGGATGTGGGTGTGACTTTGGGGAAGGAGATTGTCAGATCCGTATCCGTATTGTTGATGAGGTACTACTTCTTGGTGAGCAGGTAGAAGCCCTCCTTGAACAGAGTCAAAACCCTGTTGACCTGAGGCCGATGTCGCGAACGATTGTGGCAAACCTTGACTGGGGATTTGGGGGTGACTTTGGGGAAAGTGATTGTCGAAACCGAAGTCGAATAGGAATTCTTCTCCGAATTGAAGAGAAGGATGACTTCCTTGAACAGAATAAGAATCCTGTTGACCTTGTACCGACGTCGTGAACGACTGTGGCATACCTTGATGGGGAATATGGGTGTGACTTTGAGGAAAGTGATTGTCGACACCGAAGTCGAATAGGAATTCTTCTCCGAATTGAAGAGAAGGATAATTCCCTTGAACAGGATGAGAATCCTGTTGACCTTGTACCGACGTCGTGAACGACTGTGGCATACCTTGGTAGGGGATCTGGGTGTAACTCTGGGGAAAGAGATTGTTGACACCAGATCCGCCTACTTGTGGACGTACTACCTCGTGATGAGCAGGTAGACGACCTATTTGAACAAAACTCTTGGAGCTTTGTTGAAATTGATAAGCTTGTTGGGCTTGTTGGGCTTGTGCCAAGGCCGCCAGCGACCCTGGTGTCCCCGGAACGAAGTATTCTTGACGAACGTTTGCTCCTTGTTTTGGGATAGGTTGAAAGACATCCCTGGGGTTGACGAACGAGTGTCGCATAGAGGGGCAGGCCCTGTTGTTGGACATGTACCAGTCGAGTTGCCTACTCATGATACTGATGATTGACGATATAGGTAGGACTCAAGAGAAGGTGGTTAAGGACAAGGTACGTGATTTGTCGAGGATGCGGATGAGAGGATGTGAAGGATGGTAGTGATTCAGAGGATAGGCTCGGGCCGACAGGAGGGGTGTGGCGAGGGGTGATACGGATAAGAAGGAGGACGAGGTCGTCTTCGAGACGATGTCGATAGGAATGAGGATGGGGGATGTGTTGGTATGGACAGGATACGGGGTGTTGAGGATGGGAGGTTGGTTGGTATGGGATATAAGCACAGGTGACTTGGGGATCGCGAGAAAAAGTGGCTAAGAAAAGACTGCCAGTCAAGGAATCAAGTCTTTATGAGAGAAGGAGATACTCACCCATCATCAAGAAAGGTAAAGTTTTCTTTCCGCTTCCTAACAAACCAAATTTCCCGAAGAGAATGAAACCTGTGACACGGCAACATTTTGTAATCCGAAGTACCTATGTCTTCTAACTATCAGTTAAATTCATTCTACTTTTGGTATATTACTTTTCGTTCTCGAACTTCATGGACTACCCGCTCCACTTACCTAGGGCTATTTGAAGAAGAGTCAACAGACGAAAAGAGAAGGAAGAGAAAAAGACACTATCGACTTCCTCAACCTTCTACCATAGAGAAGCCGAACTTGATATTCTGATATCCGAGTTCTGAGACCCGGTCAGAGGTGGTACAGATTTCGTACAGTAAAAATGACCAAAGTCTCTCATTGGGATTCACAGAATTCCTAAATCGGAAGATTGGAGAGTTCTTAGTGCCGATGATTAACCTGGGGTCGGGAAGATCGTGGTGTGGAGGTACTGACTTGTAATAGAACATTGACGAAGTGGCTGATCTATGAACCCAAGTCTGGCCTCTGACGAAAGACATGTTCCCGTTGTTTTCTGTTTTCTTTCTTTTACCTGAAGCGGTGGTCGGTCAAGTTGAAATGAAGAGAACACATTGCCGGTTAGATGGCTGGTAGAAGTCGCCGACTGCCAAGTAGACCGGAAAACCGGAATGTACTGACGGCAAGCATCGTCTATGATCTATGAATGACATGTAGTATATTGACCGGAAGAAGGAGGCTGTGTGCGGGGAAGATTGATCGAGATTCATTTTGAGAGGGAAGATGGCTGACAGTGGTTGGAGAGACGCGTTGAAGGAATGTCGCGGAAAATACCAACTAACACCAGGGATGGGGAGTAAGAGATTGAGAAGAGAGAAAAAGACTCTTGAGTGAAAAGCGAGCTGATGATCATGAGTTGATGAGTTGAGCAAAAGAGGATTGGTAGTGAAGAGAAGATAGAGAGTTGGTGATGGTTTCAGGGTTGAACGTCATAGCGTCCTTCCTTTCCGTCATTCTCGGCTGATCCTTCGTCCTTCTTTATCGACAACGACTTTTCACATCATTTTTATTGCACACTCCTCTCAGTCTGATCTTCATAGTTGGGCCTTTTGACAACTCTTCCCAAGGGGGAACAACAAAAAACCAGGATGGTTCATGGAGGAAAGAGGATGTACGCCGATCATTCCCTCATCACCCCTACACATCCACCTCTCAACTCACAACTCCTATCTCCTCTCGCGTTTGATCATCCTCATGGACCGTGTATAGAGTAGAGGAGATCCTCGAGATTATTCTATGGATCACCACTTGAGATACATAGATATGGGATGGTCAGAGAGAATGGACATAGGAACGTATTGAAAGAAATACAACTGATGGCTTGGAGGCGAAGAGATGGGACAGAGGATGGATCCGTACGTGTTTTCACCGTCATTCATATTCTCGTGACTTCTTTCTCGTAGATGGTGACCTCTCGAGACACGTTCCACACACATAAGCGATAGAGAAGAGTTTAGAGGATACGTCAGCTTTCAATGCTGATATTGATCGTTTCTTTCTTTACAGTATTCAACACTCGAGATCGTATTTACATCCCACCCTCCCCCTTCTTCCAGGTCGACTGCCGACTCACTTGGCCGCCAGATTCAACGTCAGATCTGGCGCTTGACACATCCCATCCGATGACCCCTGATTGCTCGACCAAGACCCATTCGTGGAGAGGAGATTGAAGATAAGGAGGGCGCGAGGACGCTGATCTTTCCTCAGCATCGAGTCATTTTCGACATGGATACCCCCCCTTCATCTCGACATACTCTCTTCAACTGAACGAAACACTCTGTACGCCGACGATCCGAGAGAGGGCAGAAGATCTTTTCACGTCCGTGCGCGGTCATTATGATATGCGATGCATTGCGATTAAAATGTGACATGATATTCCCCCTCTTAGTCCTCCTCCTCCTCCCGCTGAAGCATCTTGGACTTCTTGACCTTCTCAAACACATACAACACCCTGCCCCCTTGCCCATTATCAGCTAACTTCCTCAGGTCATGTCTCCTCTCCACCTCTGTCCCAATATCAATTTTGACCCCGGATTTATTCTTCCTCGTCTTGCCTCCCGTCGACTCTTCTGAGTCCGAGCCTTCAGATCTCTTGATTCGACCACCTTCGAGACGAGCCTTCTTGTTGGACGTATGCGAGGGAAGGGCGGACGGAGAAGAAGAGGGGCCGGCATCGTCATTATCCCAATCCTCCCATAACATATTGTAAAGAACAGTGTCGGCGATATCACGGAAAGATTGCTTGTCGTACGCGTCGATGTGGGTCCATTTCTTCAGGGCGGCGAGCTTTTCTTTCTTCTCTTCGGCAGCCTACGAGTATCAGTGATCAATCCGATTATAGGAACTTACCTTCTTGATCATCTTTGGGGTCTGATGGTCAGCTGACAGGAACAAGTTCAGCACGAAGTCGTGACCTACCGGAGCGGGATCATACTGTGCTGCCGAGACAAATTTAGGCCTTGACTCGAGCTCATCTTCATCATCTGACAAGCTATCAGGAGTTGGCAAGCTATCAGCGGCCAGGTCAGCTGGGGCAGTCTTGTCGGCGCAGTCGCATCCAAGTAGGTCATCTGCATGTCAGCCTTGCTGATATCTTTTAGATTTCATAAAACTGACGTGTCTGACAACCATCGGTCAGGGTGTTGAGCGTGAATATATCACGAAGCTCCGCAAGGGTGAAAGCTTTTGTGTAAGCCTGATATCTTCGATTGGGGGGAAGCTCACAATCCTTGGTCTGTCCTGTCGCTTGACCTCCGTCAAGCATTTGATCCGACAGGCCATCCTTGGTGATTTGCCGCTGGATTTTAGCACTCGACGGGGACGAGGGTATGACCACGGACCTGGTAGATTTTCTCATCAATAGTACAGGCCGTGAGGAAGCGATAGATGTAAACCGGCTTCTTCTGTCCGTCGCTGACCGTCAGCTCTTCTAATACTGCCAAGAAGTTGAAAACTGACCGATGAATCCTGCCCATCGCCTGCCTGTCTGTCGAAGGATTCCAATCGCTATCAAACAGGACTAACCGAGATGCACTGGGATGAGCTGCACCCGAGTCATACGCACGGTCTCACGTACCCGATCAAGTTGAGCCCCACACCTCCAGCCTTGGCACTGAGTAAGAAAACGAACGAGTCCAGCTGTGAACCTCTGTTGAACTGTTCCACCAGCGTTTGACGCGTTTTGGTTGGTGTCTTTCCGTCCAGGCGAAGGAAGGAGTATGACTTGACTTTACACATGCCTTCGATGAAGTCGAGGGTGCTAGTCCAGTTGGACACAACGACAACCTTCTCGCCGCTCGCGCCCCTGAGTGATTGCAAGAGACGGACGAGAACGATTAGTTTTCCACTGCTGTCAAGATCGACGACAGAGGTATCCTTGGGTATGATTTTCAAGGCCTCTTCACGACCAGTGCCGATCTCGTCTAAAGGGATGCTCTCCTCGTCCTTCTTCCTGAGAAGCTTCCAGTGAGACCAATATCGCTTCACTTGTCGAAGCACTCACCGAAGGAGAGTTTGACACTTTACGAAGGGAGTCAACTGCGAGTCAGAGCCAGTCACATCCGAGTAAAGAGTCACCAACTCAATGCCAAAGACATCATTCCGGATCCTGCTCGCAAGAAATTGCCAAGCAGACTAGGGTTCAGTAGTCTGGAAAACACCTCCAACTGGAGTGTCGCCGGTGCAACGAAGATGACATAATCATCTATGCTTAGCTGCAGCATAAGGTGAAAGGCTGGCTGCTCACGACGTGGAGGAAGATAGTTGGAGAGGACGTCGGCTGTTCGACGCAACACAAATTTCTCAGAGAGTTTGGACAGCTGATGCCATTCAGCCTTTTCCATCCTTTTTTGTACACTTTCACAGCTTACCTCCGCAGCTTGCTCCATTCCATTCTCAACTTCGGCTTTCGAAGCACCAGGCATACGTGAACGGAGGATCTTCTTTTCATAACGCTTGTTGAAAGAAGGGTAAGTGCCCAATATACCGGGACACGTGAAGTTGACCTGACGGTCAAAATCTGCTCCGCTTCGTTCGACTCACCATCGCCCAGTATTCTCCGAGATCGTTCTGCACAGGCGTACCAGACAGGACTAGGGTCAGATTTGACTTCTCGTGGAGACTCACTGATCCTCCGAGAGGTTCTCAGAGCTTCAAACATCTTCGTCGTCTTGTTATCCTTTGACTTCAATCTGTGTCCTTCGTCGCATACGATCAATTCGATAGGCGGCTGACAAGACGCGAGCTGTTTACTGATGTGTCAGTCATAGCATGAGCGCGTGCAGTGACCCACATGACTTTGCGCAACTGAGTCCATCAGCAGAAGCAATTAGGAGGAGAGAAATACATACTCTTTCATAGCCGATGATCAAGACCTGTTGCGATCTATTGTGAAGCTACTCCTCAGCTTTGGCTCCGATGCCGTGATGTACCTACGAAATTGGATATCTGCCAATCGCTCCCGTCCGCTGCGACCACACCGACCTTGTTTTGCAACCTGTCATATTTAGTACCACGGCAATGAGTGAGCGCGTAACGTACCATTTCTTGAACTCTTTGCGCCAGTTGCTCACCAGAGTGACAGGACAAACGATCAAGATCTTTTGTGCGCTTCGATAATGAGCAGAGAATCATCGATCAGGATTACTCACATATGTCCTTGATTGGCGAATGGAGATTGCTCTTGGTCATCAGCCTCGGATGGTATTTATGTGAAGATGACGTACTGAGCATTGTATAGATGAGGCCGATAGTCTGGAGAGTCTTCCCTAGACCCATCTCATCGGCCAGGATACAACCTTCGGCTTCCGCTCCGCTCATCCCCATGACACACTTATACATAAACTGCCGGTTAGCTAGGTACCTGCCTGTGTATCTTCGACTCGCCTTGACACCTTCATGCTGGTGAGGACGCATGATGGAAGTGAGCAGAGGATCAAGGACCACATCGATGATCTCCGTCCGACTGTGGTTCAGCTTCACTCTGCTGTCTGATAGATGGGAAAGACTTGCTTCTTCTCACCCCATAGATCAGGTGGTCGGGGCATGACAACCGCTCCTGGAGCACCTGGATCATGTAGAGCACCACCCCATGCCAGACGCTCCTTGTTGCTCTTTTCGCCGATGACTATCTTCTCCACTTTAGGCTTTGAGGCGTAGAAGCTCGCGGCAGACACTGTCTTCCCAACAGGGACTGTCGTGGATGGAACAGCTGTGTGAGATCGTGAAGGTCCTGCGACAGCAAGAGGGGAGTCAATCCCTGAATTCGTCCTGGCTGGGAGATACTCGGTCTTCGGACGAGGGACCTTGAACTGTAAGGGAGCCTTGAAGTGACTAGTCATAGTGGCGGGGTTTCGTATTATGGAGCTGGGGGTCAAGAGTCTCTTGTTGAGTATGGACGTTTCGGCTTTGAACCTGGGGTCAGATATGACGTATTCGTAGATAACAGCTTACTCTTCAGCGGAGATGGATCGATCAACTTCTGTCTCGTATTGACCGACCCGAAGCTCGCAGCCTTGTACCATAGGAGGACCTTTGAATGATCCAGATGCCATACTGACAATGAGCCACTGAGCTTCTTACAAGTTGTCCACTCACACATCGCCTTTGTCATCTACCATCTGTACTCGGTTACCTGTGACTTTAAGAAAGGCATCACCGTCCCAAGTCTCTATGGATCATCAGTCGTTGTCGTTCCACAAGTCATGACGACTCACTGTGCTGGAAAGAGACAAAGAAAGCGTATTCAGCTGGGACGTTACAAATACGATCTTCAATACTCACCTTTTTCGTTTGCGGCTTGCGCCTGAGTAGGTCAGTCAAACTTGCTGAACGCTGAGACATGACTCACCACTGCACTGCGAAGAACTCCACACCTTCTTCATCTCTGGCAACAGTGTACATGACCTTGCCACCTCTACCCACGGTGGCTTCGACAGTAGGGATGGTTCTGGACCCGGAAGGACCAGTTCTGAGGGAAGTGGGAACAAAACCGTTCTCCTTATTGGAGAACGAAGCTTTGTGAGAAGTGGGTGGTGAGATAGCAACCACGTCATTGTCGGAAGCTTCGGAACAGGAGTCAGGTATAGAATCTGGGAGAAAAGTATCTGCGTTGGCAGCAAGCTGAGTGAGCAAGCTGTCCCTGCGAGGTGTAGAGAAAGACATGACAGTGTGAGGTATGGTAAGGAGGTAAGCGTATGATTGGGGAAGCTCTAAGTGATAGGTAGTGTGAGTTGTGATAAGAGATGTAAGAGGGAGGAAGACTGGTGGGAGAGAGAAGTATAGGAGGAACGTCGAGGAAAAAGTCGAAAATCCATGCGGGAGGTGAGAAGAAAACTGGTCTGTGCGGGGTGGAGGGAAAGTGGGGGAGATCAGACAAGTTGACGCGACGAAAAGGGGAAGGAGGAGAAATATCAGTCGCGTCACCTCAGCGCGGGACCCCACATTTCCACATTCACCATGTGTCCATGCTCGATCGTGAAGATGAGAATTTTCGCACTAGCCTCGTTAGAATTGTCTGTCGATTGCTGTGGAGATCGAAGATCCTCTCGTCATTGTCATCGGCCTCGGTAACGTTCGCCACAAGCATGGGGCATGGGGCGGTCCCCGAGGCCGAGGTCATGGGCGGCTGTATATCACCTTGTCACCAGTTACACCATCTCCACCTCCTTGTTCCGTCCCCAGTAACGCACACTCGACACAGAGCTGTCTATCACCCTCCCCATCTGTCGTACTCCAAGCATGTCTTCCTACCCCACTCCTCCTGACTCTATCCCTACCACGCCGACGAAGCAACTCTCCGAGGGACAGGTGACTCCTGCACTTGGCACGGACCATGTCCCATCTTCTTCCATGGGTTACACTTCTTCGTTGCTTTACTTGGTAGACGGTCTGACCTCGTGCGCTTCTTCCACCATCAACACCATATCTTGGTCTCCTTTGGTTTCCGGGGCGCGGATGGTGATCTTGTCAATGATGAAACATTCCATCCGTCATGGTCAACTCCGAATCCTCTCTATGGATGGTGAGTGGACTTTTGGCTCTGCCTCAGCTGAACCCGACAAATGTGTGGAGATCAAGGTGATCAGGGATACCTTCTGGCTTCGGTTGGTCACCATGGGAGATTTGGGTTTCGCAGAGGCTTACATGGCTGGTGACTGTGAAGTCTCGAATCTACCTCAGGTTTTCAGAGTGAGTCAAATGTTTACCTCAGGGATAAATAAGTAACTTATACTCAGATCTTCATTCGATCTCGACCTTCTCTCGCATCGACCAACATACCAGGAGTTTCTACCCTCCCTTCGAAATTGTTCAGATATATATCTTCTCTTACGAATTCCCGTTTTGCAAATACACTCTCAAATACAATCTTCAACATCAGTGCTCATTATGATCTTTCAAACGGAATGTTTTCCGCTTTTCTCAGTGATGACATGACCTATTCATGTGCCATCTTCCCCGAACTCGACGCGGATCTATCTGCTCAAAAGCTCCATCATCTCAACAATGTTGATTTCTCAGAAAGGCTGAAGAATGATGCGGAATGTCATCGGACCCAGGAAGAAATAGTAAAGGGGCAAGACGAATTAGAAGACGCTCAGATGGCAAAGATTAGACATATCATACGTCAAGCTGATATCAGACAAGGTCATCGAGTGTTAGAGATAGGAAGCGGGTGGGGGAGTTTTGCGATTGAGGCGGTCAAGCAAACGGGTTGTACCGTTGATACTATCACTTTATCTGCTCAACAGAAGAAACTCGCGGAGGAAAGGGTCAAAAAGGCTGGTTTAGGTGGGAGAGTCAGAGTTTGGTTGATGGATTACAGAGCGTGGGTTGTTTTTGATTCTTTTCCTTTACAAGCCAGACGACAGTATAAGCTTCATGACGAAACAGTATCACAATGCTTATTGGGAAATGAATGAAGAAAAGAGATGATGAAGTGTTGTTGATCTTCAGTCTGCCCGAAAGTTGGAAATCGTCATTCGACAGGGTAGTCTCCATCGAAATGCTCGAACAAGTCGGTAAAGAATTCACTCCTGGTTATTTCTCCGTGCTCGACTCTGTATTGAAGTCCAACGGAGTGGCTTGTTTCCAAGTCATCACTATCCCAGAAAGTCGTTTTGAGCAATGTGAGTTGCTTCTTCTCTTGAACACCATCCTCTGCCTCTTGTCTATTTACCCCCGCAGGTGCTACAGTGTAGCATGAGCTGTTCGTACAGCTTTTGTATGTCGAAGTACGAACATACTTGAAGTGATGGACGGATCGCTTATGTTCAGACCAGAAAGGAATCGACTTTATACGTAAATGGATCTTTCCAGGTGGTTTCCTTCCTACTATCAGCTTCATCACCGATGCTATACAGGTAGGAGCGAACAACAGGTTGATTATTGATTCCGTCTCTAATATCGGTGTCAGTTTCTATTCATCTCTCGTAGTTGGGTGACTCGTTGACAATCAGCCGCATTACGCTCGTACCTTGAGAGAATGGAGACGAAGGTTCTTACAGAACTTCGATGAGCTTATATCTCCTGCGTTACGGGCTGAACATCCGGAAATGACTGCTGGAGATATCGAGGTTTTCAAGCGGAAATGGTTATGTGAGTGTACCTCCAGTCAAATACTTTCCTTGTTTTCTGAGGTCTCTGCGCCGTCAACGTAGATTCCCGTCATCTCGTCATGGTTCTTTGGTATGATCGCTCGGTCATGGTTGTGATCTCAAGTGAGAACTTTGGATTTAAGATACAGCCTATTTGAAATCTTTCAGCTGACATCAGACTATTTCTGTTATTGTGAAGTAGGTTTCTCTGAGAGAATTCTAGGGGACCATATCTTCACTTTGGTCAGGGAAGGTAACAGAGAATACGGGTGCACGACTTTGGCATGAATTAACGACGATATATATGGATAACACTTGCATATAGAAGTATCCTTGGGAAGTCATAAAATTACAACGGTTATGTTACATTGAATGAACTGAATGACAACCACGCCAGAAATCTTTTCTTCCTTTGTGAAAGGCTCTCTCACCCTTGTCGCTTGTCGAATGGACGAAGTGGAATAGAGGTGTAGGTTGGTAGATGAAGAGTCATCAGGGTACAGTGGGATTATCGTTTCAATGAAGGTTTGACAGTCTTGCCTGTGGTATCTTCCCATCGTTCTTTAGCTATTCTTAGATGTTCAGGTTTCAACGCTCCTGTGGCTTTTTGTTCGGCTTGGACCTCTTTGGCTGGAGCTTAGCGCAATCCAGTTTCATTTATTGTAAGAAAATGTGGATATATGATGCGAAATGTGGGGGAAGGTCAGCCAGGGCAAGACGCCGAAAATGAGATATATACTATTGAGGGTGAGACATTGATGAGCAGGGGTATGTATTTTGATAGTTTGAAGAAATCTACCTAATTCAATGATCTCAGCTAGGTAAATCTTTCCTAATCCAGCAACAATCTGCGATAGACTAGGTTTGATATGTTGGTCGAAGAATTCCCTATTAAGCTACGATTAATATCAATCCTCAGTGACTTTGTTTCGTTCCTACTTGTGGCCGAGAAGACGAGAAGATGTATTTCGATACCCTTCGATTTACGCGTTGAGTTCTGTATGTATATTGATGGTGAGACGGGGGAAGATCAAACAGACAGAGAGGGATGAGTGGGCAAGAAGGAAATGAAAACAGAGAAACGACAAGACTTACCCTACTGACAGCTTGTTTAGGTAAAATGACAGAATAAAAAGTATCGTATCTCTTCGCTTGGTCAGAATCCATGAGACCTCTCAACATGCTGATGATTAGTGCACTCCATGACAACTCCCCTCATTCCCCTCATTCATTTCAATCGTGAGAGCCTACACCTCGAGGTCTTGATAGCCTAAGTTCGAAGGAGAAGGACCACACAGCTTCCCTCCAAACATGTTACAAAAGAATGATAGTTGTCATTGTCCAGTGTAAGAAGATAGAAGGAAGTTATAGTAGAGTAAACCCACTTTGTCTCCATCATCCTCTTTCTTCTCCTTTTAACCACACCTTTCCCTTCCTCCTCCTCCTCTACTTCCCCCTTATCCCTCACTTCCTCAACTTCACCTTCCTCATCCTCTTCTTCATCAGAAGCTTCCGATACAGCTCTTCTGGAAGTAGGAGCAGCTAAAATCTCCGAATCTGACACATCATCATTTTCGTCCAATGCACGAGTTTGATCAAGTGTCGTAGGTCTTGGTCGACGACGTTTTTTACCTATTGGTTTTTTGGTAATCGGAGTATTTGTGTCTCCAGTGAGGTTTGTAGATCCGGATGAACTTTGTAGATGAGATGGAGTAGGGGTACGTGTTGGAGAAAGTTTGTATGTTGTTGATGTTGGTAATGCGAGGTTATGTTGTGACATTGTGAAGTTCTGATTGCCCTCTCTTCTGTCTCCTTGTGTCCTTTTTGTCCCCTTAGTGATCCCAGAATCCTTCCACCATCATTTATTATGTTCAAACCTTGGACGCTGTCAACTGGAATTATGAATAAGATGAGAAGAATATGAACTTTGTTGACTGTACTCTACTCGTACAGTAGTAGAGAGTAAAGTAAGTACTTGACTCGAAGCAAACTCAGTAAGTGACCGTGGCTTTACTTTCCCACGGTCGTCTTTTCCCCTTCGACCTTCGATCACACACCCACCAACTGCGTTTCAACAACTGTCAGAGTGACCTGCTTTATACCGACCACAATAATGTCATGACGACCAAACCATTCCAAACTGATGCTTTAAGCCCATCTGCTCTACCCAGAGCTACTCTAGGTCGTTTTAGAACTCGTACATCAACGTCAGAAAGCACAGGAGGGGACGAAGAACGGTTAGATGTTTGGGCGGAAGAATTGAACAAGAGGGTGGATAAGGATATAAAAGCTTGTTTAAATGGTTTGAAAGATGTTGTTGAGGTTGCTGGAGGTAATGTGAGTGAACAGAGTCATCAAAACCAGTCACTCTTCGTCATGAACGTTTACACACATGTTTTATACTCACATCTTGCTATCTCTACACTCTCCTGAATACTTCCCACTTTCGGGGTTGGAATCCTCCTCCCTCTACTCTACGCCTTTCGACTCTCCCACATTGCACCTTTGAAGAGGGTACAGGATATCATTGAACAAACCTTATCTGTATGTTTCATGGATAATGAGTTTGAAGCTTAGTAAGCACTCACCTATGTCAAGACGGTGGGATCGTGAACTCGTTCTTAGATAAAACAGTGGTGCGACAGACGTCGCCCATGAGTCGAAAAATAGATGGTTTATCTGACAATCAGACAACCGAACCAACTTTAGACGCATTAAACCTCAAACATCGTACTGCTTCCCTCGTCCGGTCTTGTCAACGACTACGAGACGTAGCACATGAACTGAGATTGTTGTTACTTCTTGGTGATGTGGAGAATCAAGCTTTGGCGCGAGATAGAGAAATGGGACGTGTGAGGGAAGAAGTAAAGATGAGAAGGAAAGAAGTTGCCACAGAAACTGGAAGGTTGGTCAATCATGGAAGTACGATTGATGATGATGATGAAGATGGGGTCGAAGATGGGAGTGACGATGACGATAACGGGAGAAATGTGGATGAGGAGGAGGAAAGTCCAGGTGAAGACGAAGATGAAGACAACTCTGGGTCAGGTCATGAACATGGAGAAACGATCCATGGTCAAGTTGGGGGTAATGATGATGGTGAAGAAGATGATGACGACGAAGGATTATTCGGTGAAGAAGAAGATATGGAAATGGATTGAAAAGTTGTAAAATAACCAAGAAATCATTTGCATTCTCCTACGATGTACATAATATCATGGCGCATAGCGCATACCACGCAAACCAAGTGATTTGATGAAAACAAGATTACCAAGAGTCCAGATATTTCCAATCTACTCATCATCCACACTCCACAGTCATACCACACTGTAAACTAGATCTCGCACTGTCCCTCAATCTTCATTCTCATGGAAGGGCCACGCCACTGTAAGACGAGGTGGAACACCATCGGCTCTACCGATACCTCCCTCAGCCCACCATTCTTCATACTGTCCATCAGCATCGGCTCTGTGACTTTCACATGACCATACGCGCAACCACACCGGAGCGATTTAAGAGAAGAGGGTCTCTCAAGGAGTGACGGTGGGACTTGATCACAATGAAAAGATGAGACGACATGACTCACCTCTTTCTGTGCATTCTCAAACTCTTGGAACATCCTCACTGCGTACGGTTGAAACTTCCTATCATATCCTCTATCTTCCTCTTGAACCTTCCTAATCACTCCCAATTGACCATTCTGTAATATAGCCTCTAGCGCTTGAGCAGTGTTGGTAGGTAACATAGAAGTTCTCTTCGACAATCTTGCAGAAACACGTGGAGAGCTCGATTTGCTGGGACTGGGAGGGAGAGAGGTTCTGTTTCTGTTCGGACTCGGAGGTTGAGGAGCAGGATCGAATGTATCGGATCTCGGTGAAGCTGTGGGTAATTCAAATTCAAAGGAAAAGAGACTCGAGCTAGTGTTCGAGTTTGAAACCGAAGTGGAAGCAGTTGTCGGATTTGTCATCGAAGTCATTGATGATGTCGATGATGAAGGTTTAGGTGGAGAAGTGGTAAGGATGGTAGGTGGAGGTGGTTTTCGATGACTGGGAGATGGTAACCTATCTGAATCTGGTGAATCTGGCATTGGCAACGGTGATCCTAATCTAGGTAAAGGGGGGATGATCGGACTAGTCCCCAGATTTGAACTCGAACCTAAACTTTGAGGATTAGGACTTAAAGATCTCATATTGGAGGGAGTAAGACTATCCCTTTCACCAGGAATAGGACTGGGTGATAATCCAGAATCTTTTCTTTTCTTTGTTTTACCAAACTTTTTAGAGATCCAATTACTTGCTTTCCCCCCTAAGCCCATTTGTTTACCCTCATCATCCATTCCTAATCCCAAACCGAGGAGTCGTTCAGCTTTTTGAGATCCTCCCGCATGAGGAGATTGAACCATCGTGATGGTAGATTTGCTCCTGGGAAAACTGCCTTCGACGGGAGTATGAGGTGGGTCCGATGTAGCGGCTTCGAAAGAAGAATTAATCTCAGATTCGTATTTATCGTGCCATTTTCTCATCCATGCAAGACGGGTTTGTAGAAGTGCGACGGAATCAACCTCGACTTCGTTGGATTGATCATCCTCTTTTGTAGTGTGAAAATGTCCTAAGCGGAATACCTACTCGTCAGAATTCTTCTGGTCATGTTTGAACCATCAGTACACCCCACCTGATTGGATGAAGAGCGAGCCAGGGGGAGGGGGAGAAGGGTGGGGAAAAGAGGAGGGTTAGTCAAAAAACTCACCACCAGACGCATCAGATAAGATCTGACAGAATGCGACCAAAACAGAACCAATCTCTCAAACATCTTCTTCTCCAATAACAAATTCTGACACAAAGCCCTCCTATCTTCCGGCCGAAGGGTCATAGCTTCCCAATGGGTGAAGATGAAAGCGATGACTTTGACCAATGTCAAAGCGTGATCTCCTTGAGTGAGTATCAAACCAAACAAGTAAATGAGGTATGACACGTCCAACACTGATGGTTTACCACTATCGAAAGGAGCGTCGACAATACCGTCTAGTAAATCAAACAATGAGAATACGGCTTGAGGTCGATAAAGAGATGTTTTGGTGATCAAATTTCTCGTCCATAGATTGACCATGTTACCCCATAATTGATCACCATCAACTTCTGCTGTTCCCCTCGAAGTGGGTACGAGTACCTGCATATGCGCCAAAGTACCAAGAGTTTCGACTAATCGTCGATTAGCAGTTTCGAGCACGGGAGGTTTCTGAGAAGAACGGAATGCGGCACCTTCGGAAATATCAAAGTTTGAAGTGGTGGATGATGTTGTCACTGCGTTAACAGCTCCGAGGATGTACGAATGACATTTCTTTGCCAATACCGCAGCCAAGTGGGCGTAACCGGGAGCTCGGAACAGTACACCAGAAGGGATGGGCTGATTACGTGCTTGATAGTGTTCGATGGATGGACCCAGATAATGTGCTAATCTTCGGTGATACGCACGGAAGAAGGCGTAGAAAAGCTCAGAATCATCAGATTGCCATCGTCTAAGCCAATTACCAGGTCTGAAAAGGAACGCCTCGGATTCAGCTGAGGTAGAGAAAGAAGGTGCCAATGCGCTCAAACGAGCCGCATACGCTTGGGCGTTATCATAGCACAATGGTCGAAGGAAAGAGGGATAAGAAGGTTGAGCAAAGTCGATGGGCCTGGTTTCAATGAGAGCTTCCCGGGTAAGACGCATGATAGCTCCTCTAGGAAGTTGAAGCACAGTGATGAGTTGTTCCCCTACATGAGGGATACGGAAAAAGGCAAATGCCTGATTGTCAGTCGTTGGAAGACCGAAGCTGATTTAAAGTCACTCACCAAGAACCTGCCGCAGAAAAGCAACGTGTTGTGGAACACTCCTTTAGCACCTAATTTGGCCATGACAAAATTCATGACCCTGATCATGGTCGCCGTGAATTTATCCTTGTGGCTGGAACTCCCCGACAAAGCTTCCTCTGAGAGACACGGACTTTCAATCATCGCTGCTAGTCCTTCGAGACAAGCACCACGTTCGTTGGCGGGCTGTTCAACTTGCAGTTCCAACATGAAAGCATCTATCCAGGCGAATCCCACTTCTCGGACCGCGGCGACACCTGCATCTCCAGGAACAATCGGTCGTTTCTCCAATTCCGACATGTGACCTAGTAGCTCATTACGTACCAAATTCGCCCTGTCAGTTGGTGATGAGGTCTGGGAATGGTGCCGAAAGACATAGAGCAAACGTTCAAGATCTCTGGCTAAAGACCGGAGAGTGATGTTGGAATCGGGGACGATGATCTTCGAAGGGGTTGTGAGAGTTCGAGTTCTTCTAGGAGGTTCTACAATCCCAACCTTCTCTCTTTCTGACTTGAGCATGTCAATTTTGACTTCCTTGACTTCTTCCACTTTTGGTGCAGGTAAAATGATGGGTGCAGCCTCGAGCAACATCTGCTTTGACTCGAAACTCCCAAGACGATCATCACGAATGAAAACCTTTCGAGTAGGAGTCAACGGAGCTTTGTAATCCACATATCCAAGAACAGTGGCAGTCCTGCTCTCGGGTGTCCGAGGGGGCGAGGGCGAAGGGGTTTCATGACTCGACATGGAGGTATCCGACGGTGTGGCATGATCAGATGATAGAATAGCCGATCGATCGGAAGATATCGAGGGTTTCGTCACATGTCTTGTGGGTGCTACCGGGGTGGATTCGTCCACCTCGAGCCCTGCATTGTTCATCGGCGAAGGGGTACGGGAAGCAAACGCCTTGCCTACTGGACTAGAGAGGAAATCGTTCGATTCAAGTACACGCCACAAATCACGGTTGGCACCACTACTCAGACCATCAAAACTTCTCGATCTCCTACGTTCTGAGCGTGTGCGGGTGAGCCCCGTGGGACTTGGCTTTGGTGTGATTCGGGTGGACAAGGACCGACTGGGGGAATAGTACGGGACATTGAACATGTCATCCTTCGATTTTCTCGGTGAACGTTGAGGTGAGCGACGAGGAGTCGAAGGGGATGTGCCAATTTTATCGAACGCCAGATTGAGCGATGAGCCAAAGTCGGGAAGTTGAAGAAGATGAAAAGTTCTCGAAGGGGCAATAGGGGAGATATCATAATCCTGCCTAGGGGGTGATGTGGGAGACGAGGATGAGCTCAAGGCCACATTCAAAAGCTTCAGGTCCGTCTGTCCCGTCGAAGGTGTACTCGGGGTCAATTGGCTCAGATATGGTAAGGAAGATGTCGGGAGAGCATCGCCCAGTTTGACCGGAGCCCCTATGTTGGATTTTCCCAGCTGAGAAGAGGTGCTTGTAGAGGGAGTGTTATGAACCTTCGCTTCTTTGACCTCGGGGGGTAATAAGGGTGACACAGGGGGCAGAGCCGGCAGGTCACGATTCGGGGGTGGCAGTCGTCTTGGAGGTGAGCCAGATGACATAATGGTGTTGGCTGAGACTGACGCCGCTCGCTGCATGGGTTGTCCAGTATGCATCGTCCTCTCGACTGACAAGGAACTTCTGCCTTGCATTTGTGGAAGAGTCGAGCCAAGCGGCGGAGTTGAGGACGAGAACGAGTTAGGTGTTCTTGAGCGACCGAATGGAGGTCGAGGTAAATCGTCAGCCATCGATGGTCTGTTCACTCCTGTTCCTGGGTAATTATTTAGGATCGGGACAGGTGGAGTCTCCGATCTATCTTTCTTCCCACTAGCTCCACGGGCGAACAACGCTTTGAGAGCACCGGTGCTTTTCTTCAATGACAACCCAGAGGATTTCCTTTCTTCTTGTTGTAATGGCATGGTGCCTGCCACTCCCAATGCTCGTTGTTGCTCCTTCTGCATAGCCTTGATTTCCTTCTTAGATAGACGTAAAGCGTCGGTGGAAGTCCGAAGGAGATCATGCGATCTTCTGGTCTGAAGCGAGGGCCGGGGAGGGGGGGCTGGTTCGACCTCGAACATGCTCTGTCTCGCGCCTGCTTGCAAGACTGTCGACGCTGGAGTACTGAGTGAGCTCTGCCTTTGTCTGCTGGGCATAGGAGAAGGACTGGTACTTCTCAAGTGATCCATGGATTTCCGTCCATATGGCTGAGTGACGGCTCTTTTGCTCGACGTAGGTGACAATGGTTCTGAATGAGCGCGGTCAAAGTTGGGTCGTTTAGGGGACCTGATATCCCCTTTCATGGGTACCATTGTGGCCTGTGGCAATCGCATAGGCCGCTGGGGTGGGATAGACTGAGAAGATGGGATAGGCAGGTTGTTGACTGTCTCTTCTGAAGGTGAAATGATTTGAACCCAATCTTGACTCAAACGATTCTGTTTGTTGTCCGTCTTGATTGGCGCAGGAGGTAATCTAGCTCTGTGCGGTGCTTTGATGGGTCTGGGCGGTGAAGATGCCTTTGTCTCGACTGTGTAGATTGAAGAAGGGACAGGAGGAAGAGGTGCTTGAGTCATTGCCGGTGGTAAGATGGGTTCTCTCTTTCTAGACTCGACTCTTTTGGTCTGTAATGTAGGACTACGTTGTTCCGTCATATGTTTGACTTCTGTCAAAGCCAAAGGTATGCTAGAAGTGGGACTGGTGGTGTGTGTATCGAAAGATCCAGAGCTGGAAGCGATAACGACGGGTGGACGATGATGACCCACTTTAGAATGTGGGGTTTTGAGAGTATGAGAAGATGTGGAATCTGCCGTGGAGAGAGAAGAGATTGAACGCCCCTTTGAGTGAGGTGGGATAGCGGTGGGAGCTGTGACTGATCGTTGTTTTGGGACGGCAGGCATGGGAGGTATAGAGAAGAGTGGTGAGGTAGGGGATGTCATATCTGATAAATTCGACATATTTGGACCTGGACTCGGAGAACGTCCTCTGGGAAGAAAAGATGTAGGACCAGATAAAAAAGGTGATTGTGAATGTATCTGAAAATTAGTCGAATTGTAGGATATAGCGCCCACTTCAAAGCCCTATCCCTATAACATACACGGTCAGATGACCGAAGGGAGAAAAGAGAACTCCTTTATCCTTTCAACCCCTATTCACATACTATTGTGAGTGGAACGAATGTGTGAAAAAATGTGTCAAGAATGATTTCTCTCTCACCTGCGTTTGTGAAGAACTAATGTTACCCAAATTACCAACTCCTCCACCGAGTAAAACAGGCTGCGCACTACCACCTCTTCTTCGAGAACTTCGGGCTCCTTCCCTAGCCCGAGGAGCCGGTAAGGGCATAATGGTAGGTTGATATGTTGATGTGGACATGATGGTCCTACGTCAAATTTCAATGACAAGGGACGATGGAGGGATGTGAGTGTTGAGAGATGAACGCGTCTGAAGGATCATCAGCATGTGTCTTTGTGTCCAATCAGCAAGAGATCAAGGTGTGTATGAAGGGGGGAATCATCATCAAACTCCTCTGATCTTTCGCCGCGGCCGTATACAGGTAGACGTCAGGGGGGCTCATTTGTGAGAAAATAGCCTTTGGAAGACTCACTAAAGGGAGTTCCTTGGATCTTTTTCGAGAGGTTCAATGGTAGTATACCTCTGTTCGTTTCCTTTTACTTTGCCAAAGCTTGAGAAAGACAAGAAGGAGGTCCAAAGGGTGAAGGTGGGAATTTCAAAGGACGTCCAGGGGGGGCTGACAGAAGAGGAGAAGGTCGTTGATTTCCTCGTATGACAAGCTTTGGATTGATGCAGAAGGAGTGACTAAGGTATAAGGATACAGTCGACGTGGTCTGATAAGAGTCGGTTCACTATATCGTCCAATGGCCAATGGTAGGTCGTGAAATCTCGTTAAAAGTGTGGCGTGTCGAAATGGTCTTGTTCGTGAAACCAGCCATCAACGCGAGGTGTTTTTTTCTGAAACTGATCGATGCCGAGAGTTGGTGGATCAACACCGATGAACTACTATCAGAGCAGTGAATGCTAGATGGGATAGGGATAGAGGGGAGTTGTAGTGTTTGTGAGGTATGATAGGAGGTATAATGCAAAGGGTGTGAGTTTGTGGTGGCCCGTGTGCAAAAGAAAGAAAAAGCAAAAGCAACCTTTTACGCACAGGCCTATTCGACCACGCGTCGGCCACTTTACTTACTACTTTGGGTGAATAGACGCGTCCATGTGTTCCTCGCTTCCCCACATGTCCCACATCCCAAACCTCTTCCCTGTCAATGGCTGCACCCTAAGGCGGCACTCTGCGGGTGACGTCGGCCAAGAGCTACTTACTACAACACAAACACAAGCAACAGATAGGGTAGATACATGTATTTATTGACGAGCGGAGCGGCGTATGACAATTACTGGTTACAACAGCTTAAAACCTGGCTCAAAAGAATTTAGTGAACAATCCCGCTTCTCTCCTTCCCCTTGGTTGTTGGTCATTTTGCAAGTTCACAAGGCTTTGTAATGACCGCAATACCTAGGAGTCAGTACAAGACCCCCATCTAGAACGAAAATTATACATACCTGCTCGAGTTTATCTTTACGTTCTTGTAAGTCTAGATGATGGCGAATCTTTGGATTCTCACGAGCAAATTTGGCGATTTGTTCACGCTAGATATCAGCATGATTCTTTGGGTAAAAAAGTTTGGTACAACTAGGAGAAAAGAAGCAGCATGATTAGACTCACGTTCAAATCATACAATATCCTCGAATCTATCTCTCTAGGAAACTGGTAGAAGAACTGTTCTAATAACTCAATGTTGATAAACATCGTGCTGGTATATGCCAATTTATCCGCTACAACAGCCAAGAATGCTTCTGGACAGAATGCGGCTTGGTCTGGGCCCAGACGACATCGACGAGATTTCAATGCCGTTTGACGGAGTTTCAACAGAGCTAATCGATTTGAAAGCAAAAGAGCATGACGGCCTACATCTGTCAGCTCATCTACCATATTGACGAAGCGAACTTACCATCGACGATCTGTGCCGGTGAGTATTTGTACGCATCCAATATCGGTGTGTCATCCTCCGTCGTCATCTCCACTTTTGTTTCCCCCTCGGACTCCTCTGTCGAAGATTTGGTTGATGCCACTGGCATTGCTAACCTTCTCTTCAGTCTTGCTTCTTCCCATTTCTCCAGATCAGCCACATGTCCCACCAAGCCATTTAGTCTCCTACTCCCTCCCACCCTCTTCCTGATCTCCGACAGCTTCAGATCACATCTAGATATCTCCTCTTCGAACTTTTTCTCGGCTCTTTCTCTTCCAGAAGCCCATTCCCTATCGTCCATCTCAATCTCATACTTGTACGGCTTTATGCAATTTTCCACTTGATCAGCCGTCAAACCCATCCTCTCGCGTAAGATGGCATGACTGAATTCTACGATACGTTCCGCCGCTCCTGGGTGAAATGTGAAAGGTTCACCAGTGGCTATACTGTCGATCAAACCACGGAGTCCGTCAGCCACAAGAGCTGTGGAATCACGACCTATGCCAGATTTCGTGAGGAGAGAAGAAGCAGTTTCAAGTTTGTATTTCCAATATGAGTCTAAGTCTTCTGGTGAGATGCGACGATCATCTGCCAGTTTGGTAAGTTCGGGAGTACGGGAATCGGTCCAATAAAGTTGTTCCAAGATGTCCATTAGACGGTCATCGAGCATGGCTTTGAGTTTAGAACGGACAGCGGGTTTAGAGAATTGAGATGTGTAATCTTTGAAGCGAGCTTTCAAGGCGTCCACAGTTTCGGCGACGTATGATTCGGATGTTATCCGTCGATCGTTGTATTGAACTTTGAATTGATAGGCCGCTTCTTCCAGTTCTAGCTGAACAGCATTTGTAATTCCATGAAGACTCGCAGACATACTCGATTCCAACACATCCATCAATCTTCTCCTCAATGTGTGCGTTCCGACCAATAATCTCTTCTCCCCTCCTAATCTCCCCTTTCCTCCAAAATACTTCGCATTCTCTCCGAAGAACTCCTCTTCTCTTTTTACCGCTGCCTGAGTCAGATTCTCCTTTTCTCCCATGATACTCTTGAGCACCCCAGACGTGGGAGGGGCTTTGCACACCACTCCTACATATCCCAGATGCAAAGGATATCTATCACCAGATATGATCTGGGCTCCTATTTCCGGCTTGACCAAGTCCATTTTAGTAACCACTCCGATGGTCCTCGTCCCTAATGGATCCACTCTCCTGCTCGCTCGCAAAGCGGGAGAATTCGCTAAATCCACATCGGCCGCGCAAACAGCTAAGATGATATTAGGCTCCCGGATGTATTTCTCGCACAATGCTGAGATCTTCGTCTTGAGTTGTTCTGGTTGATCCATAGACGAAAGCTGTATGTATCCTGGTAAATCGATAAGAGTGAGATCAGGGACATTGGGTGATGAGATTTGTAATTGTATAGGATCATCTGACACAGCTTGTTCAGGAGGTACAGCGAGGTTCAATTCTGTGAGAGTACGTTGGATGGTGGCAAATGAAGTGATTTTTCCTAGATGAGGCATGGATGGAAAGACTCCATATTCTTCAGGAGTGGAAGATGAACTCGCAGCATTGGAGGATTTATGTACCAAGGTCAATTCGATAGGTCGACGAGTTACCATATTATCACCCCTGTGCAATCAGCTCGCATATCTACATGATTGACTCGATGACTGACTTTGGAAGGAATTCGTGTCCCACGATAGCTTCGAGGACGCTACTCTTGCCTGAACTTTGAGAACCGATGACGACGATTGAAGGGAGTTTGAGAGCATCGCTCTGATCCACGCTGAGCAAAACCGATCTAATCTCTATCAACTTTTTTGTGAGTTGTAGTAGATTGTGTTCCTCTCCTTGTGCAGGAGGTGCAGGCATCTCATCCTCATTCTTAGACCTTTCAGATGACAATGCGGCAGCTCCCACTAGTCCAAGTAAAACTTCATCACCACTAGGGGAAGGTTCTCCTGGTCCTTCACCAGGTCTCCAATCTTCTCTTTTTCCACCGCCATTCCCTCCGCTAGGTGGAGGAATATCAGACTCTTGTGAAAAGTTCGCTTTGACAGCTTCCCACCATTCCTTACTTCCTCTTTCGAAAGCGCCGATGGAATCTTGTGTTTCAGCCACTCGATCTGCGAGTTTGGACGATAAGGCGTTCCCGATCGATTCTGCGGTCAGAAGACCAGATTGAAGGGCGGAGGTTGTATTGGCATAAACGGATGATACGCTGTCTGAGATGTTACCTAACATTTCAGACGTTGCGGCTCTCACACCTGTTTGTCAGCCATCGTTATTACTTTGACTTTCATCACAACATTCCATCTTCCTCGCCACCGACGACAACGATCTGACACGTTTCTTTCTCTTGAGCAATTTGCTATGTTGATGTACAGAACAATTATGAGACGCCGTGAAGAAAGAGAAGACCGCTTACCCTCCAATTTGTAATTTGCATAACCTAAAGCACCCGCACCAATAGCAGCTCCGTACAGTGGTACTCGGAACGCTCGAGCCACGACTCGGGGTACCGATGAAAAGGATATAGCTCTGACATGAGAGTGTCTCGATGGTACTCTTGGAGGAATGAACAGACGAGCTCTTGGTCTGGGTAAGGGGCGAAGGAGGGGACGAGGACGTAGTCGAAATCTAAGAGCTTGTCGGAGTAACATGTCGATATCTGGGTACTTCTCCAAACCTCGCACCTGAAATTCTCTAAATCAACACCGGATTCTCAACTTCTTTGATTCGTATCCTGTATATACTTGACTTTCAGCCAGTTCTAGCTGATCGCTGATCCTGAGGAAAAAGTTCGTCGCAGGGAATCCGAGACGGCATAAGTGACGAGCAACTACGAGTGAAGAGACGACGCGCTTCTCGGCGGCGGACGGCAAAGAGTTTGAATAGTAAACGGACATCCTTCAATCTCCGTGCAGGATTACCACCAAAAGTTCTTCCCGCACTGCTTGAAACAATTGCTATAGTACCTAGTACCTCTCATAGGGCATAGCAACATGGTTCGTTTCAAAAACCGTTACCTTCTCGTCGAATTTCTCAATCCATCTTCCCTTTCTCTCCTCCCCACTACCCAGACAACAGACCACAAGCATCAACCCATTGATGACAGCGACTCGGACGATGAATACATTCCCGTTCCTCTACCCGGCGCGGTATTCTTATATCCCACATTACCAAATGGAGGTCTTGGACTAGGTGAGGATGGTGGACAAGTGATTTATAGATCTACAAGAAATCAGATAGTAGAGGTTTTCGGGGATGAGGGATGGGGTAGAGTGGCAAGTAGTTTCAAAGGTGTGTTCGACAACACCTTCTTGTTTCTTATCACCCAAAGAAAAAGGTCATTTCTTCTATCGTCTCAATCATGGTCATCTTTCACATGTATTCACATTTACCCGAAGAAAGACATGGACCTGTGTAGCTTCTGTGGTGCTGGTGAAATTGAGAGGTGTGTGCAAAGAGATACGTAGGAGGACATTGAAGTTTAGAGAGGATCTCGAATTTCTCGAGTTATTTGAAGAAATACGATTAAAAACTGACTTTCGAAGTGATCTATCACTCCCCTCTCACATCGCTTACCATCCTACGAATAGCTCGACCTCATGTCCAAACTTTACATACAGGAATCACCCTCCTCTCGCTCACACCGCCTAGTAACAGGGACGTCCGATTAGTTCCACGTGTGATAGGTTTGAGCGGGACTATTCGTAAATGTCAAAATCGAGCTATTGCGAATCATCGTTGGGTCGTCGCTTGTCTCCTTGGGGGTATGGGGGAGGTGGAGAGGGAAAAGGTGGAAAAGGTAGAGAAAAGGGAGAGGGAAGCTATGGAGAGAGTTGAGGGATGATCAGAAGAATTCCAATACAATCTCGCTCTCACCACGTTCACACAGAATGGAACTCTAACCATACCTCATACCGAAAAGGTCTTCGACCTGTACTCGGGCTCATCACGGCAACACAACAACGACCTATTCTGTCCGGCTTTGAAGCCTTTCGGGACACGCTTCGACGTATTGTTCATTGGACGAATGGATACACATTCATGTCATCGCTCAGATACTCGCTACGCGCTACGATTTTGTTGTACATTGGACACAGGAAAAATGTATCAATTTCTGCCGTCCTCAGAATCGTTACGAGAACGTCTTGGACACTGAATATCAGCCTCATCTCCCTCAATTCATTACACGGTAACTTCATTGCCCAAGTGATCATCGGCCATCGGATAGGTTGAAAATGACGAGTGATATGGGGGAAAAGGAATGACGCCGACTTACCATATCGAGGTTCATGCCATCCTCCCATAGCCCCGATCCTACTTCTCATATCCTGTAACTCCCTCGAGCTCTGAGTTCGTACCTCATTCCTTGGACGAGATGACATATCCTATAACATCAACCATCAATCACTACAAATATACTCTACTGTTGTCTTCCCTTCCGCATCCAAGCAGATCAACACTTACCAGTGTCGTTGGTTTCTCGTCAATGTCAGGTCTGGAGAAACAACACCCCATCCTGTGTCGTCTCATCCAATGAGGAGGTCATGAAATGAATCATGACATGGCGATGATGGTAAGCGATGGCTAAGGACAGCCACGCGGATCAATTTGCTATTCCCATCATACGAGTCGTTCGGTCCGTGATGATGATCGCTTCCACCTCGGATGGATGAACGGATGTTTCTCGTTCCCAGGTCCCCTACCTCGTTTGAATCACTTCCCCTTCTTCTTTCCTGATTTCGGAGTTACCAGTTTTTCCTTCTCCTCTGTCTTTGATGGAGGTTGACCCCACGTCATCTCCCATTCCACCAATTCTCTCCACTCTTCAACTTCGTCATGTCGTTCACCACATCTGGACAAATCTTGCCATTGTTCCAAAGCTAATTTGGATTGATCAAAGGTCGTTTCGGAAGATGAGATTAGTTGAGAGAGATGACGAAGTTTTGATAGATGTATAGAATGCAAAGTGAAGATTGAAGGGAGACTGTTCACTATATTCTTCAGCCATACAAACTTGACACACATTTCTCCGTACTGTTACTCCTTGTGAATATACGGTTCAACAAGTAGATTCAAGTAGATTCAAGTATATGAAGTATGTATGTGATGTCTGAAAGAAAAGAAAGCAATAGCATAAATAACCGTAAACTCACCAAACCTATCCATAGTCCATGTCATCCACATAGGTGTTTTCAATACGAACTCCACTCCTTCTCTAGAATAAGCATCAATGAATAATCCTTCTCCAACTTCTACTAAACTTTGTAATTTTCCCAATGATTTATCCTACTCATTAACCCTCTCTCTGACTATTCGCTCTCACAACTCACAAGTTTAATCAACACGTCGTTCAATGAAGAACGTGAGTTACGAAGTTGTATAAGGAAAGGGAGTATGGATGGTCGATCTGGGTTTTCTTCAAGTTGTAATATATTTCTATCTATCAATGGTGAACAGATTTGCTGGTGATATAGAGGGATGTGAACTGACTCTATCGAAGTTCGAGCATCTACACAAATTTTCCCGTACTTGGGTCCGTCGTGAGAGACCAGATCGTCCCATTGATCAATGAGAGAGATGATGGATTGAATGAGATCTCGGAACATGCGATGATGTGTTGTTTCTTTGGTCTCTGGAGAAGGTACAAGTGGGGTTGAAGATGTTCGAGAAGGGGTGGATAGGGATGCTAGACGGGACATAGTCGTTGCAAGAGTAAGTTAGTTAGGTGAGAAATTGTCAGGAGGAGAGTGGAGTGGAGGTCAGTCGTCACGTGCCTGAAGCAACTGTGTATCTAAATCTTGGGAGAACAGGTTTATCACACATAAGGAAGATTTCCTCGGGTACATCTCAAGTTGCACCTCAAGACTGTACGGATGTGTGCTACACAAAGATGCATCAAACACTAGGAAGAACATTCAAAACACCTTGTCTATTAAAGAACCTGGGGCAAGACCTCCTCGAGTGTAGGACCGGTAGCTTTCCATCCGAGCTCGGCCGTCTTGGTCCCGACCGATTTCATGGTTGAGCCGATGAGCCTAAGAGGTCAGCGTTATGCTCTTCTCTCGAGATATGAAAAGGAGTGAAACGTGGTAACAAATTGTGAAAAATGAGAGCGGTTTACTCACCCAGCGATGAAACCAGCTTCCTCGAAGGAGACGGTCTTGGGCGAAAGGTTGAGGGCGTTGCCGAACACTTCAGCGAGCCTCTTCCAAGTGTAATCGAAACCGGGGGCGATGAAATATCGGTGGGCGCTAGCACCAGAGGCGGTCTCTGTGTATTTGAGAACAGCGATGATGGCAGAGACGGCATCGTCAATGTGGATCTATTCGTCAGCCCTTTTTTCATGCGAAGACCAATAGCAGACTCCGGAGCACCAGAAAGGGAATGGGAAGAGAGAGAGATCTTAAAGTGAACAGGAGATAAAGATGATAGGAAGACAAGTAGACCAAGAGGACTGACCATTTGCATAACACCTGAACCATCTCCGATCACAGGGGTGTATCCGAGTTGCTTGGCGTTGCTCGAGTAGAGGTTGACGAACACACCAGAGGAGGCACCTTTGATAACGGGAACACCGTAGATACCACCGATGGTAAGAGTGAAAGCTTCGAGACCTTCTTTGGCGGCATTGATAGCGACGACATCACCGGCACCGTTGAACATAGCATCGTGGATGGCTGCGATATCTTCGGCTTTGCTGTCCTGTATTATCAGCGCATTGTTCATTTGACAAGAGTCGTGTGGAAGCGAGGGTCTATCGGAGACCTTGTAAGTACCATACTACGCTGTCACAACGAATGTGAGAGAAGATGATAGTCAAGAACATTACTCACGTCCCAAAGCTTAGCATCATGATCATACTCTCCAGTCTTAGATCCGTTGATAAAGTTACCACATCCACTCAATCGGAGGAATGTAGCTTTGCTTCCCTTCAATCCTTCGACGGCAGCTTTGGTGGTAGCAGGGTCAGCCGAGTTGGCAGAGTCGATGACCAAGTCGTAACCTTTGACAGCAGTTTCCAAACCTGACGAGTAATCTTGTTCGATAACCTTGACTCCCAAAGCTTGGACAGCGGCGATTTTGTCGGATCCAGGACGGACGAGAGCGGAGATGGAAGCCGAAGGGTAAGCTTTCTTGAGGGCCGGAATGAGGTGAGGACCGATAAGACCGGTAGCACCGAGGATGAGGATAGAGTTGTAAGTCATTTTGTGTGAAGGTTTGTTCGAGGTGGAAGTGGAAGTGGAAGTCGTCGAGGTGTTTTTGGTGGGTTTAGAACTGAAGAGGTTCTTAAGTTTGTTCAATGGACCGGGCATGTGGTTGATATAGAGTTGAGAAAGGGGGGTTTATATATCTTGAAGATGGTCAAAGGGACGTGAATGACTTTGTAAGCTCCTTAGATGATTAGTACTTTGAACGGTGATTGCAACGACGACTTATTCATACGCCAAGAGTGGCAAAACGACGTCAAGACGATTGCTGATCATGAAGCACGCCGCGCCCAGCTCGACCCGGGGTTGGACGGGCCATCCGGCGACAAAAATCAGCTTACCGGATGAGGTAATTTCTCCGATGAATAAGCAAGCATGAATAAAGCAGGTACAAAATCGTCTGACAAACTTACTGTACTCGGCAGGGAGACCGGCATCACGTTCATCAGGAATTGGGTAAGCAGATAGTACCATAAGCGCAGAAGTGTTCTAGTGTTTCAAGATGTTTCAAGGGTAGATTCATATGAAGCGAGCACAAAGGAGACGGATGTTTAAAGAGGGTTGAGCTTTTAGGATGTTCGAGCAGGCCATGGGCCATGGACCTGGAGATATGAGTTGGAGAAGGGAGTATACGAGAGGATGGCTCGACAAATGGTCAGCTGCATGCAGGCTGCAGGCGCCAGGCGTCGCAGGTGGGATTGGACGAGGAGAGGAAGAAAACCCGAACCGCTAGCCAGCTAGTCGCTTAAGTACTCATCGAAGGAGTTTCGACCCTGAACGGGGTAAACGCCGAGTGTGGCACCAGGCCCTCATGCCCCTCAGTGATCAGCGGGGGATGAAATAAAGACACCACAAACTGATCATTCATCGGCGACCCCCGCTTTCCGATTTGGAGTGGACCAGCATGTCTGTGATCATGAGAGGTGAGACTCACTCCAACCATCAATTCTTCCGAGATCACAAAGACCGACGAGCGGAACGGAGTATTGTCTCCTTCGTACATACATATACTCGAATCTTTTCAGTACGAACACAAAATGCATCACAGTCTCTCCTTCAATCACGGTTCACGATCAAGCGAGGAACGTGTCTCATGCATCGCGACATGTTGCAGGTGACAAGTTTGAAGATACACATCATCGGCCCGTGTCGTGTATCTCCTCAATCCGGATTGAGACCCCGATCAACTCGAGATCGTTTACGCTCACCTTGTACGCTTTTGTCTACGAGGTGAGAATGTAGAGAGGAGAGATCAGAGATAGAAGAGGTTTATTAGACTATTGTCGATCTTCGGAGTCACCGGCCGATCGCTTAGACTGACTCCGCTAAGTTACTGGCTTGATGCATGGATGAAGAGTGGCGCCGCGCGGCGCAGCATCTCACTTTTTTCTTGGCACGTTGGGGTGGGCCACCAAGCATCGAACCAATGTGATGTCTGACCACGGGGGTGGTACTCCATGCAAGTGACTTCGGTGAGATCAGGGCAATCTGATAAGGATCAAAGGAGGGGGGTTACATGCTGGAAGGGCAAGGGAGGAGACTATCCCCCCTTTGACCCGGTAAAATATCCCTGATTTTTTGTAAAAGTCACCATCCATCACCATCGTTCTTTCCAAGAGCGCCACTTGGTTTCTCGTCACTCCGTCACTCTCCCTTCCATGCCCTGCCCTGCGAGACTGTCACAACTTGAGAAGTGCGGGATCAGATGGGGAGGGAAACGGGCCAAGACAAATCCATTTCGGCCTAATCCTCCCCCTATCAGATAAAATGAGAAAAAAATTTAAACTCCGTGTGCCCTGAAAAAGAAAGCTGCTACTAAACAGATTGACGACTTCTTCTCGCTCCACAAAGAGAAAAACGTCATCTTGTTTCTTATTCCTCGTCGTATCAGATTAGAGAAACGCCCTACTTGAAAGTGTTTTTTCAATCATGGCGGTATCTTCACAACATACAAATTACAACACCATGTCTGATACTTACAACTCTACCGAATTGGGGGAAGATAGGAAGAAAACTCGACAAGATGATCAGTTTTATGATGAGTCTGATACTTCCAGTGTTGAGATTTTACCTGGGGTACAGAAAGTCCAAGCCGCTCAAAGTGTCTGGTAAGTTTGCACTTTCACCTTTTCAACTAATCATGTGGGGATCAAGGATCTTTACTGATCTACAGGGGTCTACAAGGACGTTGGTTCCTCTTCATCGGGTGAGTGAGAGATGTCTATTTCATCGAGATGGCTGAACAAAGATTTTGATAGACAAGTTAAAGAGACTGATGAGATCAGAATTGGTCTATCCGCATATATCTATTCTCTAGACGGAACCACCACTTGGCAATATCTTACTTATGCTACTTCATCCGTCCTCAAACATTCTCTCACCGGTACAATCTCCACCGCTCAGGCTATCATCATAGCTGTTGGAAAACCACTCATGGCAAAGTTGGCCGATGTGTGAGTTATTCGTCTCTTTTTTCACCCTATCCAATAATCATTGGGGTACTCCTGGATACTGATTTCATAGTGTTGGTCGAGGTGAAACATTTATCATCGTCACTGTATTATACGTTTTGGGATACATCGTCATCGCTACAGCAAACAACATCAACCAAATCGCAGGTGGAGAGATCCTCTATGTGAGTGTGGATTTCCTTGACTAAAGTACGTTTCTCTGGCTAATCATCAGGCCTTTGGATACACGGGATTGCAGATGCTTCAACAGATCGTCATTGCCGATATGACATCTCTTCGTTGGCGTGGTTTGGTTTCCGGATTGGTTTCCGCGCCATTCATCATCAACAACTTTGTGGCTGCCGAGGTAAGTTCCTTCAATTTTATCTTTATATACCAGCTGACATGAAGATCGCCGAGGGTGTGCTTCCTAATTGGCGTTGGGGTTATGGCATGGTTAGTTGCTCTTCTTTTCCTCCCACTTACACACCTGGTTTTCATGTGCGGAATCTTGTATCTATACACGGAGCAAAAAGTTTTCTCGAAGAGACCGATCTAACAACCAGTTTGCCATTCTCATACCTGTTTCTTTGGCACCTATCATTGTATCTCTCATGTGGGCCCAACACAAAGCTAAACGTCTCATGCGTGCAACTGGTAACACTCGACCAAAGTTAGTTCTCCGCGTAATACTCGGCTTGACCATCTGTTGACTCAATAGGAACTGGAAAGAAACGATTTGGACCACTGCGGTGGATATGGACCTCTTGGGGCTATTGCTAGTCGCCGCCTCCCTGGCTCTCATCTTGTTACCACTTGGTCTCGCACCTTATTCCAGGCGTCATTGGCATACACCCAGTATGGTGAGTTCAGCTTTCTCCTTCTTCTACTTCCTTCTGTTCCTTTACATAGACACTTTGTGACCTTCCTATCGATCAATTGCGTTACAATACAATCTAGATCGCATAGATTGAAAAAAGCTGGAAGAGTGCTGATGTCAGATCGCCATGGTAACCGTTGGCGCTGTCCTCTTCCCCATCTTCCTCATCTACGAATGGAAAGTTCCTCAAAAACCAGTGGTACCAATGAGATGGTTACGTCGTGGACCTATCCTAGGAGCATGTCTCATCGGTTTCTTCGATTTCGTTTCTTTCTATCTTCAATATACCTATCTTTATTCGTCAGTCCTTCCTTCTCCCCTCTAGACACCAAACTGATAATTCAGTTATGTCTACGTGACTCAAAACTGGAGTTATAGAAACCTCACTTATTTCTCCGCCACACAATCCCTCGCACTCACTATCTTCGGTATCACGGGAGGTGCAATCATGTACGCAACTCAAAGATTCAAATATATGCTCCTGATCGGTTTACTCATTCGTCTTCTCGGTGTGGGAATAATGATTCATGCTCGTTCACCAAGTGGTAATACTGCAAGTTTAGTAATGTGTCAAGTTCTTCAAGGTTTAGGAGGAGGTTTCGCCGCTATTTCAATCCAAGTTGCTGCTCAAGCAGCTGTCGCGCATGTAGACGTAGCGACAGTAACAGCTATGGTCTTGTTGATAACAGAAGTCGGTAATTCAGTGGGATCAGCAGTCGCCACTGAAATATGGACGACTTACATGCCTGGTCAACTTGCGAAACATGTCCCTACCACAAATCAGACTTTGTTAAACGAATTATTCGGTAGCACAGTCGATATCGCCACTTATCCACCGGACGACCCTATCAGATTAGGTGCGATTGCTGCTTATCAAAACATTATGCAGAGGTTGGTATTAGGAGCTGTCATCGTGGCTATCTTCCCGCCCATTTTCTGTATGCTCTTCATACGAAATATCCGTTTGACAAGGGCGCAGAACGCCATCGATGGGAGGGATGTAACGGGGAAACCGACGAATGAACCTCATGATATGGTAGATGGGGAGACAGTGGCGACGGAGCATGGCGGACAAGCTGAGTACGACACGACGAGGGAGAGAGAGAGGGTATAAGGGATGGAGTCGAGAACAATGATCAATCGAAGAAGCCGTAAATCAAATAATCAGACATTTATTCTCGAACATCTGTCAGACATCTCGGAAGGTAGGCGAGCGATCGGACAGCAATAGTATCTTGGTGTAGATGGGGAAAGTAAAACCAATGTAATGAGTGAGAGAGGGGTAAGATTTGTCTTTCATTCTTGCAGGAGGAGTTTGGTAGTCGTTACTGCTGAAATGCATCTTATCTTTGCTTGAGCTTCCTCACCTTCTCACTTCAAATCCCTGATTGAATGAAGTACTTGTTGAAGTTGAGATCGACAACAGTGATAGCATGACAACTTGAGTACTTACATGACAGACCACCTCAACAATTCATATCTCCTCCCCTTTCACTCTAGCCTCGACCATCCGTATCCATTTCACCTGAGAACTACCCTTGAAGCTCTTACCCAGCTTCCCGCCCAAGATCGAATCCGCTACTTCTGACTGGGAAAGTATCCGTATTGCCCCACAGAGAGCTTCAGCATTTTTATCTGATCTCATAAGCTTTTTTTGACACACGCAATTCATGTGCTCACCATAAGTGGTGCCAGTCAAGCTGGTATGTGCCAACTCTGCATCATTAGCAACTCTCTTCCACATCGGTATAACCACTCACCTGTTTCTAGTAATCGAGCAATACGGTCGAGAGCTATAAGTCTGTATCGTCAGCATCACATGTCATGGATTGGCAAGAAGATATACGGACCGTTCTTTCCCCGACTCTTTCCGATCCCAGAAATCCCATAGTTCTCTCCCACGCAAAGTCTGCTTGAAAGTAAACAACAAAGCCTGCTTGATACTCTCTCTCGTCGTGTCTCGATTTTCCATCTATATGTCAGTCTTGCGCGTCTTTAGTCAAGGACGCACCAGGATAGGGCCTACTCGCTGGACGGATGGTGGTCGAGCGAATGGGACTTTGAAGGTTGGGTGTAGAGCCGGGGCTCTTCGTCTGGTCATAGGAGTAGACACTATCAGATCAGCTCATATTCATTTCAAAAGGTGAATGGAAGGCCCTGTTCTATTGGATGAAGAAGGATAAAGCAGCTCACCATCATACATAGGAAACAATCCCTTTCCCGTGACGGGCTTGATCTTCCTAAACTCCTCTGCTTGCTTCTTTGACTTCTCAGGAGGCGGGGTGTCAAGAGTGGCATATGTCCCTTCATCCGGACCGACGATGGGTAGACAGTGGATATTCCCGGTCAGTATACGACAAGGGGTATCGCATTGATCCGAATAAGCCTGGGCGTGGTTGAGTTGAATGTCAGATAAGGGTGGGACGGGTGCCTCAGGGGGAGGGTTGGGTCGATTTTTGAGCTTGAGGTTCTTCGCTTTGACTGGGGATTTTTGAGGCTGTTCTGGAAGTGGTGGTGAAGCGGACGTGGAGATGGAACTTTTCTTAGGGGACGAAATCTGGGCAGGGGGACTGATTGGGGATGGGCTGGATGGAAAGGAAGAAGCGCTCTCCCGCGAGACATGCGAGAATATTCGGACGCCTGGGTCAACCATACTTCCAGAAGGACTATCAGATTGATGAAGGAAGAGTGAGTGAGAGTCTTTTGACTTGCGCTTCTTGCCATGGACTAGCCGGGACGATGCAGGAGGGCTGGGACCGCCGGTGTCTAGCTCGATATCAAGCGATGGAATTCGCAGACCAGTGATACCGACAGGTGGTACAGGTCGGCTGTCATCCTCTGGAAATGTCGCTTCAGCCGGCGAGATGAGAGCCTCGGTCAGACGGTGAATTTGAACCAAGGTACTATCCGCCATGTCGTCGGATGCTGGCTCTACTTCCACGATCGTCTCAGGTCGTTGACGTGGTGGTAGTGGTACAACCTGAGACGCCAGCGGTACTTCTTCAGACACTGTACAAGCACGCGTCATGACCACCGCCGCATTCGAGCACACCTTTGGGATCAGTATATCGCTGATGCCAGCAAAGCGTCCATGACTCACATCGCACATGCCAGAACAATAAGCCTTGCGCACTTCGGGGTCTCTATCGTCCATCTGCTCGCCGAAATATCGGCAGATATTTATATGTCGACAGGTGTGAAAGGACTCGGCATACTGCTGCAGCTGGCCAGGTGAGCCTCGCTCTGTCACACAGGGCGAGAGACATACCCGCTTGAAGCTGTTCAGTTGACGTATCTTGTCCGCATCACGTTCAGAGCCTTCGCCTTCTCCAGCGTCTCGTCGAGACTTGGCCAGATTGGCTTCTCGTTCGATCAATCCACGCAAGGTGTACGCATCCTCGCGAGCTGTTCCTTGAGCGATGCCTGGTGGATTGTAACTCACAGTAGTACAAGATACAACGGGACGCCTGGAAGCTCAGCTCATTCTCACATTGGAGTATTCTGCTCACATGTCCATCTCTACCGGCACGCCCTGTCTCCTGATAAAAGCCTGCTTTTCAGCTCATGTCAAGGACCGTCATAAAGAAATCACCCTCGAAACTCTTGGGCATATCCCAGTGGACGACATATCGGACATGCGGAGCGTCTATACCCTGCATCATTAGGAGGCTTTCTGGGCTAATTCCTGCCACTCACCATACCAAAGGCGATTGTGGCTACTATGCACTCAACCTTTCCTTCTTGCCAATCCAGTAACGTCCGTCTCTTCACATCCTCCGGGAGGAGCGCATGAAATGGTCTGGCAGTGATACCCTTTTTGACCAGTGTTCGGACGACATCCTCACACTTCAAATTAGTATCAAGCTTCTCTTGCGAATTTTGAAACTGACAGCAATGCGCGAACGACAGTAGACCAACCCCGACGCACAGGGCAGGGTGACACCTTTTTCCCGATTTCTCTGCATGGCTTCTGCTCTATGACTGCTGATGAAGTCGGCTATCTCCAGCGCTTTGTCTTGGTGCTCAATGACATTACCACGGTACCGCACCTGGATCTGAGCTCGATTTGCCTCTCTGGAAGAACTGACCTCGTAAAACAGGTTCTTTCTGTTGAAGGGTTCCACCCACTGAGCCAAACGGAGTTTCGACAGCTTCAAGGTAGAAATGATGCTTTCGCGGACGTCTTGCGTTGCGGAAGCCGTAAGGGCCGTGACTGGTATATCTGGAAATAGGGTCCGGAATTGGCCTAATTGGCGGTAGGCCTCAGCAAGTCAGCGGAAGCCTGAGGAAAGCAAAGAAGGGCTTACCGGTCTAAACGTCATTCCCCATTCCTTAGACCTTTCAGCTCCAGCCCATCATAATGATCGAGGGACCGACTTACATCTAAGACATGGGCCTTCTTCGTCAGTCATTCTCCACCTAGAATTAGAAAAGGTACCCACCTCGTCTACCACCAAACGAACCAGTTGTTTCTGTTCATATGCTCGCCGAAGATGATATTCGTGTCGCTTACTGAACAGAGACTCTGGTGTAAGATACAGCAGCCGAAGTTCTGGGTGTCCCATAGTCAGCTGCCGTTTGATCTACGAGATTTTCAACATTATCGACCCATGAGGCAAACCACTGACCTCTGCCTCCTCGTCTTTTGGAGTCTTTTCGCATAGTACGGCGGCCTTGATCCCTCGCTTCCGCAGCCCTTGAAGTTGGTCTTCCATCAAGGCTTCACTGTCAGCTCGGAAGGGTGTAGAGTCACATCTCACCAATAAGAGGGGATACCACAAGGGTTACCCCGTGCTCCATTGCGATGGCCGGTACCTGGAAACATATCCTGTCTCGATTAGAGCAGCCCAATCGAGCAGTCCAAAGAACCTACGATTTTCCGAGTCCAGTGGGAGCGACCACCAAAACATCACATCCGCCCATGACATGAAGACATATGTCGAGCTGAGGTCCTCGGAAAGAGTCATAGCCCCAATCTGCGCGTAAGCTTATACATCAATTATTGAAAGAACCACTCACATTCCTGTAAGATCTTCCTCAGTGCAAACTCATTCTCTTGAGCTGATGGAACTCGCTTCCACTTTCGTTTGGCTGGACGAAAGTTGTTTCTTGCATGCTACGGAGTCAGTTGAGCTTAATGGTCTCGATAACTCACCTGCGTGGAGCCCACGAGATTGGGATACACACTCGCCACTGGAGTACTGGAGGGAAGACTTAGAGCGTTGGATCGTTCCTCCAACAACATCACGATGCAGAACGTTTGAGATAATTCTGACGGTTTCCTTTATATATTTGTGGCTCCTCTCATTCTGTCCCTTTCCATGATCACTCCATGAGTTGATGACAGGCAGCTTGAAACGTAACAATTGAAAGATGCAGTGGAAAGTTTGTCGGTTGACTGGATCGGAAAGACAGTCGCGCAAGTCAGCGAGCCTACTCAACTACCCTACTTGTGCCTTACCTTCGCACGCCTACTACTTCCCCACCCTTTCCCCACTCTTTCCCCAATTGGAATGCCAAACGCCGATGGCCCAATTCTCCATCTGTAAGTATTTCTCATCGTTGCATCGGCCACTGGCTACTAGGGTAGTGATCGTCAACGTTGGGATATATAATCTCCCACAGCTGCCTACCACACCATAGCTTCGGCATGGGGAAGATCGATCCAGATATTCAGCTGCTTCGATCGAGTGTCGAGCTGCCCAATGGTCGCATCGTTCCCAACCGATTGGTGAAGGTGGGTATCTCCTTTATCCGATCCAGTCAACTAACATCGGCAGGTGGCCATGGAAGAAGGTATTGGATGGGGAGGCGGTCTTCCTGACCAAAGGCATTGTCAGCTGTATCGAACATTTGCTTCAGGAGGATGGGGTATGATCATCACCGGTAAGTCCTGGATCCCCTTTCGACATTAGATCTCAGCTCACATTTGTAGGTAACGCGCACGTTGACCCAAGTCAACTTGCTACCCCACATTGCAGATACATACCCGATGACTCGATTGAAACAATACAGGCATACAAACGACTTCGAGACGTCACTCTGGCTGGGGTTCCCAGCGAACAAGAACCTCCTCTTCTCCTCATCCAATTGTCCCATGCGGGATTGCAATCGTCGGCGACTTATTCGTTCTCCCGTCCACCATGGGAGCCTGCGGTGGCTCCATGTTCTGAAAGACCGGACATGGGAGATAGTGTCTTGGGCTGCATCATGGGACGAGTCCTGTGGCCCTTCAAGAGCAGAGCGATTGAAGATTCCGCCGAGTGGTTCAAGATCGTCGATCTGTTCATCAAATGTGCCATAGTGGCTGAAAGAGCAGAATGGGATGGAGTTCAAATACACAGTGCCCATGGGTATCTTTTGGCATCATACATATCACCTTTGGTGCGTTCTGAGATTCTGTCCGGTCGTACATGTGATTGATCAATCAGACCAACCCCGATCCTCGTCCTTTACCAACGGTCCCAAGTACAGTACCCTTAAGACTACATCTTCTCTATCTCATACTCGATGGCATATGTCGTGCCACTCAGAAATCATTCATCAAAGCGCTGAAGATTAATAGTTCTGACTTTGTCCTTGGTGGTCAGTCCTCTGGTGCTTCGATTCCCGATGGCATGTTGATGTAAAGGACTCAATGAGGCAGAATCGGCTGATCTCATCAGAGAGATCGTCAGTTGGAGTATGGTAGACATTTTAGAGGTATCTGGAGGGAGCTATTCAAACCCTAGTAAGCGTCATATTCCATAGATTCCGTTCTGACGTGAAGCTTTCGCAGAGATGGAAGCGCCGTCTCCTTCCCTCAACCGTCAATCGCTATTCGCCAACTTCACTAAATCACTCCTACCTCAGCTCCCTCAACCCCCGAAGGGACCTGCTATCCTCTTGACGGGTGGTTTACATTCTCGACCTCTCATCGCAGACAGTCTTCGAAACGCATGTCATCTGGCAGGAATCGGGCGCCCTGCATGTCTTCAACCAGCATTGCCTCTGGAGGTGCTGTTGAATCCTGAGATTGAGCGTGAAGATGCTTATGTGGGGGGTTACACGATCTCGGGAGGTGAGACTATGAAGTGGGTTCTGGGAGGAGGATCTTCGAAAAAGCCTTCACAAAGAGACAAGTCTGCATCTGGTCTGGCGAAAAACGGAAACGGAAAAACTGGTATACCCTTGGTGGGAGCCGGGGTCTCAACGATGTGGCATGAATGGCAACTCCATCGGATCGCACGTGGAGCCAAGCCCGATGCGGCTATGGATTGGTTATGGGGTGGACTGGTGAAGGAGGGAATATGGTGGGGCCTGCTCGGTGGAGGACCTTTGGAATGGTGTCGTCGGACGCGGCAGGAACTCGAGGATCAGAAGCTAGACTAGTCCGCCGTCCTCACTGTCCTAACTCCTAAACACCGATCTCATTTTATCGCGGTATCACTATGGAAAGCAAACACGACACATGTTGTACGTATCTCTCATCCATGGATATTGTTGTATGGTTGTCATCTGACCCTGTTACGTCAGTGTCCGGTCGCAATCAACATCAGTCAGCTGACCTCAGAATAAGCAAGTGATTTATCAGTCGCCGAGCAAACGAAAGCTTTCATAAGATACACACTTATATATCGTCGACCTTTCGTCCCAATCATTTCGATTGTATTTCGATAATTGACCTGTCCTTACCCCTGCGCATCCCCTCTGACGGCCTTACACGCCTTGTCTCGCAAATTTCCCTTTCTCCCAGCCTGTAGAGCATTGCTCATCTGCTGCTTGCTGACTTCAAACTACCTCATCAGCTCTCATCAGCCCCCTTTCAGCGAAAACTCACCTCGATCGCAAGCTGCTCAAGACTGGCATTCTTTAGACCGATGGCAAGCACTCGTTCGATGAGTTGCTCTCGCTTGTCTGGATCCCAAGTCCCGTTGTCGTTCTTTGTCTGAGAGGCTTTTCTTTTCTTTGGAGAGGGGGTCGGAGCCGGTGTCAGATTAGGCTTCTCTTCCCGAGTTGAAGAAGGGGAAACGGGAGGTTTGGTTTCTCCCTCTTCGTCTGAAGGTGTGAAAGTGGAACGTTTGACCATCTATCATGTCAGTGAGATTCAATCACAGGTGTTTGACTTACTTTCAAAATTTGGTAAGCTACTTTGTGATGTTGTGAAGGGAAGAAGTTGAAAGGGAAGTACTGTAAGCTCAGAGGGTTTTCTCGTCAGCCTTTCGTATGTACAGTAGATTGGCTTGATTGGGAATCTGGCATAAAAGGGTCCTTGATTCCTGATCCGAGGAAACCCACTAGTAGGTTGTCACCTTGACGACCGCTACCGATCTTGTATGACTCCTCTCCTTTGGGTGTCCTCACTCTTATCGATCGACGTCACTAGCTTGGAATGTACGCAGTATGCCAACAGTTATCTTCACAACGGTACAACGGGCCATGCGCGGGCCAAATCGTACATTATCGCCCACCGGTCACCGCTACGCTCTTCCTTTCCTCGTCATCCTCTCTCACTTCAACATCTCTGCAGGGACACTTTACACCCTACAAAGTCGGTAACTCGCGATATGCCCAGCACCAAACGTGAATCTTCTTCTTCCCCTAACGACCCCTCCACCCCTTCTCCTAAGCCCAAAAAAATCAAGTCGTCTCCCTCTTCATCTACCACACCTAAGAAAGAAAAGACGTCGGGAAGTAGAGGAGAATTTGGAAAGTTGACCGATGCCATGAGGGCGGAATTGTTAGATGAAGTGATTGCACATGGTGCTAAAAGTGTTAATCTTGAAGAGATTGCTCAGAGGGTGAGTCATTTCTTCCCTTCTACTTCTCATACATTTTCTCTATCCTGTCTCACTCAAGCTCACTCACTTGTCACATGCCACCCGTCTGGACACACGTTTTTGCTCTCTCCCACTCGACGATCGACGAGGAGCTACAGTGTCGATGGGAAATTGTGACGTGCGATAAGAAGGAACGAACGACAACACATGTGGTTATGAAGAAAAGAGATTAAAAGTATGAAAATGGCTGATGTCAGTTCGGAGTGAAGAAATCTCAATTGATAGATCAACTGAAACCGAATCGTACCAATATCCGATCTAAAGCTGTCAAAGCTATTGCTAGTGGTGCATAAGGATACGTAATTTTAAACATAGTTTCCGGTACATACAGCGTGTATATATGGTCTTGCGACGATTATGCGATGGAATGGTCGAAAAGACCAAAAGGGTTAAAGTGTGAAAGGGTAGAGAAAGAATGAAAGAGATGCATCTTGATCCGTGCGACGCATATTGAATCCTTAAGCCTATGTGACCATCCCATAGATCATTTGACTATCCTACGATCTTTCATCTAGACAACTAGCCTTCGTAAAGTAATCGCGAGTAATTCGGGTACGCCCACTTTCAGGATACTGTACCCCACCATTAAGTCGGAGGGTACGAATTATGATCAAGTTGAGATTTTAGCTCAAAGGACTTTTTGGTTGTCATGGTTACTGTACTTGACCTGAAAAAGTCATTTACCTCTTTCCCCTTTTATCCGCTCAGACTATAAGTCACCTTCTACAAAATCATTCTCACACTATTCCATCGATCCATCATCTACATAAAACCAAGTCGTGTTTCTACCAAAGAGAAATATCAACATGCCTTCCAAAAGATCTCATTCAGTAACTTCTGAAGATATGGAAGGAGAAAACGAAGAAGAAGAATTCAAACCTTCCATTTCACCTTCTCCTCCTATCACACCTAAGAAAACCAAAGTTGATCCGAAATCACCAAAATCGAAAACTCCAAAGACTCCTCGAACTCCAAAAGCGAAGATTGAGAAAGGTGAGAATGGAGAGAAAGGTGCTAATGGAGTTTGGACAAGTGAGAAAAAAGGAGAATTCATGGATGAGATCATTGCTGTTGGATATAAGAATGCCGATCTGGATTCTTTAGCCACTAAAGTGAGTTTATAACCTACATTGTTTTGGTCAATCTCCCTCAGGAAGCTACCTCACTGCAGAGTAAAGGGATTCGGATGGAGTTTGAGCATTTGATAACAAGAGTGGATAGATGGGGAAGATAAATTGAGTGAATTGGCTGACGTTAACAGCTCGGAATGAACAAACGTCAATTAATCGATCAACTCGTTCCCAATCGTTCCAACCTTCGAGGAAGAGCCGTCAAAGCTATCTCAGTAGATTAAATCAACAACCAAACAATGGACATACCGACATTTCATACATACACCTCGACAATTCAAATTATTACAACTCGAAACCCCCGATCTTCCTGTGTGATATACCACTGGTTATATAAACAAATTTTTCATATGTATCCAAACATTATTTTGACCTGTTTTCCTTCTTCTTCTTCTTCACGCGGCGTGATACTGATAATACGGAGTCTTATCCTTCTTTCCATTCCAAACATGATCTTTATCCCCAAAACTGTACTTTCGTTGTAACGCCCTGACCAAAAGACTAGTATCGATATACCTCTTTTTCTCCATCTCGACAGGATCGGGAACATAATCTTTCGGACGTTGTTTCGGTTTGACACTACCCCAACCGTCGAAAGGCTCGACTTTATCCTCACCGTTGAATCGGGCGAGGAAGTAGTCGGGGTCGAAAAGTGTCCCAGATTTGACTTTCTTTACCATAAATTCAGGTAGGTGAGCATCCCCAATAAGAGGAAGAGTCATATATCCTCTTCCGTACTCTGGACCCATGGGTAGAAGCTATAGAGGTCACTTTAAGATAAGCAGAGATGGGAGGGAGAACTTACCATTCCATGCATGACGGGACGTTTGTATTTCCTCACAGGTAGGTTGTGTACTTCCGCGAGAATGCTGAAATATCAGCGATCCAGCCAGTCACAGACAGACCCACACATATCTCGTCCGTCACGAAGAATGAGAAGAGAGGGCTCCGAACATAAGAGTGGGGGATGATATACAGTACATGTATATGTATGACTCACTTCGGCGCAACCCCTTCTCCATCTGCTTTAGCGCCTTGCATCGTCTTCCAACCCGGTGTAGAACAACAGTCCCCAATGGCATAATAACCTCCTTCGAGGATGGAACCGATATTGGTCGATCGAACCTGTGTCTTGTCAACCCTGCCCCTTACAACAACCTTGACACTCACCCGAAGAAACTCATCCACTCTTATCATCCCACTAATCAACGCTCCCTTATCCACAGCCTCTACCAAACGCACATTGAACCTATTCCCGACACTGATGAACACATAATCAGCCACCACAGTCCTACCGCTTCTCAAACGAATACTCTTGATCCCATCTTGAGGACCTGCAACCCCATCCCACCCATTGGGCAGATCAGTCGAAGGGACAGCCCTTTCATTCGTGATGATCTCAACGTGATGATCATTGAGTAATTTGGTCAAAGCAGCGGAGAGCTTCGGGTTAGCAGCAGGGGCGACGTAGTGCTGGTCTGCTGCTTGAGACAAGGTGGTATTGTCAAACATGTTGTTGAGGTCAGGCGCGGAGGAGACAAAGCGTTCGAGGATACGAGGACCATCGTGTATGACAGTGATTCCGGTGTTGGGATGTTGAGAGCGGATTTCCTACAAGTGTCAGCTTTGATTTTACATACTTGGTTCGCCAATTGTCAAAAGAATAGAATCTACTCACCCCGGCCATTTCTATGCCCACTGGACCACCGCCGATGATGACCACTCTGGTTGCAACAGCGATCTCGCTTTGCATCTGAATGAGGATAGATTCAGCGTCGGCTTGACTGGCGCCATTCTGAACTCGCATAGGGCTTGCTTGGGAGGAGCCTGTGGCTAAGACCGCTTTCTTTCGAGTCAGCTGACGGGTTTATCAAGTCATAGTTGCGGTAACTGCGTCTAATTCTTCCGTTCAAATGAGGTGTGGAGATGAGAAGTCAATAAAAACTCACAAAAAATGGGACTACCCGACTACCTTCAAAAGGTTTGTCCAACACCACCGCATCTTTACGAAGTTTCACCACTCGTGTACCAGGAACGACCCGATGTCTTGAGTCTTTAGGAAATACCGTTTCTTGGGTGAAGGGGCGAAAGATCTTTTTCTCCCATCCTAAGACTGTTTAGCTGTGCTGTCCCTCTTCTTGACAGCTTGTCTAGAGGCTTGGACGAGGATGTGTGCCACATGAGAACCCTGAGAACAGCAACCACTGTAGATCAAGTCGTAGTGGAAGAAGCAGAGGGAAATGAAATTAGGACAGGCCTAAGAGCGTGATGTGCATGTACAGCCGAATGGGTGTAGAGTAAAGATGCAATGTGAGGACGAGGTCGCGTGACTCACCGGGTCGGACAGACGCTCGTAATGATCCCAAGGGCCAATAAGAAAAGTCCAAAGCATCAATGAGTATAATTCGATGAGTTTCAGGTAACTTGTGCATCAACTCATCGGTGAGTGTATGACCAGCGACGCTTGCTGTAAATTAGCACTCTGTACTGTACAAACTCCCGTTACTTCCTTCCAATTCACATATTCCATCGAAACCTGCACCTAGCACCTCATAGCTACTAGCTGCATCTCGATCTCTCAATATCGATGGTCAGAAACAGTGAGAGGATCAGATAAGAGTGATCACTCACCACCTATAATGACGATATTCTGTAGATGATGTATATGTTCTACCGGACCGGAAGACAAAGTCGACTGGTCCGAGAAAGAGATACTTTTCCCAGATGACATCTCCTTTCTCCAACTAATCGTTGAGTTTATATTTGTCCAGCCTGTGCTCGGTGTGTATCAAATAGCACGATGAATATACCAAGTCGTTAAGAGTAGAGAATGACGGGAAAGATGTCGAAAAGATGAAGAAGGGAGGAGATATACTCAGGTTGTGGGACTCGCATCTCTACCTCGGAGCTCTGGGACATGAACTTGGCAGGGCGTATTGAATGAAGGCGTGGGAGAAGCGAGTGGAGTGTGTAGGAGTGAAGGGATCTATCAAGGCCGTTAAAGTGATGATGAAAGAAAAGGAAAGGAAAGGTGATATTTGAACCGCTACCTGGCTACCCGACATCTTGGGTCCGACTCCGACGGCCGACGAAATGATGGGGATACGCACGGGCCTTGTGTCATCAGAGTTACAGTCGAGGAAAGAGGAGGGAGGAGGAAAAGGACGTCCTTGGTGGTTTCCCTTTATCTTTCCTCTTACGGACGTGACACACAGTGTGGTTTTTGTCACCTCCTAAACTCCTGATTAGCTTTGAGGTGAGTAACTCTGGACACTGCTCTGGTACCCAGGCACTCAGAGTGTGAGGACTTTCGACAAAGGAAAGGGTGAGGATATCTGCGGAATCAATATTCTACAGGTACTTACTTACTCGACAAAGCGAATAACGGACCGATCAGGATGATACGAAAGACACGTACATTCCGTCTGTCAGTCATAGGCTCATAGCCCAGGAAGAGTGAGAGTGAGGAGAATGAATAAATTCATCATACACACAATCTCATCCGTCGAGAGTCCATCGTACAAGTACAGATATCCATCATCGCCCAGATCAACCGGGGACACACACCTTCAGTCCTCAATCGAAAATCTCTCTCATTCCACAGATTCTGCACCCTGGAACAACTTCAAGAAACCACCCGTGAAGAATAAATCCGTCCCTTTGGCTTTCTTCACCATAAACTCAGGGAAAAACACATCGCCTAGAAGTGGGAAGGTGACGTAGCCTCGTCCGTGGGCAGTACCAATGGGTATAAACTTTCCTCAGCTAAGTCATTGAAGGGAAATAGAGAATGAACATACCAATCCATGCATTTTTGAACGTTTGTATGGTTTAGCAGGACGAAGTTTGCAATCTGCTACGATACTATCATTTAGTATTTGTCTTTTCTCACTTGATCATACAGAGAGATATGGAATGGAGGAGATGATGTACTCACATTGGTGCCAGACCTTGAGCGTCCGCCTGAGCTCCTTGAGAAGTCTTCCATCCGGGAGTGGAGGAACAATCACCTATGGCATAATAATTTTCTTTAAGCGGTGATTCGGGTGAAGTAGAGGTAATCTGGTGATCAGCATTTTCCACACAGCCCTCTATAGTTTACATAACCTCCTCATTTCAGACGGTTCTCTCTAGAAAGTGAACCATGAAGTAGACAGGAAGGATAAACCCACTCGGAGATACTCATCCACATGAATCAGGGATCCCGCCAAAGCACCAGTATCCGCTCTTTTTACCAAATCAACATTAACCTTATTCCCCACACCAAGGAAGACGAAATCGGTTTCTACGCTCTTCCCACTTCTCAATTTGACCTCTTTGATCCCTCCTTGAGATCCAATGGATCCGTCCCATTCTCCCGGAATGTCAGAAGAGATTGCGCGATCATCGAGGATGACATCGATTTTGATTTCTTTCATGAGCCCACTGAGCGCTTTGGACAATTTAGGATTGACAGGGGGCATCGTCCATGGACTAGGGGTATCTTCTGGATTAGGAACGGGCGGTGAGGATTGAAGTAAGGCAGGACCGTCATGTATGATGGTTATGCTGGTGTCGGGATACATGTCATGAATTTCCTACAAACGTCAGCGACCTTCCGTCATCGATCCTGTTCAGTCCTGTTAGTGGCTTTGACTGAGAAGCGATATCTAGCTAGACGAGTTGGGTAAGGCATGGAGGAAGAAAGAAGACAACTTACACCAGCCATTTCTACCCCGACAGGACCTCCACCAATGATAACAACCTTAGTAGCTTGTTTGATATCCTCCTGCATCTTGACCAAGCGTGCTTCCGCTTCAGCGGCCCCTTCCCTACCTTGTGGACGCATGGGAACGGGTTGAGAAGCGCCAGTCGCGATAATACATTTCTGCATGTCAATACCTTCCCCACACTTCAGCCTCAAAACTTCATGCCTAGACAAGGAAGCCAAGAAGTAAAAAAGATCAGAAGGAATTCAAAACTCACGAAGAATGACAACTCTGTACTCCCTTCAAATGGCTTCTCAAGGATGACAGATCCTTTCTTCAATTCTATCACCTTGTTACCAGGTACCATCCGATGCGGTGAGTCTTTTTGAAACACAGTATCTTGAGTGAGAGGTCGAAGGACTTTCTTCTCCCATCCTGAGATATCAGTAATGAGTTCTCCCCTCGTATGCTTCGTAAAGCTACCGAGATTTAGTACTCCTTTGGGCGTACTTGTACCAATCTATGATAGGAACCGACCACATCATCACATATCTCGCCGGAGACTCTTTAGACGTACGACAAAGGTGAAGTTGTGAACGAGCTCCAACCTCTTATGTATATGCATTCATAGGCCAATGAGTTCAAAGGGGAAAGAGGGACCCGGTGACAGCGGAAGAAAGGATGGCGAACGGCACAGCTGGGACGAGGATGATCGATAGCCCATTGGAAGAGATATTAATACAGACGGCTCATATCACAGTATTGTTGATAAAAAGAAGGACTAGAGGAATTTCAGGATAATCACTCACCTGGTACAACAGCAGCACGTAAACCTGATATAGGCCAATAAGAAAATTCCAAAGCGTCCACCAAGATGATCCGATGAGTAGCAGGGATGATAGGTACTAAACTATTGGCCAATGTATGTCCAGCTACAGAAGCTGATTTGTCAATCTTTATTCAGAATGGGAAAAACGGGAAAGACTGACCACCTATGATAACGATATTGTGGACGTCTGACATGATGTGAATGGGGGTTTCCGGATTATACGGAGTTGTCGCTATGAGTTATGTGATCGGGTGATAGGTGCGCGGTGCGGTATTGAATCACTATGTTATTCAATGAACACAAGGACAGAGATTTTTGAATATACTGTTACAAGACTAGATATGTACTGCAGATGAAGAGCAGGGTTGAGGATGAATGATGGTGGGAAGGGACGTAAAGCTACTAGCTACTTGTGGGTTGCTTTAATGAGGATTTAGGATACCTTAGTGTAGGTGAATTGACAGGCGCGACCGTCGGTCATACAACCCTCGTCGATGGGAATTCTTACTAATGACATGCCCAATCCTCTCCTCTCCCGCCTTCTCCTTCTGTGGACAAGAAGAGTGAAGCAACTCATACATTGCGACTAGTGACAAAGCATGACTGATTGGAAACACGACGTGCATGTTCTACCCACGAACCCCTAACCCGATTGACAGCACACCGCGTATGACCATTTCGCCCCTAGCATGATTCCTCGATTAACCGCTTACATCTGAAACCAATCGCCCGTTTACGCTACAGATTCATTTCGACTGCTGAACAGCTAGATCTTCGAGTCTCTGCTCCAACCCTTTCCCCAAACCTTCTCTATCCCATTCAGCCTCTAAACCCAGACCGCCCACTCTCCCGGTTGGTTCCCAGCTCGGACCGGATTTATCGTTACCACCTAATGGGATGAGATTGGGTGCCACGACTGGTGAGCGGTTCGCAAGGTTCGGAGAGATGGTTCCGGGTAGATGATCAGGTGATAGGTTGCCAGAAGTAATGTCACCTAGAGAAGTTATCGATGTCGGGACGGAAAGGAGGAGATCGTTGTAGGATATGAAAGAGACTCGTCTTTTCTCCTTTGGTGTCAGATGATTCGGTATGGCTGTTGGTGGTGTAGGAGCGAGAGCGGGAGAAGGTAGCTGTGACACATCAGCATTTTCGCATAAGTGTTGAATCGATAGACTCACATCTTCTTGATGTCCCTCTTCCTTTTCCTTCTCGCCGACGAAGGCCAAAGGGGGAGAATGAGTGAACGAGTTTGACCACCCTCCTGGTACTTGTGGACCTGTACTGACTCTTCCTGGCATAGAAGGACGAGCGACACCATTGGTCGGACTGGTACTCGGACTCGCACTGACCATTGACAGCTGCTGCGTCTGGAGTTGACCTAAGATGGGCGGACTTTGCCATGGAGAAGCCACGAGTGAACTTCCTCTAGATGCAGCGCCTGTAGGACTGGGTGAACGCGAATGTATAGTCCCGAAGCCAGCTGTCTGTCCCGCTACAACGACAGGACTTGTCGATACCCTTCTACCTGTTGAAATGTTTTGCAGGCTGGAAGAAGATTGTCTAGCCATGCCCAAACCAGAATTAAGACTAGGAGCTTCGATTTCTACTTTCTCGCGTGCCTCTGGAGTGTTATCTCTCAAAGCTTCAACGGCATCCAACAAGGCGGCGGGAACAGCTTGATCCATCGCGCTGCCATGTAGACGAGAAGGCTTGTGATGTAAGGTATGAGCGGTGGCGGGATTTGGATTTATCGATAACGAAGCTACAGGAGCAGGTTCAATGTCCCTCTCGAAGATTGCAGAAGTGGAAGAATGTATACTGGCTGGAGAAGAAGGACGAGAGAGATGATGAGGATAAGGAGGATGAATTGGTACGGGAGATCCCCCAGGAGCCGAGGGAGAAGAGAGATGTTTTGGGATGGGTTGGAGGAGAGGAGGACCATCTGAAGATGGTGAACGTTGCATTCCGGACAGTGGCAAAGTTTGAATGGGTGAACGAGAAGGTGAACCCGTACGGGAAGGTCGTGGAGAATGGGTTTTATGAGGAGTTCGAGTCCCACGACGGGGAGTATCGGGTTCTCGAGGGTCGGATTCTGGTCGAGGGGGAGGAAGGTCGACTGGAGCTATCATGGTGAGTGGCGTTGATTCTTAGATATAAAAAAGAAGGACATACCTAGATGAGCACCGGGCGGGACGAGAGTCATACTGCAGAGGTCTTTCAAAGGAAGCCTCGTGGGTTTGTTCTGGATGGTTGATTCGCGAGGGATCACTCTACTTGTAGTAGTGCTGATCACTGTGTCGCTGTAAACTTGACTTTCAAAAGACGAAAATCGCTGAAAGATTATACAGATATATAGTAAGTTGGTGATCGTCTAAGAAATGGATGATAAATCCTGTCGATTCCGGCCGTTCGGGGATGAGACTTGGAAGTCGTAAGGGGGATCGACCGATACACACAGCTTTGGCTGACGGGCTTCTGTGCTGATTTACTTGTGAGAAATGATGTGAAGAATCAATTTGACCAAAAGACCCCGAATGGAATGCGGCTGTACCGGACGATCAATGTGAGATAAGGAAAGAGGGATTTCTTTGTATGGGGCGACGAGATCGGAGGATGTAAGGGGTAAAGAGGGTGAGTGGTGGATTGGTGGTATACTCGAAGCTTAACCGCCACTGCCCGCATTCGGTTGCAAGAACAGCCGGAACCTTTTCTCTCAACCACTAAGCTTTAAATAAGGGGATCCATTAAATTTCAATTTCTTCCGCTGATGATGGGGAGACTTTAAGCTGAGGTGAGTGATGGATAACACAGACATTGACGACGACGACATGCCACATATAGTCAGGGGGATAGTGACGAGGACAGGGAAGATGGCGAAAACTATCACTGTATGTAGCGATAGGACATTAGAACATCCAAAATATCTCAAGGTGGGTAACGATCAGAGCTTCACGGGTTGCGAAGGGGGCTGACTGGTCAGCCTGTGACACGGACGACGAAATATTTGGTACATGATGAGAAAGAGGGTGAGTGCTACTCCTACCTTACCTTCATCCTCTTCACTCGGCATGTTCTGATATCGTCTAGTCATTTCACAGTTATTGCTGGTAGGCCCATTTGTTTTTTTTGGGGGGGGGGACCGAGGGGGCTTCGCTCATGACTAAGAGTGAGAGTGAGAATGAGGACGGGAGACTGGGGGATCGGAGATGTTGTCGTAGACGTCCGGGTATGATGACCGTAGGCGATGATATCCAGGCTTACCATACAGAGGCTCGGATAGGTGACAAAGTCACCATCATCCACGGCAAACCATTTTCCAAAAGAAAACATTTCAGATTACAAGATATCCTTCCATCCCATTCCAGATCTGGCCTATCCAACGCTTCTGCCCCCTCATCGTCGACGCCCCCAAGTTCTGCTCACCAAACGGAGACATCAGCTCAGGATAGTCTGTCGACGATCGTTCCTTCTTTAGGGGACACAGGGAAGACGGCGGAAGTATCAGGTCAGATATAGTCGGGGGTGACGGGGTGGATCTTGCATAAGTCATCTGATATCTCACACACATATCATTCCTTCTTCACCCAGCATGCATCTGACATCTCTTTTATATCTGACTCATTCACGAGCACTAACCGACGGTAGCTCTACATGTTTCATCTTCAATCCTCCTCCCTATCATTCAGACTCTCCGTCATACCTGTTCTCTTTGACATACCCTACTCACTTGCATCCCATTCTCTCTCCAATCCTGTTCCTAATCACTCGAGACCATCACCGCTCTTTCACCGCTTTTTTACCAAAGAGGATACGGACTGCTCCTGATACTCGTAGGGGAAGAAGGACAGAAGGTCAGGGCATATGTACACACGAAGGAATTACGAGAAAGTCTCGGATAAGACTTTGCGGATATTGTTTCGACCAGGTGTCAATTGGTTCTTACATTGAGACTCTGTCATTCCAGTCTACCATTAGCCTCATTCCACGTCCTTTTCTCTTTCTCTTCAACCACACTCTGAGTACGGCATTCGCCGTTGACTCAAGAGATAGAATTATTCTTCGATGGCTGACGTGAATGAAACATCTCTCGATGACTCACCTCTGACGCCAAAGCCCCCCAATCCATATTTTTATATCCAGTCTCCACTAACCTCCTCACTAACGCAGCTTTGGCTTCGTTATCCCATCCCCCGCTATTGGGCGAGGCTTTGACTTTCGGAGTACCACCTGGTGCTTTTTTGGACTTTTTGGAAGGAGTTTGAGGGGGTGTCGAGAGGTCGGGTTTGGCATCGGTGTCTGTTTCGAATGAAGAAGGTGAACGTTTGGTGGGCATGTTGGTTGTGAAGAGATGCAGATGGGATGACGAGAGATGAGTTGTATGGGAATAGAAAGGGTAGAGATACAGGTAACCAAGGACTACTTACTGTTGCTATGCAACGGTTTTATCCTTTGCGCCCTTGGTGATTGCCGTCAAGCTTACATATTCCATACTTGTATGTTGCAGTAGCCGGCTCGGCACTCAACGGCCAACGGGGTTTGTCAAACAACAATATAGTAGATCACAGGTTTGGTGCCAATATGTGAGAGGTAAATCTTGCGAGAATACAGTATGTTTGGTATAGGCCATCATAACCCCACGACCCAGGCTACGGGATATGGTCGCGGATGACGGAAGTGTGGAAGAACTGCCACATCCTGCCGCCACACTTGAAGCATCTTCTTCACAGCTCACTCACTCACTGATCACAACCCGCAAGTTCGCCAGTTCGGTCAATTTGGAAGAGTGACTTAGCATGACACAGGGGTCATGCCCCTTCCCCTACCCAATCTTCTCATACATCTCTCAGCCATCGTCCGACCACGTCTTCTCAGACCCGATATCAGAGTACCCAGTGAGTTCTCCTCTTCATCCCATATCCCCTTCCCGCTCGTACTACTACTACTCTCATACTATGTCCCAACTACCCCCATTCTGATCGTTCTCCGAGTAAATCTTGATGGTGAGAGAAAGAGCATGATCCGAGAGGTGTCAAGCTGACGAGAAGGTATCGCACATGTCGATTTCCGAGCTCTTCGCAAGCTCGGTTTCAACGCCGTGGTGATAGATAAAGATAATTGTCTTGTGAGCTCCTTTGCTTCACCGGTATATCGACCGCTGTGAAAAGTGTTGATACTCAGACATTACCTCAAAATGATGACTTGTATCCTCCTCTTGAGGTAAGCTATACTGACGCGTCATGCAATAGCTGATGACGCAGGAAGCTTGGAAAGAGTTGAAGAGGTCTTTTGATCCTGGTCGAGTGTTGTTAGTCTCCAATTCTGCGGGTACGAAGAAAGATCCTTCTGGTCTAGCTGTGAGTGGGAGAAGTGACTGCATCCTCCTCCTCACTGACGTCCCGTCACTTCAAATCACCACGAGTATATTTGAGCTAATTCGATTGTATGATGCTCATATTCCAGGCCGAATGCGTTACTCGTTCTCTACGAGCTCCTATCCTACTTCATCCCACTCCTAAACCAGCTTGTGCCCCTTTGATCATACAATACTTCCGTGGTCAACTCGGTCTTCCCCGCACTTCCCAAATCGCCATCCTGGACCATGCTCATCATGTGCAACAAGAAATCCACCAAGCTCTTGAACTGACTGAAGAAGTAATGGAATGGCGCGCACATTTCGACGGACCTTTACTTGGTCCTCCTCGTCAAACATTTGATAAGCTTGGGAAAGCCGAACGACCTGGTTCTGAATCTTTCCATCGGAAATCTCCTCCTTCTTCTTCACTTTCCCACACTACTCCAGTAACGGGAGGAGAAAAAGCTACCACCGATTCAACACTCCCGCTCTCGTCAGAAAGCGATACGAGGGGAATCATAGATGCAGCAGAGAAGAGGAAATTTGGGGAAAAGAAAGAAGAAGAATTGAAAATTTTAGTTATCGGTGATAGGTTATTCACCGATACTCTTTTAGCTTGGAGATTATCACTTCTCTTACCCCCATCGACCCTATCTTCATTACCAAATGTAATATCGATCCATACTGTCTCTCTACCCGAAGTGGATCAACAACTCGTACGTTTGTTAGAAACGATTCTATCTCTTGGCAAGCTGAAACCTACTCCACCGGGAATAAATTGGGAGAAATTTATTCGACCGACGGAGGATGACCTTACTCTAGTGGAGAGATTGTATCCCTCCATCAAGGGAATTAGTCTCGTTCATTTTCAACGGAAAATGGGTCGGAGTATGAGGACACTTTGGAGATGGGGTTTGGGGGCTTTTGGGTTGATTATCCGAGGTCTTAGATGGGGATGGAAGAGTGGGAAAACGGGGGTTACATGGGGTCAGCGTGAGATCAAGGGACGATATGAGGTTAGAAAAGGGGATGAATCGACTTCGGACATCTCTACTGAAAAACGGTCACCAACGATGGCATTGGTAAATGATGAAGCTACATCAGGGGAGAGGGGGAAAGGTTCGAATATACGACCACACCAACCGAGTGGTTTATGAGAACAGGTGTTGAAGTCAAAGGGAAGAGGTAGAGAATACAAGAGATGGAAGATCATCAATGCATCTTGCATATACTCATCTACACCTTTTCGATCGATTGATCATTATTGATTCTCCGCATCATCCCATTGTCCTTGGACAATTTCCGTCTCTGTCCATCCTGTAGGCTTGGGTACTTGACCCCATTGAATCATAGAGATGAATCGATCCACTTGATCTTCCTACCCTATCAGCCCTATCTTATCTTTATCTAACTATCATCTCATCTCATCCCATCCCATCATCTCACTTTTTCCTTTCCCATCTTTGATTCGTCTCTTCTCTTCATTGATCTGACCATTCACACTAAGCCTTTCACTTTTATTTCTACCCAGAGGACAAAAGAAGAAGTATATCTCGCAAAGGTGGCAATTCCCAAGATAGTAGAAGAGAAGACTAGTATGGTCTATATCGTCCATTAGGTCCAGAAAGATTTCTTCTCACCCTCCCATTTCCATCTTCATCTTCTTCCTCTTCATCATCATCGAAATCACCATCGGGCATGGAAGGTAAAAACCCAAAACCAAGTCCTTCGGAATCAGGATCAGGATCGATATTATCATGTAAAGCTGAACATTGTGATAAAGCTAGAAAAAGTGTTTGTACTTTTATTTCATATCAGCACAAATCCATTTCTTTTTCTCGACCCCTCTACTCCCCTTCTCTCCCTCTTCCCACCAACATGACATAATCACATTTCTTTTCATGGCTAGGCAAGATCAAGTAGAAGAATAGATATGAGATTGAGTAGGGAAGAAATGATAAAAGATTTGTGAGAATACTAACATTTATCTGAATCTACAAATATCTTGATTTCTCTCATTGGTGTGAATTCATTTCCCCCCTCCCCTTCTTCCCCATCCCCTTCCACATTCCCATTCTCATTTCCTTGCGCATGATCCACCTCATTGGAATTTTCTTCAACTCCATTTAAGCCATCTCCATTCACATGCCCATTCCGTATTTGAGGGGCGTCCGATTCGTCTATTTGACAATAAATGTGAGAAGGTGTTTCATCGGAAGAAGGAACCAAGGCGTGTAACGTTAATGCTAGGTATGAGAGGTTGAAACCTATTTTGGAAATGTCGAGTGGGATGAAAGCTACCAATCTGACATGAGTAAGGTTTTATTTATATGCCAACTACCATAATGCTGTCGAAGCAAGAGGATGTCATGGAAAAAGGTGGAATGGGTGAGGAGGGGAGAGTAGTATGGGATGAGATGAGAGAGACGAATGATGTACATGAATACAGAAGTCTAATAGCTGAGAGTCGAGTTAGGAATATGAAGGATACAGAGAAAATACAACGTACTCCTCTGTAACCCATAATTTCCCTTTCACCTTTCTATCCCATCCTTCCCATCCACCATCTTGCGGTTCCATTGAAATCTCAACTTCGTCCGCCCATCGTAATATCGGAGGAATATCAACGAAAGATCCTGGAGTGGAAGATGTCAATGCTGCGTGATCTTCTGGGGAGATATATGTTGGAGGTGTTGTTGCGGGGGATAACATCTCGATATGGGTCACTTAGCAGATTAGAAAGCTGGGAAGGAGTGGACGAAGTTTGGGAGAGTGGGGTGGAAATTTTGGTGCCGTCGGAATTGAACTTGGATTCGTTTGAGACGTCTTTCACCTGATTCAAAGGTCAATCAGTGGTCTAGTCGAAGGTTGACTTGAAAGCTACTTTTCTCTTGAAGCAAAGATCAGCTTGCAGCTTGCAGCTAGATACGATGCTGAAGTACATGCATACGTGTAAATACTTACGCTCCCGACTTCCAATAACATATATCACCATCCACCACCTCATAAGGTTTCCCCTGTTGTCGTAATTTCCCAGCCGCCTTGACCAGCGATTCTGACCCATGTTCTTTCAAATCGTTATACGCCATGATCTCACCGCAAACAAATTTATTCTCAAAGTCCGAGCTGATTGTCAGCGCCTCCACTTTTCATCTCAATGGGAGCAAGACAGAGAAAGAGGTTCTACAACTCACTGGATTACACCGGCCGCTTGAGGTGCTTTGGTACCCTTTCTGATCGTCCAAGCTCTCACTTCTTGTGGACCACAAGTGAAATATCGGATCAAATCCAAACTCGCATAACCAGCTGTGGTGATTTTTCCCAACGCGCTGGGATTGGCACGGGGCAGTCCAAGCTTTTCCGCCTCATCCAATTTATCCTCGTCAGACATATTAACTAGTCGCTCTTCCAATGCCACTGAGAAAGGTATAAGAAGGTCACCTGGGTTATTTTCATCAATCCACGCTTTGATCTTGGGAAGCCATTTGTTCTTCTTACGGACAAAGTCACGCTCGGACAGATTGACGAGATATGTGATGGGTTTGGCAGTGAGAAGGGTGAGACCGTTGATGACTTCGATCTGTCAAATCAGCCGGAGAATTCCTTTTCACTTCGACAAGTATCATATGACAAGTGTGGGTCTAGACGCGTGGAAAAGGGTGATAGATCAGATATTGCCTTGCTCTCATGGGTAATCGACGAGCTGGGTTTATAGAGCTTTGCGCTCGTTATCATCAGATATGTTGGGTAAGGAATATAGGTATGGTATATGTGAGGTAATCAGGCTTACCTCTTTGTTCGTCCACGTCCCTTTCCGTACATCCTTATTCTCTTCAGTCAAAAGGTGATGAATCTTTTCGACCGTAGCCTACATTGTCAGCTTGACTACTCTTGTATCAACACAAAATACCACTCACCAGCTCTTCTTTCCTCGCCTTGTCGGCCAAACTGACACTACCCAAATTCCGACTGTTCTTTCTCAAGGCATCCAACGCTTTCTCGACCCATTCGATATCCTTCAGTCTCAGTTCAGTGCTAATGATGGCCATGTCACGTAATGGGTCCACATCACCTTCCACATGGATGACCTCGGCATCATCGAACGCTCGGACCACTTGGAAGATACCGTCCACTGCTCGGACATGGGACAAGAAAGCGTTACCCAATCCGGCCCCGGTAGAGGCGCCAGCGGTGAGACCGGCAATATCGATACAGGTCAAGAAAGCGGGGACTTTGGATGAGGGTTTGTACAATTGTACAAGCCAGTCGAAACGTTCGTCGGGGACAGGGATACGTGCTTCTTCGGGGTCGCTGGATGTCAAAATGAGAACTTCTCGGTGCATGGCTTCCGTGATGGCAGTCTTTCACGTCTGCACAGAAGTACATCTTTCTTTGAAGTTTCAAGAAAGCTCTTCACATAATGAGTAAGACCGAGACCGGAATGGAAATCAGAGGAAACGCTCACATAGTAGCATAAGGGAAATTGGCAGCTTTGCCCAAATCAGTCTGTGAGAGAGTGTTGAAGAATGATGATTTCCCAACGTTGGGTAATCCGACTATACCGATCTATAAGATCAGCTCATTCACATAATTCACGACAATCTCTCTCCCTACTCCTCATTCTCTTCGATTCCACCCTTCCAGCGAGCTGGTTGGTGGTTCCCGCGACGACTTCTTCAATATAGAACATAGTAGGGCACGACTCGACGTGAAGCACAGACCCTACATAGCTATAATGAGAGCAACTCACTTTCAAGTTATTACTTGGTCTACCCAGTATGACCTTCTTCACTTCTTCTTGTTTCTTTTTAGGTGGCATCTTCCCTTTCTTCTTTGTCTTTAAGTACGCTGATGTGAAAAACGATTTCCGTTGGGATACACTTTGCTCTGTCGTTAAGAACTCCCAGCAAGATCCTGGTATGTAATGATGTCGTGAAGGCAATGAGGCTCGAGTTTTCAAGGAAATGGGAATGTACGACAAGAGGGAAGGACGCATATACTTGGGTCGAAGACCCAAAACTTGAGAACCTTTGGATGAAGAAGAGTTTCGACTGCGCGCCTACCGGAAAGCTAGTATACTGCCACAACCCTGCGGGCCTATCTGTACCAAACTGTGGGGCTCCGTCCTCACCACACTCCCTTGATGCACGCCTTCCTGGGTTGTCTCTCCTTCTTGAATCGCTCGCTATATCGCTATATTATCCTGCTCTGCATACATCTGCTCTATATACATCTCTGAAGGACCGTAAAATGACTGATCTTGATCCAGAGATACTTCATAAACTCATTCAAGCAGCCTTCGAAGGTACATTCTGTCTCATCTACCCAAACAAGGCTGATGTCACAGGACGAGATCAAGCGTATGCTCCTTATTCTCATTTCCGGTGAGCGGCTTCGTTTATCCCGTGATGTACAAACTTATTATCAGAGTGGGAGCAGCACTACTAACACGAGACGGAATGATGATCAACGGATGTAATGTCGAGAATGCTTCTTATGGTATGTCTTCTCGAGGAGAGAAGAATATTGATGAGTAGGCGGAGCGATATGTGCAGAGAGAACAGCTGTGGTGAAGGGTGTAGTAAATCTTTTCTCTCTATTCCCCCTACTTCGATCAACCGAAGACAACACGTCTCCGCAACCCTTTACACCAAATATCAACTGATGACTTGCGCTGATATACAGTCATCTGGTCACAGAGACTTTGTAGCTTGCGTAGTAGCCTCTGACGTCCCCTCGCCTTCGATATCTCCTTGTGGTATATGTCGTCAAGTGCTGCGTGAATTCCTCCCATTATCCGCCCCGATCTACATGATATCCTCAACCTACCCTTACAATTCACCAACACTGCCATCATACCTCGGCAAAGATAACGTGGAGGAAAGGCAAATGATTGTGAAAATGACGCTGGAAGAATTGTTGCCCATGAGCTTTGGTCCGGATCAATTACCACAATCAGGTTGATTAGGCCCCGGTGTATAGTTAGTGCTGTCTAAGCCCACATGGTAGCCATCAGTCGCAGTACATCATAGATTGTCACAACCGATAGAGAGAGATGCAATGTGCATGATACGCATAGCCCTTTTCCGAAGAAAACAGCATGTTACATTCCGTGACCTACACATGATGTCGTGGCAGCGTATCGCCTAATGATCGATGATACTGAGATTACCGGTGATCAACTTTCCTTCCAGGTTGGCGTTATCCGGAATCATGATCTTGCTACCCTCATTGGCAACGATGATGCACGTCCCCGCCAGTCGTACACCCTTACCGAACCAAACGTCACCCGAGACGGTGAGATGATCGAGCTCGCTGATGTACGGGATCGACTTGAATCGTTTTTCGAAGTTCTGCAATGTCAACGTGTGTACTATATGCCGTGCATGCCATATTCTTGAGTAAGTTCGGGAAACGGAAAGGGCGAACTCACCGCGACCTTTTTGAAATGATCACCGAGTTTTACAACAGGTGTACCACCAAACTCTCTGGATTTGTCCATCGTCAGTACACCGTGCTCTAGATTGTACAACTTGGATTTGATCAAGAGAAGATCCCTGTGTCGTCAGCGACAACCAGTTGGGCGATGCAACACCCACGAGCAAGATTTGACCGGTAAGAAACGGCTACGAGGGACATTGATACCGATAGCACTGTCAAAGTGCTGTAAAATCAACAATCACGATCGATGTTCGGCGTTAAAGCTCACCTTGATGGCCGCACCAATGGCAGTCTCGAGCTGGATTACAGCCTGGCCGCTGTCGGTCACTTTGTTGTTGACGATGATCTCGAGCGATAGAGCGTCCTCGTCCATGATCCTCTTGATCGCGCGGAGGTTGACCCAAATGTTATTGGTGTTGACTGGACATGGTCAGTGATCAAGTAGAATATTTTGAGGCCGACGAACAAATTTTGAATTTGCGAGTGGAGCAAAACTCGTCGAGATGATCCTTAGGCACCTGAGCCACCTCGAGCAATCGTGGCTTGCCCTCGTAGTCGATGATAGTACCGCCTTTGATATCCGCCTTGGTCTTATCTGTGACCTCCATTACATATTCTGCCTGAGAATCGATCATCGTCTGGAGGATGTTCAGATCGACGACAGCGCCGAGGTTGTCGACATTGGAGATGAAGATGTACTCCTTGCCGGATTCTATAAGTTGGTCCAGCAGTCCACAATTTCTCAGATATTAACACGGGCACGACTGATTGTAGTTTTGGACTTACGTCAGGGCGTCGAAGATATCTCCGTGACCAGGGGGATACCAGTTGGCTTTGTCATCCGAGGCATGTTTGGGGCAAGGAAGCAATGACTCCTTGTCCACTCGCGGATAGCGAGATTGATTGAAAGTGAGAATGTTGATGTTGTGGTTCTGATACTTTTGAATGATACGCGCAGTGTCATCGGCCGTGTTGAAGGAGTTCATGAGGATGAACGGCACATTGACATTGTATTCAGAATTTAGATGCTGCTCCATAAGCTCCACCACCTCTGTCGCATGTAGCACTCACTTCGATCTGTCTCACTGACAAGTCGAGGAACGTCATGCCCTCTCTCACTTCAATGATCGATTTCGGGCCGACACACCCCATGGTCGTGCCCAGACCACCGTTGAGCTTGAGCACAGCCAGTTTGTTGAGGATGGAGGCATCGACATCTTTCAACTGCTTGTATGCACGAACTTGCTTGGGATTGGGAGGGTTGATCTTATCCCAGTCACTTGAAATCAGCATGCTTGATACGAACATGGCATATATGATTGATTCCCCAGATTTCCTACAATGACAGATTGAGTGACTCACAGCTTTTCGCCTTTGGCCCGCTCGATTAAAAATCGGTTGAAGAGTAAGAAGAAGCTCTCCATCTCGGCTTGAAGGATCTTTTATCTCAGCGGGTGCATATAACTTCGCTGAAAGACTCACCTTCTTTGCAGCGGGATCGGTCTCTTCAGCCACCATACGGTTGAGCTCATTCCGCATCGTCTTGGCGGCCACACCAGTGGTAGCTGATTTGAAGTCCTGCAAGTCGTTCGACATGTTGATAGAGTGTAGATGACGAAGGAAAGAGAGGATGATGCCAGGCATATATGATTACGAGAAGTGAGAGGAGTGGCGCACAGGCCCCGAGAAGAGAGGGGGGAAGGAAGGTACCGGTGGATGCACAGCAACCCCGGGAGAAGCATTCATATCAAGACAATCGGAAGCGTAGGATTGACAGATGGATCAATCGAGGCGTCAAATCACGAAGAGACAGACAAGCGGCAGGCGGACAAGCAGCAAGGGAGAGTGCGTGTTATAAAGCAGAAAAGAAGCATCGCATCAGCCCCACCTCCAGTAGCGAACGTGTGCGGAAACTCACGACAGCCGAATGAAGACGTTGCCTCGCGGCAGCCTCGGCATCAGCCAGAGGCTGTTGAAGGGTAGACATGGCGAGGGAATGCGTTTTGAAAGAAAGACTTTGGGTTAAGTATGCAAAGGTTCAAGATGAAGATGGTGGGGCAAAGGAGGAATGAGTTGGAGACTGGACGCGAGGGGGCCGTCTTCCGTCATCGACCCAGGGTGGTGGCGAACGTGGTCGGCGGTTCCCATTGTGGCACCTTGATAAATAAACGCACGCATGAGAATCGAACGCAGGTGCTTTGGGTCACTCGCCTCACCTGCTTTGTAATATAATGCTAAACAAAACTTCTTTACAACCAAGCGCTTATGGTGGAGGGGTTAACATACTTCTTTCGGGAAATTACGTAATGCGAAATTAGAAGTGGTCCCCGGTTCGAATCCGGGTGAGCGCCAATTTTTGCGTTTAGTTCTTTTTCGTCTTCACGAGTAGAGTAGGCCTACTCGAGTACAGTATTTCGAGCCAATGCCGGTCATCTACGGAGTGATGACCTCAACATCTATGACCTCATCCAATCTACCCAGTGGTCAGTGGAGTGGACATGTTCCGGCAAAGTAGACGAACGATCCATGTCCTCCGAGACCAACCCACGCCTTCCCTCGAACGACTCTCCAAGTGAGTAGTCTTCTCCTGTCGACATCACCTGCTCGTGTACACTGACGCCGTAGAAGAGCACGTCTATTGCCGTCTAGTCCTATCGAGCTAGAGACCTCTTCGTCCTCTCGGATTCTCTCTTTCCCTCCCTCTCACGCCTTGTCATCATGGTCCGCCCCACCTCGCACCTTGCTCCTAGTACAAAAACCGGACGACTCACGGGTTCGATCCACAATGGAATCCGTTCTTTCACATCTTACCACCCGATATCCTCATCTCCGGCTAATAGTTGAGCCTCATACAGCCCGAGACCATCCGGAATTCCATGACCTGACTGTTGTGGAGAAGGAAGACAGGGCTCTATTGGGATTGCATACGGAATTGATTTTGACTCTGGGAGGAGATGGGACTGTACTTCATGTTTCAAATTTGTTCGGACAAGGAGAATGTCCTCCTGTTTTGTGTTTCTCCATGGGAAGTCTGGGATTCTTACTACCATTTCGTATGTTTTCACTTCCTTATCGATCAGAGACTAAGGGTGCAGATATTGATTCCTTGGCTGAGGCTTTACATACGACATTGACTGGTCCGGTCCCCGTGTTGAACCGTATGAGATTGGCATGTACTCCGGTGTCGGCTTCGGGAGAAGTGCTGGATAGATGTTCGGACATGAGTGAGTGAAAATCGAATGTGATTGATAAGACTGACGGAAGTAGTCGGAGATGCCGGTTGGCAGGTCATGAATGAGGTCACGCTTCATCGAGGAGGTCAAAGACCTTTAGTGGTGGTTGATGCGTACTTTGACGGACAACATCTTACAGAGGCGGTGGTGAGTTCTCCTTCCTCAATCCTTTCTTCTACTTCACAAAACAAATTTTCAGTCCATGACTCCTCGTTGCCTCGCCCGACAACATGTGGTACGGGTTGTCGGGAGAGTTTATTCCATTGACTGACACATCCTTCCAGGCAGACGGTCTCCTTCTCAGCACCCCGACCGGTTCGACCGCTTACTCGCTCGCTGCCGGAGGGCCTATATCACACCCCGAGACCGACGCTTTTCTCCTCACTCCCATCGCACCACGATCGTTGTCTTTCCGGACTGTTATCCTCCCAGGTAGAGGAGTTGTCAAACTACAGGTGAGTGTCGTCACCCTTTCTACATTGCTTCCACCGCGTATGAATGATATGAAGTCACACTGATCCGTAGGTGTCTGACCGTTCTCGAGCCCCGGCTGAACTCTTGGTGGATGGACGTGAAATCTGTATGCTACACTCTGGCGAATCGGTGATCATCGCAAAGTCCCCATTTCCCATTCCATGCATCGAAAGGTCTGAAGGAGGTAACTCTTGGGTCAGGGATATCAAGTGAGTTCTTGCTCCTGATCTAACATGTGTGTTCAGTGTTGATCACCAGCTCTTTGTTACAGTTCAATGTCGGGTTCCGGAATAAAAGTTTGGCACCTGGAGGTTCTGGTGATTGAAGGGATATGGACGTATAGCGGGTATCTTTGATCTAAGTATATCGATAATAATGACAGCCATGCATGTTATTCTCCCTTGGAGCCGCCCTTTGATCCTCTGATGTCGAGATGGAAATGTATCTTACGTTTTGCCCGCTGCCGCGCTGCCGGTAAGGGTCCGTGTACACCTCGGCCGGTTATCTCATTTTGACCACCTTTAAACATCATCACGGTCAACTTTTCTTATTACATTTTCTCCATCATCCCATACATTATCCTACTCAAAACCATGAAAGACTCTGCTCTACTTGCTGCACTTGCAGACTGTCACAAAAGTACCCCACCAAACCGCCCCAACTTCTCGGAAATTGCTCGACAACACCAGATCAATCGCCGTACCCTTCAGCGCAACTATGATTCCTCCTTGCAACCTCAACTTGTCTCTGTTGACCACCGAGCTCTTCTCACAGAAGCCCAAGAACAGGTGCTACTAGAGCATGTGGAAAGCTTGGGGAAAAGACACCTCTATCCAACACCAGCAATCCTCCGGAACATGGCTGCCGAGATCATTAATCACCGACCAAGTGCTAGTTGGGCTAGCAAGTTCATCAAGAAGCATGAAGGGAGGGTAAAGTGTATGGTCATTGGAGGAATGGAGGCTTCCCGTCATGCTGCAGAGTACAGGCCAGCGTTTGAGGATTATTTTGACCAAGTGAGTCTACTACACACACCCCTCATTATCTTTGAAGCGGCTGATGATGTTCAGTTGGAATCTAGGTGTGATGATCTTAACATTGGGCCAACTGCTATATACAATATGGATGAGAAGGGATTTATGATGGGAAGGCCAAACAAGCAGCACAGAGTTGTGCCAGTGGAGGAGGCAAATAGGGAAGGGGGACCACTGTCCCGGGTGGATGGAAGTCGAGAGTGGGTTAGTCTCATTGCTTGCATTTGTGCCGATGGTACTGCTCTCAATCCAGCCATTATCTGTCACGAACTACGTCGTGACACCTCGATTACTCCACCAACAATGACCCTCCTTTGGCCATCAAAACCCCATCACGCCTTAACCTCTTTACTCTACACGTAACTCAGGACTTCTGACACCAAGTACGGCGAAGTTAGACGGGGTTAGGCTAAGTAGGGACAATGGGAGCAGAAGTACGGCGATGTTAGGCGGGGTTAGGCTAAGTAGGGACAATGGGAGCAGAAGTGCGGCGATGTTAGGCGGAGTTAGGCTAAGTAGGGACAATGGGAGCAGAAGTGCGGCGATGTTAGGCGGAGTTAGGCTAAGTAGGGACAATGGGAGCAGAAGTGCGGCGATGTTAGGCGGAGTTAGTCGAAGGAGGAAGAGGATGGCCGAGGGCTCGGGGAAGTTGGACGAAGTGCGTTGAAGTACGTCAAAGCGCGAGAGGGTTGGATGAACGTCTAGGAGGAGTAGATAATATTAGCTGAGAAGATCGCTGAAGTTCTTCAGCGATCCTTGATTGTTGTCAGTAGTAAAAGACAGATAGAGATAGCTATAAATCAAGATACATCGCCATCAGTAGATCAAAACCCTAGTTAGAGTAACTACGCCGAAGTACGCCGTAGTTACACCCCTTTCGACGTCTGCGCCCTCCTGGTTGGGTGAGACATCGACTCAGAGCGTGAAGTTAGCCGAGGTTCGTCGACCGTCGGTCTATTAAGAAGTAGTTGTTCGACGGCCGTGACAGTATCAAGGATCGCTCTTACCGACGACCCGTGCGAACCTCGGAGAAGTACGAAGATATTATGGAACCAGAAAGGAGAGTTACGCGAGGCATGAGTAGGGATGGAGACAGGATGGAAGAGAACGAGAGGAGAGCATTGGAGGAGCTTAGCAGAGCAATGGGGCAGGACCTTGGAGTGGAGGATAGTGCGGGGGGATCAATTCAAGGAGATGAGTTCGTTCCACCGGTGCCTTCTAACCCTCCTTCTCCTCCGTCTAATGCTCTCCCACCTGTGGGATCCCCACTTGGATCAGACCAAACCCCACGCCCAAGAGAAAACACTGGAAGTACGGCGAACTTGGGAGAAGAAGGAACACAAGGGGTGGTGTTGGCCTTGATGCAGATGGTGGCGAATATGAACAAAGACATGATGGAGGAGAGAAGGCGTAGGGAGGAATGGGAACAGAGAAGAGAAAGGGATACAGTGGGCGGGATTGCAGAAGGGATATCAGAAGGAGTGAGGTACGCCATGGGACGGCAAACTTCGGCGACCCCAAGCGTAGTGGGCGAACAACGGAAGGGGATAAAGCTACCTAACCCAGACCTCTGGAGAGGAGATCGGAACAAGTTAACCGCCTTTCTGTCTGAGTGCGACGTACATTTCGAATTGAACTCTCATCTTTTCCCCGACGACACTAAGAAAGTCTTTTTCATGATCTCTCATCTACGCGAAACACCTCTTCTTGCAGTGCAGCCCGATCTATCCAAAAGACCTCTTCCTGAGTACCTCACGACACACGATCAGTTCGTTAAGTACCTCAAGACTAACTTTGGTGATCCAGACGAAGAAGGAACTGCGGCCCGACAACTTAACGACCTCAAGCAAACCGGGTCTGCTTCGGACTACTTCTCCGCCTTTCAGCGACATGTTGCGATCCTCAAGTGGTCTGATGATGGAAACCTAGTTGACCGAGCCAAGAAAGGACTAAAATCGCACCTTCTAGATGAAATCGCAAGACACGGTAGATCGTTTGGGACTGTAAAAGAGCTATTGGAGTTTGTGATTCCCTTGGACAACCGCCTGTGGAGGAGACAAGTGGAGAAGGAGGCAGAGAGGAAAAGGGAAGGAGGGATAAGGACAACGACAGTGGTGGAAAGTCAGAGGACGGAGAAGAAAGAAGAGAAGAAATGGGAAAAGGGGCAACCTTCGGCGCAGGGTGGTGCCCAGGCGGCTATGATGTCGACGGTGGTAAAGAGTACACCGCCAAACATCGACGAAGTTCGCCGAAGATGGCCTAGGCCGAGCTCCGATCTGAGGGAGACAAGGAGGAAGGAGGGGAAGTGTACCGAGTGTGGTGAAGCAGGACATTGGCTGAAGGAATGCCCTGTAAGGGAGGCTAAGGTTAAGGTTGGACTGTTGCCTCCATGGGGGGAGAAGTTCGGAGAACGTGGTGGAGGATCGGGAGGGAACGCAGTACCTCTCGGACAGAGGAGGAACTTGAATGCGGTTGGAGGAGAAGTAGATTTGGAAGAGGACCAGGGAAAAGAAGAGGACCTGTCGCAGTAGGCGAGGCTCGGCGGGTCCGCCATATTCTCTCGGCCACCATTCCCAAACCCATAAAAGAAACACAGCTGATGGAGCCAGAGGATTGTGAATACAAAAATACACCACTCAGTACCCCTTGTTCATGCAATGTCGATAATCATCTCCTCATCCCTTCCGTTTCCAGAGATCAACCTAAATCGGACATTTTCATTAATGGAATGAAGCTAACTACGCTCTGGGACACCGGGGCTACTTGTTCATATATAAGTCCTAGAGCGGCGACGAAGATAGGCGCAGAAAGGAGACAATATCAGGTGAGCGTACCCGTTCACATGTTCGACGGCTCGGTGAGTGTCGCGGGACCTATCACCGAGTTTGTCGAAGTCGGATTTAGTTTGACGAAGGACGCCGAAGTGCGATCTGTTCGTCTCGATGTAACAACGCTCTGCGACGCAGATGTTGTGATAGGGTGGGATTGGATGAGGAAGGAAGGGGTTGTCCTTGATGGAAGAGACAACTCGGTGAAATTTCCCATCCCAGCCTCACCAAGTGCGGCGAAGTTAGCGGCCATAGGGCTGCCGACTCCGACGGACGCGATAGATCTCCGAGACAAAGATGACCAGGATGAACTGAGTCCGGAGGAACAGGAGGAATTGTATCAGGTGGTTCCTGAACAATACCACTCGTTCATTGATGTTTTTAACCCAAGGAAGGGAGGTGAAGAATTACCTCCCTCGAGGGGCTATGATCTGGAGTTTGATCTTAAGGAGGGGGCGAACCTGAAGGTTGCTCCACTCTACTCGCTTGGAGAAGATCAGAGAAGTGCGCTGAGAGACATCCTAGATCGCGAAATATCGGCCGGAAGAATTCGACCCAGTAATTCGCCCTATGGATCACCGATGTTCTTGGTACCGAAGAAAGCAAAAGGTCAATGGCGAATGGTCATTGACTACCGAAAGTTAAACGAAGCAACGATACCCGACGCCTATCCACTGCCTCTGATCGGTCAGATAACCGAAGAGCTAGGAAAAGCGAGGTACTTCAGCAAGTTAGATCTGATTGGAGCTTATCAACTCCTACGGGTAAAGGAAGGACACGAACACCTGACGGCGTTCAGAACTCAGTACGGTATGTTCGAGTCTCTTGTTGTTCGAGATGGTCTGCGAAATGCTCCTGCTGTATTCCAGCATTTCCTAAATGAAAGCTTCAGAGAACTGTTGGGGAAAGGAGTAGTTGTCTATATAGATGATATACTCATCTATGGTCAGACGTTGGAAGAATTGAGAGGAACTACGGCGAAGGTATTCGAAGTTCTTCGAAGGTCGAATCTGTTCGTCAAGGCTAGTAAGTGCGAGTTTGAAAAGGACTCGGTAGTCTTCTTGGGTTTTGTGGTCTCACGGGAGGGAGTTTCTAGTAATCCAGAGTACATCGACGCTGTTGTGTCTTTTCCCCGTCCCAAGAACCTAAGAGAGAGCAGAGGATTTATGGGAGTCGTTAGTTATTATCGGCGTTTTGTCCCCAACTTCTCTAGGATTGCTAAACCGATCAATGACCTCACAAGAAAGGATGTACCGTTTGTCTGGGGTATGGAGCAGGAAAGAGCTTTTAAAGAGTTGAAGGATAGAATGTGTAGGGCCCCGGTATTGGCTCACTTTGATCCCTCGTTGAAGACATTACTACAGACAGATGCCTCGTTCTTCGGGTGGGGTTTCATAATATCGCAGGTGAACGAGTTAGGACAAGAACATCCGGTAGCGATCGAGTCAGGAGCGTTTCAAGCGGCGCAGTTAAACTACACGGTAGGCGAGAAGGAACTACTAGCTATCGTTGAGGCTTTCAGAAGAAGGAGACACTTACTGTTACAGGTAGAAACTACAGTTCTCACGGACCACTTGAACTTGACATACTGGATGGAACCGAAGCAGTTAAGCCCGAGGCAGGGCAGGTGGGTCGAAGAGCTTTCTAACTTTAGGTTTAAGATGGTGTATCGACCTGGGAGACAAGCTACACTGCCGGATGGACTATCGAGAAGAGCAGACTACCACTCTGGAAAAGGAAGTACCATGGTGCAGGAGAGCAACCTTATTCAAGGGTTGCCGAAGTTCGACGAACTCGACGGCACTAGCTCTGGGTTACAACACCTACTTCGTGCTTTGCAAGGGACGAAGGAAGTAAGAGAGAATGACCTTATTAATCCTATGGATTTGGTAGTTGGAATACAGGAAGACGAAGAGGTGGAGGAGGTTAGAGAAGAATTACTGGGGGTAACCTGTGCTAAGTGCTCTCATCTGACATGTCACGATAATGTGCAGGAACCAGAGTCGGTCACCGAACTACGCCGTACCTCGCGGTCCCCCTTAATACTTCGTGGGGGATGGAATTCAAGAGGGTTCCTCACGTTCGATGGTCGAACTTATGTGCCGAACTACGCCGATGCTCGACTAAAGATAATGAAGACGCGGCATGACTCGGTCCTAGCGGGTCACCCAGGCTCAGCGAAGACTCTCGAGCTAGTCCTACGGGACTACGTTTGGGTTGGAGTAAGGAAGGATGTTGAAGATTACATCGCTGGATGTGCGGTGTGCCAGAGAGCAAAGACTAACAGGCAGAGACCCCATGGAGAGCTTAAACCACTGGAAGTGGCTACGAAGCCATGGTCCAGCATTTCGATGGATTTCATTGAAGAGCTCCCGAATTCCCATGGATACAATTCCATCTTAGTAGTGGTGGACCGGTTGACCAAATGGGCCATTTTTATCCCGACTACGACGAAGTTAACCGCAGCTGGCCTATCCGAGTTGATAATGGACTATGTGGTAGCTCAGCATGGGCTACCAGAGAACATAGTGTCTGACAGGGGATCGAAGTTTACCTCGAAATTTTGGAAGAACTTGACCGATAGTCTCGGGATAAGACTACATCTCTCTACTGCATATCATCCGCAGACTGATGGACAGACTGAACGAACCAACCAGTCCTTAGAGCTCTACCTTCGAATCTTCACTTCTTATCAGCAGAACGATTGGTCGAAGCTGCTTGCTCGAGCTAGCTTCGCCTTATGAGACATCAGTCATCTCTATGAGATCCATACGAGATCATCCCAAGACAAGAGACAACTGTTACGGGGTAACAACGAATCGAGAGGACTCTATCGAGTTCGACGGATTAGGACAGAGGAAAGCGGGAGTTGGAGGCAGTGCTGCAGTAGGTAGGGACGGGTTTTCCCCTTTCGAGATTTTCCCCACTGGGTTTGCTCAAAGCGGTTTTTCACCTGTCCGAGTATGTACATGGACGCTTGCAGTAGGACTGAGAAGAGGAGACGGATACCTGTAGACAGTATATAGTACAATCAGCAAAGTACCAACTTTGCTGATTCTTCAATATCATTCTTTGGCTACATCGATTGCAGAGGAGACACGATCCATTAGCACCAGAGCCCCTAGATTTCCACGAGACCTCCATCGAGTTCGACCCAACCTGCGACCTAGTCGTCGTGTTTCCAGTACCGTTACAAGTTGAAGAATCAACCTTACGCACCTTGGGTCGAATCGGAGAGTACTGTATGCTCACCAGAGGGAAAGCGCGAAAAATGATACCAGAAAAAGAGGAGTTGGAACAAGGGCTGGTCCCAGAGGAAGAAATACCAACAAGTTCTTCGAGAAGTACCATTTCACATGATCTCACTTCTACTACCACTACCCCAGATCCGCTAAATGAATTATCGCAGCAGTTGTCACAATTGTTAGCCATTATGACGATGCAACAGAAAGAACAAAATGCATTAAGGGAAGAACTGGCTACGATGAAAGCTGACCGACAGAACCAACAGATACTCACATCGAAAGGGGCAAGTTTGATCGAAGTCGAAGAAAACAAGCCGTGTTTGGAGCCAAAACTTACCAACAACGAACGAACAGGAAGAACCAGGTGTGCGGATCCACCTACCTTCAGTGGAGAACGAGGAGAATTGGACAACTTCCTTGCAGCATGTCACATGAACTTCGAATTCAAAGGGGCAGAGTACGCCACCGATCGCAGAAAGATCCTGTTCATGTACGGGTATCTTCGAGGCACCCCTCAAATGCTTATAACCCCGGCCATAACCAATCCAAGTATATGGAATTCGACCGAATGGCTAGAGAGCTACGACAAATTCATCCAGCATTTACGAACTCAATTTGGAGACAGTAACATGGCAGGTACGGCTATGAGGAAATTGCAGGAGTTAAGACAGACGGATACGGCCGCCGAGTATTTTGCCAACTTTGAACTTTGGTCCACACACCTTGGAAAGGTACCAGATGCAATGAAAATCGCCTCAGCCATACAGGGCCTGAAGGAAGAGCTACTGAAGGTGGTAGTGGTAAATAACACCGACCCTCGAACCAAATCGGACTGGATCTATTTCAAACAGCATGTGATAGGGACTGAGGAGAACCAACGGATGGCTGAAACGATGATTGCAGCGAATCGATGGGCTGCTAGACGCAAACATGAGACGACCTGGCTTCCCCCTCGATCGAATTCGATGCGATTGGATACTAGTTTGCCCAACCCGGTAGAGCGCCACTCACAATCGACTGGTAGAGGACCCTTGCCCGGTGGAAAACCAGGGATGATGAATTATGGTCTACCAAATGACCCTCCGGTCACTTGGACAGAGGACGGAGGACGTCTCAGCGAGAACGAAATGACTTGGAGGAGGGAGAACCGACGTTGTCTCAAATGTAGAAGTCCAGAACATTACGCCAACAACTGTCCAAATGGAGGAAATACGAGAAACAACATTAGGGGATCCCCAAACCCGCATAGCTCACCGATTCCTAGTGGATCGAACTCGATCCCAACTGGATCCAAAGGGCCATTAGTTCGAGGAATGGCGGTGACCTTTGAAGAAGAGGGAAACGACTACCTGGCCTAAGTGATGCGACCACTTGCGGCCAGGATCTGCCCGGATCGCAGAAAATTCAAATACCAATAGATCTCAGTAATGACTCGGCCATAATATATATAAAAATACAAACAAAGAAAGATACCCTACAGATTGGAATGTTAATCGATACCGGGGCTACAGGAAGGTATGTGCAGCCGGCCTGTCCATTATACCATCTATTCCCAAAGAAACAATATCAGGTACCACGAAAAATTAGGTTCCTGGATGGAACTACCGCGAC